GAGAAATCATGGATGAAGCCCAAACAATCGGAATCCCTGCTCTCAGCGATCCAGTTACTCAAGTCTCTGAGTTCTTGAAAGCAGTCAAGCAAATTGCACCAGATTACTACACATCTGCCTCTTACGACTTCACAAAGCGATACAAGGATGACCCAACCTACAGTTCGATCAGCAAGACTGCTGGAATTGAGCAAGCTAACGATTTCCGCAGTTGGGTGAGAACTTTCCACCCAGACTGGTTGAATGCTGCTCCATTAAAAGACACGAGTTTCGCTACTTGGCAAGGAGAAAACGAACAAGGAATAAAACAGGGGGCAAAACGAGAGCAAAAGTGTGCAGCTTGCCCAAACGAAAGTCACCGATTTGTTGATTGCAAACATGCCAACCCTAAGAAGCGAGGCCCAAACTATCATGAAGATAATCCAGAAAATAAGAAAGCACTGGAAAGATTGAATGAGTATCTCCAGAAGAAACCACACTTAAAGAGAATAGTTGAAAAACTACGAAAAGGGGCAAGCGATCAGCAGTCTCAAAAGTCCCCAGATCGAGCAACATCTTCCTCAAACTGGAGAAACACTACACAATCATCATCCCACTATACTCAAGAAGTGTCTGATGGAGAAGGATCACTCTCATCTTTCGTCACTATCGTCAATCAAGGAGAAGCAAGTCTCTATTCAGGATTCCCACTGTCAGACAGTGTGATAGTAGACTCAGGAACAGGATTCCACATCTGCAACGACTCCTCAAGACTTCATGATCTCGACTACACAGTCACAAAAGACTTCACCACTGGAGGAGGAGATGTACATGCAATTGCGAAAGGCACAATGATCATCAAACCAAACCAAGGCGGCAAATCCAACAACAAGGAGATCAAAGTCAGAAATGTATGGCTTGTGCCTGGATACCCAACATCGCTCCTTGGGACAGAACCGCTGAAGCAAAAAGGGATCATCTTTACAACAGGAATACCGGGTCTTATCGACTCAAAAGGCAGACTTCTATTCAAAACACCAAACCGATATGGTCAATACATTATTGAAGCTGGCCCAGCTCTGCTGAACAATACCTCGTTCAGCAATACCGAGAAGACTGTGAGATTCAGCCCAACCGTAGAAAGGAAACCAACCAAAGGTTTTCAGTCAACAAGACAACCACTCCCAACATCATCAGCAGAAGCCAAGTTGTGGCATGAGAGACTTGGTCATCCAGGCGCTGAGGGACTGGAACAGCTACTTAAAACAGCTCTTGGGATACAGATAAAAGGAATCACAAAAGTGGAATGTGATGCCTGTGCTGTTGGGAAGGCAACTCGCCAAATTTCCCGCAGAAACCCAGACCATTGGCCAACTGCTGTAGGAGATTATCTATCTCTCGACTTCTTTACACTTAGCAAAGCATACAATGGGGAGAAGGTAATCCTGCTGGTCAGCGATGGCTGGTCAGGGTTCTTCTGGATAAGAACTCTTCGTACTCGAAAGGAGGGACTACAAGCTATGACAGAATTAGCAGCATACCTCGAGAGACAGTGCTTTATCAAAATCTCTATTCTACGCCTAGATTGGGAGGTTGCTTTACGCAATGCGTTTGAACTATGGGCAGCTGTGAATGGATATATGATTGAAAGATCAGCTGAGTACACTGGTGCTCAAAACCCAGCAGAAAGAGCTGGAGGTGCTGTGTTTATGATCATGAGAGCACTTCGATTTCAATCTCGCTTTCCTGAATTGATGGCACCAGAGCTGGCAAAAGCAGCAGTTTATCTGTCAAACAGATTGCCTCGAAGACGCCACAAGTGGCAGACACCATTGGGGTTGGTCAACACTTGGCTGAACTCTCATCAACAGTCTACCCACAAGAGGGCTGAAAAGCCACAACTAGCACACTTGAGGCGATATGGCTGCAGAGCTTACCCCTTGACACAAAACTACAAGAGAGGAATAGAAAAGTCAAACAAAACTGCGCCAAGAGCTCATATTGGCTATCTATGTGGTTATGACAGCACAAATATCTACAGAATCTGGATCCCAGCAATAGGAAAAGTCATGAGAACTAGAGACGTTACTTTCGACGAAAACACGCTGTATGATCCAAGGATTGAGGATACCAGCAAGTTAAGCCAAATGGAACTTGAATTCCAGTTCACAGAAATGGATATCCCATTCACAAATCCAATTGAACAAGACCTAGACACAGCTGGCTGGGATGGAGAAGATTTCAGCGATAATATTACCGGGCCACTACCCGCCTCGAATCCAGCCGCTCAAGAAACAACACCGGCAACACCGATGCAGGAGAAAGAATCAGGGGATTTTCAATTACCTACACCCACTTCTCTATCACCAACAGTACAGCTGTCAGATTCTCAAACAACTGAGGGGGTGAGGGAGACTCCAGAAACTCCAGAAGTATCGCCAACTCCAGAACAATCGGATCAAAGTGAGACCATAGAGGAAACCTCAACAGACCGACTCGAACTACAACAGACACCAGTCATAGAATTGGAACCAGAAGAAATCATACCACAAGATTCCTCCACAGTAATCCCAAACATAGCGAGAAGGGGAAGACCTCGTGGCAGCAGAAATCACAACATCTACAATCGATCAGCCCCTCTTGGTCAAACAAATCAACAGCCACCAGAAGCAACAAGATCATCACAAAGACTGAGAAGAGCAAGAGAATCCCACTTCACACTGCAATCTACGGATACAGTAAAAGGAAGAGATCAATGGGATGCATCAGCAGATGATTTAGGCAATCCACACCAAAAGACACTTCCACCAGTTCCAAAGAATTACAGTGAAGCGATCAAACACCAATACAGTCACAAATGGATTGCTGCAATGAATATTGAGAACAGATCACTATGGCAAATGGGCACGTTTGAAATGATTGATCTTGGCAATATTGATCAAGACACTCAGCGAATTATCCCATTGAAGTGGGTATTCACATATAAGGGCAGCAAAGGATATCTCAAGAAGTTCAAAGCGAGGATCTGTGTTCGAGGAGATCTCCAACCGACAAATGAACTAGAGACCTATGCCTCAACGCTTGCTGGTATATCGCTGCGAAGTCTCATGGCAATTGTGGCGAGATTTGACTTAGAGACTCTTCAATTGGACGCAGTCAACGCATTTACACATGCCACAATTGATGAGGAAGTCTATGTTTGGTTTCCTCCAGGATTCAGACAAGAGGGATACTGTCTTGCCCTGCGAAAAGCACTATATGGATTGAGACGAAGCCCACTGCTATGGCAAAAGAATCTGGAGAGATCATTCAAGAAGCTTGGCCTTATCCCACTCCAAGAAGATGACTGTATCTACACCAATCAATACTTCATAGTATTCCACTTTGTGGACGATATTGGGGTTATATACCATAAAAAGCATGAAACCAAAGTAAAAGAAGCAGTTCAACAACTCAAAAAGGAGTATGAAATGAAAGATATGGGAGAATTGAGTATCTTCCTAGGAGTCAGAATAATAAGAGAACGAAAAACCCGTCAACTATGGATGAGTCTCGACAACTATATATCTAAGGTCACTGAAGAATTCAAGATCAGAACCTCAACCAAGCGACGCCAAACACCTATGGCAATAGATAACCTGGTCCCAAGTCCTGGTCAGGCTACGCCAGAGGAAATCAACTACTATCAACGGAAGGTTGGATCAATCAACTATGCTGGAGTGATTGGCAGACCAGATATAGCTCGAACAAGCTCGAGACTAGCAGAATTCCTATCAAATCCATCTTCTGAACACCAGAAAGCAGCATATGAATGCTTACAATATCTTGAGGACAACAAATACCTCGCTATCGAGTTCAACTGCAAAGGGGAAGGAGTCCTCTACTGCGCCTCAGACGCTTCATTCGCTGATGACTCTGTCACTCGAAAAAGCACTCAAGGATATGTGATGATGCTATTCGGAGGTCCAATTCATTGGAAAGCAGTCAAACAACGAAGAGTAGTCACTTCAAGCACAGAAGCTGAGCTTGCTGCTTTGACAGCAGCCACAAGAGAATATATGGCAACCATTCGACTCATGGAACAATTGAATCTCCAATTAGATGATAAATACATCATGCAATGCGACAATAAGCAAACTCTTCGACTATTGATTGCTGAAAGACCCCAAGCGACTAGCAAATTACGCCATATCAATATCAACAACTTATGGCTTCGCCAGGAATTACAGAAGGGATCAATTGACTTTCAATGGGTTCCAACCAACGAAATGGTGGCAGACGGTATGACTAAAGCAATGCCAGCCCAAAAACACAACCACTTTATCGCCCAATTGGGTATGGCGAATATTGAACATTTGATCGAGAAGAACGCAGTATGAATCTGGAATTTGGTAGTAAGTATACGGAGTTCTGAATAGTATCATTTCTGTATTTGAATGAGAATACAGAGAATCAACCTACAACAGGTTGCCTCTCTGAGGGGGTGTGTCACACGGACCACTGCATATATCGGGGCATGCATTCAACCCATGCACCCGGCTATTGTTTCCCATATAAAACTAACGGGGATGTCATTTTGTGCATGAAAACCTTCAAATCGGTAATTACCGAATAGACGGTTATATAATCAACCCAATAACCCCTAGACAGTCTCTAATGAATGGAAGCATCTTTTTTTACCACATAAGTGGTGGGCAAATTGACTGCGTGACAAATGGCCCTCGATGTGCCAAGGCACCCCACCTACTTTTCGACGAAGCGAGCTAAAGACAGTGCTTACCTAAGGAAGATCCGCTTTTCACCTGACACCGCGATAAGTGCTGCGCGGAGTGGCCAAAAACGCGTCGCATAGTTCCATTCAATCTCAACGCTACTCCCTGTCCTGCAGAATCTCGCGACCAAGCACAAACAGCCATTGTCCAATAACCACTGTACTAGGCGGATCTACATCATCGTCTCAGATCCTCGCTTTGGCCCAAACCAACAGGAACAACACACTTACCGAAAACACTTATTTTGAGATGGCCGAAGCTACGTCTACCCCGCGCATCACCGCGCAGTACCTCGACAACTTCGTCGGCCGCAACGTCATGCTCATCGGCAAAGTGGTCCAACTTCGTGGCGACTCCGCCGTTGTTGACGCAGACGGCAATGTTACTGTTATTTTGAACCGCGTAAGGCCAACCGAAACCATACCGTCCCCTCGAAATTGGGAACATCGTCTGAGGCTAACATCGATTTCTACCTCACACAGGATGTCCACCTTACCAATGGGAATGGTGCTCAGATCATCGGAAAGGTCAATCCTGACCTCTCCATTAAGGTTCTTACTTCCAAAGACCTAGGATCCGACGTGGGTATGTTAACCCCCGCCTGTTTCTCCGCCCCCCACGAACTTGGCCACAGCCAAAGTGTAGCAGCCCTTTCGCAAGCTCATGTGAATCACTACGAAGTTGTCGTATGTCCCGCCGGTCAGGTCATTACCTCTACCAAGCGGTGAATTTGAGGCGTTTGAAAAGCCTGCTTTTCTTCTCACTAGTCTTTTCAGTCTAGCACACCAATATGTCTAAAACCCATAAACTAACATACGCCAGACTACCAACTCGCCGCGGCCGTAGTCGACGCAACCCACCACCACAAATCTCTATTCATCTACGATAATTGAACGTCTCGGAAGTTTGGGCTGGTATAGGGACACGGCTGCATTGTTATTCCCCAAGCGTTTCGCCACTTTAAGCATCCGTTATCCGGTCGAATACGGCGACATATCCACCACGCAGCAGCAAGAACACAAACATGAAAAAGCCATGATATTATGAGCCCCCGGAGTCTACTCCACCCTATCCAATCTTTCGTGACGACATCGATCAATATCCGCCAGTACCAACTCATTCACCTTCCTCGCAAAGCACGGGGAGTTTTCTCCTCTACGCCTCAACCACCTACTCAGTCGTCTCAACTTCGACGCCAGGAAACATTTCCCGACGACACTTTGAGAACAGATACGCAACATCGCTCTTCTCGCACGGCTATTCTACTATTTTAAGAGACCAAGACGAGAGAAGATAGCTGCCTCGGGTGCTTGGCCGCTAATAACATCAACGTTCAGGAACCACCCTGACCCGCAGCTACGGATAGAAAAGAGGATAAGGAAGTTGCGGGTACCGCTGGAAACGGCCGAATTTGAGAAGCCAGGGTGGAGGTCAACGAAGTTGCTGCCGATTCTCGGCGGCTGGGTCATATCCTGAGCAGATGAAGCGTATGGCTACCGGAACAGCGCCGCCATGGGCAAGGGCGATGTTGTTTCAAAGCAGACAAACCGCCTTAATCTAGGTAGAAGTAGTGCTTAGCATCTGCAATTCAGCATTGGCCTCATGAAAGGTGGGAGTGTTGGCATCCCCTTTCCGAGTTACGTATTGAAAACTTTTAAAACATAATGGATAGGTTTCTCAACTCATGCTCTGGGGCCGAATATCCTACTTATCCTGCCCACGTCGGTAACGGCCTACTTTTACAACAAAACTCATAATGTGTAATACGGGACATGAATATCCTGACACTGTCCGCCTGACAGTCTTTCGCGTCTCTACTCCAGTCCCTCGTCCGCTAGTAATTTTTGTACAGCCTCCGCGATTTTCAGCATGGCTGACTGTTCAGTCATACCAGCGTGCTGCTTCTTATCAACTCTCGAGTCATTCCCGCTTCTTCGCTCGTTCCACCATGCAGACGCACCGCCATCGACGTTTCTAATTCCGTTCATGTCCATGAATGCTGTTCTGATTCTTGATGCCACTAGCTCCTCGTCCTCGGTCCCTGTCGTTTCTCTACTTCCTCGGCTCTTTGCCGACAAACTGTCAACGTCATCCTGTGCATCTCCCCCCTTGATATTTCGCAGCCTGCGAGTGAATCGTTCAAGTGCAGCCACCCGTTTCTCAGCTGCTTCTGCTCGCCCTTTCCACATAGCACACTCACGTTTTGCTGACCGCAATTGTTCGCTAAGAATCCCGACATCTACGTTTTCTCGCGTCTCTAGCTGACGTCGTAGCGACGCGGCCTCCTCAGTCTTAGCATCTAGCTGTCTTTGCAGTGTACGGGTTTGCGCGTGAAGCAACGAATTTCCACCCGGACTTCCTGGTCGCTGAGGTATCAGCTCCTCACCAGGCTGGCGGATAGACGAGGACGATGGTGGCCGAGGGAAGTTGACATGCTGAGCAATCGGAGGCTGCTCGGCGGGACTAACCATAGTACCCAAAGTAGGTGGGTTCCTGTCTTCGTTAAAAGCAGGTGCCTCGGTGGGAGCTTTTTGGTGGCTCTGGATATTGGGAGCTCGTCGAAGCCTCCCAAAATTTGGCTTCTCGGCTGAATGGGCAACATTTTCAGCCATGACGATACGTTGGATTTTTTGACTACTGCATTTGGTCTTACTACTTCCATCGGAGCTCTGAGATCGCTGCTTAATGCTGACCTTCCCTAGGCTCCACGCTGATCTCGCTAACTTCAGAGATTTTGGTGAAGGTGTGTTAGTCATCGAGTTGGAGAGACTTGTGACAAGTTTATTCGCCCTTGGTTGACGGGTAGCCATTGGCGAAGGTACGTACTGCGAGTCCTTAGAGGCTACCTCGAACATTGCCGCCATAGCCTTCACGCCGCTAGGCCTTGTTTCGGATCCACGAAACGATGTTAAGATACTACCGCTTCCTGTAGGTGTCCGCATTCTGGAGGGTGACTTGTCACGATCGAAATCTTCGTCTTCCGCCAAGTTTGTAGACCGGGTAGCTGTCTCTGTGGAAACATCTTCAACAACGCCTTGTTCAGAGTCACATCCACCACCTCTAGATGAGCCAAACGGCGAGGCCTCCGTATTTGGACCCATCGATGGTTGCTTTCCCTACAGCACCTTCGCTGGTTCTAAGCCACTTTGTCGTAAGCTGCTGGGGGCTCTCATCTCGGCATAATATTCTTTCGGAGTAACCTGATTAGTACTATCTCCATCAGATGCCCCCTCTGGCGCCATGTCCCTCCTTAAAGTTCGTTTAGGAGAACACTGTTTTATATCGGTAGCCGGCATATTGATTTGTGACGTCTTCTTCATGCTAACCGATAACTCCCTATGCATCAGATGCATTGGTCTGTTATCGGTTGGTGTTTGGGAATTTGCATTGAATCTGTTTTGATTGAGTTTTTCGGGGTTTACAACTCCATGGTTAACATGTCCGCCACACATACTCTTGTGTGTCAAAGACAAGAAACCCTCATCCTTCAAGCTGATGATAGTGCGAGGGCTTACGTTCTCCGGCGACAAATGTGTCCGTTCTGGTGCCATTTCTGTTGGGCTGCCAGAAGATGATGTTCCACTCACATTTCCCATAGCAAGTTGATGGAGGGCAAAGGAATCCAGTGCGGTTCCTTTCTCATTGCTTTCATTCGATGATCGTGGCGACGACACTCCAGACCGACGGGGGCTCTGTTTGTAGTTGGCTTCAGTAGCCCCTTGGAGGTCCTTAGACGCCCATTTCGATGAACTTCTCGCAGGGACAAACTCGTACGATACACGAGGACTCTCAGGAGAATGCTGACCTGGAAAACTACGAGGCTCGTAAATTTCATCAAACAGTTTCCCGCTTTTTTCAGTTTTCGGAGTCGAGATAGGGAGGGGTTTTCCAGGTTTTCCTCCTGATCGCTTGTTTATCGTCGGTTGCGCAGCCGTCGCCACATGCGAGCTGTGTGTTATGGGTCCTATTGCACCATGTACAAGCAAATTTGGGACTTTTTTAGGCGGGGTTTGACATTTTTTGCTTTGTGTACTGTTAAGTTTGCTGATGCTTCGGCTGTCTGTTGAGGTTTCCTCCGCAGTTGGCGATAGTGGATTAAGTGATTGTCGAAGCGAAAGCCGATTTGACGACGCAGAACGTGACACCTTAGGTCGACATCTCTTGATTTCAAGCTTGTCAGCCAGAGTTCCTGATGTCTTCGAAACAGGCAAGCCCATTGTCCCTGGTACGTTGTTAGTAACGTATCAGTGCAACGTGTAAAGTTAGCTTACTGGACGCTGGTGTAGGGGTATCAGGGGCTGGCGACCCTTCCCTATTCATTGAAATACCTGATGAGGATTGTTTGCTTCTCCAACCTTTGGGTAAGCCGATTGTAACAGGTCCGGAGCCAGAAGACCGTAAAAACATCCGTCGACTTGCACTTTCCGCACCCTGGTCATTTCCTGGCAACTTCGTCAGGTTTTTCATGTTCCGGACAACTTCCCTCCAATTCGCGATTAGCATTTCCGCGATGTTATTTGCTACATGAACCTTGTCCACTGGCAAGGAGATCGTATCTTCCTGCAGTAATCCTTTGCGTTGTCGCTCTCTTTTCAACTGTGGCGGCGTGAGGGGAAAAAGGAGAAGCCCTGAAGATGGAGTTGCGACCTTCATTGTATATGAATCGATCAAGTCACCGACAAGGAGTGGCCCAAAAACAATGCCTAGAGCAGTGTAGCCCATTAGGTCTGAAGTGGGCAGTGGCCGACCTTGCTCATCCTCACGAGCTGTCATCTCAGCGGCACGGCCAATGACAGAAAGGAGACCGAACACCGCACATATTAATTCTCGGCGGAATAGTGACTTGGTGGTGCTAATTGCTAGGGCAATAAGTCGAGCTCGTAGTTTCGTTTCTTTCGTCCTGCTCAACTCCGGCTCCCCTCGAAGCTGGCTTTGTATGGCGACAAATGCGTCAAACAGCGAGAGTGAACCAAGAATTCCACCGGGAAGAACCGAAAGAAGCTTCTTGAATGCTGATGCCACGTCGTGTGCCCCGGCGTTAATGTGAAGCGGAAGGGACGGGCATCGGATCGTACTGGTCACGTCTTCTCCTGTCCTGTCGTAGCAGTAATAGTCGAAGATTGCGTTGACTACGCGAAGCGACCCAGGAATTCTAAAAATGCCACGTGTGGTGGGACCTACATTAATATAAGTGATTGTTCGACTGAAAGAGGTAGGTGTTACATGCCATGTTGAACTAGGTACTGGGCCGTAGCTCGAAGGCAGGTAGGCAAAACAAGTGAGCCAGGTGCGTACTCAGAAGGAAGATAGAGAAAATTTTTGCCGCTTAGTCGGACCATTGTCTGAAGATCAATAATCTTTGGTTCTGATTTACGAGAATGCATTAAATGGTGCGCAATGTCGCTAACGCTTCTGTTGTATTTAATCGAACCAGAGGATCGTCGAGCACTTGATGTCTTACCAGACGAAGGTGAACGAAACACTCGAGACCACCACCGTCGCTTTTCTGACATGGTAATCGGCAGTTCAGGTCGCTGTAACAGTTAGCCAATTGTAATTGTCAAGGAGAGTAGTGCTCACTCCTCGCTCGAAGTCTTCAACAACAAGCACCCGAATGCCATGCTATACGACTGTATTAGTAATAGCCAGCAGGAATTACTGGGATTGATGCTGTGCTACAGAACAGCATTCAGTGCTGCTATACCTTCTTTGCTAGTCGGTTGTACTCCTGAACGAATCGCTGACGATCCTGGGTCTCATCTGTGTCAGGAAATAAGTTCAAGTCTGCGCTGGAAGACGTCCACGTCGCGCTGCTCGGCAGAACCCTGTTGTGTCGACCATCTTTTCTGTCTAGAGCGGGAAGCGTGCTCGAGTTGATGAGTGAGCTTTGCTTGGGCTCCAAAGGCCCCGCGAGGCACGTCAGAGGTGGTTGTGAAGGTAACGTGCTCGTCGGCGCGGTGCTGGCTAATTGGCTTCGTATTGTCCCAGTCTCGGGATCCTTAGACGTGACCGAGGAAGCCGATGGATCTTGGCGGTAAGTCTGCATTGGAAATCACTTGAGATGGAGTACCATAAACTATCAGATGGGGTTGCAGTGGTTGTATGCTATGCCAAGCCGCTGCAATCTTGAGAACAATTGTTCAGATGTGGTAGATGATGGTCTCCGACGCACTCCTTCACTGGGCAGCGTCATTCAAATATAAAGGTAGTTACTTGAAATCAGTTGGTGCGACCAGCTTGCTGGTTTACTCTTGCCTTGTGATTGAAGTGAATTTTGTAGCCTCACCTGAATGGTGCCTGCCGTAGTAAAGCCTACCTGGATGGAAACATCAGGTCAGTGGCCTATGCCGTCGCTGCTGTCGTTTGGTCTGTTTTCCACGTACCAATGCCTGCGCAAACGATAATGAACAGATACGAACGCAAAGGTGGTCAATCTCGACATGCTCTCATTCCGTAATGCATCCAGGTAGCCGACTGCCCCTTAGGTCTTCTGACCCTCTATAATGAAGTGAAAGAAAACGTTAAATATGCGCACCATCTGGTATTCCTCCCCGTTACGCCACCATACGCCTGGTACATGCTCATTACCATATCTACCATATCCATGTCATTCCAGCGAGGATCCGTCGCTCTTGGTTCTATGTAAATCCCAATTTTCCAGCTTCAAGCTCACTTGGTGTCTTCCTCCTCTCCATACAGAAGAACGTACTTCAGGATGTCAGAAAGAGAAATGACGCCCACAAGACGATTGTCATCATCCACCACGATTAGGCGATGCACTCTTGACTTGCGGACAGTGTCAAAAATGGAGTCCAGTCTGTCGTCAGGGCTACAAGTGTAAATCCCTGGAGAATCGTCGGGCCGCTTACAGAGAGCTTCGCCAACGCTAGACGAGAGCTCCTCATACACGCCGCCTTTGATGCATGGGATGATATCGACAGCTTCGAACACGTTGAGAACGCGGTTGTGCTTGTCGACGATGGGCACGCACGAGATGTTGTGTTTGACCATCAAATCGACAACGTCCAAAACGGAGGTGCCCATCTTAGCTGTCGCCAAGTTCTTGTATGAGCCCAGGCCAATCTCTTTGACTGACTTCTTCAGCATCACCGTGTTGTGTTCGTTGTTGACAGCAATGAACTTTAGAATTCTATACTGTGTAATGACGCTGACAACCATTTCACGACCAGTCTCGTCGTCGATGTCTACAAGGGGTATTCGGCGCGCACGGGTTTTGAGCATACGGCGGCAGGCTTCGTAGAGCGGCCTCATTGGGTTGACAGACACCGTTTCGAGCGGAGAGACGCCGATGGCCTTTTCGATATCTGCAAATGCTGTCAGAAAGAGTCCCTCGATGGACGCTTTGGAGCCTAGTCACCTACCTCGCAGGCTACTCAGACGGAATTGGTCCAGCTTGCTTATCTCATCAGGAAACTGGCAGTAGTATTGTATCACGTTGATAAAGTCCGTAGCTGTTAGCAGACCGGCAAACGCTGAATTGTGCGAATCCCATAGCGGCGCAGAAACGATTGCTGTGGTATCGGTTAGAGCGAGCAACTCGGCGCATTGGAAATGTATGACTCGTACCATTTTGAATAAGGATGTTAAGACTCTTTTTGATCAGTAGGTCATTGTCGAGAACGATGAGACGAAAGGAGAGCGGTAGCACATCGTAGCTGGTTCGAACTTTGAGAAAATCGCGGATCGCTCTCTAGACAAACAAGGAAAGTTAGTAATGGTTCGTTGGGGCCTAGATGTGCCCCTCGTGATGGCGCTGAGCAGACGGCAAACAACCCCGCATGCGCGCTGGCGACCAAGGCCAAAATTGGGCTCAAGCACGGCAATCGGAGGGGTCCAAGGTGGGAAAACGAGGGGTCAAGAGACGCAAGCAGCTTACCAGACCCTGCATCTGCTCCTTGTCGAGCGGGCTCGGAGGTTTTTCAGGCATTTTGCGAAGCACAGAGGGCGGTCTTGGGCGAAGGTAGGATGAGGGCGTGACGAAGGGAAGCTCGTGACTATGTGGTCTCGCGATAGACGCAGCGGTAGCGACAACGGGTGGTTGTGGTGGACCGGTACCGCTAGGCTGTTGCTGATGTGACATGGACATGGAGCCAGGACCGGCATTGTCCTTCGACGCCGAGGACGAGGAGGGGTCGTCCATTGTGTCGTCGTGCCGTGTGAGGAGGGCTAATGGCGCGCGTGGCCCCTCTGGACGTAGACGGACGGGGGACGGAGTAGGGGTGGGAGGAGTGCGGGAGGCGGGAGGCGGTAGACGGGAGGTTAGAGACAAGAATGGAATTTACGGTCGAAGAATCGGATGGGTTGGACTGGATTTGGACGCAATGGTGATTTTTCTCTCGCGCCGTTTCCTTTTCCCCCCTTCCCCCTCTTCCCCTCCTGCCAGCGTGCAGCGGTAGCAAAGGTAGCTAATTAGTGACAGCAGCCCCAACAGTGACAATTAGCAGTAAAATATGGCGGTAGAATGTACCAGAGCCCTGCAGCGCCTAACATTTACTTTAGCTGCATCCTTTTTGTCTCACCTGTAGATAAGGATAAAGACAAGGATTCGAGGGTGACCCAGCTAACAGACGAGGCGTCAACCGTCAGATTCTTGTTTTTTCCTGAACTTTTTGCTGGCGCTGCCACTGTCTGACGTTTTTTGAGTTGTCGGTGCAATGATCAAGTCACCAACGCCCGATGGCTACCCCTAACGTATAGTGCTGCTCCCGTCAAGGAGCAGCGGCTTTGGTTTTCTACGACAATAAATGATGATGATTGTGGTGGTGGAGGTTTCGTCATTGGTGATGGCTTCAGCGAATGGAATCCCGCCCTAGTTAAGGACCGGAAACCTAAGGATACATGTACATCGATGTCTTATCCGTCGCAGCTCCAAGCCGGCCAGAGGACCAAACGGATCTGCAGGTATACAGACGAACAGTGACCAGCAGGCAGCGAAGCGAAATTCTTTGCTGACCTTCAACTGGAGTGATCACTCAGGCGCTGAACAGCGGCTTTCGCACATTCTCAATGGAACGGAACCATGGCAGCCACACCTCACAGATACCGCCAATGCCGTTACTGTCTAATAGCATTTCTTTTTGAGAAACAATGTCTTGCTTTCGATTGAGCTTTAGGAAGGAGCAAACGTAATTTTAAACATTCCGACAAAAAAATCTCCATCCTCTCAGCCATGTAACGTCCGATTGCAGAAATAGTATGGCGGCAGCCCAAGCACAACCGCTATGTTGAGAGACCATCACCAGAAGGACAGGCACAAGTCAGCCGCCGTCCCAGATCTCCCTTAGCCGGCCTGTATTCGGAAATAACCATGCCCCATCGAGTAGGTATCTGAGGCGGGTAAGCTCGCGTGACAATGGACCCTTTGGACAAAGGCAGCCTTTCGCATCAAGGGTAGCAATACACAAGTCATCGGGTCGGTTTATACGCAATATAATGTGCAGGAGGGTGTGCAACTGTAATGTCCATATCAAGCTTCTACCTGGCAATCAGGAGAAGCTTCGTCGGAAGGCACGCACGCTGCACTTATGTGCCTGGAAGAAGATATCTAAACCGGTCATCACCACTGGACTACTGATTTTAATCCAGTGGAAAAGTAATAGGAAAAAGTGATGAACAGAAGGTGCCATTTCGGCCTCAAGCCACTGCTTGCTGGTATGGCTATCATCATTCTTCAGGACGGCCTTCTCTGAGAGGCATAACATATTACATAACTTACGTGGAATGATGAGGCGGGCGCGCTTGGCTAGTTCAGTACTAGATGCATAAGATTCATGGACAGTGTTTGTTTCCACATGTGAGGACCATCCATACGTGCCATTATCTACTAGTACAAAATAAAGCAGGGTGGTCCGTGTTCCGCGAGCTTGAGGATTTGGAGTCCGCGGCAGTGCCGCCCGAGGGAGGAGACATGGAGGGGAGGGCGTGGAGTGGTCATGGCCTCGATGCAGAGTGAGGCGGGTGGGCGCTTTTCTTCTCCTGCTCGTCCGGGAGAAGAAGCCGCCCAGTAACATTACGAGTAAAAGCCGGCAGCGCTGCAGGTACACTCGGTACGTACTTCATCATCTGGGTCCTCCTAGCCTTCTAAGCCCGACAGGGTAAGCAGGTCCAAAGCTGCACGCTCCACAATGGGTTCCACAGTGCCACGGTCCTCTGCTTTGCTGTGCTGGGGCTGCTAATGCTGTGCGGTTGTGCTGTTGTGTTGTGCTGTTTAATGCTTTGCTATCCGTACCTTCTCGTTGCTTGGTGAGTACCTCCAGCGCCCCACTACCTTAGCCTCACAGAGGTCTAGTGCTACCGCTGTTGCTATTGCTGCTGCGACTTGGGCCTGTGCTGCTCCAAGAAACAACTGGAGCAGCCTCCTGTCGGTTTCTTCTCAGAACTTCATTTGACTGACCGCATCGCACATCAACCGACCGACTGTCGGGCCTCTTTCGCTGGGCAGCAACGACCCTCTAATTCGTCGGCTATTGACCGCTACCGAAATCTAATTCATCGATCAGGCTAATCGATAAATCGCCTTAGCTAACGACCCTTTGGAAACGCCGCACACTCAGTATCCCTCTGACTGGGTTGCCAAAACAATCGTGTTTGCGAAAGAAGCTCCATCCAAACACAACAGCCCCAGCTGCCTTCCGGACACCACCATTCGAAATCGAGTCTTGTTATCATTGAGAGTGGCATTCTTTGCCCACGGCGGCCATGGGAGTCTGTCAATCGTGCTGCGGAGGTACGGGCTTTCCACTGCCAGATATCGTGGCAGATCGAAGCTGACAGTGACTGTACAGGGAGATCCCGCGATGGACTTTACGAGCCAGTTCTCGCCGACAGCGAACGGGAGGCTGTCGCCGATCTCCTCCAGTACTTGGAAAACGTATGAACTCTCTCCATTTTCAGTTGCATTGAGCTTCCGCCCATACTGACGACGTTTCAGCGGGGTGAAACGGACTTCTTTTCGGGCGAACCGCTTCGAGCTCTAAGCACACTCGTCTTCTCCGAGAATATCGATCTTCAACGGAGTGCTAGTCTAACCTTTGCGGAAATAACAGAGCGAGGTACGTTGACGATCTGGATTGTCGGGGCAAAGCTCTTAATGTGCCAACAACCTGCGATGCGATGCAGCATCCGCAAGGGCCTCCCCTACGTCACCTAGCCGTGCTGACCACCACTGTACAGATGTTCGTGAGGTCGACCGCGACACACTCGAGCCTATTCTTTTCCTTCTGCAAAGCCCCGATATTGAAGTTCAGCGTGCCGCTAGTGCAGCGCTTGGAAATCTTGCGGTCAACAGTAAGTTGACTTGACAGACGAGGCTGGAGGATCAATACTAACCTGAGCCATCAGCTGAGAACAAGGTTTTGATTGTTCAACTCGGTGGGCTTACGCCTCTTATTAGACAGATGCTCTCGCCAAATGTCGAAGTTCAGTGCAATGCAGTTGGTTGCATCACCAACTTGGCTACACATGAGGAGAACAAGGCAAAGATTGCACGGTCTGGCGCGTTGGGCCCTCTGACAAGGCTAGCGAAATCCAGGGATATGCGGGTTCAGAGGAACGCAACTGGAGCTTTGCTGAATATGACGCATTCGGGTATGTTCGGGATTTTTGTAATGAGCGAAGCAAGACTGACTGGAGATACAGATGAAAACCGCCAGCAACTGGTTAATGCCGGCGCTATTCCGGTCCTTGTCCAGCTCTTGTCCTCTTCAGATGTTGATGTGCAGTACTATTGCACAACAGCTCTCAGCAACATCGCTGTCGACGCTAACAACCGACGCAAGCTTGCACAGACCGAATCGAAGCTAGTCTCTTCGCTTGTCACCCTCATGGATTCGTCGTCTCCTAAGGTACAATGCCAGGCAGCGCTCGCCCTTCGTAACTTGGCCTCGGACGAAAAGTACCAGCTTGACATTGTACGATCAAATGGTCTGGCTCCCTTGCTGCGACTACTGTCATCATCCTATCTGCCTCTAATTCTTTCCGCCGTTGCATGTATACGAAACATTTCCATCCACCCTCTGAACGAATCACCGATCATCGAAGCTGGATTCCTGAAGCCATTGGTTGATCTGCTTGGGTCCACTGAGAACGAAGAGATTCAATGCCACGCTATCTCGACGTTGAGAAATTTGGCTGCCAGCTCCGATCGCAACAAGGCGCTTGTTCTCGACGCGGGTGCGGTTCAGAAGTGCAAGCAACTGGTACTCGATGTTCCTGTCACTGTTCAGTCGGAAATGACGGCTGCTATTGCTGTTCTGGCTCTTAGTGATGAGCTGAAATCTCATCTCTTGAATTTGGGTGTTTTCGAGGTCTTGATTCCTTTGACGCATTCTCCAAGTATCGAAGTCCAAGGCAACAGCGCTGCAGCTCTCGGCAACCTTTCCTCAAAAGGTATGATGTCTATAGCCATACCCAAGTCTTTAGCTAACCCTCGTTCAGTTGGCGACTACGCCGTCTTCGTCCAAGATTGGAAAGAGCCTAACGGCGGAATTCATGGATACCTCACAAGATTCCTTCAAAGTGGCGACGCAACGTTTCAGCACATAGCAATCTGGACTCTGCTCCAACTGCTTGAGTCAGAGGACAAGAATCTCATCCAACTAATCGGCCAGGCTCAGGACATCGTCGACCAAATCAAGGAGATCGCCAACCGCCAGATCGAGCCGGACAACGAATTCGAAGACGACGACGAAGGCGAGGTCGTGAACTTGGCTCAGCGATGTCTGGAGCTGCTTGGCCAGAGTGGCTCTAAATCTCACATCGAGGGCTAAGAACTGATTCACACTAATGGGCCTCTCATTCACTGTTTTCTTCCTCCATTTCCCTTTCGGCGTGCTACAGCAGGACCGAATAGCTGAAGGGCTTGGGTCGAAGGTGTTTTGGCGTTGATGATTATGCAGAAAGAGTTTCAGTTGGTACATCGAGTGTCTTTTTTTTTTATTGGCGTGGAGGCATTTTGAGAGAGCGTTTATTTTTTGCGAGCCAGTTCCTGATGGACAACCCTTCATGCCGTCCTAAGGCGCGGCTGTTTTTCTCTGATAAGGGCGACCCGACATTTTACTTTGTATTAAGCATTATGACCCGTCTATCAGGTCATGTCATTTCCCACGCACTCGGCCTATCGCTAGGCTTGATGAGTTTTCCCCTTGACGCCGTTGGCCTTCCTACCCTGTTGTAATTAGGATCAGACCTCTTAGAAGACTAAAAGCAACTCACTATTTGTGATTAATCATGACACTATTGATGAGGGCTGCTATGATTCGTCTTTACTCTGCTAATCTGTATGTATATGCTCTGAACAGCAGGTCTCCAGGATGTCACTCCTGGAAATTTATCTTTGCCTTCCAATACCAGAACCGTCTTCAGGATCGAGTTCATTCCTGAATATTCGACGGTTGGAAAGAGGTAAAAATTTGGCTACCACCTTACCCTTGACTAGAGCTAGAGGCACAGGTCCAAAAATCCGTGAGTCTCGGGAAGCGTCCAAATTGTCGCCAACAAGCCAGCAATGACCTTGAGGAACCTTTTATGACGTCAACACATAATGCTGTATTGCACACCTTCTCTTGAGGCAGCTTTACCTGAATCATTTGATGCGAGTGGGCATCCGGGCTGCCAACCAGTACGTAGTCTCCAGGCATGCCCAGAACGCGTTTGACACCTTCACTATGTCTGAAGATGGGAATTCGATAGTTGACTAAGTCACCTACGACAATATTGCGGCCAAAACGATATCGTCTGTCTATGATGATATGGTCCCCCTGAATATCGAAAGTCGGAAGCATAGACGCGCCAGAGGCAGGGCCCCAGTTGAAGCAATAGTTGGTAAAAACATGTGCGGCGGCAATTGCTTTTCCGACGGTTATAACATAGCGTAGAGGACGGCCTATCATTGTGAAGGTGACATTTGAAGTTGAAGGGAGACGTGTGTTTGGGTGAGGCTCATTTCAAGACTCAAGAAATGATGAATGAGACCAAGCGCGGATCTGGCGGAGTGTGGAGTTGGAGCTTGGACCACAATGAAAGCTCGGTAGACGGCGTGGTGTGATTGGCGGGAGAGCTACGTCTCAGTCCCATCTAGCCTTCTCTGTTGCTTGTCTCTGTTCCTCACTTGTCCAACTAACAACACCAACACAATCGACAAGCAAACAACAAACGGAACGGTTCGGCCTATGACTCCGTCACCACCCTGAAACACTTGAAACCTTATAAGCTGAGGGCTGCAATAATGAGGGTCACACGATGCCTGTTCAACAGCAGGACGGCGCTGCATAGGGTCTTCGTCTCGCCCTATGAAAAGGTGGAGGTGCTGTCACGACGAAGCGCTCTTTCGATATGTTCCGCTAGAGTCCTCCCACCCGTCCTTGCACCGATACCTAATCTTACACGCCACGCATCTCTTGTAAGCCGATTCAAGAAGCGCAACGTAAGCCCAGCCGCCTCAAATCAAAAGAAAGGGCCCCCTGCGGACGAGGAAATTCGCGACCGCATGATCATGGTCGTCGACGAGAACAACAAGCTGGAGGGTCCCTATGAGACAAAGAAAGTTCTTGCATCGCTAGATCCCGAAGCGCAATCGTTACGTATGGTTTCTCGCCCACCTCCTAACCCTACCGAGGACCAACCCCGGTTCGCCATTTGCAAGATCATCAACAAGCGCGAGGAAAAGGCAAAGGAACGTGCGTTAGAGAAGGTCAAGAAAGAGGCTGCGCGGAAGCTTTCGAAGGTCAAGGAGCTCGAGCTCAATTGGGCGATTGCGCCGCATGATCTAAGCCATAAGATGAAGCAGATGAAGACCTTCTTGGAGAAGGGCTATAAGGTCGAGGTTCTCTTCGCCAAAAAGAAGGGTAGCCGTATTGCTACAAGGGACGAAGCTGAAGCGCTTGTCCAGTCTGTTAGGGAGTCTATGGCTGAGATCCAAGGGGCCAAGGAGTGGAAGGAACCGGACGGTGCGCCCCTCAAGGTTATGAAGCTGTACTTGAATGCGCCTTCAAACGCATCCTAGCCTCCGTAACCTGTTGATATCCTACGCGAATCACAAATGAGGGGAATTACTAGGGTTTTGCATCTAGGCTGTGCTTAGTTTGCCTGTAATAAGTATGTACTTTTTAAAAAAAAAGGAGAAGTTAGACGCATGTTGTACGCTTTTTTTTCAATGCGTAGAACAATATTGATGGATAATAAAAGCCTGGTTGGGAATTCTCACAGTCTCGTCATCGTCGCCTGGTAACTACAGAGGCGTACAGAGATCCAATGTGTCGCACATGAAGCTGAAAAATGTGGAGGATTCCTATGCCTAGAAAGACCTTAGTATTCGGCCTCGCTTTGGAGAAAATCCTCTTGTCTCATTGTGCGAAGAGAAACCCGAATTTCTTTACCTTTATTCAACAAGATGCATCCAGAGGAGCAGATGGTTGCAGCAGCCGTTAGGTGATTGGCGCCACGGCTGGGACGTTATTCCCCGCACGATGCACTAGCGCGGGGCACCCAAGTCGCATCCCGCCTTTCACCCCTGTGAGTCAAACTTCCAAAACTTCTTCCGATCAGATAACCTCCGGTGACCAGTCCCGCCTCCCCAAATCGGTTTACCTAGCCTGCAGAAGTTGGAACTTTTCCAGAAAGGCCACACGTTTTGAGCGAGCCGTGCGCGATTCCTGACCAACAAAATTTTCGTCGACCGGACAGAAGGACAGCACTAGGGCACAATGGCAACCGAGACACCAAACACCGTCGCGACGCCGCCTGCCGCCGAGGACAAGAAGGCCCAACAACCCCAAAAGAAGGACGATGCGTCCAAGAAGGATGCCCCGGCCGAGGGAGGAGAGAAGAAGCTGTCTGGCGCTGAACTGAAAGCCAAGGCTAAGGCAGAGAAGGCGGCGAGGAGGGCAAAGGCCAAGGAGACACAGGTGGCACCGCCAGCGGGCCAGGGAGCCCAGCAGGGCGGCAGCGGCGATGCTAAAGGAGGAAAGTCGAAACAGAGACAGGAAGGTCCTCAAGGTGTTGGTGGTTCCGGAGCCAAGGGTGGTCCGGTGGGCAAGACCGTGCCAGCTGCACCGAAGGAGAACAAGCCGAAGGTCCCTGAATGCTTCAGCCACCTGTCTATGGCTAAGAGGATACACATGACGGAAGCCGACAAGGACGTCCACCCGGCGGTTCTGGCACTGGGCCAGCAAATGAGCGCGTTCGCTATTAGCGATAGCACCACAAGATTGGAGGCTACTCTGCTTGCGTTTAAGAAGGTTGGTAACTGGCACGCGCCGAACGAAATATGGAAGACTTTAACACATTGCAGGTCATCGACTCGTACACGACACCGCCGGGCAACACGTTCTCCCGCCACTTCACATCACACGTTCTGAACCCGCAAATTGAATATCTCTCGGCTTGTCGGCCCATGTGCTTCTCCATGGGTAATGCTGTGCGGTGGCTTAAGCTCCAAGTCAGCAAGATTGACATCGACCTTCCTGACTTTGACGCAAAGAAGCTCCTCTGTGAGTCTGTCGACAACTTTATCAGAGAGCGAATCACGCTGGCCGACTTCGTCATCGTCAAGACGGCCGCCGACAGCATCGAGGATGGCGAGGTTGTTCTGACCTATGCCTATCACCCGCTTGTTGAGCGCGCCCTCCACCAGGCCCACGCCGACGGCAAGAATTTCTCCGTAACAGTTGTCGACGACCCATTCGAGAGCACGGGACGCGAACTTGCGAAGAGTCTGCGGGCCCTTCCCAGAGGCGGCGTTGAGGTCTCATACTGCCCCGACCTGAGCGCCATGCGCGCACACTTGCACGAGACATCGCGTGTGTTGGTCGGTGCCGAGGCCATGTTTAGCAATGGTGCCATGTACGCCAGAGCTGGCACGAGCGATATCGCCATCGCAGCTGCGGATCAGGGTATTCGTGTTGTTGCTCTGTCGGAGACGATCAACTTCACCGAGAGAGTTGCAATGGACTCGCTCACGTACAACGAGATTGACCCAGAGCAGATGACGGAGGAGAGTTTCAGGCTGCTGTTCGACACGACTCGGGACCGACACATTTCCGTCGTCATTACGGAACTCGGCATCACATCACCTGTATCTGTGCCGGCGATTCTGAGAAAGTTAGAGGAGTTGTAAAAAGTAAATGAAAACATGTCTGAGACGGGGCCATGATGTAGATGCCCTTGAGGAGGGGACAGCTCTGGGCGCTTTTGTCCTTGGTTTTTTCTCCCATAGATAGATACCAATCATGCAGACTCAGAAAGAGACGCATCATAGATCCTTAGCTCTGCAGAAACGCACGACAATTACCAAGACCATGAAGATGCTTTTCACAGAAGTTGTACTAATGACTTTCACGGCGTCAATTAAACCTCTTTCAACGCAATATGTACAAAAGGGAACCCGCTCTTCCGCAGAGTCTCCCATATGGCGTCACGACCATTTCCCGTAGGTGCTGCGCAGTTCCGAGCCTTCTCAGGAGGTGGATGCCGGGTGCAATCGATCCCAACCCGTCTTCGCGATTCGGCTTTTATTGTCCTCCCTTGGCTTCTATCCCGGAATTCCTTCTCTCGACAAAGGCGAGCGAAACGTTTCTTTCTTGTTGTGTTGTTTATCTCTTTTTTTTACAATCCATCGTCGTCGAAAGAATTCGTCGTCTATTGCTCGGCCTCCTCCGTCTTGCGCGCCGCCGCCCTCGCGCGCTTCTCAAGAAGGATCGACTTGCGCTCCTTGAGGAAGGCCGACTGACGGTCGTCAACGCCCTGGAGCCAGTAGCCGAAGCTGCCACCGCCGAGCATATACACAGGGTAGGCCCAGAGGGACTCCTTGTTGAAGAACGGGCGCATCTCAATGCCCATCTGCCAGAAGCGAACGGCGAAGCCTGTAGTGGTCTGCCGTCAGCAAAGCTCCCCCAAAATCTCGTGCTGTCATGGCGTAGAAGGTCGTCACAAGGCTTGGAAAGCCTCAATGGCTCATCGATTCGATCGGGATACGATTGAGCAAAGGGGAAGGCCATTACGCACCGAAGCCGCTCCAGAAGAGGATTCTGCCGACCATTGTCGGGAAAGGTGTGCACTGAAGATTCGGGAAAGGGTTCGAAAGGCGTCAATTGACAGAGTGGTCGGTTCCGCCGATCGTAGTATCTCGTTTTTGGTGGAGCGTCGGGTCGTCAATTGACGGAAGAGGTGGTGATTGAAGCTTGGATGGAGAGGTGTGTGGTCCGCGTCCCCCCGGGCTGCCGGGCGCGGAATAATTGCAAATCGAGTTTTTCCGATTCGATCGTTGGTGGGTGGTGCTGTGCCGGGGTCTACAGTGCTCTGAGCACCCTAAGAAATCGTCAGAGGGCGTGTGCTTGGAAACCCTCAAAGATTCCCTAGAGCTGGACAAGAGCGCTCATTATACAAACTATCTTTTCTGACCAGGTTAAAACTCTCAATTATCCTCTGAATCTGTGGTTGAAGATAAAAGCAAGCCATTAATTCTCTGCGTTGCTGGTGTGCCGATTCGCTCAATGGTCCCGCCCCCCTTCGTGTGGATCTCAACTTACCGTTAAACTGTTTGGAGTTCTCAATGATAACTGATATGCTGTAGTGGCCAACATGATGCCCTCTCATGAGAACGAAAGGCTAAGCATGGCTTCGAGTTCAATTCTCGGTTTCGGAGCTTGTACTTTTGCCGCTTTAACTTCGGGTCTTTCTCTAACACAGCAAGTGCTGGCACGTTCGTTAAGCTCTCGTCCCTCTGTATATCTATGTATGGGTTCAATTGTCTTAAATATTACTAGTATGTGCCATGTCAGTTTACACAAGAAAAACGTATACGATGAACATGTTACAATGCCACGGGTATCATTATTATCCAATACACGAGCGCGAGTACCGCTTTCGAGACGGCCATCGCCCGTACAAATGCAAAGTCTATCAGTACTTTACAACGCACCACCAACAGCCTGGGCAATCCACATGGCTATTCTTACATTGAGCCCAACTCTACGCTCTGGCTTAGAGAAATCCTCACGAGTAACAGGCTCGGCATAGTCCTGGAGCCACTGCTGCTCCTCGCCCAAGCGCTTCTTGAGGTCCTCGTCCTTGGTAAGGATCATGGCCCCAGCCTCAAGATCGTGAGAATAGCTGCGTTTCGTGTAGTTGGAGCTGCCTACAACACTGATTGAGGGATTTTGCTCTCCTGGAAGAGTGATCCAGAGGCCCTTGGCGTGATAAGTCCAGCCGTCTGGTTCACCAACTGTACCCTTGCGCCACTCCTTGAGCACAATAGAACCATCCAGCTTGCGTTCATGCACAGCACGAACAAACCGGCGGGCGAGGAGCGTATAAGCGCCAGGCAGAAGACCAGATACACCTGGAGATTGGTAAAAACCGTTAGCTTGCTGAGAGGCGGTAATCACAACGTTGTTCTGTGATGCAGTAGAGAGCAAGAGCTTTGTCAATGATGGCGCCGGGTTGAAGTAGCCTGCCGTGAACGTCCATGATGAGCCGGCGTACTCAGGTTGAGCAAGGGTTGATAGCACGTGAGTGACGGCAGGCAGCTCGGTAGAAGTATCCGGCTTCATAAGCTGTGACAACTGAGCGAGCATATACACTTTCGTGTCCTTGCTTGCGTCTTGCACCGCAGGCTGTTTCGGTGAGATGAGAGTATCCAGGGCTCGGGTGGTTGTACTGATGAACTGCTTCGGCTCTTCCAGGGGCGAGGGTGCAGGGTTGGATTTGGGCCAGGTGAGAGCGAATCCAGCAGGTTCTTTAGATGGTTCTACGAGAAAGCTGAAGGAAGAGACCCCTCGGTAGATGTTCCAAAAGTACTCGGTGACCTCCTTTGAGGAAAAGATATGGTAGCGATCCTGGCGGTTTGTAAAATAATCATTGGACAGATTTGCTCTATACGCCCGTTAGCGTTAATCCGCATTTGAGGGTCCAAGTCATACCCAGAGAGAATAATCTCATCGTCAATGCCATATAGCTTCATGTGCTGCAGGCCCCATCCTTCATTAATGCGCTTGGGGATGTACTTCTTCCTCACTCCGGTCAAGTTAGGTGTGTGGTACATCCGGATCTCAACTCTATCTGGGCCGAACTCCGATACCAGAGGCGCAAGGAGAGAAGCGCAGGACGGGTTTGGCTCTTCTCTGGTACCTCGCAGCGCATCCGTGAGGATGCTCAATTTAAGCTCGGGGTTGTTTCGCAGGGCTTCGTGCAACGTAGCGATCTGGACTCTATCAGCTGGTCGCCTTAGCCAACATGCAATCAGGCCATCTCACCAGCTCTTTCTCCGTCTTTCCGATATACAAAGTTGACAAGAAGATTCTTTCCTTCGCGTTGCGTATCCGGTCCTGCACCCGGATTAGTCTTCTCCAAACTAGACACCCTTCGTTACAACGAGTACCTTTAGCGTTTCGTAGAAATCGGCTGGTGTCTTTATGATTCTGATCTGAGAGCCATTAATGCTAAAGGATGGCGCAATCTTATCCAACTCGCTTGCAAACGGCGCGAGCATACCAGCTGCGCTACCGGAACTCGAGGCCGTTGGTGCACCGGCGGCGGGCATCGCGAATCGTCGACATTGCGGTCGGGTCCGGCTGACGTTCGTTTGGGCAAAGGGAACCTTGAGCTTCGAAGAGCACCGCGATACGCCGCGCACAATCATGGCGTATCAATTGGCCGAGGAGAACCCGCCTTTGTCTGGTATCTGGAACTACTCTCTCAAGAATAAATCTATCCTAAGAAATCGAGCTTCGACATTCTAGAAACCAGGGTTCCTGCATGAAGCTCCGTCATTGGCCGCGGGATTTGCCGGGAGCGGCCAGGGAGTTCATAACCAATCGGCTTCTTGGTTATGTAATCTGGAGCTCCACTGGGTACATTCATCGTTCAACCTTCCCAAACGTCAAGTCGTCAATCATCGTCGTCGACAGCACAGTTTCTCGAGGTCAATTGACCAGCCGCCACCATGTCGACCCTCCCGAGAACGATCAGCAACCTGCGTAAGGTTGGAATTAAGGTATGCATCTACGTCTTCAGTCGCTGCCTATGCCGGTGCTAACTTTCTGTACAGAACTACTTCCGCCAGCTTTTGGTACTTTGCCCCCGAATTCCGAACGCCAAAAGACCCCTCTAACACTTCGAATTAGTACATTGGTGATACCAAGTACGGTCGCTTCGTTGGCGAGGATAAGGCCGGCAACAAGTTCTACGAGAACAACGACGAACTTCCCCGTATGGACACCCCAGCAGTCGCACTGCAAGACCGAAATATGGACAAAGGCTGACGAAGGAACTGATAGTGCGCACGCGATGGGTGGACTTTAAGAAGCACGACTATGACTCTGCTCAGGTTGAGCCTGGCTGGCACGCGTGGCAGGCATTCATGGTCGACAAGCCCCCCACCGAGGATGCCCTCCTCCAGACCAAGACGCGCAAGTGGGAGCGCACGGAGGTTCTTCCCAATTTGACGGCTACCAGGGGAGCGTTCAAGACTTACAACACGTAAGTGATAGCCATCCCGTAACAAGAGTAGTAGATTGGATGCTAATAATGGGCGTACAGGACGAAGCCAAAGATCTACAGCTGGGAGCCCAAGGCTGTTGAGAGGCAATGAGCGCTGAAAGGGTGGGATGATTGTATATATGCCAATATCGCTCGACACAATTCCAGGGTTTTTACTTTGTTATAACGTCAATCTGTGTTACTTTGCTCGAGCCCGCATTCGGTTAGATGCAGGCTTGGTGAGGCTTGTCTGTGTCAACTCCTCTCGGTCTGTTCTAGCTGTTGCTAAGGATATAAGCTTTTCGTACAAGACAGATACGATGGTTGATCATGCTGAGATAACGAGGCGTATTGAAAGCAGTGCCTTTGATATTAGCTGATTGGACTCGGGTGCCATTGGGGATCACCTGGGGTGTTAGTTAAGCCGGTTCATTTGCTTTGATTTGAATTACGGAACAACGCCCTTTTACCTACGATCTGAAGGCCCGGTCACCTTTCAACGGAGCCTTACTGATCAAAATCATTTGCTGTGAGGACTTTTTCTGCCTTTGAACTACCAGTCTCGACCCTTCTCGATTACCTTACCTATTACCCCCTCTGGCGTGTCGCATTTCTATCACATACCTAAATTGGGTCCCGAACAGCGGGGAGTGAAGTAACTCTGTGGGAGAAGAACAAAGCCGAGCACGGCAAACATCTACATCAAGCAGGCTGAGTCGCATCAATTGTAAAGTATGCCAGGCCATTGCTGCCTTAACGTGTTTGAGAAAAGTTTGCCTTTTGGGTGAGGTTTCACGGTACGAGGCGAGGCTTTTGGTTAACACCCTTCTTACAACGCGCGAGCAGTGTGCGGGTAAGACTGGATAACACCTGGGGTCAAGGGTCCAAGGGCAACATTCTCATCAACGACGTATTTTTGCCCTCGATAGCTAGGATACCTCACTCATCCAAGAAAGGGGAGGGGGTATTAGGGCGGTCTGTTCATTTGTTTCACAAGTAACGCATTTGTAATGCAACTATTGACTTTTGCTACTCTGACAATCACGCTCTAATGAGGATACTTAGGTGACATTCCTACCCGAAGACGTTCCTGGGTTGGCTAGCTCTCTGTATGTTTGATATATGATTAAGGACACTTGCTATGACTATTTGTTTAGGTAACTCCATATGCAGGTCTTTTACAAGCTTAGTGCTTCCACTAGTATGTTGGTCTAGGACCCTATTCCGCTGCTAGATAGCTGCCTTTATTCTGGCTTTCTTCCATAGATAGCATAACTTTGTATTGTTAGTTGAGCACCGTAAGAAAGAAAATGAAGACGGCGGAGAATGAAACGCCACCGGAAGGCAACTTACATAGGCATGTAGGCGTGGATACTTGTGTCCTTTAGTTCCTTGCGAAGGTCAACGAGGAGGACCTGAACTTCTTCCTTCTTCCAACCGAGTGCGCGGGTGAATCCAGCCATGAACCAGCCCTCAATACCATCGAGGTTATTCTGAAGCGACCATGCACCGATGAGCTTGTGCGTCGGGTCCTTGGGCCACTGGTTCATCGGCCATTTGTACTTGGTCACAACAATGTCGACAAACCCAATTTCATTCATGATGTCGACGAGTTCTGGGATCTCCTGGAATGGTCGTCCTAGTTTTGCAAGTGCTTCATTGAAGAGCTTTCCGCTTGTAACGATCACCGAGTCCTCCTTGAGCGTATCGTCATCTGCTCGAAGTCCAGATCCAGATTCGAACAACTCAAAATACCCACCAGGCGTGAGATTGCTGCGATGTATCATTAATTAATACATTCAGGCAGAGAATATTACAGGACCTACTTGAAGCACTTCTGGAGGTAAGGTTTCCACTGCGAAATACTTGATGTCATCAGGCGACTGTGTATGTAGTCGAACGGTTGGCTGTAGGTCCAAGGCTCCTCGATGTCATCGACCTCAAAAACCACATTGGGAGGAACTCTGGGAATAGATAGTCAGCCACGGAGTGGTATGGTTCACGGAACAAGCCTATCGCTTACGCTGCCGTCGGAGGAGTTAGATCAACGCCAATAACCTGCAAAATCAGTACATGGTTTCTTATTCAATTATGTGACGGTGTTGCGACATACCTCTGCATCAGGATGTGTTTCCCCAAACTCTATAGCCCAAAGTCCGGTTCCTGTACCCAAATCTAGAACACGCTTCACTTTGGAGTCTTCCTCATTCGGAGGTGCTAGGCCAAGCTTGTGATCTAAAGTGATGAGACACAGTTCATGTTGAAGGTCTTGATTGAAGTGTTAGCCCAAAGAGTTGTGAGCTACTTTGGAAATGGACTATGACAGAGTCTAGCCTTACCGAGTCTGTCATTCTCCCTCTCATCATTGGGATACTGGTATTCTGTTTCCGTCAGTACTTCTCATTAAGGAGATGCTGAACGAGCTTCCTTACTGCCCTCCTTGTACCGATGGTATGTTCGACCATTCTCAAGACGATGATTGTAGATCGAGCTGGAGAGGCTGGTCATTGACGACACGACACTCTGCCGAAGGGTTCAGCTTGAATTTTTTTCTTTTGGCATGCCAATATCATGCCACATGAAATGGTTTGGACTCACGCTCCCAATGTCCGTTGCGGAATCATCAGTGGCCTATGGTACTGGTTAGACAGGTTGGCTGCCACAAACACCCATGTTCATGTTGACTCGTGACAAATCCAACGTACTTGCTCATCGTCTACGACAAGGTGGGTTCCCTCGACATTCTGAACGTCAGGCACTGCATTCGGGGGAGCAGCCGGCGTGTTAACAGCGGCGGACATTTTGAACTGTTGCGGTTATGCCTTCGCTTTACTCAAATGGTCTCAAGTTTAATGACAGCTCCGAGCTCGACAGAAATGTGACCATTACGCTCTCTATTTATCTGGTCGGAATGGGAAATCGCCTACCCCTCTTCTTGGCTGAAGACAGTTATGCATGTTGGTGCCAAACAAACAATCTGCAGCAACATGCAAACAATAAGTTGCAGCTTCCAAAGAGGAATGCAGTGCCCGGCGCGTATTTGAGCGGAAAAGGGCCATGATACGAGAAAACCACCGGTGAAAAGGCTTGCATCGGTTCCATTGGTTAGATGCGTTCAGATGAACTTAGCCGAGACCGGGGAAGTGCTCCGTTGCATGGGGTGGTCGAAAGTGTTGTTGGTTCATTATCCCCTCTGAGTTTCTTTAACTCGGCCCTAATAGACGTAGTCATACCACTTGAAGATAGCCAGTCTCTATGTCAATGTTTCTGGTTTACTACGTTGATCATCTCCATATTGAGGCATCGAGCGGACGGTGGGAACTGTCAAATGGCTGGTATAATTGTATTTCCAGATGGTGTGTTTCCCTCTGTAGTAGCCAGCCAACAGCCCAAGCATGGGTGGCCACCTGGATCTTAATGACTGCTTGGGCGTAATGCAGGGGCCTGTAAGAACATCATACATAATTGGAAGGAGCTCATTGATTCGTAAAATGCAACCTACAGCAAACATTCACAGTGGTGGGTACTCTTCGGGGAGACGGAGGTTAAATCTCTCCAGCTTTTCCAGCAAAAGGTTAGTGGTATGGGATGAGCCCTGGGAAGTGAAACCACTGATATTTCTTTTCTGCCATCGCGTTATCTTGCTCTGCAAATTTAGGTCCTTAGACATCAAACAAATGAGAAGCAAACCGGGCCATTGTCCGAAACACCTAAATCTTTCAACGCAGACGCACTGTGCTGGGAATTGACAACACCTTCAAGCATTGCACGTTTAACAGGGGCGAGGTGTCAACGGTTTTCTTTTTTCTTATTGCTCAGACTTGGTCTTCTCGCTAGCCACCTCAGCGAAACCCTTCTCCTGAAGCGTTAGTGAGTTGACATCCGGCACCAGTGGCGTCTCGACCACTTCCTCCGTCATTCCCTTTGCCTCATCTGCAACTGCCGCGCCAACAGCCTCGGGACTGGTCTCGCAAAAGTTCTCCCACGCAGGCGGGTTTATCCTGGTAGGATTCGCCTCGCCTTTGAAATGGTAACCGCGTGCTCTCGGCCTCGTTCCCGTGCCTTGAGGCAGCTCCGACTCATACACCGCGACAAATTGGTTCGATAACTCCTCAAACTTGTCCGCGCCTGTCTGTAGGGCCGATCGGATGCCGGCGAAGAAGTCTGTCATGACCTGATGGTTGTGAATCTGCAGTAAAGTCCAGCCGAGCATCTCCTTCGCGTTCAGGAGATGGTGGACAAAGGCCCGGTGATGGGTTGTGCAAGCGTAGCATTGGCAGCCCTCCGCCAGGGGCTTGATGGCGGTCTCGTGGTCGGGGAGCCACATGTCGACGCCTAGGGGCTGGATGTCGCCGTCTTTCGGTGGGAATGTAAATGTCAGCGCCACGCCGGCATCTGATATGTTGTTGAGGAAAGGGACTGTGCAAACGTCTACTCCAAGAGATACCTGGCGGAGAATAGCTTGCGGGGTTTCCGGTATATGCATGGATAGACGGGGCAGAGGGACCAGAGGTTTGTAATTCTCCTCGATATCGGGCAACAAGTCCACGTCGTAGATTGCCAGTCCTGAGAGAGATTCGATGATGTCATTGGCAAGATGGCTGAGATGTTCCCACTGGATTGGGTATGGCACTGCCAGAACAGGAGCAAAGACTGACACTCCGGCCTCCTTGAGGGCTTCCTGTCTCTTGGGGCTTAGGAAGCCGTCAGTCCACTCCTCGGTCCTCTCAGCCATGCGGACGAGCTTCTTCGAGGGCGGCATCATGCTAGTGTGGAACAGGTCGGCAGGACCGATGGCGATATCGGGTCTCAGCGCTTCGACGGCAGAGGAGTACTCATCCGTAGTGAGGTTCCGGAAGCCAGTCGAGGTGAAGATGGCGATAAACTTAGCACCATTCCCGACAGGGGTCTTTATGGCTGGGTTTCTTCTAGGGGCGAGAACTGTTGCGATGTTATCCGGTAAACAAGTGAAGGCGTGAAGCGGTCTCTTGTCTGATGATGGCACTGAAAGTACCGCGGGGTTCTTCTTTTCGACGACTTTTTGTTCAGTCAGTTTCGCGTGCACATCAGAAAGCCAGGTATTGTAGACTTACAATCCTCAAGAGCCATATAAGCTGCGCCAAAAGAAGTGTATTTCGTCAAGTTGTCTGGTGTGATGTGAGGGATGACACCTCGTGACCCCGTGGCCATGTAATTCGGGGTCTCGAAAGGTTTCCGCTTGGGGAGAGATAGCCTTCCCAGGCGGGCTGCTGCCACGCCATCGGCAGATTTTTTGATAATCTCGAATATCATACCGTCCTGAGTGCTCGCCCCGTTGGTCGTTCCAGCATCAGTCATCTTGGCACATCACCAACTCTCCTTAGCTTGTGAGTCAATCCTGAGTGCCTTATAGCACCTGGTCTGGCAGACCTATGTAAGGGCCTTACAGAGCCTATTTGCCGAATTCGAGTAGGCCTTCGTAAATTAACCCTCCAGCGATTAGGTCCTCCGATTTATCGCCAGTATCCGTGGTTTCACTGAATCATTAGCTGAGATGTTTCTAGCGCAAACGCCAGTGAAAACAGAAACGGCAGCCACACACCAGCTTCAAGCCACACATGGTGTCAAGGGTGAGGCTAGGTGGCTGTGGCTTAGCTTCCTTGATGCTGTGGGCTTCGGAGGCGGCGGCGGCGGGGCCCCGATGGGGGGGAAAGGCTCGGGGCGGATCCGGGCGAAGAGCTGCTGCAGGGGCAAGGGAAGTGCAACGGCAAAGCTTCAACCAATCATGGCGTTATGCAGGGAGAAAGTAATTGACTCACGCCTAAGGGCGGATTTAATGTCTGCTTAGGATGAACTGGGTCTAGTTTCCCTGCTGCTTTAAATCCCTTTGGCATATTCATCGGTGTTCAGACCATAGCCGCTTAGACGGCTCGGATGCCATGAACGCCTTGACGTTTGACTGACGTATCCTGGCATGAATGGTGCGTCCGAACATCAAACTCAATAATGCTTAAACCTCAAGGTTTTTATTCTATTATCTAATTCATCGGATTTACTCTAGCTATGCTTCCGTCTAAGAGCAGATAAGTGGGCATCCACACAATATCCCTAGATGCTTAAAACCAATCTGCAAGATATACATGCCATGTATTCCATCGCATTCCCCATCGTAAATTTTGCATAATTGAAATTCATTAAATGGGCTCGTCCCGTGGTTCAATAAGAACCTCGTTGACAGCCACATGCTCCGGTTGGCAGACGGCGTACACAATCGAGGAAGCAACATCCTCGGCGTCCAGAACCTTGGCTCCCGAAGGCTCGCCATACTTCTTAAGGGCCTCGGCGTCTGTGGACATGCTCAGAAGATCGGTGGCAACATTGCCAGGTTGGATTGCCGTGACGCGAAGACCAGTTCCTGCCGTCTCCAAGCGCAAGCTCTGCAATGTCGCCTCGACGAAGAACTTACTGGCAGAGTACACGCCCAAGCCGGGGAAAACCTTGCGACCGGCATCGGATGAGATAGCTACGATGTGGCCCTTTCCACGGCCGAGCATGCCGGGAACAGTAGAGGAAAGACAATGCAAGAGACCCTTGCAGTTGACATCGACCGTACGCTCCCACTCCTCAGTATGGTTGTTGGCCATCATGGTGAAATACATGACACCAGCACAGCTGACAAGAATGTCGACCGGTCCAAGCTTCTCAGTAGCTGTTTGCATGAGTGACTCAACGTCCTCCTTCTTAGTGACATCGGTTTTGTGAATGAGGACTTTGCCTCCTGTGCCTGCGAGCTTGGCCTTGACGCCCTCCAAAGCCTCCGTACGTCTGGCTGCGAGGGCAACATGGGCACCTTCCTTAGCGAGACCAGCAGCAACAGCTGCTCCAATACCCGATGAGGCACCAGTGACAACAGCAACTTTACCGGCCAGGCGGCCCTTGTTGACGCGGGACGTTGCGCCATTGACGTTGGCCCGACGCGGCGGTCGCGAAAGCCAGCCTCTGGCGTAGAAGTGGCGCGTGTATGTCTCGAGCAAGTGTGTATCAATCTTGGGGCGATCCAGCCTGTACTTTGCAAGAACGGGTGCTGTGGCATCGTCCTTTAGGACAGTGACGGCCTGCAGCGTCTCTGCGGTAGGCATACCGCCACGGAGAATGTCAACAGTGAAGGGCACGTCACCAGCCGTGCCGAATCCTCTCTTCTTCGTCCAGAGCTCAACCCAATCATCCCAAGGGATCTTGGTCGTCGAGTATCCAAGCTCGGTCAAACTGTCAAAGATATAGCTGGCGGAAATCGGGTTGGGGTCGCCAAGGTGGTACACCAGCTGGTTCGGGTCGTGATGGTTCGCCAGCGTCGTAATAGCCGCGCTCACAAAGTCAACGGGCGTCATCTCTGCGAACCAGTTGTCAATAGCCGGCGCCGTCTTAAGCTGCAGAGACTCCACAATCAAGGCGTTGAGAAGATCCCAGGCGTTGGTTGAACCAGTCTTGCTGTGACCACTGATAGTACCCGGACGGTAGACCTTGCACGGCATACCACGTCGAGCGGCCTCGTAAACGAGTTTCTCGGCCACCCACTTCGTTTGTCCATATCCGTCAATCAGCTTTTCAGGGACGTCATCAATGTCAACCATGGCATCTTCTGTCCATCCTGCCACAGACGGGGTCAGAACACCGTTGGTAGACACGTGGTGAAGCGTGGCGCCGCTCTTTGACGCCATGCGCAGAATCTCTCTAGTGCCTCCAACGTTGGGGCTTCTCAGCGCCGCGTAGGGGTACACCAGGTTGACAGTTGCAGCGGCGTGGATAATGACTTCAATCCGAGACACAACCTCGTCATAGGTCTCAGGGGAAAGACCAAGATGCTCTCGGGACAGGTTTCCAGGCAGGATCTCCATTCTATCAAGCATAGAGTCGTCCCAGATACCGAGATCAATAAGATTCTTTCGGATTCTCGCCATGCCTGCGGGTGCAGATTCTTCCGTCGGGTCTGTGAAGCGGACGAGGCAGATGATATGTGCTGCGGTGGTCTCAACAAGCTGCTTGAGGAGGAAAGCTCCGAGGTAACCAGTTGCACCAGTGAGGAGTACAGTGTCAGCATCGTTCAGTTTGCGCATAGGAGTGCCGTTGGACTTGATATCTTCAGGGAGAATGCAATCTGCCCGAAGAACGGCAGGAAGGTCGGCTTGAACCGCAGCAGTGTGTCCATCGCGAGCATCCCGAATGGCCTTCAGGTGACCTTCCAGAGTCGGAGAGCCAGCAAGCGGGGCTAGCGGAACCGGAAATCCAAACTCTTTCGTGAATCGGTTTGCGAGATCCGCGAGGACTAGAGAGTGGCCGCCGATATCAAAGAAGTCATGCTCCTCTGTGATAGCACTGACGGGCATGTTGAGGGAAGCTGCCCAAAGCTTCTTGACAGTCTCAAGCTTGACCTTGGTGTTCTGCTCCTTCTCGCCGTTGATCGCAGCCTTGGGAGTAGGGGGAGGGGGCAGAGCTTTGAGGTCGACCTTACCAGAAACTCCATGCGTAGGGAGTTCCTCCAGTTCAACCCAGAACGTTGGGATCATGTAAAGGGCCAAATGCTCCGAAAGGACACGCCTAGCCGCAGGGCTGTATCCAGACTCATCGATAACAATGTCGGCCCGGTCCCTCTTGTCTTCGTTGTCGCGCACAACATAGGCTACCAGCTGTCTCTCAAGACCGTCCCCGTGAGATGTGACTGCACAATCGCGCACGGCCAAGTGCTTAACAACGGCGTTCTCAACCGCACCAGGTTGGACAGTGTAACCGCGGGTCTTGATCATACCACCCGCTCTGCCAGTAATCTCCAACAATCCATTGGGAAGCACACGTGCGAGATCCCCTGTCCGGTACATGCGGGCTCCTTCTTTTTTGTCGAAGGGATCCGGGTGGAAGGCCTTGGCCGTTGTCTCGGGCAAGTTAAGGTATCCGCGCGCAAGGAGATCGCCACCAACGTAAAGCTCACCACTAACGTTGTTACCGACTCTGTTGCCATCTTCATCCATGATGTAAATATGCTCCGGGTCCATTGGGGGCCCCACAGGACAGACGCGGGCCTCAAAGTCAATGAAGGTACCGATATCGCCAGCAGCAATTTCGTGAGTCTCACTGGCACTGTACACATTGAGCAGTCTAGTGTTGGGCAGTGCCTTCATAGCCCTGCGGCAGAGATCAGTGGTGACAACTTCGCCATTGAGCCAGAGAGACCGCAACTCGGTCAGTCGGTTGCCCAAGTGTGGGTGACGTGACAAGACAGTTGCCAACAATGTAGGTGTCATCAGAGTGTCTGTGATGCGTCGAGATTCAAGCAGGCTTACAAGAGCCGTTGGGTCGTAGCTGGCACAATCTGGAATGGCGAAAACAGTGGCGCCACGCAAAAGGGGCCGAAGCATCTCCCAGACAAAGAATACATTGCAGGCCACTCGGTCGCCTGGTTGAAGGTCGCTGAGACCAAATCTGAGGTCATATGAGAGCACTGCTGCTCTGTGAGGGTTGGCGATGCCCTTTGGCTGGCCTGTCGTGCCAGACGAGTATGATACAAAAGCGAGGCGCTCAAGGTCATCGCTGGCGGGCAACGGAGGGAGTTCCGAGTCAGCATGTCCATTGACTGTTGACTTGGTGGGCTCATCATAAACGATGATGGGCACATCGGCCTTGATGTGGTCGACGTGTGCTTTTTGGGTGATGACTACAGTGGGCTTTGCATCCTGGATGACGTCGCGCAGAAGCCCAGAGGGGTATGCAAGCTCAAGCACCAAGAAGGCTCCGCCTGCGCGGAGAGCAGCCAACGAAGCAACGACGTAGTCGGCGCTCCGGTTCATGAGAACACCAACAAGGTGGTCACGGCCAACTCCATACTGACGACGCAGGCGGTCAGCAAGGGTCTGTGTCTCTTCATCTAACTCAGCATAGGTGAGAGTGCGGTTCTCGTCCTCGAGAGCCACGGCATTTGGGGTGGCTTTTGCCTGCTGCTCGAAAAGGGCAGCAAGGTCCTTGTTGATGTCGAGGATGGGCATGATACTGCAGTAAGGCGAATAAAATACAGTGGCCAAATCAAAGTAAGGTACGATAGTTGACAATCACTCCCAACAAAGGCGAAAAGGAAAAGAATTAGGAAAGCCAGTGACGGTGAGTGCAGTAAAACAGTAGTGGTAGGAGTAAAAGATAAACCCTGGCACGCTTGATGAACTGGTCAAAAGTAACACAGCTTTCAGAGAGTTGGGAAGGAAATTGGTCACGAGACCAGGTTATCAGAGCTTTTTTCCTCAACCTTAAGAGTTACCTTGAGGATGACAGGTACCTGGTTGCAGAGGAAGATCCCGGGAGTCGGGGAGTAGGAGTGAAAGTCAACATGGGAGCAGCGAAGGTGTGAAGGTACTTAGCTTGGCCTTCGCAAGTCCCCTAACCGTAGCCTACGAGCCAGAAGTCCCTCAACAAGTCAGGGACCAACCACCTTAGCACATGCAAATGCGATAGCCGTCACGGAGCAATCATATTATCAGTATGGGGGAGGCGAGAACCGATCCACAACCCACCTCCAGAGGGGTAATGGCCAATGGGGAGCTAGGTTGCCAAGTTGGCCGGTTGGTTTAACTGGGTCAAAATGGATGGAAGGCAAAAGAAACCAGGGATTCGGGGAGTTTGCTGCGTCCAACCCAAAGAGCGGCAATGCGAAAAGCAAGGTTCAGCTCGTTCATGGAGCTACCAGTGACAAAAAAGAGCCCTAACGCCGCTAAACGGGTTAAAGCAGGCTTCCGAGACTTACCCTAAGTAACTAGGCGGCGTAGGATGCTTCAATTGGCCGGTTTGTTCCTGATAGTACGGTAGAGGGTATGTCAAGGGGAGTGTGGATGGTTGTTGGAGAGACTTGGGCACATGCAAAAATAAAGAAGAAAAAAATGTTGTACAGGCGATGTCGGTGACGAAAAAAGGTTAACCGCGTGGGGGCCAGGGTGCCTTTGAAGCATGGATAAATAAGGTAAGTTACAATCGTCAATCTAAGTCAGAATCAAGCACGAATTCGAGCTATCAATGGGAAATGACTCGCTCGTTGTTGAGGCGGCTCGCATTGTGTGCTTTCGGATGATGATCGGGCCGTTGTGGCTTGACTATGCTCGGCGACTGTGGCGAAGCAAGGGTGGCCAAACAAGCTCCTGGGCTTCCGCCCAGAACCCCGCTAGTCGGCTTTCGGCTGGTCGGCTGTCGGCGTCGTCTCTTTTGTGCTGTAAAAGCGGCGTTGTAAGTACGTATCTTACTCCTGATCGGATCTGGACACCCCCGCTATCGCCACGCGACGCAAGGGCCAATCGATACTCCACCTGCCCAGTTAGACAGGGAACATAGGTGCTTCGGTAGCGCGGCATCAACTGCTTCAGGATCACCTGGACTCATGTGGTACCTAAGCTGTGCCTTAGCCACACCTGTGCCATCCATACATTGATGGTGCCGTCCTTTCGTCTGATGTTTCGAAGCCAATGTGTCCGACATCGTTCGCTGGACGGAGGTCAGCGAAACATTCGTTTCATGCCTGAGAGACCTCATCAACTTTTTGCATCGCATTGATACTAACAATCGTCTTGCACTTGGCACTTTGGTATGACCTCCCTTCCCCGACCGCAGTGGTAATGCCGAGCCTTCCCATCGCTGACTGATCGTCATGGCGTAGCCGTCCTCGGATTTCTAGCCTCTTAGCTCCTTTGCCCCGTCCGGCCCAGATTCATCGCGACTACATATCGTCTCACTTCCCCCCGTATTTCTCGCATCATGGTCAATGAAAGACATGCTGAAAACGAGCCGCTCTTGAGTACCATGGAGCGACAGCAGGCAAACGAGCCTGAAAACCGGGCGAACCCTACCGAGCATCCCGATGCGCCGCTCGAGGATACCACCCGCCGCGAACTCGAAGTCGACGACGACTCATCACCGTCGACGCCCAGGTTCATGCAGGAAGAAGGACCATGGAAGCGTTGGAAGTGGGTGCCATACCCAGTTCGTCGCATCGTGAAGGCCACCGTGAAGTGGTCTATGGGCCCACCGAACCCTCAGGACTACAAGATCAAGCCGATTCTTCCCCAAGTCCAGGAGTTTCCTCTTGTGCTAGTTGAGAAATACTTGCCGTCTGCCAAGCATCGCGTAGGCGTTGTATTTCTTTATATTGCTATTTGGATCATCACGTTTGCTCTTGTCAAGAGGAGCGAGACATTCGCGACAGAGATTGAGGGTTGGGGCGCACCGCAACCGATCGGATGCGGTGCGACCTATTGGGGTCGGGGGAACAAATGCGGCCTCAACGGCGCCGATTGTCGCCCTTTTGATGGGAGCGGGTTTCCCTTCAGATGCCCCGCCAACTGCAAAGGCTACATGGTCTTGAACCCGCGGGCAGTCGGCGACCAGGAGATTGTATATCAATCGCTTGTCATCGGCGGACCAGCAAACGATACCAGCTCGCCCATCTATCGTGGTGACTCGTTCCTTTGCAGTGCTGCGATTCATGCCGGTGTGGTTTCCAACGAAAACGGTGGCTGTGGTGTTGTTCGCCTTGTTGGGCGACAGCAGAACTACATTAGCTCCGACCGGAATGATATCGAGAGCATCAGCTTCGACTCCTACTTCCCCCTCTCGTTCACCTTTGAGCCCAACATCCAGTGCCGTGCTCGGGATCTACGATGGAACTTGCTGGCTGTGTCTGTTGTTTTCACGACGGTCCTCTCGCTCTTCACGGCTTCACCAGCACTCTTCTTCTTCTCGGTCTTTACTGGTATCTTCTGGCACGTCGGATTAGCCTCAGACCCGCCGAACCATTGGTCGGTGGCTGATCTAGTGTCGAACATTGCCGGAAAATTCCTCCCAGCCATGTTTTGCGCGTGGGTCATGTACGACAAAATGGGCATCAGGCGTACTCTTCATGGTCTCACCGCCCAGGTTGAAAAGACCATTCTCTGGCTCGGCGGATGCTGGGTCGGTGCGCTTACGAACTACACCTTCCGATGGATTCCAATCCAGAGACTGAACGCGCACGACCTACAACAGCAACCAGGTGCTAAAGCGGCATTAGCTATCATCATCATTGTTCTTTTCCTCATCATCGTTAAGCAGGTGTGGTATTTTAGACAAGAAGGCCGGCTCGTCAAGTACCTCAAGCTTTATCTCCTCTTCGTGGGCGCCATCATCGTATGTCTCATACTCCCGGACCTCAGCCTACGCATCCACCACTACATCCTCGCCTTGCTTTTACTGCCAGGAACTAGTATGCAGACACGCCCTTCGCTCCTTTATCAGGGTATTCTGGTCGGTCTTTTCATCAACGGCATTGCTCGTTGGGGTTTCGATGCAGTTTTACAGACGCCTGCCGCCTTACAGGGGGATGCTCAACATGGGTCACCACTGCCTACTATCCTCCCGCCCGTCATTGACCTTGCCCAGGCCATGTGGAGTGTCAACTTCACTTGGAATGTTCCTTCAGGAGTCCGATATGACGGTATCAGCGTCCTAGTCAACGACGTCGAGCGCTTCCGTACGTACTTCGATGATGGTCCTGTCTCTTCAAACCATTTCGTCTGGACCCGCAACAGTAGTCTCGGGTTGAACGAGTACTTCCGCTTCGGCTACATGGAAGGCAGTCAAAGCTACGACTTCACCAAAGCTGGTATTTGGAACGCCGAAGGTAGTTGGATTGACATGAAGCCGGGTCCGTCTATGGTGCGAAGCCGGAGTCTGGAAGAGGACGAAGAGAGCGTGCCTCGGTAATGATAATGTGCGATGAATCTGCTTACAATTAGAGAGAGAGAGAGAGAAGAATGTGAGTAAGATCGTTTTAAATGAGCATAGTGGTTCGTATAGGACATGCGAACCTAGAAGCGGACGGGCTCCTGGTGATGGCTACGCACGGCCGTAGATTAATTACCCTTGAACGTCATGACAAGTGCCTATAAGCGAGGATTTGTTTATTCATTACTATGGTGTCTTTGAATATATAATGAAATCAGTAAACTTGGCCGTTACATCTCGCTGAGCATCCCCCACCCCTTCATTATAGCAACCCGGACCAATTAAATTTACGCGCCGGGAGTGCGGCGGCAGAAAGGACGGCCGCGCTCCTGCTGGGTAGCGTCGCATGTCAACCTGTTGTCCTCGATACAGGTCAAGCGGGCGCCGCCTAGATTTTGGAAACATTAGCCGTCAAGATTTCAGTGTAGTCACGACCCAGCCGTGAGAGATGGCAGAGTTGGGGGGGGGGAGGGGGGAGTTTGGCTTACAGTTGTTCACGCTATCGGGCACGCAGCGGCCAGTCTGGCCGTTGACGTTGCAGACATCCTGCTTCAAGCTCGTGTTGGCGACGCAGCAGGCGCCGTTGGGAACAGGGCGGTTGGCGTTGGCACCCTGGCGCTCCATGAGGATGGTGTTACGGCGAACGGCCGCCATGGCCGGGTCCTCAACGGCTGCGGCACTGACGCCGGTGGCAGCCACGATAGCCAGGAGGGCAGTTTGGATGGAGAACTTCATTTTTGACCGAGTCGTAGGGTATTGGGTATATCGTGCAGTTGCTGATGATGAGGAAGAGACCGTGGTCGGCTTATTCAGGCTTTGGGCAGATGGAAAAGTGGTTTTTAAAAAATAAATAAAGAGAGTGTCCGACCGGCGGGTAGTGAAGCAGAAGAGACTGGATGATTGAGTTTGAGAGTGAGCCTGACGAACGCATATCTACTTTGGCGGCGACAGTAAGGTTATATATAAGCTCTACGAAGCATAGCCTTTCACGACGTGTCAAACGTTCTCCGCTTGTCCCTGAACCGCACTCTGCTGAAAAGGGGGCCCGTCAGCAAGTCGATGCGAGGAAACCGAGGCCATCGGAGATGATCCCTATGATCAACAGAATGGATGAGGGAGTTTCGAAGGGGGTTACTTGAGGAATCTAGATAGCTGAACATGGGACGGCGGGGTTTGCGTCGTCCCAACCTGAATCACAACCGTCTGAGGTTCACCTCGTTACCCAAAAGTCGAAGCCCTGTCAGCGCCCAAATCGAAAGCCAAAAGCCCCAAAGGCAAAGGGAGGGGGCCGGATGAGACGAACATGGGTCTGGGGCGGCTCTGTGGTGGAAAAAATGCAAGGACGCTTTTAGGTTTAGCTGGCACTTAGGAGTTGCAGCTGCGGACACGATGCGACGATGCGACGATGTCAGTGGGGACCCGTCTAGAGAGATGAAACCATGGACAGGGGTATCGTTGCACTTGATACACCTTCGACACGGAGCGAACCCAAACTTGGGCGATGGGACTAGACTCTTTTGAGATCTGAAAGGGGGGACTTTTTCTCCAAAAGACCAGGACGGTAACACATCCAGAATCGAATGTCAAGTGGAACACCAAGAGAGGCCAGTTAGTGGGAGGTGCGGTCTGGCTGAGTGTCTTGCCAGCGGTAACATCTCATACCAGTGACAGATTGGGGGCGGCGGTTGTCACCCCCAGCCTTGAGGCAATCTAGATTTGAAAGACAAGTGTTTCTGGAAACCTCGGAGTCTTCCAGACAACCCCGGAAAGATCTGCCGAGCGTTCTTCTTCCAGTTAACAGATGGTGCAACATGACCAGGGGACGGTCGTGCTCTAGACGATCATGATCACCACAGCGCAGTGATGAACATGACACGGACGAGTCGATCGCCGTTTATTCTTACTGAGATTATCCATTTCATCTTTGGAAAGATTCGGCGAGATTGTTTCTTGTCTTTATCTTGGCACCAAGAGTGAAGTAAGCCGATTCATCAACTTTCAAGTCGTCATCTTGGTGGGCTTTCACTGGCAACAGTAGAGACGTTGTTCGCAGAGTATTTTGATTCTTTTGCGAGAACTCAAGATGGTCAGGGATGAGGAAATGGCTTCTTCGATGATCACTGCCTATCGTAAGTTTACTGGAAGGCTTCAACTGAGGTGTTGATTTGTGAAAATGCCCATGAGTAGCAAGTGCTATTTTGGCGGCACAAAGGCCAATTCTCAGTATTTAATATTCCGTCAAAAAACCGCAGAATGAAGCTATTCGCTAATGTTCCGAGCTCGCTCTCGATCATGGAAGATCTGCTGATATCATCATCAAACTTCAATCATCACAAAACGGCAGTAATAGTGTCTTCTTAAGGAACGGAACGGTTCAATTAAGTTCTTCCGCTATCCAAATAAATAAAGATGGTCCTCTTTCGGGGACGCCAAAAAGCAGGCTCTCTAGGAGCCCCAGGCCGTCAGATTACCAGTCTTCGGATCTACTCCTCGTCCTCAGCCTCAGCCTCAGTCTCAGCCTCAACAACGGCCTTGTTGGCAGTCTTCGTTCCCTTGCCCTTGCCATTGCCCTTGCCCTTGCCAGTAGCGCCAGCACCGGCACCGCCAGTAGCCTTGAGGGAAGCGTCAACGACATCGCCGGCCTTCTTCGCCAAAGTATCATCCTTGGCGACCTCAGAGGCGGCCGGGTTATCAGTGGAAGCGTTGAACTTGAGGGCAGTGGCAGGCTTGCCGGCGTTGGCCTGGTCATCAGCGATGTTCTTCTCGAGCTTCTTGGTCTCCTCGGTCAGCTTCGCCGTCACGTTCTTGCCCTGCGCCTGTTGGGCTTGCAGGCCCATGACGGTGGCAGTGAGCTTGAGGACCTTGTTCTGGATCTTGGCGCGCTGTTGAAAATTGGTGTTAGACACAGCTGCTGCTACCTTTATGATTCCAAAGTGGAGAAGGAGCTTACCTGAAGAGCAAGAGCCTCTTCACCAGGAGCCGTCTCGGCAATCTTGACGTTGTAAGCACCACGCTCGGCCTGGTTGGCAATCTTGTTGACGCTGTTGAGGAAAGTAAGATCCGCCTTGTCGACCTTGGAGAGGTCGGTAGGCAGACCGCCCAGCTTCTTAAGGGCATCCTCCTTTGCGGTTCCAGCGTTGCCACCGCTGATGGAAATATCGTCAAAGGTCTTGGCCGTGAAGACAGCAGCGCGCTTCTGCAGCTCGCTGCTGCTCTCAGTAGCATCCCTGGCGGGAGCGGCAGAGGCAACGGCGGCAAGGGTGGCGAGGACGACAGTGAACTTCATTTTGAAATTGTAGTTGAGAAAAGTGAATGGAAGTAAAAAAAAAAAAAAAAAAATTTTAAATTAGAATGTTTCTTGAGCGAGAGACGATGGTTCGGTGGAGAAAAGGAAACAAACAGCACAGCTGTGAAAAGTGAAGGTTGAATAAGACTGAGACTAAGATTGAATATGAGATGGAGAGAAAGGAAACTTGTGTCGAGAGTGGGAATTTTGACCGGTCTTATGGATCCCCAAGAGCTTGTGAGTCTGTCACCATAATCTATGGATGGCATTAACTGACACAGCTTTAGACAAACGTTAATCGGCACCGCCGCCGGCGGAAGCTATCTTCTTCCACGGAAACCGTACCCTGACTGGACAGACAGAGCAAGTATGGCGTGTTAGTCGGTTTCAGCGTGGACTCATTTTCTCTGCCTATTCAAACACGAACAGATCTGCACTACAGACATACCGGTATGGTATTGCAGAGATAGCGTAGTTGTGGGCCCAGGTAGTCGGTAAATGTACCGGTGGGCTTCAAGGAACTACCTTGAACTGGCTAAAGCTGAGCCTCCTCTTGCCCTTTTTTAGAAGGTCTTGGCTGCCGTCTCATGATGCGACGACGAGTTTGTGTTGACTCGAGTCAGTGAGGAACCGGTGTTGAGTCAACCAACTCAAGGCACAGAGGATGGATAGAAAATCATGAAGGACTGGGTAAAAAAAAGTCTAAACTGAGACGAGTTTTACTGATGTTTTTGACACCTTGAACCTTGAGGAATGATGGGATTGCAGGATGTAAGGCAAAAGGGACGCGTAGACTCGACGTCCACGTCTCGGTCTCGTCATCAATGCGCACGATGTAGGCGCATGGGAGAAAAGAAGGTCTAGAATATCTGCCCTCAGCACTTTACAAAAACAAATCTTATGTTGGAATAGATTGTAAGCTTGCAATACCCATATTACATGCTCTTGAGCGCTAAAACGTACAGTGGACTATGATCAGCCCTGTGGTCATTGACCAAGCAATCTATCGCACATGGCGTTTTGAAGCTTGAATCTTGTTGGAGAAAAGTGGGGGTTTAAAGTCCGTCTCGCCCTCGTCCTTCCCCCACTTCAAGATAACTTCACTTCATCGGCTTTACCTTGAACCCAGTGAACATCCATCTCACAAAACAATCACCCGCGCCTACTCAAAGATCCACGATCTGGACTCTCCCGCACCCGGGACATCCGACGGCTCATTTGCCGCTTACACCACGATCCCCGCTAAAGAGAAAAAAGGAAAAAGAAAAAAAAAAAAGACCATACGCCCATCATGCCTCCGCGAATCCCAACCGCAGAAGACTTCACTCCAATCCAGCCCGTCCTACCCCTGACCCTAGCTTTCCCAAACCCGCCAGAATCCACGACGGCGATCCTCATCTTATTCCACGGCCTAGGCGATTCCGAGGCTCCCTTCGCCTCCTTCGCCCGCGCCATGTCCCTCCCCGGCGTCCTGTCCATCTCTGTCCGCGGTCCCTCTCCGCTCCCACCATCCATGCTTCCCGACGTCCCCCCACAATCCTCCTCCGCAGGCCACTTTCACTGGGGTGATGACTTGACCTTCGACCCTGACACGGATGACCTCTCTCCGGACCCGGGCTTCAGCAAGGCAGCCAACCTTGTGACGGAAAAGCTTATTCGGGAGACGTTGATGGGACGTTGCGGATGGGAACTCAGTGACATCATCCTCTTTGGCTTTGGACAGGGCGGCTCACTAGCTCTGGGTCTGGCCTCGCAGCTCCGCTTGGGCCCGAAGGTGGTGGATGTCACAGAGGGACAAAAGGTCAGCAGGAGCGAGGATGAGGGAACGCTAAAGGGCGTGCTTTCTATTGGTGGTCCATTGCCTCACTCCATGATTCCCACAGTCAGCACGCGCAGTAAGTCAAAAACGAAGGCTTGTCTGGTGCAACTTGACGATGACGCATTTGACGTCGTGAAGGAGGAATTCCTCGACGTCAGGGTAGTTAGGTGGAAGAGGAAGGATGTTGCGATGCCCCGGGACCGGGAGGAGATGTTTCCCCTGATGAAGTTTCTTGCAGAATGTCTCAAAAGCGGTTGGTAAATAGTTTTAAAAAAAAAAAAAGCATAATGGGAATTACATTGAAAGATCACTTCTACAATGGCAAGGGCAAAGTGTTCAACCGGGATATTTTGAGTTCTGGCGGATATGGGATGGCATATATTGTGATCTTCCAACAATCCATACAATGAGTCTTGCAAGACAACAAGACGGCAATACAAAAAAAGACGATGAAACACCTTACTGGTGGGGGTTTTCAACAGCCAGTCTAAACCATGTTTTCCCACACAGCGGAAAAGGCAAACGGCAAAAAAAAAAGTCGGCCGACGCCTGTGCCTAGATTTTGCCTTTGTCGGGTCCGACAGCGGGCCTTAAAATAAAGTTAATTTCACCACCAACCACTTATTGTACCTGATCAGTTGAACTATCTGGCTTCTGTAAGACATCGTTGTTAGAGCTCAAGGGGTTGTCACGGCGCTTCCCTATTGAACGTAACCAATTGTATTTGTTGGTAAAAGTTGAACTAAATCTAAACAAACAGAGAAAACAACGCTGTAAACAACATCCATTTTGTCGAAGTATCCTTCCCTATCTTCCTGTATGATTGCGCATCCCGTCAAAGCCCGGACGAAACCCAGCCGCTCCGGGATTTGAAAAGGTAGTGTAGGAGTTCTCGTAATTGCGTCTTTCTTAGCCAGGGCCTCTGCAGCACTGGTGGTCGCAACGAACAGCCTGCAACGTACAAGGTTAGTATCACAAAACGTGGAATAGATGTACGTCGTCCTTCTTACGTTGCCGACAGTTGTCTGGGAAGGCCCCAAGGAACGCTCAAAGCCCTTCTTCTTGCAAATGTCGTTGAGACTTTCCGCAACACCGGCGGCGAAGCACTGGCATGCTCCACCCGTACAGTATGTCAGGGTGCTGGTGCACTCAATGGCCATGGAACCGGCTGCGAACATGAGCGCGGCGTAAAAGGCTGATGTGAACTTCATGTTGTAGGTCTTGCGGGGTGTAAAGAGTAAGAGTGAATGATAATGCAGGATGAGATGATGGAAAAAATTCCCATTGGAAGCCAGGAATAACGCCAACTTTTATATCTTTTTCGATGCTGTTGGGCTCCTCCGGCTGTAGATGCGGACAACTCCATGTCTATTATTCAAGAGTCGTTATCCTTGCGGCGAGTGACCAGCTGAAGCAACTGCGGCGATTAGGCGTGGGGCCTTTCTGGGGAATATTCCCAAAGGGGGCTGTTGTTACACGAGACGAATCATGCAGCGGATCGTGTTCGTCTGACTAGGTGATTCTCATGCCAAAATTCCTATTCATGGAGCTGTCCTTTACACAATCAGACTCTTGATTCTTCCCAGATAACTCGTAAATCATCTTCCATTCCCAATTTTACAAAACATCAGAAAGCTGGATAAGGATTAAAAAAAAAAAAAAAAGAGAAAGAAAACCAGAGAGCTGTGTATTGTATAATTCACAAGTGCGATGTTGACAAGTGCGATGAATTAAACTTTTGCATTTGTCTTGGCGTTGACAAGCAGCATCTACCCGCAACTTGGTAACTCCTGTTCTGGCTAATTAAGAGTCGATCAATATCACGGATGTGGGTTTGACATAGATTGCAGACGAGTAATTGACAGTCGCCGGGTAATACACTTCCACTCGAATGTGACTAAGAAAGTTCGAAACAGTCAAGCTCATTTGTCCTTCCCACTCTAATGGCAAGGCCACCAATTCCACTGGTGCTTGACGGACAACTAACGGCCTTCAAATTTGCTTTGTCCGACGGCATATTTCTGACTCGAGAACTGTTTAGACATTGGCAATTACAACCTAGTGCCGTATCAAATGGAACATTCCTTAGTCACTTTGAGTGTCTGCATTCGATCCCGCAACTGCTATTGTACTCCATTGCCGGCACGTTTTCATTGCGGAACAGACCTGACGTGTCAGGCAAGGACTGTCAATACAGAATGCTGGTTGGTAATTCTAACAGAGTCATTCTAGGAGCGGCGGTGGGATATTATAATTATAAAGACTGATAAGTGCTGTGCGTGCGCTTTTGCTTGTGCCCCTTCACTTGACATCTCTACCTCAAAACTACCTCAATAGCCGCATTTCAAGGTTCCCCTCCATCCCCGCGGCAAGTAAGCATTGGCCCGTGTATTCAAACCAATGCCAAGTCGAATTATCATAGCCCGTGCTTACAACTGAGCTCTTGCAACCGATATGAGTTTACGGGTTTCTCTTCGTATCGTTAACTGTGGAGTCGTCCTGAACGCTATGAAGCTTGGGCTTTCCTCCTTCATGCACCTGGACATCCCTAACCAAGCTGTGTAGAGCCGGCTGGTACGCCCCAGGAATGGCTACTATTTCGTCATCATGGACGCTGTGAGGCATTGGTGGGTTTTGGGCGACAACCATAGGGTCTTGGCTGAGCCGATGGTCATAAGCGTGGTCAACAGCTTGGATTTGGGGATCTTCATGTACGGTATGTGGTGCCGGTTGTTGTGCAACCTTGACCGTGGGATCATCATGTATGCCATGAGCTGGTGCTGTGGCTGATATCGGCGCTTTTGGATCTAGGGTGATTTGATGAGGTGTGAATCGACGTGCCACTTGAATTGTAGGATCGTCGTGAACACTGTGAAGTTGCACTTCCTGAGCAATGCCAAACAAAGGGTCGTCGTAGACGTTATGAGATAGTGGCTCTTCTCCCACCGGAACTGTCGGATCGTGGCTAAGTCGATGGGGTGCCGCAAATTTAGTTGCCACTATACGGGTATCTTGCGATTTTAGGACTGGGCTTCGTAACACATCTGGTGACCTTGCAGGAGTATCTTTACGCTTGTGCAATGGACCTTGAGGAGAAGAATATTCATCAACTCCTGGCCCTTTCGAAGACTCGGGACTGGCTGGGGTAGCCAAAGTGGCTGTCTCAGGGCTGCGAATACTTGGCTCGGGACTGGATGGCGGGTTTCTCCCCGTCTCCGCTGAAGACTCGTTGATTGTTGGCAGATAGGGAACAGAGTTGCGCATCTGCATTTGCATCTGTGGAGGCGACCTGTATGGGCTATTTGGCCCTGGCTTGAACCGACGCGTTTCTATTGGCGGGTTCGGGGCGAAGGGTTGAAATTTCAGATCACGGCAGAGCTTCTCCCGAAGGTATACCTCGTCGTGATTCAACCTGAGGGTTGAAAATGGGTGCCAACATGCCTCAGAGTTGTCCATATCGTCAGTTCCCGCAATACCATATCGTTCCCGAATGTCCTGTCGTTGTTCTCTAATAGGCCCTCTCCAGTTGCAGACTGTATCGATTAGCTGATAAACGCAAAACCTCCCTAGGCAGTTTCTTACTCGTGGAGCTCAGACAGCAGGACCAACAAGGACCGCTACAAGATTGCGAAGACGGATCGAGGGGATCTTCAAAGTACGCAATTCTTTCCAGTCTCTCTGCGGTATGCGCATAAACCAAGCAAGGACAGCAGTGGTTTTCAGTGGTGTAACACTCGCGATCCGCCAGCCATTCTGGGGAAAGGACCTTGGATGTGATTCCATGCCGTTTGAGAACGGTTGGGGTTGTATCGGTGGACTTCTCAGCCCTCTTTGATCGGGTGCCATTAAGCATAATCGATCGGCTCGAAGTTTGAGCCATTCCAGACGATGACGAAGGTTACGACCCAAGTATTTCTAAGTAATGAACGGCGTCTGGTGCTACTGATAAGACACCACAGTGTTGATGATGTATTCTACAAGCGCAATAACATTGATGGAAGAAATTATGTCATGGGAAGGCTGCCTGCAACAGTAGCTGTGGTCTTGAAGACAAAGTTAACTATAGTCATGCACATGTGGCGCGCATGGTAGCTGCCGACGCATCTGTTCTTGACCCTTTCCCAGGACTGGGCCATTTCCTGGTGAAGCCGAGGAAAGAGTATAGTCAGGAATGGCAAGACCAACGGCTCATAGATATGAATTAGGAGAAGTGAATTGGCAAGAAGCCAATGCATCTGGATGGCTGCCCTTCAATTTTTGAACGACTCCGAACCAATAATATGAGGGGTAGCATACCGAAAAGGGTATTGTGTGCATCCATGACTATCTTATCCACAAGATTCAAGTTGACGGCAATTCAAATAGTGCAATTTCCGATTGGGATCCGCACTACGTATATGCTAAACCTGCCTGAGAAGCTGTTTTGAAACATTCAGTTGCAAATGGAATCCTCATACATGCTCTGAACATAAACTCCACCATTCAGGGTCTTCTCCCTAGCTCCTTGCCAACTTGATAAAAGTTATTATGGGTATTCTTCAGCTCAAGTGCTACTAACGATCCATGATTTCATAAGATGTTATTGAGGGTTTGCTTTAGCAAAGTTACTGAGTATCTTAAAGTCTAAAGGTTTCAATATTCAAGGAACAAGAACGTCGTGGATGGATTAACCACTGAAAAAAAAGCCACATGTTCCGTATCCCCGTTCCAGTGCGCCAAAACACCGCAAAAATGTTGGTTGAAGGGGGTTTATTCCTGTTCTGTTCTATACCGTCAATCAACTGACAGCATGCGCCTACTCGTCAGTTCGTTCCTCTTCTCTCCAACCATTCGAGCTCCTTGTGGCACTGCTGTGTAATGATCTGATAGCCGCACTTCGATTCTTGTTCGACCAGCTGTGAGTTGTTAGCGCAAAGGCAGCGATCTGCGATGCAGTGAACGTACACTTTCACTTTTCCATCGTCGCCACACGACGCCAGCATACATGGATCTTCTGGGTTCCAGCTAACGGCATTAGTGCGCGGTTCATGTCCTTGGAGCCTTTCCACTGCAGCACCGCTGTTTTTGTGCCAAATGAGGATGTTTCCATCTGTGTCCAAAGGTTAGCTCGCTAGTCACATCTACAAAATGGTTTAAGACAACTTACCCTCGCTGCCACTGACGACAAAGCTCTCGTTGGCACCTCCAAATGCGCTCCTGATGAGGAAGTCGCCTCCGGTATGACCCAGGAACTTCTGTACCGAGGTCCGGGTCGCCAAGTCGATCAGCTGCACCTCGCCATCCTTCTTGTTGACAAGCAGATGGCGGGAGTCCTCGCTGATGCTCACACAGGTTGGTCTTGCCTTTAGCTCCATCTCGTATTCCAGTTCACGGTTGGTAGCATTGTAGACGTGAATCTTCTGCACGTCGTCGACGGCTACCAGCCAGTGGCCATCAGGGGAGCCACAGAGGTCCTGTACTCTATGCTTCTTGCCCCATTCGCACAACATTTCTCCTGATGTGCTCCAAGTACGCAAGCCGTGCTGCTTGTCCAAGGATCCAGTGATGAAGCTTTTGCTGTCCGCCGCCCAGACGCAACCACTGGCTGGCTCCTCGAAACGTTCGAGTTTTACAAGCAGCTCTCCGGTCTGTTAAGGTTTAGTATGAAATCTTTATCCGCAACACATAGCTGGGCCACGTACCGTAGTATCCCACAAGCGAGCGAACTTGTCCTGAGAACAAGTCACGAGCATGGTGTCGTCGGGGCTCCATGAAAAGTTGCCTACACCATGCGCATGTGGGCGAAGGACTTGTGAAACTGAAAACGACGGCAGATCCCAAATGACGACGGTTTCTCCACTTCCACACGCTGCCAGACGTTTGCCATCATGTGAAAATTGTACTTGCCAAGCTTCGCCATTCAGGTCTGTTAAATCCAGAGCAACCTCAGTGGGGAAATGACTTCTTTCACAATAGTGATCTGAATATAATGACGGTGAAGATGCGGTGGTATGCCAAAGACAACTGTCAATTTGACTTTGTTTCACTTGCTGCAGAAGAACAGCCAACCTGTTTTCTGGTAACATAACTGATGGGGATATGCATTCTGTCTTCTGTTAGTACTCGAAATACCTTGCGAGTGAGGCATACGCACTGGATAACTCTGACAGCAGCACCTTCCTTGACTGGCCGTGGGCACCATCCCATTCTGCTTTGGTCTTCAAGTCCTCTGTAGATTGGCACATGAGAAGACTGGACAAGAAGTGAAGCTTCTGCGTGTCTTGGTAGAGCGGCGTGAGCTCGGTGCGGAGTACCATCAGGGCTCGGCTGGTGTCACGCTGCTCGAGAAGCTCCAAGAACTTTTGCTGCCGCAACCAAAACCTCATAACATTCCTGTCCGATCCAGGTGCCAGCACTAAACCGTTCCCTTGCTGACCACGATCATCAGACATGACGGCTCCGAAGAGGAGCTCCTCGGCCTGACCCCACTCGCCGTTAATGACGGCATTGCGGAAGGCTGCGACTGTCGGGCTTTCCAGTTCGTAACCGCTGTCCCTGCTGACACTCTCGGCGGCGCCATGATATCCCATGTCGGACAGCGCCTGGATGAGTATGCGCGTAACCTCCTCGCGATCATGACCATGATACGTCGAGGGTGCGGATGGCGGGGCTTCCTTGTCCGAGCGGGAGGAGCCGTTCATGGCAGCGGCCTTACGAGCTCCATTCGTAGACGAGGAGAGCGGGGGGTCCACCCTGGCGCCGTTGGAGTAGGTCCTCGGCGTTCCATTCGAGGCAAGCCCATCGCCGTCTGAGATCATGTTGGAGTCTCCTCTTCTGCGTTTGGAACGATGAGAGCCGGATCGACTGGCGCCCACAGACGTCGTAGGAGAGCTTCCCCGATCCGAGTCGGAAGTGGCTCGTTGTCTACGGCCCAAGACCTGACGGGGCGCCGAAGCAGATGCTATCGTTCCGGGGACAGTCGAGGAATGTTGGGCAGCAGTCGGCGATAGAGTCAAGGGATCGGCGTCGTCAGGAGGAGAGGAAAGGCGGGAGGCCGCGGCAGAAGCGAAGAGGTCTGTGTTAGAGGATATCTGGATGTTCGGCGGGGTGGGTTGTTCGTCAGAAGCGAGAATGTGATGGGAATGAGGATCTGGATTGTAGTTGGGGTCCAGGTCGGCCTCTGTTACCGCGGGAAGGACCCGCGGTTGCTCTCGTGGGTCGATATCTTTGGAAAGTGGATGGGGCCGCCCAATGTGAGAGGAATGTAGTGGCAAGTCGCTTTGTTGCTAGGCGGTTTAATTACGAGCACGGGGAGGACGGACGGACGTATGTGCGGGTGTGGTACGGTAGGCAGCGGGGCTCGGCACGGCGAGGCAGATGAAGTATGTAAGAGGGTCGAGGTCTGGGAGCCGGGCTTGGGCGTGGTGGTCTAAGGTGAGGTATGAGGTGAGGTAGACAAGTAGGCGGAGGCGGGAGTGGAATGGAAGGTGAAGCTTTGAAGTTTGGAGTCCGATGGTGCAAGTTTCGGGGTAGTAGAGGAAAGGATGACAAGAGATCATAGGTAGGGACTGGTGGACGGCAGCCGAGCACCGCTGCAGCACACTGACTGGGCTGCAGGGAGGGTCACTGGAGCCAGCCGACGAGTAGATGACGGGCTGCAGGTTGATTGGGCCTATTGCAGCCACTCCGCACGAGAGGGTGGGGACGAATGACCTGCTTACTTGGGGGGTTATAGCGCGCCCATTCAGCAAGCGGCCTAAGACGGAGCTCACTAACATGCCACTGGGACTACTGCTGCATTTTTGCCCTAATTTTTGAACGGCAAAGGCGCTGGGTGAGAAAGAGTACTACCTAGCTGGAATATAGCTCTCGTGCTTGACTACGCTTGCTTTTGATGTTGTTATTTCAGTTGGCCAAAACAAGCCGCCAAAGATAGATGTAGAGTACCGTTGGGCCACTGGTACTTGGTAGAGCACTAGACGCCTACTAGCTTATCAGGCGGCACGGTGGATACCTGATATGGCACCGAATACAGACAGGATATTCTCACCGATAAGCTACCCTATATCTGCAAAAAGCCGACCAACAAAAAAACTATACTACTCTTGAGATATATCACTCACCCTGAAGAAATTCGTGCATTGTTAGGTACGCAATCTGTCCCTTTACCCGTCTTGCAAGTTGGCATTGTCTTCCAGAGCAGCACTAGAGTAAGCCGATAGAGCCCGAACGGGTCTCTAAGTGGAACGTCAGAGGCCACTATAAGATCCTTCCAGCCCCCTAAGCGAAAAGCCTAAAGACTACTTCCATTCGCTATTTCGGTCCGGACCAGTTAGCAACGGACCCTTGTCCATACTGACGCCCACCTCAGCTTCGTGGAGCAAGATGCATTGAAGATATCATAGGATAGTACTAGAAGCAGCAGAGAAGGCAACAAAATAATAAACATTACTTGCGATAGCAGAAAAGAGCATGCCAACAGATGCGTGTTTGTCGCCGTTAAGCCTTAAGGAGGCCTCTTCGGCCTCAAAGCTTCGTTGATATCCTGACATGGTTGTAATGAATATAGTAATCGGCTGGTGAAAGTGCAGCTAATGAGACACAATGACGCTGTCCAACCCTTAACTTTGTCCATGATAGTATTCTGAGTACGGTACCTATACTTTGCATAAAATAAGCAGCCATTCATCTACAACCGCCTCTGAATGGCCTTTACATCGTCAATAGGACTAGCAGCTGACGCGATATGAATGACGTATGCGTAGGCATCCAGATTCTTTATCGACAAAGTTGCTGTCGCATGTCATCGGGAGAAATTCAGGTAAATCGTGGCTGACCCCTCCAGAATTCCGTCACCATCCACAGCAATTCAGCGAGCCCAGTCACGTGAGGTCTCACTTACGCAGGATGACCTTCTGGCACCCTCACCGTCTCGTGCCCCGCCAGCTGTCGTCGTCGTAGTCGTCGTCGTCGGCAGAGTGACAGGGGAGGCCCAATAACACAGTGGGGACGGGGTCGCATGTGGCTGGTGCGTCAGGGATCCCAGGCAGCTCTCAGGGCAGCAATGTGTGGACTGTCTAGCGTACCTTAGGTTTCTTGAGAACGCCTGAATGCTTGCGACGTCTTTAACGCCATCCCACTCCGTCCAGACACCTGAACTGCGCAAAAACCTCTCCTGCACTTCCTTTGTTCTTAAGCATACCCGTCGTCGCCGGCAACCAGGGGTGCATCACTACCAATCTCAGATTCCGATCTCGACCTTTAGCTGTCGTCCTCCTCACCGATCCCGACCCCGACCCCCCCTTTCCCGGAGCCTCCACACATTGCGATTCAGGAGCCACCTGCGACAGGACAGTTGACCACAAAGACACCCGTCTTCGACTCGACCCTTTGCCTTCAACTCTCGTCACTACCCGCAATCCACCCAAGAGCGCCGGTCGCAACGCAAACATGAGCGGCCCTCAGACCCTCGCCACTCCAGGCGGTATTTCTGATCCTGCCTTGATCACGTACGTGATGCCCAACGACGCTTGGTGGAAGTATCCCAGCATCTAACTAACTGCGCGCTGCTTGCTAGGCTTGTGAACAAGCTCCAGGATGTCTTCACAACAGTCGGTGTCACCAACCCCATCGATCTGCCCCAAATAGTCGTCGTTGGTAGTCAGTCCAGCGGAAAGAGTTCAGTGTTGGAGAACATTGTAGGAAGAGACTTGTGAGTCTGCGCCCAACACGGCTGCCCCGCCATCACATGCCCCTCGTGACCTTGACCGCATCTAACCACCTTGTTCCCGCAGCTTGCCTCGAGGCTCGGGCATCGTCACCCGTCGACCCCTTGTACTCCAGCTCATCAACCGCCCCGCAACCTCGCAATCCAACGGCGTTGAGGAGCTTGCAGACAGCACCGACAAAGCCGCTAACGCTGACGAATGGGGCGAGTTCCTGCACATCCCCGGCCAGAAGTTCTACGACTTCAACAAGATCCGTGATGAGATTAGCAGAGAAACCGAGGCCAAGGTCGGCCGCAACGCCGGCATTTCTCCAGCCCCGATCAACCTCCGAGTCTACTCCCCCAACGTCCTTACCCTGACCCTTGTTGATTTGCCTGGTCTTACCCGAGTGCCTGTCGGAGACCAGCCACGAGACATCGAACGCCAGATTCGCGACATGATCCTCAAGTTCATCTCCAAGTCCAACGCCATTATCCTCGCCGTCACCGCCGCCAACATCGATTTGGCCAACTCCGACGGTCTCAAGCTCGCCCGCGAGGTCGACCCCGAGGGTCAAAGGACAATTGGTGTCCTCACCAAGGTGGACCTTATGGACGAGGGTACGGACGTTGTGGATATTCTGGCGGGCCGCATCATTCCTCTGCGGCTTGGTTATGTTCCCGTGGTCAACCGTGGACAGCGCGATATTGACAACAAGAAGCCCATTACGGCCGCTTTGGAGAACGAGAAGAACTTCTTTGAGAACCACAAGGCATACCGAAACAAGAGCTCCTACTGTGGTACTCCCTACCTGGCTAGGAAACTTAACCTTATTCTTATGATGCACATTAAGCAGACGCTGCCCGACATCAAGGCTCGCATTTCTAGCTCTCTGCAGAAGTACGCTGCCGAGTTGGAGAGTCTGGGCCCAAGCATGCTTGGCAACAGCGCAAACATTGTGCTCAACATCATTACCGAGTTTACCAACGAGTGGCGGACGGTTCTGGACGGTAACAACACGGAGCTTTCCAGCACAGAACTGTCAGGAGGTGCTAGAATTAGCTTCGTTTTCCACGAGCTGTATTCCAATGGTGTCAAGGCTGTGGACCCCTTCGATGTCGTCAAGGATGTTGACATTCGCACTATTCTCTACAACTCGTCTGGTTCCTCCCCTGCTCTGTTCGTCGGCACCACTGCCTTCGAATTGATCGTAAAGCAGCAAATCAAGCGCCTGGAGGACCCTAGCTTGAAGTGTGTCTCTCTGGTCTACGACGAATTGGTGCGCATCCTCTCGCAGCTTCTTGGAAAGCAGCTCTACCGCAGATATCCTCAGCTCAAGGAGAAGGTTCACGCTGTTGTCATCAACTTCTTCAAGAAGGCCATGGACCCCACCAACAAGCTGGTCAAGGACCTCGTGGCGATGGAGGCATGCTACGTCAACACTGGCCACCCCGACTTCCTGAACGGTCACCGTGCAATGGCCATTGTCAATGAGCGCTACAACCCATCTAAGCCTGTTCAGGTCGATCCCAAGACGGGCAAGCCTCTTCCTGGAGGTACACCTAGAGCGTCTAGCCCGGTCGTGCCGGAAGATGCCTCGAACTCGGGCTTCTTTGGCAGCTTCTTTGCTGCGAAGAACAAGAAGAAGGCCGCTGCCATGGAGGCTCCTCCGCCAACTCTCAAGGCTTCTGGAACACTTTCCGAGCGGGAGAACATTGAGGTCGAGGTCATTAGTACGTGTATTCTGCATCCGCTTCATAACGTCGCTAACCGCTTCCGCAGAGCTGCTCATCTCATCTTACTACAACATTGTGAAGCGAACCATGATCGACATGGTTCCCAAGGCTATCATGCTCAACCTGGTCCAGTAAGTGATAACGTGACATATCTTGACGATTTTGGGAGCTGACAAATAGCAGATTCACCAAGGACGAGATGCAAAAAGAGCTCTTGGAGAACATGTATCGCAGCGATACTCTGGATGACTTGCTCAAGGAGAGCGACTTCACCATCCGTAGGAGAAAGGAGTGCCAGCAAATGGTCGAGTCTCTCGGCAAGGCCAGCGAGATTGTCAGCCAGGTGCAGTAAACGGCGTACCACGTCGTACACGACTCCCCCTGAAAAAAACATCAGAGCGTTGCCTGCTGAAGTGCCGGCCGCCCCACGCTTCCGGGGGCGCAGAAAAAGGAGAAGCGCGGCGTTAAAGGCAGTGGATTATTACCATACATCGTCAGCGGGGTCCCTGGAGGCGTGGAAAGACCGTAGATGACTGAGCGGCAGCAGTTCGGGTGATAGGTCCTTTAATGAGAGTGGCATACATTTGTTTCTTGAGAAGAAAAGACTGAATGAGGGGGCTGAAGAGACTTTAGCGAGAAAGATAAGCAATGAAGATTATGCTCTCAACCGGTGTTAGTATCTTTGGTGAACTTGTTTTTCCGGGGTGAGCGTTTCTTCCTTTGTCCGCTCCCCCTCGTCACAACGTGGAACTAGCTTCGTAATTCGAATGTGCCGCGAGTGCTTCAAGTCTTCAGACGATTTTGCTCGCGTGCACGTTCATCCCTCATCAACGCTGTTGACATTAGTAGCTTTTTTTCTTTTTTCCTTTGGCTGTCTTCCTGATTAAAGTACGCATAGCCCATAACTTGTTGTGCTACAATGCAAACGTTTATTCATGCATAGTTGATTAAAGCTATGGTCGACTTGGGACCATCTGGCATAGAACCATTGCAAAGTCGGCGGGAGAAACCATTGGATCGATGTTTGGGGTGGTCTAGCCCCCCCCCCCCGGTAACAGGTCAAAGCGATGTTTATGATACTCCGCCAGACACACGAACACGTACAATACGGCCCAATACCACCCACCCGTCGTTGAAGCATTTTGGGTATGAAAACTATGGTACTTGGTACGATGCGCTGCGCACACTGGTACAGTTCGGTTGTGTTCCGACCAAGTCAATGCCTTTGCCGGTCTGATGAAACGTCCCCGGATAGCGGGAAGGCATCCAGGGGGAAAGGAGGTAAGCTCCCGTGCATCTTTCCTCTTCTCTCCCCGCTTCTCGGATTCCGAAAAGCTTGAGCTCTGGAAAGGGGAGGAGGCAGGAGGGAGATGAGGGGGTGGTAAGGTAGCGGGTATCTCGGGTGGGGAGGACATGAGTTTCGCAGACATAAACTCACCTGTTCCTCTCTTCCCCCTCTCGTCACATTCATCCCCCGCCGTTGTTACGTTTCACATTCTCCAACAGCTGCCTGATCAAAGAACCAAAAAGCAACGCATCTGGTTAAAAGGCGGCAAATTGACCGCGATACAGTCCAAGGTGAAGAAGCAGCTGCAGCTGATTCGAATCTACGAAAGCTTCCCAGGTGAAGAAGCTGCCAAAGAGGAGAAAAAATGGTCAAAATGCCCAAGTTAAAGCCGGTGGACTTCCTCCGCTCGCAGTTCAAAAAACTGCCTTACCCGTCCGAGGACTGCACTGGACGTACAATCATCGTGACGGGGTCCAACGTCGGCTTGGGTCTCGAGGCGGCACGCCACTTTGTGCGGCTCAACGCCACCAAGGTTATCCTCGCAGTCCGGAGCACCGACAAGGGCGAGGCCGCCAAAACAGACATTGAGCTTACGACCGGCAAACGGGATGTCATCGAAGTGTGGCCGCTCGACCAGGCGTCCTTCGACAGCGTGAAGGAGTTTGCGGCGCGCGCCGACAAGCTTTCCCGGGTGGACTGCGTCGTTCTCAATGCAAGCATCGCAACCAACAAGAGGACCGATGCGGAGGGCTGGGAGTCGCAGGTCACGGTCAATGTGCTGAGTACGTTCCTGTTGGGACTGAAGTTGATGCCCGTTCTGAGGAGGACGGGAAAGACGTACAATGTGACGCCGAAGATGGTCATTGTTGCCTCAGACGCCAGTCAGATGGTGAGTACATGTCCCCCAGTCTTACCTCGAGTTACGCGCTTCTAGGTGTAAGTTTGGTGCTGATTCATGGGCAAAACAGGCCAAGTTCGTGGAACGTAACGAGGAGGACATTTACAAGGCGCTCAACACCAATAAGAGCCTGACAGATCGGTATAACACGACCAAGCTCATGCAAATCATAATCGCGCGGCAGATGGCTATCGCGGCGGACGCATCTGGGAAGGGGAGAGTGCAAATCACAACGCTGAACCCGGGCCTATGCTCGACAGCGCTCTTCCGCAACGTACCGTTCCCCCTGACTGTCGTCGTAAAGATCGGGCTGAAGCTGCTGGCGCGATCGGCGGAGGTGGGGTCGCGCTGCCTCATGTCGGCGGCATTCGCCGGTGAGGAGGCTCACGGGCGGTACATGAGCGACTGCGTCGTCGTCAAGTTCCCGAAGCTGATGCAGGGAGAGGAGGGTGAGCAGATGCAGGGCCGGTTGTGGGAGGAGACCTTGGAGGTGTTGAACGGGGTTGATCCTGGAGTTTCCAGGAACTTGTAGTTGCGTTGTGGGTCTGTTGGTGTATTTGGATAGGATGGCAAGATTGTGAGATACCTCAGTTCAGGATGTTGTTGTTGGTTTGTTGTTCATGTTGTGGTTGAAGTCTCGGAAATGGATTCGTTCGAATTTGGACCAGTCCTGCGACGCTATTGGGCAGAAGGAACATGCCATGTCTCGTTCCTGAGGTTCGGTTCAGGTCGTCAAGGTTGTGACTGTTGAAGGCCGCAAATGTCTTTGCTACCTTAGTTTATAAGCAATTAAATGGTTATTGGATTCTGCCTTTGGGCATGCAAGACGTTTTGGTCAAACCGAAACGATTTCAAGATCTGCAAGGCTATCGCTCCAGCTCAGTGCAACCAGAGAAGCTTCCTTTTTACCCCTTTTTTTTTTTCTCGCTCTCTTTGTCCTACCTTAATTGAAGTAAATCAGGGGGTTCTAATAACGTGGTTTTTGATTTCGCAAAATTCATCATCGTAGAGAAAAATCAAATTGAAAACTGCTACAAGGGCGACTCGAACGAAAAACCTCGCCGAATCGAGAAACCGGCTATCTTGTCATCGAGGCGCAAACACCTTTTGGTTGTCGTCGCTACCAAACTTTCCCTTACCTCCAGATTACAGCCATGACGACGCGAGCAGCAGTCCAAAATGAGCAACCAGTTCATCGTCGGTGACCCCACACTCTAATGCACTGAAGGATGCCCCCACCCCCACAGAGCCCCCTCCCCTTCCGCTAACGCGGGTGTTTTTAGTGCTCCATTGGCCGGGCCGTTGCACGGGTGTAGGTCTGGTTCACAGGCGCATTCTGCCTCGGCTTTTTGGGAGCTTCTCCAACCCTCTCTTTGCCGGTTGATAGCCTCTCTATCTCTACTGCGTCTCATCCCAAAGCCATGAATTTCCTCTGGTCCTATCCCCAACCGTGATGTACATTTCTCTTCCCACAAACATTAATTGAACTGTATAAAACATAGTCAGATCTTTTTTACCTAATTATCACTTCGTCTTAATACCCTTGAATCGACGCCAGCAATTACAGTGACATATACCCACAATGGTCGGCCCTCCGCCACTCAAAGGTATCAAAGTCCTCGAATTCGCCGGTCTCGCACCCGGTCCTTTCGCAGGAATGCTCCTTGCCGATGCCGGCGCCTCCGTCCTCCGTATCGACCGCGCTGTCGGAGGTACCCGTACACCCTTGCCGACGGAGGATATGCTGGCGCGCCACAAGGCCTCCATCGCAGTCGACCTCAAGTCCCGTGAAGGTGTGGAGCTCGTGAAGAGCCTGGCCTCAAAAGCGGACGTCATCATCGACCCCTTCCGCCCTGGAGTTCTCGAGAAGCTGGGTTTGGGACCTGATGTGCTGTGCGGTCTTAACAAGGGACTTGTCTACGGCCGCATGACCGGGTTCCGCCGTGACGGGAGGTATGCGGATATGGCCGGTCACGACATCAACTACCTCGCCGTCTCGGGTATGCTGAGCCTGCTGGGCCGTGAGGGCGAGAAGATCCAGCCGCCGTGGAACGTCCTCGCGGATTTCGCGGGCGGAGGAGCTGTTCTATTCCAGGGCGTTTTGATGGCGCTCTTGGCGAGGGGGACGAATGGCGGAAAGGGGCAAGTCGTCGAGGCGAACATGGTCGACGGGTCGTCGTATCTTGCGACGTTCCCGCGCTTCGCGCTCAAGACGCCATTGGGAGATGCCGGGAGAGGGAAGAATATACTCGACGGCGGATGTCCATACTACGACACCTACGAAACAGGAGACGGTAAGTATATGGCTGTTGGAGCCCTGGAGCCGCAATTTTTCAAGGCGTTGATCAAGGGGCTGGGGTTGGAGGGCCAGGGATGGGAGGAGAAGCGGCACGACCGGGATAACTGGCCCGAGTTTAGAGAACTTTCGACAAGGATATTCAAGAGCAGAACGAGGGCGGAATGGGAAAAGGTGTTTGATGGGACGGATGCCTGTGTTACGCCTGTGTTGGATTACGCGGAGCTTGAGACGGAGAATGGTAGGGAAGGCGATCAGAGGCCCGTCGTGACGTTGGTTGAGACACCGTGTTTGGCCGTCAATGAGAGCAAGGCAGAGGATCCGAGACGGGGACAGGGCCCCGGAGTTGAAGGAGGAGGATACGTTGGGTTTACCCTCGCTCCAGGTGAAGGTGGCGAGGAAATGCTCGCAGACTGGCTTGGGTGGAAAAGGGGGAGGGATTTCGAAGTGCAGGATGGCGGGTTTGTACTGAAACAGAAGTCGAAGCTTTGAGCTGTCTATAAACAGTCACATTATGAATTATTCTCTAGACTTTCTGATTCGATATCTTCTGTTTGAAATCAATGCTGCTGCCGCTCTGTACCTTGAACACCACACCCATCCTCCATGAAGCCGACATTGTTATGTCGAGACTCTCGCCAGGTACCCTTTCAACCTTTCCCATTGAATTGGAAGTGATGAACTTTACAGGATGTTAGTCCAATATTCTTTAGTCCCAATAACAGGCACGGTACCTTGTGGGCTTGTCTTGCTTTCCTAGCCCACCGCTAGCTTGGACTTGGTGGCGGATTCGGCGGTGGTCGAGGAGAAGGGGGGTCAGTCCTCGACATGTTCGTGACCAACACCCAAACCTGTGAGTAGTCTCGATGCGATGAATCTTCAAGGACCTGGTCCACATGTCAACCTTCTTACTCTTCTCGGACTGTGTGAATGGATACTGACGCCGTGTTGCTTCAAGATGGCAACAATACTCAAATCATAAACGCTTCTTAAAAAATCAACACTCGATGGAAGCCCAAGGAGCCCAGGGCGTCTCTGTTCTTTATTTACAGACAGAACTCAAACACCGATTAATGATTCATACCCAAAGCCCTTTTTTTTTTTTTTATTCCCTGCGGCCAATTTCGGTCTTCCTCGCAAGCTCCCTTCCGTCGCCGCTGCGCCCTCCCGTCCCTGACCGCCATTGTCTCTCTCTCTCTTTTTCCTTTTTCACAGATGATAAGATACCGGGATCATATTGTCTGACGCGACTGCCACATGCCGGAAGCCGTCCCGCGAGAAAAGGGGGAGAGACTCTTCTACCAGTCCTCCCAGCCGTGACCGCCCTATCGCCTTTGTTTCAGTTGGTTCCAACGTGTCGGATCGAGTCGGATAGCTCCCCCGCGATGCAGACTACCTCTCCGGCCCCCTCGCCTATCATTGTTGAATCTGGATCGGGCGTGGCAAAGGGAGTGGTTTTACCAGCTGCATTTTTGTTTCCAGTCTTCTCCCGGGGGGGCCTTTCTTGTCCGGGTCTGCATGGGCTCACCGCTCATCACTGCAGGAGTACGCGAGGGGGAAAAAGCAAGCGGGATATACTCGAAAATGGCCTCAGAAGCCCTGATTCGTTCTGAAGACTGACTGCCTTGTCTTGATCGGTCTTCGACGCCCTGGTACACTGCCGAAAACGTTCTCCTGCGTTGCTGCGGTCACAGAGTCGAGATTCATACTTGCTCTCGGTGATGACTCTTTCGCCTGGCGCTCTGTGAACTAGGGAGTTCGACACAAGGATCTTTTCTCTCTATATTTAAAACCGGGATATAGCACTAGCTTCTGCCCTACATGTATGCTTTCTTTTTGGGACGTGGATGATTATGTCATTGTACAAGAGCGTTTCGCTTGTGAGCGTAGGATCTGTATGCCGAGGCTCTCGCCCGTTGAGAAATACATGGTCCAAGGAATTGGAATTGATGTTTGATGTTCTTGTTTAAGTAGCCTCGGCTCGTGAAAAAGAATGGTCTCGTTAACATTTTACGTAAATATTTCGTAAAATATCAACAGTTTTGTTCTGATGCTGGACAGTTTCCAATACACTGTGGCATAATGGGGCATACAGTCAACGAGGTGCCCATTGTAATTCACAACTTCCCGTGAGCGAAACACAGAAAGGTTTACTCAAAAGTAGCTCAAGAGAAAGGAAGGAATGTTGGTATAGTAACCGAACGAATGTGGTAGTTTACAAACAAAGTAAAGCGCCACCATAGAACCCATCGTGTACTCCCTCTTCAGTGTGAAAAAGAGTGTCAGTCTCAACACCCTTCATGGAGTGCCGATCCAAAAATCCCAATTGAGCCCACCGGCAGGCATCCAGAAGCAAACAGAAATAGAAAAGGAAGAGAGGAAAGACATCCTAGAGCTTTACGCCAGCACTCGAGACCCCAGGGCGAAGTCTTCTTCACGAACGTTTCCCCCTTTTGGGAGGGGCGGGGGCAGGCAAAGGCTCAACCGGAATAGCCGGGATGGGAACAGGAACCGGTGCTGGAGCAGGCGCAGGAGAGCCGGTTGCGCCTGACGTGGCCGGGCCGCAGCCGAGGTTGCAAGGCTTCTCGCAGCGGCCGATGAAGTCGGGCTCATCGTTCTTGCAGCGGCCCTGGCACGGGCATATGAGCTCAATGGTGCTCCCCTCCTTTTGACCGGGAGGACAGATACAGACGAAGAGAGTGTCTTCGAGAGATTCGGGAGCCGGTGCGGCGGCGCCGCAGTTGGTGCCCGGAGTAGAGCAGTATCCCTGACCGAGTTGCTCGGAAGTGTAGCCTGGTCTCATATTAGATCATGATACGGCATAAGGAATGGATATAAAAGTCATTAACTATATTCATAATGGGCCATGCGTACCTTGAAAGCCGACGAGGACTTTGCCGCAGTAGGTGGCGCCGCAAACGCAGTGGGCGCCGGCGGGAGCAGGCTGAGCGGGATCGGGGACGCCAGGAGTCGGCGGCCCTGGCGGGTTGACCGGGGATGTCGGTACTGGCACGGGCACTGGTTCGGGGATGGGGACAGGGATATTGGGGATCGGAACGGTGGGTGCAGGCTGTTGACCGGTTACAGTGATGGTCAGGAGGGAGGTTGAGACTGCCGGTATCTGTGGGACTTGAGGCTGTTCCTGGGGCATGGCAGTAACCCAGCCCACGATGGCAGTCAGTGTGAGCAGAGTGAGCTTCATATCCGAGACTAAATATTACAAATTGTTTGAGGTTATTGTTTTCTTCCAGCTTATAACAGTAGTAGTATTCGTAATGTTGATGAGACTGGGGATGATCACTGGATGCTGAACTGGATAGTTGGCATCCTTTATACATCTTCGAAAAGGCATTCTGGATGACTCGAAAGCCTGAAGAAGAGATGCCCTAGGATACACACGGAGTACTCGAACCTAGTTCTCTGCCTTCGTGGATCTGGTCTGACTTTGCAAACTCGTTGTCCGTTTCACCCGTGACGAGGGTTGTACTGAGACGGGATCGAGGGCCATTCCGTCGAGCAAGGTAGGACGCTTGGAGACACCTCGTGCTGGCGCCCTAAGACCCAGTTAAGAATCTCAAGTGCCCCTGTTATGAGTCTGAATCTTGTTGAGCACTTCAAGACTCATTAGAGAGTTGAATGGATATAGTGCTTCGGTTCTCTGTACTATTTCGCTCGTGACATTGCCATTGGGTTTCCGCAACTTTCCGGGGCAACTCGGCCGCGTCATCAAGTTTTGGCTTGAGGTAACCTATCGATATATAAATTCATAGGATATTCTATCCAAAAACGGGTGCAACCAGCCTCTACGAGATTATAACCACGTCACGACCCAAAGCAGCGGACTTCCGGTGCCGCTGATGTAGCTCATTGTACAAGCCAGCTCTCTCTGTGCACTCGTCAACAACGAACCATGACACCTGAGCACCAGGAACACGCTCAGATGAGCACGGCGTTCCTCCAACGTCAGCTGCTGCTGCGCCTCGTGTTCTGGTCTCAAGGAGATTAGGAGAATAGGAGGAAATTCCTGGCCATCGTGGTGCACCGTGGAATGTTTTGTGCGCCGACACGTCAGAACAAGTTTGTCAGTTTCGGCATCGGATGCTCCAGTGTACAATCAGGCACAAGGACTTGATATCGAGCGAACAATAGACTTCAATGTCGGATGAACGGGAGATGGAGGTTGAGATGGAGTCGGCTCGGAGGTTGCTACGGCGTAAGAAGGGATGTGGGACGCCTGAAGCCGAAGCCGAGCTAGTCCCTGCATATGCAACCATGACAGTGCTAAATGATCCCATTTGTACATAAACCAGCACTGTCTGCACCTGAACTACCTTACCCCTCCAACCCCGCCATCTTCGTGCTCCCCAGCCAAAGTGCCTAGACCTCGAAAATCTGATCTTAAACGTCGTACGATTTTCAGGCACGTCCCGGCCATCAACCAACACATCCAAAGCCCAATTGGCCTCGGTCGACTCGAGAAAACACACGAATACCGCCACTTGGCGTGCTGAAGACGAATTTTCTCACCCCCTAACTCCCCCCCGCCTTTCTAGCAACCATGGCCGACAACGGCGTCACCATCCACGTCGGCACGCGCAAGTCGACGCTGGCGATGAAACAGACCACCATCGTTGTCGACGGCCTGACCAAGGTGCGCCCCGAGTACAAATTCGAGATCCACGGCATGCAAACCATGGGCGACAAGGATCAGATCACGGCACTGTACAACTTTGGCGGCAAGGGCCTGTGGACGAACGAGCTCGAGGCCCAGCTCAAGGCCCGCCATATCGACCTCATTGTGCACTCCCTCAAGGACATGCCCACCACTCTCCCCGAAGGCTGCGTTCTTGGCTGCGTCACCAAGCGCGAGGATCCCCGCGACGTCGTAGTCTTCAAGGCTGGCTTGGCTGAGAAGCACGGCTGGAAGTCCATCGCCGACCTGCCTGACGGCAGCGTTGTTGGCACCAGTAGCATCCGTCGCATTGCCCAGCTCAAGCGCCGCTACCCGGGTCTCAAGTTCGCCGACGTGCGCGGCAACATCCAGACGCGCCTCAACAAGTGCGACGACCCCGAGGGCCCCTTCTCGGCCATCATTCTCGCTGCCGCCGGACTGCTGCGCCTGGACTTCGACGCGCGTATCTCGCAATACCTCGACTCGGAGAACAGCGGCATCCTGCACGCAGTCGGACAGGGCGCCATCGGTGTCGAGGCGAGGTCGGATGACGAGCGGGTGCTGAGCTTGCTCAAGGAGTTCGAGGACCGGTCGACCATGCTCGCATGCGTGGCGGAGCGCACCGTCATGCGCAAGCTCGAGGGAGGATGCAGCGTGCCGATTGGCGTGGAGACGAAATGGGTCGAGGTGGATGGGACCAAGAAGCTGCAACTCAAGGCGACGGTTGTGAACGTCGACGGCCAGCAGGCGGTGGACGCGGAGCGGACCGAGGTCATTGAGACGGAAGAGGATGCCGATGCATTCGGCAAGCTTGTGGCACAGGACCTGGTGAACGGTGGAGCACAAAAGATTCTCGACGAGATCAACACAGCACGGCCGGCTGTGCAGGCGGCGACGACGACGACGGCGGAGGAGAAGCCTGCGGCTTAACTCTTTTTAACTTAACGACCATGTCATGACACACAAAAAATAGACTGCTTCCCTGGGGAATTTTTCAAAACGTAAAAATAAAAGGGAACATTGATGACAAAATCCGTTCTGCATCTCTATATCTGCGGTTATCTCGTTGAATCGTAACCCTTTGATAGTAAAAAAAACATATAACCGCTTGGTATCGGTGTATGATGCAACCCGGAGACCCTTCCGTTGCCTATGCAGACCATGTCCCAGGTTGAACTGCCGGCCCACGCCGCCGGTTTATGTCCCCGATCCCTCACTTCCCTTGACCTAATTCACCCATACCGCCACCCGGTGACCCCCAGCAATTTAGTGCTCGGCGTCGACGAAGGCCTTGTACGCCTCAGAGTCCATGAGAGTCTCGAGCTGCTGGACACCCTCCTCGGTGACCTCAATCTTTGCGATCCAGCCGCCGCCGGGGGAGTCGTCCTCGGGGACCTTGTTAATGGTGCTGGGCTTCTCCTCGAGGTTGAGGTTGGACTGGACGACCTTGCAGGAGATGGGGGCGTTGATGTCGGAGGCACTCTTGACGGACTCGACGGCGCCAATGGAGTCGCCCTGGGCGACCTGGGCACCCTCCTCGGGGAGCTCGACGTAGACGACGTCACCCAGCTGCTCAGCAGCGTACTCGGAAATGCCGACGAAGCCAGTCTTCTTATCGGCGTTGAGGTCGACCCACTCGTGGTCCTTGGTGTACTTGCGTATTAAGCCTGGCGGAAAGTCATCCGAGGTTAGCACGATAGCTGTATGGAAAAAGAAGAAGTCGACACCAGAATGGTGTAAAAAGACGGGGTGTCGCAAAGCTCACTCATGGGGGTTGTGGAGAAGGCGCGGGCAGCTGGGCGCTGGATGTAGGCGCGGGGAGCGGCCTTAGAGATTTGGGAGAGGGCGGAGGGGCGGATTGCCCTCATTCCACGAGCAATTGAAGCCATTGTTGAGGTTGTGAAGGTGTTGTCGAGACGGTTGGTGGTGTAAAGCGGTTTTCCTTCTCGTGGAAATTGAGATAATGAGGTCAGAATAGTCCAGGACAACCGGTAGTAATTAGAGCTTTGGGAAGACAGCCGGTTTGGGGTCCTTATCGGTACGAACCCGCTCTGGCGGTGGCTTTTGGCCAATCAGACATGGTTAGCTAATCCACTTTCCACTGTGATTCGGAGCTGCCCACCGAGCGTTCGGGTCCTCATCCGTCGCCTTCATAGCAGTCAAGTGGGATCATTCAAGACAGCCTATCCGGCCAATCATATCAGATTCACGTGCTCTGCCTTAGTCAGAATCGGACTACTGTCGGACCGGCAGGTAACAATGAGGGGAAAGAGGACGGCAAGTGTGTGGCCAATCAATATCCATTGGATAGCCCCACTTTCAGAGCCGGGCACAACCCAATGGCTTGGGCGGAGCGGGCCAGGAATACGTCGCGAACAAATCCACCATCAACGGGGAGCTTCTCTGCAAGTGAGCGGTGGGCGGAGATTGCATAAGGCAAAAAAAATAAAATTCTTTTTTGATCTTCCGCAATTTACAATTTATTTCTATTATTTGTCTTTCTTTTTTTTTTCCTGCTCGAGTTTTAGCTCAACCCTTAGACCTACGATCACGATCGTACTGTTGTCTATCTCGATGCGAGATGCCTCTGGCACACCTGGAAATGCGGTCTGACGCCAGATGCCCTACTTCCTGTGGTCCCCATGCATCGTCCCATGTCGCGTGCTCTGGCTTGGGGTAAGGGCGTTTGTTGACTTTGGGCAGTATTGACATTGAAAATGCTACTTTACCGGACAACCAGCTGCAAGAGTGACAATCCATCATTACGCCAGAGCATCATCTACATTCAAAGGCTCGACAACAACAATCGGCTTGTTCTGTATTTATTGGCCATTGGGGCCGACACAAGATCGATCGATTGTGTTTTTCGTTCCTTGCATTGTGGCTAGTGGCCGGCAACTCACCGCTCCGGGCGCTGTTTGGTTTGGTCAGCAAGGTCTCGGCTGGCCCGTCGAACGTTTTGTCTCACCACCTTACACCGTCCGCATTGGCTCTGCTCGTAGCCGACTGGTGGGCTGTCTTCTGTTTCCAGACACTGTCTCTGTCAGCCCGTCCTTGTCGAGTCCCACAGTCAGTGCTTTTCCAGCTTCTTTCAGCTTCGCCTGAATGCTTCCAAGAGGCGGAGAGCCTCGGGACCAAAGCCTCCAGGGGGAGGGGCCGTCAGCGGGTCAGAGCCAGAGCATGGCAAGCTTCCTGGGAAAAATAGACATGAATTATTATTAACACGGTAATGTATGTAGAGCACATGCGTCTTGTTGTCAACCCGGCATAAATGCCGCCTGGGCCGTAATCCAGCATCCACAAAACGGATGGAATAGCGCCAATTCCATATCATAATCGGGCTGGCCAAAAGATGATGATGGTTTATGTGCGCGTGGGGCTGCTGTGCCTGCTGGTGCCAGTGTAGGTGCACTATTATTGTAGTACACTACGAGTTGTTGCTATGGATTGGCTGTGGACATTTTACTGGGCACAGAAACACAGGAAACACCTACATAAAACGCGTTTCTCGCGTTTTTCTCCACACAGCAACGGCCGAATTGTGAAATTTTGGCGTCATCATCAGAGCCGCCACTCTTCTTCCCCCTCACCCCAGCGTGCATCCTCGGCTCCTTACTGGTCCTTGGCTCCTCCTCCCCCCTGTCACACCTCCCTCGATCTGCCATAAGCGCTGTGGGCTGGGGGCCCTGCCTTATGCTTTCCCTGCGCTTCTTGCGTTGGCGTGCCTGCTAAAAATCCCGCCAGCCCGCTCTAATATCCAGAGTCACAGCACACTGTCCGGCAAGCACAAACACTATGGTACAAGCATCCCCTCAGCACCAACACCCCCATCCCGCCCGTCCTATCCACTGCATTGCATCGCGCACAACACAACTTCTTAGTGCTGTGCTTGGCTGGATCTCCGCTAATCCCATCTCCCTCCCCATCTTGCCCTGACCCGTTTCGGTACATTCCTTGATGACTTCGTTCTCCCATCTGGCACCGCACCGCCGCATCTCATCAGCATCCCGTCCCGTCCGTCACTACCTTGTCCAGACATAGTGAACCTACTTAGGTACCAAACATCACGGGGCTGCTCTTCTTCTTCGTCGTCCTCTGCCCTAACCTTTGGTTTGTCTTACCGTATCTGGCTCCTCTCTGACCCAGCTACTGGATCCCAACGAGGATTACCAAGTCCAGGTTTGCTGGTCCAGTCCGGTGTCCGCATATACCTACTTTAGCCAACTGCCACACACATCACTCGCTGTGTGCGTCTACCGGTACCTTCATCTGGTCCGACCCAAGGCCCTTTCGTCTCATTGCTTGGTTCGACTCGACTCAGCTGTGTGGTGGGCAGCCCCCTGGTTCACTTCCCGCCGCCCAATCCCGTCACTTGTTTCTTCTGCTGCACCGTCTCGACTTTCGAGGTACCGTACCGCTCCGTACCATCCACCATCCATCCACCACCACACGCACTACCTCACACTCTTGTCCCTCCTCCTCCTTCTCGTCTCCCCGGTGTGGAGAGGTTAGGTGAGACATCTTCGCCTGACACTCTCTCATTCCCTTTCTCCTGCGTCGCCATTCACTTCTTTCTTGTCGCCAATCTTAATCACTGACGAATACCAGCTTTCATAGCTGAAGTTGGAGTCAGGCGTCCACGTCCGATCGATCGTTGCGCTCCCCTTTGGTATGAAGCCATCGTCGGGCCTCAGCTGAAACCTGCCCGCCAACGACCCCGGCATTTAGTTCGACCCCCAGAGAGACACTCCGTGCCGACCGACGCTTAGAGTCATCACACCAGGCGGCCATTACGTCGAAACACTTGATACTCTCGTCACCCGTTTGCTCGAGACAGAACCTCGCTGTCCCCCCGCCCCTCCCCGCGATCCTCCACGCTGGATTCCTCAACCCTATCCGCGGGGTCACCGGCCCAGTTCCACGACGCCGTCGACAAGATGGAGCACGAGCAAGTCCTCGCCCCGCCTCACCCCGACGACACGCTCGGTGGTTTCGACGGTTCTCCTCAAATCATCCAGAATCACGGATACGAGTATGCAGAGAAGCAACGTCAACAACCAGCTCAGACCCTCGACCAGGGTCTCCCACCACAATCCCCGCGGGCCGAAGAGCACGCTGACCGCTACAACACGCCGCCGCTCCCCATGAACGCTCCCCCCATCTCGAGACCTGCGTCGGGCCTGTCGGGCGCCGGTGCGCAACAAGGCTACGCCGACCATGCGTCACGAAGCAGCGCCGGCGCAGAGGCCGCAGCGAGCAACGGCCGCAACCACGTTGTTATCAAAGTCGGCATGGTGGGAGATGCGCAAATCGGCAAAACGAGTTTGATGGTAAAGTACGTGGAGGGAAGTTGGGATGAGGACTACATCCAGACACTAGGCGTCAACTTCATGGAGAAGACCATCTCCATCCGGAATACCGAGATCACCTTCTCCATCTGGGATTTGGGCGGTCAGCGCGAGTTCGTCAACATGCTGCCGCTTGTCTGCAACGATGCAGTCGCCATTCTCTTCATGTTCGACCTGACACGGAAGAGCACTCTCAACAGCATCAAGGAGTGGTACCGCCAAGGCAGAGGCTTCAACAAGACGGCCATTCCGATTTTGGTGGGCACAAAATACGACCACTTTGTCAACTTCCCAAGAGAGGACCAAGAGGAGATTTCTAACCAGGTAGGTCGCATTCTTTTGCTACATTGCTTTCAAACTCCTGACAGCAAATAGGCCCGCCGATTCGCAAAGGCTATGCGCGCAGCATTGATCTTCTCCAGCACGAGCCATAGTATCAACGTGCAGAAGGTAAAAAACCACTCCTTGATCTTCGCGCTCCCGCAGAAACTGACTCGCTGCAGATTTTCAAAATTGTTTTGTCAAAAGCTTTTGACCTCAAATGCACGATTCCTGAAATCGAGAACGTGGGAGAGCCGCTACTTCTTTACCAGTCTTGCTGATCCCCACCGATTTAACTCGCGCCAGTCAGTTGTTCTGGCTTTTGATGCGATGCTACTTGGCGTTGCCTGACCTTGTGTCAAACATCCATTCAACTCGGCTGTCGCACACTTAATGGATCATGACCCATTACGTCTTTACGACCTCTATATCCTGCTGATCTCCATCAGCCGAGTCGCTGAACTCTCCTCGTCCGGCATCATACCGTCCGTCAGGCATACGGCCACTGCGAAAGCCTCGAGGTTGAGACTTTCAGATTTGCATAGAGCGCCATGAGCCCTACTTCGGGGCATAATTCGACCGTCGACCCAAAGCACTCACTTTTTCTTTTTCTTTTGTCACAAAACCCGGCCTCGCGAGGGCCTCATCGCAGCGTTTTCAGTGTCACCAGTTTGGTCAACGCGCTCACAGTCACACACATACACAACACATACCACACACCACAAACACATTCCTCTCTCCTGATCGCAATGGGCGTTGCATATCTGTTCGACTTTTATTCTCAAGATTGGTAGGGAATGGCCGGGCTGGTTGAAGGCGGGATAAGATGCATTTTAGGATTATGGTCTGACGGGAAGCCCCTCCACTCAGATAATACCCTTGGGCTTTTCCTCACCGTCGATGAGAGCGAGGAGGGAAAATGATGTTGGAAGGGGGGAAAGACCGTCTTGTTTCTGGGCGTAACGGCCGTTGCGAACTGCACCAGAGAGAAACTGGAGTAGAAATTTTTGGTTTTCCACACATTTTCCTTTTTCTGGTTTTTTTTTTTTTCCCTTGGTCTCAACTAAGTCACTAACCACCTTGACCCCGCGAACCAATGGTTGTTTACCCAGGGCAAATCCTGAAGATGGGGATGAAGAAGAAGAAGAAGAAGAGAAGAAGGAAGAAGGAAAGACGAGACCTTATGTAACAAGTAATTCACCTCGCGTGTCTTTTACTTTATTCGGCCCCCCCATTTTTGTTTTTCTTTCTCTCTCGGAAAGTCAGAAACAATACCTACCCTTGGATTTTATAAAAAGGGTTGAAAAGACAAAAAAAGGAGAAAACGGCTCCTGAATGTCTCGTCCGAAAGTTTCTTGGGGGAGGGGGGGGGGGGGGGGGGGGGTGTAAGTAGACGAGCTTTGTAATATTTTTTTGTTTTTCCCAAGAAGCTTCGCTGTCAAAAGAAGTAGACGAAGCAAAAGCTGATTATCGGACGAAATCCCAGATGCCGTTGAGAGAGAGACTTTGTGTAGTGCGTATGTGTGTGTGTGTGTGTTTTGTTTCTTGGTGATTGATTTTGAGACGTGTGTGCGATTACTGACTTGCAGATTCTGCTGAGTTTACGTTCTCCATCAAGTGGTTGCTTATTTGCGCATGCTGATAACGGACAGCAGAAGCTGGATTCAACGATGAGGAGAAAGAAGACGGTTTGCATGAAGGAACGGGAACATTATTAATCTTGTATTAGGTATGTTATGCGGAACGATACAATGATTACGAGGGGTTTACGGCTCCGAGTAACGGTTTCCCCCCCGGGGCCGAACGCTTTCAAAATCTTCGGACTTCTTATTACCGCATTATATTACGAGCCCAAGGGATTCATTTCGTTCGCCTTACTTGTGTGGAACTACATATATACCCGGCACTGCAGCGAACGACACTGCCGCTACGGACGCCAGTCGCCTCCAAAGTTGAGCTCGACGGCGTACTTGAGCCACAACTCCGTGTTCTCCTTGCGCCAGGTATCCGCCTCGACGTACGTGTTGATCTTGTTATCCGAGAAGGTGGCGTTGAACACCATGTTGGTCGGCTCCGAGGCCGAATATTCAGGCCAGTCTGGCACCGTGGGCACTGCGATGATCAGCTTAGCTTCCTGGAATTTTTTCCATCTCACATGCACAGGCAAAATCTTGTTTTTTGGGATCTGGCGGGTGAAGGGAAGGGGGGATACGTACGTGAGATTGAATTGGGGTCCCCCGTCGCAATATACGAGATGAACTTATCCGCAATGTTCCGCGAGAGCGTCAGGTGCGACGAGACGTTCCGCACGGCAGGGTTGAGCCCCAGCATGTTGTACTCTGGCGGGAAGTTGAAAAAGTACGCGTACTCGGCCGAGTGCGTCGCGAAGCCCGGGGCGATGGCGTTCTTGACGATGGGCACGTCCGTCGGGTTCGTGTCGAAGCGGTAGCTGTACGCCGACAACCCCGCCGCAGCCCACGCCTCCGCCGTCGCCCGCCGGCCGAGGATCTGCGCGTAGTCGCCCATTATCCCCGCGATGCGCCGGTACTGCGCGCCGCAGGTCATGTTCGCTTCGCGGAGCGCCTTGCAGAACGGGTCCTGTGCCGGGTTGTCCGGGTCGGCGGGCAGAGATAGCGGGGGCAGGACAGGTCCGCGGGTGGTGTACGCCGAAAGGACATGCTGAATGGTCGACTCGCGGGCGCCGGTGAAGCTGGCGCGGAGGAGCGCGGCGGTGTCTTCGTCTGTCTCGGCGCCTGCCGCGAGGGCGTTGGCGGTCAGGAGGCCCTCATCATTGTTGGCGCCGATGATGATGGAGACCGGAGCGATGGCACCCTCGAGCATCTGCCATGTCGGCGGCTTCTGGACGAAGTTGCCGTCGATACAGGGCCACCAGAGCGGGAAAGGGTACTTGATGGTTGTGTTCCAGACAACGTCGGCGGGCGCCTCTCGGACGCAGTCGAGAGTGCGGTCCGCGTCGGCGCAACCCGTCACGTCCAGCAGTTCGTCGTATGCTTTGAGAGCGTTAGGGTGCGTGGGAAGGAGGTAGTTTGTAGCAAATCCGGCGCTCCCGCTGACTAGGATACCACCTCTGAACAGGTCTTCTGCACCGCGACCGCCATAGGCGAGGATCTGGTGGCCGATAGAGGCGGCGCCGGCCGACTGGCCCCAGAGGGTGACTTTGCGGGGGTCGCCGCCAAAGGAGACGATGTTTTCCTGGATCCAGAGGAGGGCGTGGCGCTGGTCCTTCAGACCGAGGTTTGTCACGCCTTCAGCCGCGACTTGTTTGCCGCCGGGGAAACCGAAGAAGCCGAGGCGGTAGTTTATGGTCACGGCGATAATGGGCGTCCCGTTTTCCACGGAGTCGCGGACGATGTAGGATGTGTTGGTGTTGCCGTCCGCGCCGAAGCCTGCGATGAAGCCACCGCCGTGGATCCAGACCACCACCGGCAGCTTAGACTCCGGGGTTGTGCCGGCAGGACGGATGATGTTGAGGTTCAGGCAATCTTCGCCAACCGTCACGCCTTGCGATATAAGCGCGGCAGGGATGTAGTCTGCGTAGCAGGCGATGGTGTAACGGGTGGCATCGCGGGTGTCGGTCCAGGATTCGTTGACGGGGATAGGATTGCGGAGACGAGGGCCAATGGCGTAGGGTATCCCTAGGAAAAGGTCTTGAGAGAACTCGGGGAGATGGCGGCCAGAGTATGTGCCGTTTAACGTGTGCGCCAACGGGGAAGCAGTGGTGCAGGCGGTGTGTGAGGAGGATGCTAAGAAGAGCAGGGCAAGGAGGGGGAGAGTAATCCCCGTGAAGAAGGCCATGGTTGTTCTGGTGGAGGGCCAGATAGGTTGCTTAGACTGAGATTTGGGTTTTGAGGGAATTGTCCCGTAGTCTTTATAGACAGCGACCATCGTGACGATGTGCGGGACGGCAGCGTCCCAACTTTCAGGTAAGCCTTCTCCTAATGTCTTCCTGGAGGTCAGAATCCTGTTGTGATCGCTTTACTACTCATGGCAAGACGTCATAATCCTTCGCGCTGTATACCTGGCAACAGCAAGAGGCAGTGAACATGTAGATGCAGTCCTCGGATATTGCACCGAGTAGAGTTAAAGGCGCATTACGTTAAATAGGGCAGACCAGGATCTCGATATGCACGAGATAAACGAAGGATGTTCGCGAGTGATTTCCGCCAGTCTGAAGACCCGAAGACCTGGAATGGGTGTGAACCGGCTAAACTCGAAGGGATCTATTGGCCAGGGGTTCATGCAAAAGAACGGCCCGCGGATTGGGGTCGGGCGCGAGGCTGAGTGGCGGGTTTATCCGGAGGCTAACTGTGAGGTTGAATTTGTACCTTGAGATATTACCTATGCTAATATTCTCGTGCTTAAGTCTTTTTCTGGGCCGACTGAAGTTGCCTCTCGTTGAGGGAATAGTTAGGGACTAGCGCTGATACTGCCCTCTTGAACCCGGTTCTGTTCAAGCGCAGGTATATACTGTTAGCAACGCGATGTTAAATCTTCTACACTTATTTCGAAGCTCATAAGCTTGTGCGAAATTCTCCTGTTATAATGTATTGTTGAGAAATGATCTCTTTCTCACCAACACGCTGCAGATGAGATTGACGATTCAAACATGCGAACGGCTGCCGCGCAGTGAAGTAAGGACGCTACATGACCAAACTCTTCTTCCGACCAAGAGTTTCTCTGAATAGATTGGCGAAGACGAACTATGATATACGATAACTTGTCCATTAATAAAGACAGTATGAACAGGGACGAGAGAAACTGCCTCGTTTAGTATACACGGCCACCTGTTTCTAGCTCTCAGAGAATACTTGTTACACGAGTGTGACCCCAAGCAATTATTCTCATAAACAGAAATATTACATTATCTCCTCCTTACTAAGCACTCATATCTACTAACAACTCCTAAAACGTTTGCTCAACCTGCCAATAGGCAACTGCTGCCAGTCAAGCCGGTGTAAAAGACAGTAGGAAGAGGCTCTACATTGGTAAGAAAGCTAATCTGTTCCCATTTGTAAGCACCAAGTCAATTGAAACTAAATCATAACCGCAACTCATCACTAAGATCAAAGAAGTGGTTGGGTTACCCCAGGATCGACAAGAAAGCCATGGGCGAACCTCAAGACAACTGTCACAAGCAGAACAACAGGCATTGGTGAAACTTGTTAAACATTAAGATCTAGCCTTTACAATCCTCTAGTGGACTGAGTGGCGCAGTGTTCCTCTATGATACAGGTATCTTCCTCAACGCCATGCGTCTAAAACAGGAGCTGCTTGCTCAATTATAGAGCGAGATGCTCTAATAACACCAACCGCAAAAGCTTCTACTCGAGGTTCTGCGCCTCACACATCTGCTTGTACATGCCTCCCTTCGCAACCAACTGTGCATGCGTGCCCTTCTCCACAATCTTGCCGCCGTAGAAGACGCAGATCATGTCTGCATCCTTGACGGTCGACAGACGATGGGCAACAGCAACCGTTATCCTCTCACCGTCGCGTGCCGCCTCGTTGAGGGCCCGCTGCACGACCTTCTCTGACTCCGTGTCGAGGGCACTGGTCGCCTCGTCAAGCAGCAATATCCTTGGGTTACGGATCAGAGCCCTTGCGATAGCAATACGTTGCCTCTGGCCTCCTGAAAGCTGCATACCGCTGTTTCCACAGGGTGTCGCCAGGCCCTCAGGAAGAGAAGAAACAAAGTCCCACGCATTAGCGGCGCGGCAAGCTTCCTCAATTTGCGAATCAGGCACATCTGTAAGGGAATCTGAGTCAATTCCCAATGCAATATTCTCTCGAATGCTGCCCTGGAAAAGGGTCGGCTCCTGTTGGACAAGAGCCACGAATTGGCGGTAGAGACGCGGGTTAAGATCCAAAAGGGCATCACCGTCTATACGGATCGCACCGGTGGTGGGATCATAAAATCGTTCAAGCATGGCGATCATCGTGCTCTTGCCGCAGCCCGAAGCACCGACCAGGGCGACGAACTGACCCTTCTTGACCTATGGCTTTGTTAGTTTTTGGGGTTCAAAGTTGAACAGAATACCATTATGCGTACCTCCAAGTCGATTCCACGAAGAACGTGGGCGTCAGGGCGCAGGGGGTAGGAGAACCGAATGTGGTCAAAGTCAAGTGAGGTACCGGTCTTGGGTGCCTTGTCCTTGTTGTCTGGCGTTTCTTGGATGGTCGGTTGCAAGTCGTGGAGCCAGAAAAGATAGTTTGCGGCGTTGATTCCCTTGGTCATACCTACTGTCCGTTAGTCATTTGAAGCGTTTCAGTTGCTAGGGTCACATACTGCTAGAGTACTGGAAGAGTTGGGCAGCAGCTTGACCAGAGAAAAAAGTGCCCATGAAAGCGACGAAGAACTGATACATGCTAATCTCATTGAATGACAGCAAGCGACAACCGTACCTGGGACATGTTAATGGAGCTCATATCATAATTGCTCAGGTACTCACCAGAAACCAAGGGCCATAAAAAAGTATTCGATACACTGAGTAAGACCAAAAGCAATCGTCATGGTAAATAGCGGGGTGGTGGAAGCTCTGACGGCGCGATCAAGTTCGTCGGTGTATCTTTTCAAAACGGACTCTTCAATAGCCAAAGAAGACACTGTACGAATGGCAGTGACTGATTCCGATGCAATCGCGGCGCTCGCCGAATAGCGCTTCGACGTGTTGTTATCGAGCTTGGCATCAAGACGGACTTTGATGTAACCCGAGCTCACAAGAGGCGGCATACCAGCCAACACGACGACAAGGCCAAGCTTCCATGTTGTAACTATCGCGAGGATACTGCACGCGACAACATTCAAGGTCGATATCAGGATGAGGCCGATGTTGAAGCCCATGAGCTCCAGAATGGACTGAGGGTTGGACTCAAGCTTGCTAGCCAACGCTCCAGTGTTGTTCTCGCTGCGATCGAAGAACTGAAGGTCTTGTCTCAGAAAATCATTGAGTGCCTGGCGACGGAGTTTGTGGTTGAGACCCTATTCAAAATTAGATAAGACCAACAAGCATACGGCAGGATGAATAATTACCTGCGCAATTAGATTTGTCGCCCATCCCATAGCAAAGTAGCAGGCGAAGACGCCAAGGGCTAGTACGAAGAACATCAGAGAGAAGAAGTTGCCGCGGGAAATCATTTGCGATCCCGTCAGAGTAAATACGTCGACGAGGTTCGCAATGACCAATGACTGGCCGGGAAATGCACCAGCTAGGATATTTCAGTAAGTCGAACGTACACGAATCAGTTGAGACATATAGGACTTACCGGCAACGACGACAGCAGCCAGGGTAGACAGATAGGCCCACTTCAACTCTGGAGTCTCACGAACCATTCGAATAACAACGCTTAAGAGGCCCTTGTGTTTATGGTGATCATAATTGTCTCGCTCCTTTTGGGCCTCCATACGGGTTCGATCTGTGGTTCGATAACGGCTCATCGTCGTCGTAAGTTCAATGTTATCCTTCGGATCCTTTGGAGTAGAGTCCTCATCATCTCCCTCTGTCTCGGTGACAGATCCTTCCTCAGAAACAGACAAGTTCTGGGCTCTGACCAGACGGGTGTAAGCACCGTCCTGCTTAAGCAGTCCCTCGTGCGTTCCTTGTTCGACAATTGTTCCCTTATTCATCACGACGATGTTGTCCGCCTTGCGAATGGTGGCAAGCTTGTGAGCGATGACGATAGTCGTGCGGCCTTCGGATGCCTTGTCGAGAGCCTGTTGCACCACACCCTCTGCGTGAGGGTCAAGAGCACTGGTGGCTTCGTCTAGGAGTAGAACCTTGGGTTGCGAGATAATGCTACGAGCAATTGCGACACGTTGCTTTTGTCCGCCGGAAAGGAGACCTCCGCGTTCGCCAATCATGGTATCATATCCCTCGGGAAGCTGTGAGACAAAGTCGTGGGCGAAGGCAATCTCTGCGGCTTCCTGCACGCGTTTCATTTGTTCCTCACGAGGAGCGTTTTCCCACTGTGTTCCAACCAATCCATTGGCAATGTTGTCAAACACGGTACCCTGGAATAGAACAGGCTCTTGTTGAACAAGTCGGACATTCTTCCTAAGCCAGTTGAGGTTCAGGCGGTCGATAGGCCGACCGTCAAGCTTGATGGTGCCAGCTTTGGGGTTATACCAGCGCTCAATCAAACCGATGATTGTGCTCTTGCCAGAACCACTGGAACCCTACAGATATGTTAGAAAAGAATACGGGTGTATGGCAGAATAAAGCTTACGACAAGGGCAGTGACTTTGCCTGCCGGGACATGAAGGGAGAAGTTATCCAGCACCGTAACGCCGGGTCTGGTCGGATACGCGAATGTGATATTCTCAAGGTCGACAACTCCTATCGTTTCAGTTGGTTGCTCACCAGACTTGTCAAAGGGGTCAATATCGGAAGCTCGATCGATGAGCTTGAACAGCTGAGCGGCGGCGGAGGCGGCACGGGTGAACTCGATAATGTAGGGGGTAAGCATGGTGAGACTAGTTGTACCAATGACAACGGATAGAAGGACACTGAGGAATATTAACCAACCGACACTTGATGGTAAACAGTAAAGACACAACTTACGTGAAGATGTCACCGGATTCAGTAATTTCACCCCGGTTCAACATGTGCACACCCTGCCAAAAAGCCAAGGCGAAACCGGCGTAAATGACGAAATACTCGGTGGAAAACAAGATACCAAACAAGGGGGACTTCTTCTTTCCGAGGTTATGGGCATCTTGGAGAAACTTGTCAAACTTTTGCACCAGCCTCGCGCGAATCTCGAAGGCGTGAACAGTTCGGGCACTTGATAGAATGCCCTCTGAAAAGGAACCTGCCTGGGCGTAGGTGTCGAGAATCTTGGTCTCGAGTGCAGCCTCAATGGTGGACGCGACACCCATGATAACAAGAATGAGGGGGGCGATGCCGCAGACGATGAGCGTGAGCTTCCATTGTGTAATGAAGGAAACGATGAAAGCTGTGACGAAGACTGCCAAACCCTGGAACGTTAATGCAAGCTTTTCAGCGATTCCGACCTGGATCAGACGTCCGTTCGAGATGGCCTGGGTTGCGATGGAGCCGCCGGTGCCAAAGTCATAGTAGGCAACCTCTTGCCGGAGGGCTGCGTGTAGGTATTTGTGTCGAATGTTCCTTGTTATGCGGTAGGCAGAGAATGTGGTCAAGGAGATGTAACCATATGCGAGGGCGAACCTTGCAATTCCTAGGTAGACAAAGTATAGACTAAGCTAATGGTCAGCGTTCAGTTTACCCAATGCCGGCTAGAATAAATGAGTACTTACGCAAGCTTGGAGACCTCACCGCGGAAGTGACTCGGAGTAGAGTTCCCAGTGGTGAAGTCCTGAATGGTGGTAACAAAGCTGCCGAAGATCAAGTTTTGAAGGGCAATTCCAGCACCAGAAGCTATTGCGCACAGTATAGAGACGGCCTGGAGAGTGCGTTCGAAAGTCCCTCCATATGAGAAGATCCTCTTTAGTTGAAGGTTAGCATAAGTCAGGCCCAGCGGCCGGGCCAGTCGGCAATCCGGGAGTTGTTAGCTCTTACCAAATAGGCCTTGAAAGCGCCGCCTTCCTCCTTCACTGCCTCGGCTGGCGAACTCTCCGCAGCAACAGCAGAGTCCTCTGCTGGAGAATGACCCTTCTTCTCGGATTCGGACCCCATCGTACTGGATTGCTCTGCGTCGGGGCTCTCTTTTTTGTTTCCTCTCCTGTTTTCCTTCTCCCCCCTGATTGTCCCTTTTTTTTTTTTTTTTTGGTGGCAGCGGTGATTATGACGTTATTGTATTCTGCGTTGAATGGAGGTGGGTGTGTGCCTTGGACCTCTGTTTCTTGTGTATTAGTGGGAATTGTCAGTGCAAAACCCTCGGATGAAGACAGCTATATCTCATGCCGCCGCATCACCCCGGAATTTAAAATCTGAAGAGTTCCGGATGAACGTTGTAAATTTGTCTTCTACTCTGAAAAGATTTCATTTGATTGCGAACTATTTGACCAAGTGACGAACATTCAATGTCGCCTTTACCTGCCGGTGACAGTAAAGGAGAGCGCGCGAGCGCTCCCGCGGACCGCCGTCATGGATCCTGCTGGGTGGGTCGTGCGAATGCTTGGCATGTTTTGATAGATTTGATTGGCTATAAAGGCTTGGCGGGCAGTCAGCGGGGGCCGAGGGGTGGTTTTGCCAACATGCCATAGTAACGGAGGCCGGTGCTCTCGGGACGCGAGAACTGGAAAGGGGAGGCATCCCTGCACACTTGCGGAGGCTAAATGCTTTAAAGACGTGCTGTCTCCAGGTCTGTTTTTGTCAGCATCACTTCAAAGCTGTAGTATGTTTGTAGCTGATGACGATGACGATGACTCTTTCACCGCGCATCTCTCGGTGACTCATAAGAAGCAACGGCGCGCTGCCCGAATGCTGCGTGAGGGGCTTGGCGCCAGCAAACATGTCTCCCCGTGAAAGCGGAACGGAGCAATACTCTTTCCAAGGCGTCAAATCGGGCTTCTTGTAAGTGTAGCCCCCTACCAGGCCTTCTGAGGATGTAAGTGGTATAAGGTAATCCAGCCAAGACGGCAACAGCTGGCTTAACACTGCACACATGACCTTGGCGTTGACGTGGTGTCTGCCTCCTATACAAGGTGACGACTCTGATGGTGATCATGATTAAACCCTTGAACAAAACCGAGAAAACGGGAGTGGTCTTCGCAATAGTCAGCTTGTTGGTGATAGATAACCTTGTGCCTGGGCTTGGTTCAAGGGTCTCAAGCTCGAGGACCTGGGCTGGCCACGAACGGGCTGTAACATCCTGTTGGGGTGACCCCGGGAGCTGCCGGTGGGATGTGCTTTAAACATGCAGCGCAATAGCACTAGAACAGCGCCGGAAACGAAATCGATGGCTGTAGAGTCCTGTTACTGGCGAATCGTTGTGTTGCAAATTCGTACACTAGTACCTCACTGGCCCATGTCCCAGCTATACCAGGCTGCTGAGCGGCCTATCACGCCAGCTAGCCTGCAGTTGAAGCTTAACTGTCACAAAATTATCCATGTCCGTCCCGCTATACTCTTACATCAACCATTCATATGAACTTCGCCCAGGCCCTTCTCTTCTCCCAAGTCATCGTCTCCATCCCTTTTCAACTGCAGATACGAAATTTCTGCACCCTCCGGATCAGCCCCCTCAGCCTCTCTTACGGAGCCTACCTATCGGTCTCATAAAACACAGCCACCGGCATCCCGCCTGGTGGCCCCACGGCCTCCATCTAAAGTGCTTCGGCTGCGGGCTCCGCGCACTCCGCATCCGTTTCTAAGTAGAGCTTCGAAGAACGCCTCTTTCTCCGCCGAACTTATTGCTGAAGCTCCGGATTGCCACGCCCACCCTTCTTCAATTTTGTTCGGGGTCCGATTTCGCCATCCCTCCGAAAGTCTCCTTCACCCTCCACCCCGCGTCTTAGTCTCCCGGCTTGCGCTCTTGGCTTTCTCTATCCGCCTGGCGGGGCCTCCTAGAGATCCCTTGCATCTCAGTCCTTCCACCGTCCAATTCTGCAAAGCCAGACTTCACCCACATCCCGCCGGTCACCATGGACGTAGAATCCTCTGGTGCTGGAGTCGGAGGTAGTGGTTCTGCCGCAGGCCCCTCAAATTCGAACCTTCCGATTAAACGAGCGGCAAGTTGTTCGCCATGTGCCCCTTGTAATGCAGCTGTCCAGCTAACAGAACTCGCAGTGTGATGCTTGCCGTGCCCGCAAGGTATGCCGATAGTTCCCTTGTCCTCTTTTGCACTTTTGGCGTGGTTATAACAAGTGTTATGTCATTCAATGCCACTCATTGGGCACGTGAGACTGATCATCCGCCTACCCCAGATTCGCTGTGATAGGGAGACCCCATGTGCTCACTGCCAACACGCCGGCATTGAGTGCAAAAGCACGTCGGGATTGAAGCCCAAGGAGAAGAGGACTCGCATTCTTATTACCCCTCAATAGTGAGTAAACTGTCTCATCGTTTATGTGCACTCTCTCTAAGTTCGACGCTCTCTCCCGCTTAGTGAGAAGAAGATCGATCTCATTGACCGTCGTCTTGATGGTGTCGTGCGTCTCCTTGAAGACCTCAAACTACAACTACCATCGGCTGCAACAGCGACCGTCTCGGCCCCCTCTGCCTCCGCTATAAACCCCGCCCCGCTTCCGTCCAAGTCTGTCGCTACTTCTACTTCAACACCAACCAGCCATGCCAACTCAGTGCTGGCGTCTGGCCCCATGGTCGAGGGCGAGTCATCCATGACGGCTCAATCCATATTTGCCCATGAGTTTCTTCGTAAAACCGTCGGCGATGGCCCGTCTGTCCTGGAGATGCGGGAAACGCTAGACGCACTACACTCACTTGTTGAAGCACTTAAGCAACAGCCTGCCTCTCACGAGATGACGTATCCCCATGCCAGACATTTGCCCCGGCCTTCCTTAAGCGACTGCGAGATGCCCCCGGTACAGTCGGCGGTTAGCGTCATACGTGAGGCAAAGGGTTTGTCTCTCCGCTTGGGCCTCTCTAAGCATCTAGTTGATGAATCATGTCTAACTTGGTGTAGCTCAACGGGTTCTTGGTGTGCAATGGGTCTACAACTTTCTCCATATGGACCATTTCACCGACCTATGCCTCAAGGTATACTTCGCGCCGAATGAGTTCAACGAAGCCGAGTTTATCATAGTAAACGCCGGGCTGCAAAGCCTCTATATGGACATGGAGACAATCGGAACGTGCACGCAGCAGCAAAAGGAAGAATATCATAAGATGAGCAGAGTATGTCGTGGTAACCTCGAAACTGCACTCGCCAACCTCCCCTTGCATCTACCGGCTACCATGGACATGATCGTGGCACTATTATTTGGAGTAAGTGGAGGTTTTACCTGGGAAATTTCGCCCTTTGTCTGACTTTTGACAGTCGTATCACGCCGTCGAAGTGGCCAAGCCGTCTCTGGCATGGACGTTAAACTCAGCGGCGGCTCAGCTATGTCAAAGCCTTGGGTATCACCGAATAGCGTCCGTCAGGAGCGGTAATAGGGACGACGAGGATTACAAGATTTTCCTTTTTTGGTCCGTTTACTTCGTCGATAAGAGCTTGTCTCTACGCTTGGGACGCCCCTCCACAATCCAAGATTACGACATAACCGTCCCCTATCCGTCCAGTGCCAGCCAGATGCACGGTTCTTTGATGAGCTACTTTTGCTTATGGGTCATTGTGTCTGGTATACAGGGCAAGACGTACGAACAGCTATACAGTCCTGAGGCAATATCTCAGCCTGCCTTGGTCCGTGAGGGTCGCGCTCGTGGCTTGGCTGCGGAACTCCAGCGCGTGACGGAACGCACGCAAGAAACCCATGTGAGTACCGAGGAACAAGAAATAGCACACCACAACGACTCACCAGTCTCAGGCACAATATTTAAAGGCAGCAATCGATGCTGTTGGCCAGAACACTATGGATTTCTTCAATGTTTCTGACGAAGTTTTGAGACTGTCGTTGCTGACCATCATCTATCGAGCCGTGCCGTCACCACCGGGCTCTCCTACGACATTCAGCACAGAATGCATTGACGCAGCAAGAGCGACCTTGCAGAGGCATCAGGACTGCGTAGAGATCATGGCCAAAGACGGCTATTATTTGTTCCCGATGTATATGAACTGGTGAGTTCTAGCCACAAGCTGCCGAGGACAGCGTAGTATTGGCTGCAGAGAACTGACAGCCCTTTTAGGACAATTCTTTTCGCCCCTTTCGTACCGTTCATCGTGATATTTTGCCAAGTCATGGAAACCAGCGAATCGGAAGATCTGGCTCGGCTTCAGGCCTTTGTTGACTCGATCCAGGCAGCCAAAGAATTCACCGAGGCATCAGCAAGGCTCTACCGCCTCTTCCAGGTGCTTTACAACGTGGCTTTACGGTATGTCGAGTTGCGGAACAACTCGAAGAGGTCGGAGCAGGCGCAGGCCACCCAAGAGATGGATAAGTATCTCGCGGCACTCGGGTTCCCGCCGTCGGGGCTGGTCGGAGGAGCCGACCGGCAGACGGCCGAAGTGGGGAATACGGAGCAAATTGGGTCGCTGGGCGAGGAGGGAATGAACCCCACTGGATCGGGCCCGCTCAGCCAGATGTTGTGGATGGGAAATGCATCGCAGCTGGAAGATTGGTTCTACAATAACCAACAGATAATGGGGCTGGTGGAGGACGATGCGTCGCTGTTTCAATGAAACATGAATTACGAAGTTGCATGCGAGTACCAGCATTCAAAGCGCCATTGTTCCAAAATAGAAGGCAGGATATTCCGAATACGAAAAATTGCATATGTATGGGATTTGGGCGGGTAGGTTTGTATTGGCGGTACCACGGAAAATGATGGTTGTCGACCTGGGCGAGTGAAGTTCAGGCTGCCGAGGCCCGCGCCCTGCCCATGACCTGGCGTGTATGGGTTCACAGCTCCAGCTACTACGATGGTTTTACATGGTTGTTACTTTAGCTACCATAAACCGGATGAGAGGAATCGCATTAAGCATCAGCACTCAAAAGTTATTGGAAGTACGGGGGGGCTACGGTGTGCACATAAAGACGTGGTACAATTTCATAAAAAGCATATATGCATCAATGCCTTGTCTCCCCTCAATCACCTGTGTGGGCGGTTATATATAGAGAGCTGGCAGTGTTGCATTGATTCAGCTGAAGAATAAGTCTTTGCTTCTCCAACTCAGATGTCGCAGATTCATTGGTGGTCTTCCTGCCGCATCTTATAACCGCTCGCCCCCAAAAGCCCGAGCTAGCCGACGCATGTTTTCCCCTTCTGTGCGCGCCTGCATGCAGATGTTTATGTGTGAAGGAATGTTCTCATGTCTTGGACATGTGACGAATTCCGTCATCAGTCTGTCTCAGGATTGCGCTGGGATGAAGGACTGGTCAAGTATGAATCCATCACCTAGGAGTCTCTGTGACAGCCATTAAGCACTGAGGCGGACGGATAATGAGATCCAGTAGTCAAACAGTTATTTATCGTCTTTCCGTGGATTGTTTGCACAACAACGCCGGACAACCAAAATTGGTCGAGAGCAGGTGTACGGAAGATGCGGATACCTACGGATACAGACACAAGGAACAAGCTGCCTGCGGTTTCTCCGCATTTGCCAGTGGGACGCGGCAAGCAAACACGGGGTAAGCATGGGATCAAGGGTGCTCGTTCACAGCCTGAGCGGCATAATATTGCATGGGTCTTTTCAACCGAACTACAGCTCTACAGATGAATGTCTACGAGGGTTGATGAAAAAGGGCAAGGAGGTACATGAAGGATAGCTTTATCGGGCTTATCGGGGTCCTTCAATAGCGGGGAATGAAGCCGTGCTGCCATGTTTTAGTGTCATGTTTTAGTATCCGCAACCCCACACCCCACACTGGAGAAGCGGGTCCGAGGCGCATCCATGCTAACTCCTTCCCTGCAAGGAAGCAAGCATGCAGCAGGCCACTTCCACCAACATCTCACACCATCCCTTCCCAGAGCTCCTAACGTACTGCATGTCCTTTTCCTTGGTCGCATACACACCACCACCACCACCACACCATAACATTTGCTACAGCGTGGCCGTTCTCCAGCCGTTCGTCTAGGATTCCCTCGCGGACCTTCTCTAACCGCACTTCTTCACCCCGGTTATTTTACCCATGAGCGGGCGAGGCAGAGACCGCTGAGCTTTGGGCGGGGTGCCACCTTGGCGATGACCCCTCCCAAGCACCCTGCCAAAGTAATGATTGGAGGAGCTTGTAGCTTTCGCTGTCACATCTGCGACGCGCTTGGCCGATTCTGCACTTCCGTCTTGGGGTACAATGGACGGAGGGAGAGAACAAGGATTCGGATGCGCGGATGGGCCAGGAGGGCGGAGGCAGAGAAGAAAGTGACGAGTGAGGGGCATAGAGAGACGCGGCAGAATAACGTGACACAGGACAAGGCCATTGTTTGTTCCTCCTCGGGCGCAAAGTCAATCCCAACTCTAACATTTCCTTTGCTTCTCCTTTTTCTTCTCCCTTTCCACCACATCCTCCTAGCTCCTCTGAAAGACAACCACTAGCGACGAGAGCTTCACGCTGTCTTTTCAGTCTGTCGGTCGATCGGCAGTGACGACGACAGATGAGAAAGCACTACCCTACCGCCTCGTCGCCCCGGCTTCGTTAGCCTGGTTGCTCGAAGCTCCTCGCCAAAGATGGTGAATCCCTTCGTCTTGCGGCCAGCTCTGGCCCACAACCTTTGCTCACCCCGTGCTTGCGGGCGGCTTGTCCCTCGTTCGTGGCCGATCGGGCTAGGTAAGCCAGCTTTCTTCCCGCCACTAAGCAGCGGGCGAACTCAATTGCTTCACAATCGAAGCTGACTACCCCGCACTAGACGTTGCACCAGCTCTTCTTGCCATTGAAGGTCAGCGCAAGTGGCATTCCAGCCATACGCGAGCTCGCCAGACGAAAGCTCTAATCCCGGCTGTCTCAAAGCCGCTGCAGCTTGTCCGTCATGCTTCCGTAGTCTCTGGATCCGGTCCCGTCGCCGCTGCGACCTATTCCACGGTTGTAGAGCCGCACACCGTTCCGTACACCCAGCTTACTGTCGGTGTGCCCAAGGAGATTTACCTTAACGAGCGACGCGTTGCATTGACTCCACAGAATGTAGCTTTACTGCTGAAGAAGGGATTTTCCAAAGTTCTTGTAGAGCGTGGCGCTGGCATCGAAGCTGATTTCCCCGATGCGGCCTACGAAAGCGCCGGCGCAACACTTGTCGATACTGCTAACCACGTCTGGTCCTCTTCCGACATCGTTCTCAAGGTCCGCGGGCCCATCCCAGCTGAAATAGAGCTTATGAAGGAAAACCAGACCGTGATTTCCTTCCTCCAACCTACACAGAATAAGCCAATCGTTGAGAAACTTGCGGCGCAAAAGGCGACGTCCTTCGCAATGGACCTGATTCCCCGGATCTCGCGTGCTCAAGTCTTTGATGCCCTCAGCTCAATGGCCAACATTGCTGGCTATAAGGCAGTTCTTGAAGCTTCGAACAACTTTGGTCGTTTCTTGACTGGCCAAGTCACAGCCGCTGGCAAGGTGCCTCCTTGCAAAGTGCTTGTCATTGGCGCCGGTGTTGCTGGGCTCAGTGCAATTGCGACCGCCAGAAGACTCGGAGCCATTGTGCGAGGCTTCGACACGCGTCCCGCGGCCCGAGAGCAAGTCCAATCGCTCGGTGCCGAATTCATTGAGGTCGACATTAAGGAAGATGGCTCTGGTGCAGGTGGCTATGCCAAGGAGATGTCCAAGGAGTTCATTGAAGCCGAGATGAAGCTCTTTTACGAGCAAGCTCGTGAGGTCGACATTATTATCACCACTGCTCTGATTCCCGGAAAGCCCGCGCCGAAGCTCATTACCAAATCCATGCTCGAGGTCATGAAACCCGGCTCCGTGGTGGTTGACCTGGCGGCCGAAGCCGGCGGCAACTGCGAAAAGACTAAACCTGGTGAACTTTATGTTTACAAGGATGTCAAGATCATTGGTAAGCCTTTAGAATTCGAGGTTTTGCAGAGAAGTGCTTGGCTCACTGGTGCTTAGGTTACACCGATCTGCCCTCCAGGCTTCCGACCCAGTCCTCAACCTTGTACTCCAACAACATCACGAAGTTCCTGCTGTCCATGAGCCCCAAGGAGAAAGAATTCGGAATCGATCTCTCTGACGAAGTTGTGAGAGGCGCCATTGTAACACAAAATGGTGATATTTTGCCGCCACCACCCCGAAAGGCTCCTCCTCCAGCCCCCGCTCAGGCTGCACCTGCTGCCAAGGAAGCTGAGGTGGTTGCACTTACGCCTTTCCAGAAAACCTCCCGCGAAGTGGCGACCGTTACAGCTGGTATGGGAACCGCTCTGGCTTTAGGCAAAATGACCGGTCCCCTCTTCATGGGAAATGCCTTCACTTTTGCGCTCGCCTCCTTGATCGGCTACAGGGTCGTCTGGGGAGTTACACCAGCTTTGCACTCGCCTCTCATGAGCGTTACCAACGCGATTTCAGGTGAGAAATCATGATTTTATGGATATGCACCCTGAAGCTTACATCGTTTAGGAATGGTCGGAATCGGTGGCCTGTTCATCCTGGGCGGCGGCTATGTCCCTGAGACTTTTCCCCAGGTTCTTGGCGCGCTCTCAGTTCTCCTAGCCTTCGTCAATGTGTCTGGAGGCTTCGTTATCACGAAGCGGATGCTGGATATGTTCAAGCGACCGACCGATCCACCAGAATACCCATGGCTCTATGCTATTCCTGCAGCCCTGTTTGGTGGAGGGTACGTAGCTGCTGCTGCCACTGGAGCTGCAGGTCTGGTTCAAGCGGGCTATGCAGTCAGTTCCGTGCTCTGCATCAGCTCCCTCTCCAGCTTGGCCTCGCAGTCGACAGCCCGCATGGGCAACATGCTTGGCATGCTCGGAGTCGGGTCCGGCGTGCTGGCATCGCTGCTGGCTGTCGGATTCTCTCCTGAGGTGCTTACCCAGTTTGGAGGACTGGCCGCTCTTGGAAGTCTTGTTGGTATTCTCATTGGAAAGCGAATCACTCCTACCGACCTTCCTCAGACCGTGGCCGCCCTTCACTCTGTTGTTGGTCTGGCAGCTGTCTTGACTTCCATCGGAAGTGTAATGGCACACATTGACGACATATCAACGCTACACCTAGTGACCGGATACTTGGGAGTTCTCATTGGTGGCATCACGTTCACCGGATCCATCGTCGCATTCCTTAAGCTTGCAGGAAGAATGTCTTCGAAGCCGCTTGCTCTACCTGGAAGACATCTCTTGAATTCTGGTATGCTCACGGCAAACATCGCCACCATGGGTGCCTTTGTGACAATGGCACCTGGGTCACCTATGATTGCTGCAGCAGCTCTATCAGCGAACACTATCCTCTCCTTCGCCAAGGGGTATACTACAACTGCAGCAATCGGCGGAGCAGACATGCCTGTCGTTATCACTGTACTCAATGCATACTCTGGATTTGCGCTTGTAGCCGAGGGTTTCATGCTTGATAACCCTCTCTTAACCACCGTTGGAGCACTCATTGGCGTCTCCGGCTCCATTCTATCGTACATCATGTGTGTGGCGATGAACCGGTCGCTGACGAATGTGCTCTTCGGAGGTATCTCTGCGCCACAGCAAACCGACTACAAGATAGAAGGTGCGGTAACGCAGACGAACGTCGAAGATACGGCTGAAGCGCTCGTGAATGCAGAAAACGTCATCATCGTTGTGGGCTATGGAATGGCAGTCGCAAAGGCTCAGTACGCCATCAGTGAAATCACGACCATGCTGCGGGCCAAGGGTATCAACGTCCGCTTCGCCATTCATCCCGTGGCAGGCCGTATGCCCGGACAGTGCAACGTTCTGCTGGCGGAAGCGAGTGTGCCTTATGACATTGTGCTGGAAATGGACGAGATCAACGACGACTTTGGTGAAACCGACGTGACGCTGGTTATTGGTGCCAACGACACAGTCAACCCCATTGCGTTGGAGCCGGGTAGCCCAATTGCCGGCATGCCTGTCTTGCAGGCATGGAAGAGCAAGCAGGTTATCGTAATGAAGAGAGGCATGGCTAGTGGATATGGTGAGTTCCTAAAAGTGTTTAGACTAAGAAAAGCCGTGTAAATGCTAACGTGTCACAGCCGATGTACCGAACCCAATGTTCTACATGCCCGGAACGCGCATGTTGTTTGGAGACGCCAAAGTTACTTGCGACGGTACGTGTGATAAGATCCCAACGTTTATACAGGCATGCTAACTTTGTGTTTACAGCAATCAAAGCAGCCGTCGAGGCCCGAGCGACATAGAGTCTTAGAGAGATCTCCTTTACGCATGTCAACCCTCGGTGGCACATTTGATTTGGAGAGCATCTTATTAGAGGCATTGCATCTACAAGGAGCTCTCTCTCCATGCTTGTTTTTTCTCTCTTTCTGTCCGTTGCCTATTGGTGGTAGTTTGTATATAACGATGAGTGGTGTGGACCGTTTTGAGATCTAACGCAATATATGACGTCTTATCACCAAGCTTTTGACTTGTCGTAGAATTCCCAATTAGGGTCAACATCTTCTTTTAACAGATTAAATGTTCTTCCTGTCTCATACCGAAAGCACCTCACTCTGGCCAGCTACCTGGAGTTGTGTTGAGGTCGAGCTTTGGTTGATGGAACTGTTTTAGAAGGAGCTCTCTCCGGTCTGAGCCTTCTTCACTTGGACATACAGAATCGTTAACATCGTCTATCTCTCATATGTTTTATCCTTGTTCACACCCATTCAATACGCCTGGGTCTCATCGTTCTCGTTCTCTCGGCTCCCATTATCGAAGCCCACGGGATGATTCTCGCGCCGTCTTCGAGACCCCTGTCACTCATTCCACAAAAGTTCGTCAGCGCCTCTGGGTGCGTCGCTAGACTTACCAAGGCCGTTAGCCCAGAACGTCGATAGTTCAGTGTGACATAGGCCGGTGTATTGCGGTCTTGACAAATCGGCCCATTGGCGAAAGAAACTACTCATTGCTAGCAACGCCAAATGGATCGCACGAACGTCAGTCAGTAGCGGGGGTTTGTTGCGTGGTTTTCGCAAGGGCGCCGTTTGGTTTTTAAACCAGCCGCAAGACTCGCAAGACACTCGTGTGCCAAGAAAAAGCTTCTCCAAACCTTGGCATCCTTTGGTTCCCGGCATGATATGGGAGCTCAATCGATATTCTTGGCGTTGGCAATGCCGATCGCGCACACAAAAGACACACACACGTCGGCTTTTCGCCTTTTTTCCCAAAATTGTGCGCTCCCCTTCCCTACTCCCCAAAAAATACGTTGCCTGACTTATTGATGTAATCTTCATGGATTATCTTGGATCGATCCTTTGAATTTATTTCGGTGAATTGCGACCTTCCAAAAGCCTATCATGTAAGTGGGAGTGTTTTCCCTCCCAAGACAACCTCACCATGGATCCTTGTTCCCAACTTACACGACAATTGACCAATCAGAAGCGCCAATGCACCCACGAGGTAGGGTCCAACGGCCACGATTGAATCTCTCCCGGAGCAATATCTCACGACTCCCACGTACTACCTGCTCTTGTCACTTTAGCGGGTGCCCCACGAACCGGCCAAAAGCAACACAATCGGCGAATCACGACGATGGCACGACAGATCAGAAGCTTTAAAGGCACATGTCCGTCCTCGACCTGCAGCGCCAAGCCTACGCCACATGACGCCGTTCATCTCTTGTGCCTTGGGCACCCCACGTCTTCAGGCTTCATCCCCAATTCGAAGACCGACGATGCAGCTTCCTCTTGCTGTCCCTGGCATCATCTCCGCCCGTTGTGCTTGACAAGAGGCTTGGCAATGAGAAACCGAGATGCCGACTGCTCAGCCCGACGAAACACGTGCCCGTTTTGCTCAAGATGAACCGTGAAGTTGCATTCTGCTCCCTTCAACCCAGCACCCCCATCACCATACGCCGTCATGATATCGGCCTATCCGTCCATTCTCGGCCAATCGCACGTTCGTTCTGGAGCCCGGGCGGCGGAATCCACCCAACGCGTTGGTCGAATATTCCTTCAGCTGGAATATCAACACGCAACCTGCAGCTTTTCCACCCCGGCTTCGACGGGTTCTTGCCTGAGCTGCGAATGCAAGGATCCGCGAACCAACAGACGTTTGCTGCCATGCAGCGAAAAGAAGAACATGGCTCTGGGACTGGAGCTTTGGCGGGGGTAGGGTAGGTCCCTCCCCGAACCTAGTTGAAATTGAACAACTTTTTTTTCTCTCTCTTGGCATGATGCGGGAGGTATATAAGCTCCCCGGCAGCAGGTAGCTCTGCTCTCTCTTTTTTTTTTTTTTGGTTTATGCTTCACCGGCCCCTATCCCGACCCCATTGGCAGACAATTCTTCGTCGGATCAACATGATGGCAAAGCTCAGCCCTCTCGCAGTCTTGGCTGCTTCGCTGTCCCTCGTGTCGGCGCAGACATACCAGCGTTTGGGAACCTGCCCGGACCTCGGCTGTGTCCTCCCTCCCGACCAGTCCGACTTCCTTCCGGGCCAGCTCTTTGATCTCCGTGTCGAGGTCCACGCGCCTGTCAACGGCTCCGAGGCCTTCAACAACGGTGTCCCTGATGAGGCCTTCACCGTCAGCATCGCCAAGGAGGGCGCCGCGGCCAAGAGCTTGACCGAGTTCTTCAGCCTCGAGGAGCCCGAGCTCGAGAAGTGGTCCTTTGGTTGGTACGAGGACCTCTACGCCGAGGACGCTAAGCAGAAGAGCGTCGTCAACGTGGCTTCCAAGATCTGGCGCCACATTGCCCTGTACGAGCCCGGAAACTACGAGGTTACCCTGAAGTACTATGACGGCAAGACCACCACTGCCAACTGGGTCGTGCGACCCCTGGCCACCGAGAAGAAGGCCAAGAACGTCATCTTCTTCATTGGTATGGACCCTATGAACTCAATTGGCGCGATCCAGATTCTAACAATTCCTTTTTTACAGGTGACGGTATGACCACCAACATGGTCACTGCCGCCCGTCTTCTCGGCCACAAGAGCATCAACGGAAAGTACCAGACCAGCCTGGCTCTGGACAAATTCCCCGTCATCGGTCACCAGATGACGCACTCCATTGACAGCTACATCACCGACTCTGCCAACTCTGCTTCCGCCTTGTACTCTGGCCACAAGAGCACCGTCAACGCCATGGGGTGAGTTGCAAGAGACGGCGAGTATCTTAGGAACATAACTGATTGGTTGTTTTAGTGTCTACGCTGACTCCTCTCCTGACGCTTTTGACGACCCCAAGGTCGAGACCATTGTCGAGTTGCTCACTCGTATCTGGGTAAGTCGATTGGAACCTGCTTGAGTCTTGAAGTAAGTTAACCAAGCTATGTAGGGTTCTGCCTGGGGTGCCGTTTCCACCGCCTTCATCGCCGACGCTACTCCCATTGCCCTGACTGCCCACACTCGCTCCCGCAGCTTGTACGGACCTCTTATCGAGCAGGCCCTGAACGGCGTCACGAACTACACCTGGACCAAGATGACCGGCCCTGACGTCTACTTCGGTGGCGGTGCTGAGCAGTTCTTCGCTGGTAAGGGTTCTTACCAGGGCAAGGACTACTACGAGGAGTTCGCCAAGAAGGGTTACACTGTTGCCCTTAACAAGACCTCCCTCGAGGCCGCCGACGCCAAGGAGAAGACCCTCGGTATCTTCACCCAGTCCAACCTTCCCGTCTGGCTTGACCGTAACGTCCTCACCGAGAACCTGGCCAAGCTCACCAACGACCCCACCGGCAACAAGAGCGCCGCTCTCGACATCCCCGGCCTCAAGGAGATGACCCTGAAGGCCGTCGAGATTCTCCACAACCGTGGTGGCGACGATGGTTTCTTCCTGATGTCCGAGGCTGCCTCCATCGACAAGCAGATGCACTCGCTCGACTACGACCGTGCTCTTGGTGACCTCCTCGAGCTTGACGACACTGTCAAGGCCACTCTTGAGAAGCTCGAGGAGCTCGGCATCCTCGAGGAGACCCTTGTCGTTGTCTCTTCCGACCACGGTCACGGCTTTGAGTAAGTTTTCTTTTTCTCTCTGCTTATCGTTGAATTTCCAATGTTAACATCACACAGCGTCTTCGGAAGCGCCGACACCAAGTACCTGTCTGAGCAGGAGGACGACCGCACCAAGCGCAAGGCCGTTGGCACCTACGCCCAGTCCGGTCTCTCTCAGTACACCGTTGAGCAGCCCGGCGTCAGCTACAACACCGGCCCCAACTTCCCCCTCAACTGGAACCCCCGCTATGCTATCGCCGCCGGCTTCGGTGCCAACCCCGACCACCGTGAGAACTACAAGCTACACGAGTCCCCCCGTACCCCCGCCGTTGTTGCGGCCAACACCACTGACTACTACGTCAACCCCAAGGACGCCGTCGACGGCTTCGTCGTCAACGGTACCATCCCCACCAACGAGGCCCAGGGCGTCCACTCGCTCACTGACGTCGCCGTCTGGGCTCGCGGTCCGTGCCAGGAGACCTTTGGCGGTACCTACAACAACATTGACATCTTCTACAAGATGGCCAACTGCCTTGGTCTCGCGCAGCCCCGCAACGCAACCGGCTGCGGCGGTGTCCGCCGCAGAAGGGCTCTCCACGTCTAGCTTCCCCCTTTATAGAAGGGTTTCTAGACACGCAGCGAGGTGATGATGAAATGTAAAAGCATGGGGTGGCGTTGAGAGGTAGATGATTACTGCGATATACGGCATGTTGGAGTTGTGCCATCTAGTAGAGATATTCACTAGTTGTAAAGTCTAAGACATAATAAATACACGTAATATGATGTTCATCTGTCCCGCACTGCCATCTTACAAGTGACATGAATTATTCAGGTACTGACACTGGTGGTGGCATGTAGTCACCAGCAAAGTTATGATGGGCACAGGGGGGTTCTCTTCAAGGCACGGGCGTGGCAGATCATACCCAGACATGGATGGGATGAACACTTACTACAGTAGCAGGCGCTCGCACCGGGCCGCACCACACAGAAACACTGAAAGTTGTATTCGCCCCCCGCCCCGTGCATTCCGGCGTAGCTGCCGGTTTCCCCCCTTACGTCAGGTCTTGGCGGGGGCCGGGGCCGGGGTCGGGGATCACGGGGACAAAGCAATCGCATGACTCGAAGACGGAAAGGGGGGGGGAAACATGAAGATCGACTTTTTGCTGACTTTTGCAGTATTTTGCAAAGAATGAATGGAAGAAAAGTACTTGGTGGGAGTACACACGAAATATCAACCGGGTTCTACGCACGCACGCCGCGGCCCTGCGGCTTGAGCCAGGGGGAACGGAAAAGTTTCCGCTTCGCTTTCGGGATCCTCATGGATTTAACTCCCAGGCATGACCCTGGATTCACGGCATGGGGTTTCGAACCTGGTATCGAGATCTGTTGGATCTATGGCGGGGATAGTCCTGTGCATCTCGTGTAAGTCGGGGGGTCAAGGGGATTGTTGGCGGGGGTAGAATGTGAGGATATCGCGGGAAGAGTTGGTTCATGTGGGTTGCTTCTACTGGTGAAACTTTGCAACCAAAATCGATTTCAGGGGCAGGAGATTTTATTTTGGTTGGGTTGGTCGTTTAGGGAGTGATGGAAGTATGTCATGTTATACACTATGCTATGCACCGTCGACATAAATCAGACGCAGTGCTATGAATCTTGGATGTACACAAGAGACATTATGTTGAGCTTTGGACAAACACAAACAAGATTAATCTCATTGTCCGACAACCCAGAAATCGATACTCCGTAGTTTGAGTTTAGGAAAAGGTCGGTTGCCGAGAAAAAACACCACCATCATGCCATTTGCAAATCGACTTACAAACACGCCATGTCCCCACCCCGATCGCCAGTTCGCCCATTATCCACCTCCTCCCAGACCTCAAACCGGGCCCCCGGTCGGTCAAAGTTTCGTTTCGTCTCGATGAACTCGAGTTTGCTCGTAAGGATTGTGCCGAGATCCAGCCGGGATGTCAGCCATGGGAAAGCACGGGAAGCCCAGTTCGCCTTTGCAGCCGCCACGGGAAGGCCGAATGGGCCACACACCCGACGAGGCGGATGAACTGACCGGACAGGGTTGCATCCCCCCCCCCCGTTGGCCCCCCGGCACGAAAATCGTACGCGCAGCTGTCAAACGGCGAAAAGGTTAGGTATGTCGTGCATTTCTCGCTTCTTGATTTCTTTCTAATTGTCATTGTTTGTTCGCTTTTGGATTTGACTGCCCGGATCTCATCCAACAGGAGGAGCACAATGCCCACTCCCATCCCCGCAACGACAAACCGCCAGCCGATCCCCCACCTACCACCCCCTTAGTGCGGCGGGCATCTTTTTTGACTTCATGCAGCCCACGACTGGAGATGGGCACCGCGCGGGCCGAGCCTTCAGGAGGCCTCAGTTACGCTCAGGTCATGTTCGGTGACGAGGCAAGACCGGTGAGAGTCGAATTGGGGAAATGGCAAGTTGAATTGGTATGAATACTGCTGTTAGATAGGAAAAATCCAGCTTCGGCTGCTACCCCTGTTCCTCTCCTCCAGAATCCCCCCCCCCCCCCCCCCCCCTGGCACAACCCCCTCCCCGGGAATCCAATCCATCACGACCCAAGTCTATATTCCCTGAAACGAAAGAAGAGCCACCGTCAACCGGGCCCAGTATTCATCACCTTTGAGAGAGGACCTCCAGAATCCCCATCGCCTCCTCGTCATCAAGCTCCCCTTCCTCGCCACGCCCCTTGAAGCAGCTCGAGTGCGCCCAAACGCCCTTACCAAAGCCGTCTGTCACCTTGGCGACGTTGGTGCTCCTGACGCCGCCTCCCACGATAACCTCCAGTTTCTGCGGCCCAGCGGCGCTGACGATATCCTCCAGCACCGCCTTGTTGTCGGCGGCGTTGCCCGGCCCGCCGGAGGTAAGGACCCCGGCAAACCCACATTCCACCAGTTCTCTCACGCCCCGCTCGACCGTCTCGCGCACCCCGTCGCGGATGACCTCGTCGAAAGCCCGGTGGAACGAGCACGGCAAACCCCCCGCCGCCTCCACCAGCCTCCTATTCCGCTCCACATCGACCACCTCGTGCCCGTCAAGTTCCGAATTCTTCAGGATCCCAAAAACGAAGCCGTCGCCGCGGTCTTTCCGCAGCGCTTCGCGGAATGCCTCGACGTCCCTTAGCATCGTCGCGAATTCGTCCTCGGAGTAGATGAAGTCGGATGAACCCTCCGGCTTCCCGCGCGGTCGGATCATGACACGCACGGGGAGGTAGAGCCACTTCGTGACGCCTTTCAGGTCGTCCAGCGTCGGGGTCGTCCCGCCCACGCCGTAGCTCCCCTTTGCGTTGAGCTCGATGCGCTGCGCGCCGAGGGCCTGGGCGTGCAGCGCGGAGGATGGCGAGAAGACGGGTATCTCGAGATCGATTGGCATTGTTGAAAGAGCGACAGTCTTCTTTTTGTAGTGTTTTGATGAAGACGGTGTGAAAAATGAGTGGCCTCGGTTTACCGGGGTGATGGTGCAGGTGAGACGTCGTATTGAAGCGATTGAGAATGATGTGGGGGTGATTTGGAGTGAAGGAGTGACGAATGAGAAGAGTAAAAAAGCAAGAAAAAAGAAAGTATGGTCCTCTCAGTTGTTAAGTCTTTCCCTGTATTGTTTGTCCCAAAGAGGGGAGAACGAAATGAATTATAGAGCAACGAGATGTGCGGACAATATTAGTGTTAGACGAGGTGTTTTCCGAGTTGCCAAATCTTGATTTCCCCCCTCTGTGCCACACAAACACGCTCTACACACCACCGCCACCACCTCCACCACCACACACACACACACACACATAACCCCCGTCTTCCTTGCTTTCCGCTCGGACGTCTCGATTCTCAATATCAGATCATGCCATCCGTTCCCTTGTTACGTGCCAGTATCCACTGGGGACAAGGCGACGTTTAGGTCGTTCGAGTTTCTTGGTTCAGCTTAGTCATCATGCATATCTTATTTAACTTGAGACGTGGGAACAAGAGGGGGAGGATGGGGAAGGGGGTAAAGCAGGTGGAGGATAAAGGTTGTTCATGGTACGGATATGCTTTGTTTACTTGTCCCCAGTTGCTTTCACTTGTTTTCGTTTTTTTGGGTACCTTCTTTCACATTAATCACCAGGAGACTGCGGTCTATAACTAATGAACTCGCTCTATTCTTTAACTGAAAAAACTATGGAGGGGAGAGTTGCGACTGGGGGGTGCTTCCCACCATCAACCACGGAGTGCACTCCGCTACCAAGTACCAAATACGGTTTTCTGTTATTTAAAAACCCCCCAACGCCAAGACTCAATAGCCTCGTCCAAACGCCCAAATCTGGCTTCCGCCCTTGAACCTATAGGTCGAAAGCATGCAGGTCACATCCAACTCTCCAAAACGAGTGCGGCTGAGTGTCGTGGTTTATTATGCCGTCACTTCGATATATGAAGTGTTGTGAATGTGCCGATATTAACGCTGAATAAAATGCGTCGCAAAGAAAAAAAGCACTCGTAACAATCTTTACTTTTGTATCAAGGGGGAAAAAAAAAAAGAGAGAGTGCAGAGAATCAAAAGACACAAGTTGATAGTTCTTGAGACTTACTGCTCCCGCTCGATGGGAGCGTGATCAGGAGTAGGGCGCAGAGAAGGAGAAGAAGACATCTCAAAGATTTCGAAATCGCCATCAGGTCTGGAAACAGACGTCTCCTCGGTCTTCTCAGCCGCGCCAATGGTGGTCATGTACCAGCGACGATTTTCCAGGTTCTGCTGTACTCCTACAGACTCGGGTTGTGCAATGACCTTGGGGATAGGCCCGCGGTACAGGTCATCAGCTTGTGAGTGGTTGACATACGCAGTCGAAGTCGCATAGACGGGACGCCCGGGGTTTTGATCAGAGAACTGCGGGACCTGGTTTCCATACTGACCGCCGTACTGCGCAGGCTGAGATGTGCTGGATGAGGCAATCGAAGTGTTTCGATATCTCAAATCTTGGCGACCAGCGCAGAGTCCCGTCAATTCGGTGCGATGGCCGCTCTGCGAAATACCAGGCACACTCTGCAGGGGACGCGAGTAGTACTGGTGTTCTGAGAGGTCGTCATCGTCTTTGAAGCTTTCATAGCTCCGCTTATTGCTGGGTGCTACATGGTGACTGTGATGCTGTCTTCCATTGTCTGTGTATGAGTTGGGATTCACATTGTTGCTGAGAACTGACTGAGACATGTTGAAGGTAGCCGACGTTGTGTATTGGTGTTGGGACTGATCATTGCCGGAAGTGAAGTTAAAATCCGAACTGGGCGAGGGGTGCGGTGTGCCAGGAATGCTGGCTGATACTGATGGACTGTATTGCTCTCTCGGAGCAGTGAAGTTCATGTCCTGGTTGGAAGTGAACTGAGGTGGACGAGACTGAGTCTGATCCGCAGCATGACCGTCATAGTACTGCGACTGTGGGGGTAGAAAGCGGTTGTCAGGAGTAGGCAAGCAAAAATAACGGCTACCATATCCGTGGTGCTCTGGTTTGCCAAGAAGATGAGGGGGGACAGGGAAGTTCCGCACACTTGGATTGCGTCGATGACCCATGACACCTTGGGGACGTCCGTAACGATAGTTATGAGGCTGAGGCTGGTATTCGTATCCGAAAGCAGGCTCTTTAATCTCTTTGTTGGTGACGGTTGAGCGCTCGGTTGAAATAGGATGTTGATAGTTCAATCCACGACGAGGGACATTGACGGTGATTCCAAGGTGAGCGGTAGAATCCACATTCATGTGAGCCACGGGCGCCGGGCTGGAACTTGGAAGAGGATCCCATTCCCTCAAGGGAGAAAGCGGTTCGCGGGTTGGAGGAGCAGGGTGATTCTCCTTATTCTCATAGTCTCCGACGGTGATGGAGTCTAGGATCTCCTCTGGTTCCTCCTCAGTAGTCTCACCCGTATGGGTCACAAAATTATCCTGTCTCTGGTCGTATTCAGAGGCAGTCGCGTTCTCATGAATTTCATTGTCTTCGATATCTGTTTCTTCATCACCTTGGGCAGCCCGGTCAAGTGCTTCTTTATGCTCGCGGACATACTTGGTAGCGTTCGGCGATACGCGGCCTTTCTCGACATTCTGAAAGTAATGCTCGACTAGAGGGGGTGTTAGCGAATATGACTGGCAAAGCAGGGGTTATTCAACTTGCAGAGTCCAAGGCCAGTGTAAGTGCGCTTAGCATCAGCACGCATTCTCGATTGCATAAGCATGGCCAAATCCTCCCAGCTCTTAGTTTGCAGTGGTCCGGGGCCAGCCCGTCTCTGAGACTGAGGGATAATGACCCGCCAGTAGACGCGCTCCTCCTCGCGAGACCAGACTTTGCCGCCCATGTTGTTGGTAAGGATGTTGTGAGAATTAATTATTGGTAAGGTAATAATGTTGATGTTGAGCTGATGTTGAGTATCAATAAGTCTGGGTTTTTGCAGAACCGGATTTGTTGGCGGAGAAGTGACCCTTTTGTGGTGTGAAAGGCGCGGTAGGTTGGTCACTGACAATGCCCGATATCGCGGAGTTGCAACAGCTGAATCACGAACGCGTGCTAGCGGCTTTGCTGTGAATCTCTATGCACAGCAGATAGCTGGGTGATCGAGATTGAATGGATGTCTGGTGTAGAAGGATACTACTGAATCAGAAGAAAGAGGAGAAAGTGACGAGACGACCGTGTGAATACCCCCGCGCGGAAGGAACAAAGGAGGATTGAAAGTTATTGAGAGCACCAGGCTCTGATTAATTAGATTATGGAGGAAAGATGAATCATGAAGAGGTGCAGAGGGGTTAAAGTTGCTCTACCTCATGAGGTGAAATATTGTTGTCAATAGAAGTCGTGTGTAGACTAGACGAGTAGACGGAAGGAAAAAAAAAATGAAAAGCCTGAACCGTGAGAGAGAATAGAAATAAAACCGTAAGAGGCAGGCGCGCATGAGCGTTCTGGCCAGTGAATCAGTTCGTTGAAAATATGGCCGGGTGACCAAAGTTAAGTAGTCCTGCAGGGTGAGTGAGAAAGCTAGAGGCTTGTCTCGCGGTGGACAAGAGGTCTTGTTTCAGTTTATATGTGAGTGAGCGTGAAATTCAATCGGACTAGAAGAACGAATGGTGAATGAAAACCGCGTGACTTTATCAATGGGTTTGGAGTTAGTTCTCATAGAGGGGACAAAAGTACTGAGGGCTGTGAGATGAAAGCTCGCTCTTGAGTTTGAAGGATGAAAAAGTGTTGAAATCGGTATCATCCAATAGCAGCTTGTGTAAAATAACTACAACAAAGTGAACAAACATGTTGATACACGAGGAGCTCTAGTAGGTGATATACATATAAGAGGGAAGGCGCGACACTCCACTGGATCTGGCACATGTGCTCCGAAACGACCAGCAATCTAGACGGGTACCAAACATCTACATCAATCTTACTCAAAAGGACTTTGCGGATCTACAGCTTGATAACCCCTGGCTGTGAGTGTTGCAGCTAGACGCCATTCCAGCCTTGAGAGCTATGCAAAGGTATTAGTATTTCCTTGCGAAATAGGACAGATAAAACCTCACAATGCTCTTCTTTTCCGGAGGTACTACGCCCTCTCTTATCCAAAAACCCCACCCACCCATCATGTTGGCTAGCATCATGTCTGTCGTCAAGCGATCGCCAACGACGGCGACCTGGGAAGGATGAGATACACCCGTCTCAGGATGACTGCGAAAGTAGTCCATGATCTCAGAACCGCAGCCAGGTTTCTTCGTCTTGTGAGGAAGAACAGTCACGCCAGTAGCCTCCTCCAGCTCTCTGGCCAGTTTGAGCGAGGCATCATAGGATGTAGCCCCGGCGGTATTAGACACAATGACCAATCGACGGCCCGGGTATGCTGCCTTTAGTTGCTCGAAGCGTTCCTTCATACTGTCAGTCGAAGACAGCAATGCGTTGAGTTGCGGAATGAATGATTTACCCTGTACGGCTTATGAACTTCATTTGTATGGGGAACAGCAAAGCAATCGTCTTTGTCGAGAACCACGGCCCTGATGTCGCATTTCCTGTTTTGTCCTTCAAAGGCCTTTTCAAAGGGGACCGGAAGGTCATTAAAAGTAGCAACGGTGTGATGCGGAAGACATAATGCTGGTCTGGTTAGTAGCTTGAATATGTTTAAAGACCCAGAGAGATTTAGATTCATCGTGAAAATGGACCCGGCCTGGTTCTGAAGCGAGGTTGTGGAGGAGGGTGACGTCTGCTGGTGGCTGCAACTGGTTGAGATGGTTGAAATTTGGCATGCAGGAGCTTGGGCCACCTGGCAGCAGCTACCCCTGTCAGTTGATAAGATAAGTGTGTCAAAGTGAGTTGCAGGGCCCTGCCTCCCTCAGGCACATGTTACGATAGTTTGTTTTGTTACGTCTTCACTCTTGAACATATTTGGAGAGTTTAACTCGCATGGCTTAAAGATTTAATATGTTTTGTATCGAAGTGGGAGTGAGCACATGGACCAAGTCACAATCATTCGCGTGAAGGTAGACATAGTTCTGGAACACTTGTATTGCTGGGATGATGGACCGTCCAGAGTAGTCTCGCAGGAGTATTTTAGAGGGCAATGCATTGAAATTCGACACAGAAACACTTTTCAGTGAGCTTTTGTCCCGGTGAACAGTCCTTGCTTTCCTTGCTTTCCTTGTATCTTTACCAAACTCATAGCGAGAGACGCCGAGTTTCCGGGACGTGTTAGCATATCAAGTTCACTTCAACCGAGGTGACTATGAGCCTTGAATGAACTTGCTATAATCATCTTCTTATAATACCTGAAAAATTCGACAGCGGAAAGACGTATACCAGCAAGGCTTCAAGAATGCTGTACTTTGTAAGAGCAGGGTTGGGTCTGTGTGCAACTCAATTGGGTGTCACAGACCCACTTTAATTATTGTCCCTCTGACTTCACATTTTCGCGTCCAACGCGTCTCGGATTGCCAATTCTCGGCGTATCGACGATTTTTAATCACCAACTACAGCCCTAAGCCATTGCCTAGTTAAACGGAACCCATAATAGAGTAATTCTTCAACATGGCTCGGAGAAAAGCCCAGTCTGACGATTTCGACGATTCCCCTGCACCGAAGCGTTCCCGCCGAGATGAAGTCGACGAAGAACCCGAGAACGGCACCCCCTCCAAGCGGAGACGGTCATCTGCAAGGGCACAGGAGCCCACGAATGGCGCCAACTACGATCCTTACGAAGTACCCGCTGATGATGATACAAACGAGGTCGAATCTGCCCCCGAGACACACACCCCAACAAAGCGAAGGGGCCGTCCGCCCAAGTCCGCAACCCCGGGCGGCGCAGGTGCCGTCACGCCCTCGAAACTACGCCAGGTAAACACATTGGTCACGCCAGTAAAGGCAACAGGTTCGAATGGCTTCACACCACGGAGGAGACAAGCAGCAGACCGCTCCGCGCGGCGAAAGAGTGCTAGGGCTTTGATCCAGCGTGTCGTCGCCGACGATGACAGCGAGGAGGATGAGGATGGTCTTGAGCGTGAAATCTACGAGTCGAGCGAGGAAGAAGAGGAAGAGGAGGACAAGACGGAACAGCGGCAAGAGGCACCGGCGGTGGAAAAGCTCCCAGAACCAGAAACACCATCAGCTACACCGTCTCGTCGACGAGGCCGCCCACGCAAACAGCCAGCACCTCCGAAGTCACCAACGCCTCCCCGTGACCTGGCACCCCATGAGGTCTACTTTGAGCACAATAAGCCCGGCCGTGCAAAGACATCTCACAACACTCTTGCATCCCTCGAACTGCTTTCACATGACGAGTACTTTGACCAGCTTCGCGCCCGCGAAGAGCCGCACGCCGAGGACCTGGAATATCTTCAATCCCTCTACGAGTCGTCGTTTGAGCAGTGGCGCTTTGAGATGGCGCAGGGTTTCGGGCTATGTCTCTTTGGTCAAGGTTCCAAGCGCGATTTGACGGGCAAGCTGGCTGCGCATCTCTATGCTGAGGATTCCGATGCACCCATAGTTGTGGTCAACGGCCACGTCCGGACTATCACAGCGCGCGACGTCTTCACAACAGTCGCTGCGGCCATGAGTCCAAACTTGAAGCTCCCCGCGCAACCGGCAGGCATGCTACAAACGTTGTCCTCCGCCCTGAAGTCTCATCCCAAGCCGGTGACGGTCATCCTGAACTCCATCGATGCCGCACCCCTGCGTAAACCAGCAGTACAGCAGCTCTTGTCTCAACTTGCAGCACACCCGCGCATCCACTTCGTCGCGACGGCAGATACACCCTCTTTCCCGCTCCTTTGGGATGCCGCGCAACGTACTTCCTTCAACTTCTTGTTCCACGATTGCACCACGCTGAAGCCCCTGGACGTGGAACTCGATCCCGTGGATGACGTCCACGAGCTCCTCGGCCGCAAGGCCCGGCGGGTCAACGGCAAGGAGGGTGTCATGTTCGTGTTGCGGTCCCTGCCAGAAAACGCAAAGAAGCTCTTCGAGCTGCTCGTCACCGAGGTCCTCGTCGCCATGGACGATGACGGTCAAGGCTTGGCGGCGGAGAACCCTGGTGTGGAGTACCGTATGGTGTACAATAAATCCGTGGAGAACTTCATCTGCACTTCAGAGGTGGCTTTCCGCACTTTGCTGAAGGAGTATGTTAACATGTCTCCCCCTTTTTAATGTTTATGGGATGTAGAACTATGCTAACGGAATTTCAGGTTTCACGACCATCAGATGATTACCAGCAGGAAAGACGCTCTTGGCACGGAATTGCTGAGTGCCCCGTTCAGGAGGGAGGAGCTTGAGGCCATCCTTGAGGATTTGATGGTATGATGACATTTATTCACACTAAAAAGAGTCTCATTGAAAAGGTTGTTTTTTTTTTTTTTTTTTTTTTTTTTTTTGGTCACACGGAGCATCGTATATACTAGAGGGGGCAAGAACAACATACAGCATTGCACTTGGGTCAAGTCAAGTTACGGCGTTGAAAAGGAAATGGGTGAGAACTGGAACCAAATACTACAGTCATAAGAATCATTGTCCCCTTTGGGGATACTCTAAAAAATATCTTTTGAGAAACCAAAGCAACCCGGCTAACTGCCAATCCCCTCCCCCGCTAAAAACGCCGTACTATGCTTCTTTACACTCCAATGCTTTTCACACACGTCCAGAGAACTACCGGCACGATAACATTATCATTTCCTCCCGTTAAGACAGCCTCGGTCAAGCTGGCAACACTGGCGCAGAAGCCGGCGTTGCGCACGGCAGAAGGCCAGGAGACCTGCTGCTCCGCAGCAACGGGCCAGCCTCCGACCCGTAACCAAGTAGTGGCGGCCATAAGACCGAGGAACACCGCCGTCGCGAAGGCGACACTGCCCTCGAGACTTTTTCCGCCGCCCCAAATCCACTTCCTGTGTCCAAAACGGCGACCGATGAGAGAGGCCGCTGCGTCGCCGAGGCCAACGCAAATGACTCCTGCTACCATGCTGACCTCGCGGGTCGGTACCTCCCAGCCAGTCAAGTAACCACTGCCGGTACGGGGGAGGGTAGCCAGAGACAGCCAAAGGGGGATAGCGCAACCGATAAGGAGGAAGATGTGTGAAATGACGACTGGTCCCTTGTGGTCTCTGCCGTCGACGTATGGGGTAAGGAAGGAAGCGATAGGTCTTGACAACGGCGGAAGTTGGCTTGCGCGGAGTAGGTCAAGAATGAGGAAGATGGCCAGAACAAGGGTCAACGCCAAAGCTGCATAAACGGGGTCGACATAGGTCGCCGGGAGGAACATTCCGACCATCATGAAGTGGAAGACCTTGCGTCGTGTGTCCACTTCGTACTTCGGATCCAGGCGCACGACAACCGTCAGACCGACGATCACAATCAACATCCAGTATGCGCTCAGAAGAAGCCGAGTATTTGCTTCTCCAAAATCAGACAATCGGATGTGTTGCACCCAGCCTTGATGGCAGGCTTCTTTGCCATCTTCGTACAGTCGTGAGGGGAGGCATATCCATCTCTCTAGATTCGCATTTACGACCTGGAATCTAAACCATGGAAGCTCGCCAAACAGATAGCCCAATGCCCAGCCCACAGGCTCATTGCCTTTCAGGGCTCGTCTGCCAATGTATTCGCGCACAGGCATTAAGATAATCGTAACAATGCTGGCATACACATAGGCTGCGTATGTCCATTTCCGCCTGGTGGCCTGAGCTTCTGTGAGCTTGAAGAATGAGCGAACAGTTGTCGAAGCAGTCCGCTTCCGGCGGCCGGCTGACGTGTGTGTCAATGATCGTCGAGGACGGGGTCTTTGTAGCGCGTGAGGAAATGTATTCCTTCGACCAACAGCGAAACCGTCTGGAGACTCTGTTGAATTGTTGAATAGTGGGACATCGAATTTCTGGTCTGTTCGAGATGTTGTGTCGGCAGCGCCGAAAGTTCTGACTCTCATCGGCCTTGTAAAGGGCCCATCCATCATGTCTTCCTCGGAATTTCCAGCTTCTGATGCTGACTCCTCTAGCGAAGAACCTAGCAGCTCGTGCTTGAAGCGCCTCATGGATAGGCCTTCAGACAAAAGCCCAAAGACCGAATGCTTCTTGGACGGAGAGATAACGCGCCGGAAGCGCAACCTGGGAACCCTAGCCAAGGCAATTCCCCATCGAATGACTGGACCACAGACGACAAGTACGCCGACGCCGCCGCCCCAAAGCAGGGCTTGAAGAATTGTGGCTTGAGGCGAGTGTGCGAAGAGAAGAACATTAATCAAAGCGATCGAAAGTAGCTGCAATTCAGCCGTGAGCAAGCTGGTGGTTGTTAGATAGTGCAGCACCGCCAGCAAGGTTTGATGTAGAGGGTAGAGTAGAAGGATGGTCTCAAGGGGAACCGCAGGTTTCGTCCCATTTGAGAGAGCAGCGAATTGTCGAGACGACATCCATACAGGGACGCACGATAACACCCATTGCAGGGGATTGATAGGTTCATGAGCTTGTGCTGTGGGGATTAGATATTTGGGTATCGAAGAAATGCCGAGAACAATGTTGGGGAGGACGACCGCTTCGTTGTCGGGAGAAATTAAAAGAGATACCAGTAGTGTAACTGAAGGCGGGTAAAGGATAGGCGCGGGGTCAAAAACCGTCGGAACAGCAATCATGGGTTTCCGGGATGAAGTTCTATGCCGGATCGCCCATGCAATGAGTCGAATGGGGTAAAGAGCCATGAGTGACGTAACTAATATGGCTAGAAAGCGCAGATCTAGGCATTGTGAGTCCTCTGTCCAGAGAGCCAACTAATTTGAAAAATCACATACCTCGATTCCAGGCCGACAGGATGGGCTTAACTTTGGGGTTTACACAAACAACAGCAAATAACGAGCTGACAATAATGAACTCGGACACTCGCCGAATGAGCTCTTTGGTACGGCGGTAGTTGCGATCATCCCAAAAGGTGAGTCGTTCTGTCCTTTGTTTCTGTCGCTGAACCGCTTCCTCGTCCTCCTGGTTCTCTGGGGAGAGGAGGGGCGTTGATGCGCCCGAGAGTATCTCGTTGCGACCCCTCAAGCCTTTGTGTAGACGTACCCTGGGGGCGGGGAGCCCCTTCAGGAAGTGTTCATCATCAGCTTCGGTGCCGCTGTCGCTCCCCTGCGACGAGTCCTTGGTGAAGGAGGGAAATGGGGATGGGGTTCGACTAGAGTCCGCCGATGAGGATGTCTTTGGCGGTGTGGACGTCTGGTTCGAGGCGTGGTAGACTATGCGATGGGCAGGATGTGGAAGCTCGGTATTGAGGTGGTGGTAGGGATGGGGAGAGCGACTGAGGGTTCGGATTTCATCGTTTTCTTCTAGATCGTGACCGAAGAGAGCGTTTGATTCGAGATGCTCGGGCATGACGGAGCTATCGCATTGGAGAAAGCTGGCGCACCAGCATACAGGCAAGGAAGTTACTTAAGCGTGAGCGGCGTTGGTGAAGGTAGTGCCAGGTAACATGGAAAGACGGAGAGTTGTTGATATGATTTGGTGCAAAAGGCGAAGGAGTGGCTCGCACGGCGCAATGCGATTCAGGGCGTCTGGGTGTAGTGATGTTTTGGTGTGTTGTTTTGTTCACGTCAGGCCATTACCGATTGGAATTGAGGGACAGGTTAGCGACGATGAGGCGGTTGTGGGGAGCTCCATCACATGAAAGTTCCAAATTGGTGAGATGAGGAACGCTAGCAGCAGGCGTGTTGTCATCCTGAACTGGGCTTGGCCGAAAGTGAGAGAGAGAGTGGGCTCTATTGCCCTGTGGCAGCCCGTCAAGCATCAGCCGCGCGGCCACGGCAAATGCGCCCACGCGATTGAGTGACAGCACTGTGGCCGCCAAATTTCAGCATGGCAGCCAGGTGCCAATCCATGGCACGCACAGCGAAAAGAGAATTCCCCACCAAAAGAATGGGACGCTCGAGCCACACAATCCAAACACCATAGCAGTGGCTTAGCTAATTTTTGTCCTTGGCAACCCTTTGCCAAGGTGCGCTCAGCTTACCTAACACCCGCCACGGGACCGAAGACTGGCAGGAGTGGCCGCTGGTGGTGATTTTTTCTGCTGTCGGGCACTTGGAATGATGAGAGACTGACCAGCCGGTTACCAAGAATCATCGATTCCCGTCCTCCGATCTTTGCGTGTATATTCCGCCTCCTGAGAAAGCACTTCCGACACCATCCCAGACGCGCATGACCTCATCTCTTATCAACACAGATAGGACCAGACTCAATTTGCAACCTCCATGCGATTGACCCCGGAAGCCCTGACAGGCATTGCCCAGCTACTTTATTACCTTGTGAGGTATAACCAGCAGATGTGCGACACCATCGCAAGGTCATGTTCAGAGGCTACGCACTATTACTTACTATCTAAGAAATATCGATCGAGACAGCACAGGCCAAGGGCGAGAAAGTATCATTCAGCCCTCCAACAAACAATACTACGTAAAACTCAATTGACCACGTCAGCCCAGCAGCAAAGGCCACCATCATGCACCTGGCATGTCTTGACATCCATGCTGGAAGTCGGAACCTGTCAAACCTTGATCTTCTCCATGGCAAAACTGACATGAGCCACGACTTGCTTGGCCTTGCACTCAGAACCGAGTTTTGCCGTCTTGCAACCCTCACAATGATGCAAAATAAAGTCCACCAGCGTCGTAACCTGTGTTGCGACGTTGGGATACTGTGGACTACTGACGAAATGTAACCTGGGTGCCCTGGGGAGTTCCTGTCGATCTTCCCGCCCACTGAATGCTTTCGAAAACTGAAGCTGGACGCTTCGTACCGCGCAGTGTGGTCCCCAATGTCACACCCTTCCCATCCCACCGGACTATCTACAAACCTCGCTGAGATCATCGGCATCGCGGTGTGTAGTGTAGTTACCTCTCGCGAACTTCTTTAGAGACAAGCGTGAAAAGCCTGCCAAAAATAACTGTCAAATCGGAGACTTAAGCCACAAAAAACCGGATCTCCTGGTAACATCGACTCCTTCGCAGAGTATTTCCCAATCCGGGGCCGGCTATCTTCAATCCTCCTCGGAAGCGATATACCACCACTGCCTCAACATCTCGTTTTCCATTAGGCCCCGCCCCGGTATGCTTAGTGGGCCACGAAGTTGTGCATCGGCATCCACGAAATGCGAGAAGGGTCGAGGCCCGGCATTCGGCCACCCGACTCAAAAGGGCCAGAAGAAAGAGGGCCATCAATTTACGAGGGAGACTACATCTCGTATCACCTGGTCCCTGTAGCTGCTTGGAGATTGGCTGGCAGGGACTAGGGGATGCTGGATAAACTGCTGCACAGGGCTGCTGCTCCAAACAATGGAGGAGCAGAAAAAAAAAAGGCAAAAAGACGGAAAGTAAAAATAAGGACGAAATACGAGGCTCTGTTGTTGACCCCATCTTGACAGCTCAGTGTCCCCGTTTCTCGGTTTGATAGGGTGACAATACACCCATTCAGGGCTGTGACGCTGTTTCACACACACGCAAACAGCAAGTCAAACGGGGTCTGACGGTCTGATTGACCTGACCATACAGGCGGCTTCAGGTTGCACGACACTTCAAAACAGCAGACCATCACAGCCACCTCCATACACGACAAAGACTGGCCAACATCTAAATCAGACGAATCTTCGCTCCGATTGCATATCGGATAGTAGTACTGGACCGTTTGGCGTGTTCCACACCAGATTCAGGTACATAATAAGGGGAACACGGTGTCCCTAAAGCCATCTCTTCTCCCTGCGATACCGGGCCTGGCTCGGCTCACATAACCCAGTGGAAGAAAGAGATTCTTTGGTAAAATTCAATGTGAAAGAACTCAACAGAATGGTCAAAAGAAATGACTACGGCTTATATTTTCGTTGTGTCTTGTCTCTCGGATCATGAGACGTAGCCCGCCCCTGCAAAGCTGACCCGACCAGCAAAAGGTTCGTAATCGACCTGCATGCAGTGACAGCGTGGTGGATGTCGCAACAAGCTGCGGCCAGCACCAAAAAACCCCAAGACTCCAAGCCGGACCCCGGGCGCTCGCTAAGGCGGCTAGGTGCAGGCCCCGACAATCAGCTCCCCAGCAGCACGATGCGAGCGAGGATTGAAAACAATTGGCCAGCAGAACACCATGGTCTGACTGATCAACGAAACATCAGGTCTGCATGTGGCACATCGGGCGGGGGAGACGTGTTCACTCTCCAGCAAGTGCGGCGGCGCCATTGAGTACCGCACACGCCAACCATCTGAACATGGCACACTAGAACACCAGACGGCTCGTATTGTGTGCGCGGCACCTCGCCCGCGCCTCATAGTGAGCAAGTGTGTGGGACAGTTGAATCAGACTGACGATTCCTCGGAGAGGATACGAGGCCCGGCTGTTTGGAGGCTCATCGAGGTGATGTCACAATCCACTTGACGGCAGCGCCGGGCGTGAACCAGTGGCTTTAGATAGCGACAGTGGGTATCAGCCGCCAACCATTGAAGTAGGAGCGGAAAGACATGCCTAGCGCGGAGAGTGTACCTGGAGGATCTGGGAGGGAATCATTGGACAAGGCTCGGGGGGGGGGGGATTGGCATTCCTGAAGGGATTAGAGAAAACAAAAAAATAATCAACATCACTGCTGGAACCGAGGATTGACGGCGGTGACGGTCGCTTGGTGGAAACTCGTTCCAGTCTGCCAGTCGATCCCTAGGGGCACCTTGGCAAACAGGAAATGGCACACGGGACGAGAGCGATGAGTGATGAAAGATGTGGATGAGCTGGTGAAATGGGAAGCTCGGTTTTTTGGCTCGCAGCGAGGGGGGTTGCACTGGGGCAATTGGGGCACTTTTGGAGTGAGAAGTCTGCAAGACTGTTGGCCCATTCTTATCCACAAGAGCTTCCTGCCATGGGGACCGGGATGCAGACGGTGGCTCCGTGGCCCCAACTCCGTATGGGAGAAAAGAACTATTCGTGGGCCCTGCCATTTGCCATTGGCATGGGTGATGGTGATGGATGGGACGGATAGCTCAACCTGAGTTGGGCCGACAAGACAGGGGTACGCCGCCGAAGCGGCGAAACAGGGAATCTTTATACACACAGCACAAAGATTGTCCGCCAGCCGACTGCATGGGCGATGTGCAGGCTGACTGGGATGATCTTCAACAGGTTTAAACGCCAATCCCCTCGCTCGGTCGCCTTTCGCGCTTTCTTCTCTGATCTCCCATCTTGTCTCTCGCCATCCTCTCTCTCTCCCTCTCTCCTTTGCCCCATCTGCCGGCATCCGCGTCTGTTGGTTTGTTTACGTTTTTGCTCTCAGTCGCATCTGACAGGCTACACAACATATCGCCACTTTGATCCAGCACCTTACTCAGTACCAGTCTCATCTCGACCCATTCCTCTGTCCGGGACCTTGTAAAATTGCTGGACCATTACTCCAAGCCTGCATACATACCGCTCAGCAGCTTCAAAGACCTTCTCAAACGCTCCAATTGGGTTCAAGTCTTTGCAAGTAGGCTTGCCTTTGTTCAGTCTCAAACGCTCACGTTGACACCAACGGCAAGGTTTTATCCTCGACACCGAGCCCCCGGGGTCCGGAGCTAAGCGTGCCACATCCTGCCGCGCAGACCTCAGCTAGTGTGCCGGGTCTCGAACAAGCCTTGGCCCTCCCACAACACCAGCCACCTACAAAGGGTTTCGGCCGGCCAGGTACCACCACATATCACTCTTTTTTAGATCGTCTTTTTGCCCCTCTCCTCGCATCAAGCGGAGGCCGCTTGAGACGTATACAAACCTTCCAAGCCTCCAAGTCCACCACTCGGGTGTGCATCTCCCCTTCTCCTACATCCTCTTGCGTTTTCTCCGCCATGCTGCAGAGCAGACGCTAAGAGAAGGCCCGCATCTTGTCATCAACCTTACCCTGCATACATCTGAGTACAGTTATTGGACGTTTCTTTCCCTGGCATTTCCGCCCTGCTGTCTTGGTCTGAACCTTCGCACCTCTTCATCCCTACTATAACAACCCACACTCACCTCACATCTCGGCCACGGGCCTCTTTCGTTACAATGACCTCCGATAACAAGTACGACTCCCGCCTGGAAGAGGGACTGCTGCCAGTCGCTACCGATGAGAAGAGGTGCTCGACTATTCCGACAACATCCAAGGAGCCCACTAAGAAGATGGCCGGTCCACGCCGTGTCCTGTTTGCCGTCGTGGTATGCGGCCTGATGACGCTCAGTCTTGCTTCCGTCATCGGTCACCGGGGAATGCCTTGTGCGAGGGGACAGCAAAGCGATGCCCAGGCTGTTGTCAGCGAGGGTGACCTCAAAGACCCTGCCAAGGTGGATATCCTTCACAGGCTGCTCCATGCCTATTTCCCCGAAAGATACCAGGATGGTGTCTATGCCTCTGACCAGGATGCCATTGCTGCCGTTGAGGCGGACGATGCCGACCTAGCTTCAGCTCTTGTTCAACTGGCTAAGCGTCAGGACAACACTACCGCCTCAGCTACCCAGTCTTCCCAGGCGCCGCCCACCAGTGAGGCCACTACGCCATCTACTCAGCCTCCCGTCAGCACCCCGACCCCGACCGCAACCCCGACTCCTACGCCGTCTGAGCCGAGCACATCCGCTCCTCAGCCGGATACCACCACCACTCCGCCGACCCCGACAACCACCTCCACTCCGGAGCAGCCTACTACACCTCAGACCACCAGCCAGCCTCCGCAAACTACTCCCACGACATCGGCAACGTCAGCAGCCCCTACTTCTGGTACGTCTCAATCGGAGCAGGCACCTTCCTCCTCTACCGTCGGGCCGCCGTCCGCCTCTACGGAGTCTCAGACGACGACTCGTGGGTCCCCTTCTTCTTCTTCTTCTCCCCCTCCCCCTTCTTCTACCCCCTCTTCTGCTCCCACTACGGCCTCCCCAGGGTCTTCGAGTGCGTCCGCGTCGGGTACGTCTACCTTCCTTTCTCTCCAGACTACTACGGCCGTGACATCCTCGTTCCCTACAACGTCGAGTACGCCTGTGTCGTTTGTGTCGTCGGTGTTGTCGGTGTCGTCTGTATCCGTAACTGGTATGTTGTATCGTGGTTTTGTAGTCAAGTTGTGTTGTGTGTTTTGTTAAGTTTGGGGAGGCCATTTTGGGATTCAGAAGCGACGACCTGGTCTTGATTGTGGAGGCACCACCCTTTTGACGACTTGAACCTGCCTTATGCCCATCTTTTTCTTCCTCCTTCATGGCTCAAAGCAGATTTGCTAACTGAACATTAGAAAACACTCGGCAATCAAGCACTTCTACGTCCTCGCGCAGAACCACCACCTCCTTCAGCCAGGTCCGAGCAACCATCACTTCCACCGCTTCCAACGGCGACGTTGTGCTTGTTACGGCGACTTCTTTTGTTGCTGTGCCCCCTGAGCCTGAACCCACCTCGAGCGCCGGGGGCGGTGGCGGCGGCGGCGGTCTTCAGAATGGCGCCGTTCCCGTTGGCAGCGTCTCATTTGGCCTGCCCGTTACTCTTGCCGCTGCCGTCGCCGGCGCCATGCTCCTGCTTTAAACGGCAGGCCAGTCGCATCATTTTTCATCACCCTGTTATGGGGTGATTTCCGTCTACATAGTTAATCATTCCTTATTTGGTGTTTCGGTACAAACGGACAGCGCGGGCGGCACACAAGCATCATCAGCATATACTTACTCACGACATTAACGGTCTTATTCACTCCTTTGCATCAACTGGTGGGCGTCACACAACACATAGACTCTGCGCGATAAATGCGCTATTCGGAAGGGGAGGCTGATAATAGATGGGGGTTAGCACAAACTGGATAAGCCTCGGTACGGCGGAAGAAAACAGGTGTAAATAAAACAGAGGGACCACCTGAAGCACATCTCTCACAGACCATACATCACATAGTATTGGTTAAAAGAATGAAATCAAAATTGGCATTTCAATATGAGACAGCTCTCGTTCCAAGGATGTAATCATGTAGATTAAGTGTTTTTTTTTTTTTTTTTGGATGTGGGGTTTCCCGCATTCCAATCCGACGCTGCGTAGATCATGTGATTCGGTTTCATCGTCTTTCTTGCCGTTAGACCGTTCGATGTGCTGCTAAAGAATGAGGTTTCAACACCTGCCATGCACGTAAAAGATGAAATAATGGATTTCTTCTATCCCGTTGTACTTTGAGGGTATTCACAACGCCAAAACCTTTTTTTAACTCCCAAGTGTGCCTCCTAAACATATCCTAGCTCTCTCTTTCCCCGTCAATATCAACAAACAGTTTTAACCAGGCCCAATCTTGGGCATATCGTGATGCTCGCTCAGCTTGGACAAGTAAGTGTTAAGCTCTTCGACGCGCTCCTTGTGTGTTTTAAGCAGCTCGGGTCTTGCGCTAGACGATTCGGCGAGTTCGAGGAGCTGTCGAGACGTCTGTCAGTTATACATCCAATCGCCCGGTCGACCGGCCGGAGTATGAAAATGAACTCACCCTCTTGCGCTTCCTCTCCTCATACCGCCGCTCGGCCTCCGTCTTGTGCACGACACCACGGCCTTCCTCATCGTCCTCGTCTTGGGCCTCGGGCTCCGCGCTTCTTCTCTTCTTCCCCTTTGCCCTCTTCTCGTCGACTTCGTCCTCATCCGACCGGCGCTTTACCAGCGCTCCGCCCTCGCTGCCATCATCGAGATTCTTCTCCAGGTCGCTCTTATCCTTTCTCTTCTTCTTCTTGGGCTTCCCCACTTTGGCACCTTTGAGCTTGAGGCCGCCGCCAATCGAGGCGTACTCGTCCAGCGGCATCGTCGGGCGCGGACAGGGGCGGGATGTTCGGATGGGGAGGGTTTGATGATGGTAATAAGTGTCGTTACGCGTATTCGAAGCGGGACGGCCGGGTCGTGGCTTGCTTCCCTCGGTTTGTGAGCGCGTGTCGAGCAGGTGGCCGCCTTCGGAGCCGGACTTATTTGGTTGCGGGCACCAGTGGTGGTTGCTTTTCAGTTTTGTCTTTAGAGTTGCCAGGCAAACCCCTGGACAGTGCTTTCGGTGGCTGCGGTGGCTTGGGAAACTGACTGCCCCTAGTACTCACTGCTCCTACTAGAACGTATGTATACTAATTACTAGTACGTGCTAAAGCTCCCTGTCTCGAAAGTCATTGCGCCCCACACTTTTATCCCGGTGGCAGGCGCCCAGATCTTTGTTCCAGCTGGCCCCCGCTGCTGTACGATTCCTCCAACACCAATCACCGTTTATTCCGCATACCTTGAAGGGCCTGAGCGGGTCCGAAACATGGGCATTACAATGTCTTCGTCCCCTTCCATGCCCAGATGCCGCAGCCAGCCAGGCCAGCCAGGCCCAGTCGAATGCCAAGTTGTGCAGTTCTGGCTTGGGTCTGAATGCTTGACTCGGCTACGTTCGTCCCTTCCAATCCACTGCAACCGCCTGTTTTTTTACTTGTTGCGAAAAAAAAAAAAGGAACGTAACACAAAGTCTTACTTGGCCAATTGTCGCAATTCCTTTACCGGCTTTGTTGCACCAAACTCAATTTTCTTTAAGCTCGTTTCCTCCAAACTACGTAACCTACCTACCCAGTACGTTGCAAAGACATCATCCCCCCAGACACCGCCTCCTCCTCTCCAGCCTTCCCCCCATCCCACCCCGGCTGTTCGAGGTAATTCTGCTTCGGCATACAGAACGACTATTCGGATCGCACACATCGCATTACATGAGATTTCTATTCTGCTACACTTCCTTGGATACGACTAGGGTTTAGATTTTGGTTCTCGATTTGGGGCCTCTGCAAGTGGGTAATTAGAGAACGGGGCACGGCGCAAGTTTGGCACTACTCCTTTTCACGATACGTATATGCAAACGACGTCACGACGAATTCTTTGAGAAACCGCTATTTCTTAATATCAAGCGATACAACCGGCGCTGGCGACACAGTTGACTTCGCTGTCCTGTCCTACTAGCCCTTTGATCCGTCGGCGCTGCAACATGCGATAGCTCCGATAGCAGCCCCCCTGAACGCTAGAACGATTCCACAAGGTCGAGAGCATCGCCCTTTCGCGATCCTCCTCTCCTCCTTCTTCCGCTCGACATCCACCGCCTCGAAAACACAGCCATGCCGCCCTACACAAATATCCATTCCCACCGCGACTCCCTCGAGCTCGCTTCCCTCGCCTCTTCATCACGCCCGGGGTCAGTCATCTCTGACCTCCCCTCCTCGAGGCCGTCATACTCGTCCTCCCGCAAACTCTCCTTCGAGGCCGAAGACCCTCTCGACGCCGCGAACCCCGCCGCCAGCTCCGGGAGGCCTAACCGCCATGATCGCTCCTACTCAGTCTCTTCCGGCTTCGACTTCGCTGCCAACCTCTTCCCACTGAGCTCCACCGCCGGCGCAGGAGCAGGCGGCTACGCCCCCATCGGCGCCCCGACGTCGACAGCGATACAAAATGGTGGTGTTGGCGGCGGCAGCTTGGAGAAGCACAAGACTCTCACCTACCTCAACGGCCTGAGTCTCATCATCGGCCTCATCATTGGCAGCGGTATCTTCTCGAGCCCCAGCCAGGTGAGCTCTAAGGTCGGATCCCCAGGCGCCGCGCTCATAGTGTGGGTGGTTGCAGGTGTGTTGGCATGGACAGGCGCAGCGAGCTATGCGGAGCTCGGCGGCGCGATACCCTTGAACGGTGGTGCGCAAGTCTACCTTGCGAAGATCCTCGGTGAAATGGCTGGGTTCCTGTTCACCTGGGTTGCGGTTTTGGTGCTGAAGCCCGGTAGCGCAGCTATCATCTCCATCATCATGGGAGAGTACCTGGTCAGGGCGGCGATAGGGGCCGAGGCGGAGAACCTCAACCCCTGGGTGAACAAGGCGGTCGCTATGGTCGGACTAATCGTAGTCACATTGATGAACTGCGTGTCGACGAAGCTGGGCACAAAGGTGAACGACTGGCTCATGTTCTTGAAGTTCATCGTTCTGCTGGGCGTTACAGTCACGGGAATTGTAGTCGCCATCACAGGGAAGACGGTGACAGGCAAGGCCAGCTTGGAGTGGAAGTCGCACGAATGGTTCTCCGACACATCGACGGATCTGTCAAACTGGGCGGTGGCCCTCTATGCCGGCCTTTGGGCTTACGACGGCTGGGATAACGTAAGAAAGCTTCAAGTGCCATTCGCAGTAGGCTCGTACTGACTTCTACAGACAAACTACGTTGTTGGCGAATTCCGCAATCCGACTCGCGACCTCCCCCGCGTGATCCACACGGCCATGCCCCTCGTAATCCTCTCCTACGTTCTCGCCAACATCGCGTACTTCCTCGTTCTTCCTCTTGCTGCCGTCAACGCCTCCAACACCGTTGCTGTGCAGTTCGGCGCAAAGGTCTTTGGCCCCGTCGGTTCGCTCGTGCTCGCCCTCATCGTTTCGGCGTCTTGCTTCGGCGCGCTCAACTCCTCTACTTTCACTTCCTCCCGCCTCGTCTACGTCGCCGGCAAGGAGGGTTACATCCCTTCGCTATTCGGCCGCATCGGTCTCTCCTCGTCGGACTCGCACTCCATCACAACCTCGCGCACCTCTCGCGGTCGCGTTGCGAACATGCTCATCCGGGTTCTCGGCGACGACGAAGTCGGCCTCTTCTTCACGCCTGTGTGGGCCCTTATTCTCAACGGCGTACTGACGGCGGCGTACATCGTCGTCGGCGAGTTCGGCACCCTTTTGACATTTTATGGAGTGGCGGGCTACACGTTTTACTTCATTACTGTGCTGGGCTTGATCATCCTCCGTGTACGCGAGCCGCAGCTCGACCGGCCCTACCGCACATGGATCACGACGCCAATCATTTTCTGCTGCGTCTCGCTCTTCCTGCTCAGCCGCGCCGTCTTCGCACAGCCGCTTCAGACGGTGACGGTCGTGCTCTTCGTCGTCGCCGGCGTACCTGTGTACTTCTGGCGCATCCGCGGGCGTGACCAGCAGGTCATCAAGCGCGAGACGAGACACGCAGGACACGACGACAGGCCTTGGTGGCAATTCTGGAAGCGGTCATGAAAACAGTCATCATAACTGGCGCGTTTTCCTTCCTTGTTTTTGGGCTAGCACTTGCGCGGGGAGGGGGTTATTGTTTGATCAGACCTTGTTCTGCACAGAGGCAATCATGGTATCCGCCAGGAGCATTAGTGGGGAGTATATTCAATCAAAAGAGAGCGGTGGAAGGCTGTCTTCTCAAAAAAGGAGTTGCTCTTTTTTTCTTCTTTTTTTTTGGTTACTATGATTATTAGTGTTTTTGGAAAACAAAAATACAGCGTAGAAGAAGAGCGTGGTTAATCTTCTGCTGAAGTCGGCTACAGGCGCCATTTGGCGTGTTTGATGTCTAGTCTCCAAAAGTCCCATACCTCCCAATGACGGATTATCATATGGGTGGAGGAATGGAATGGGATGATAGAGACTCGGAGGAAGATAGAGAGAGGGAGAAAGAAGGAGCGGCGGGTGAAAATGGGATTAAACCTGTTCGGGTTGACGACGGCATGCATGTTCGTGTGTTACAAAAAAAGAAATCAACCCCGGGAAAAGGAACTGGTGGAGAGAAACGGCCCCTCATTGTACCAACTTACTCGTCTTGTAATTTTGAAAGAAAATGCACATATGGCTACGGGACTGGCCTCACGTTTGTTTTCCTCTTTAATTTTTTTCTCCCCACCGATTCTTTACCCTGCGTCGATATGAGTGTAGCAGAGTTCCATCTGTAGATGCGATGTCTGTCCAGCTGAATTGATAAAGTGGTTGCATTACACATCATCAGGATCAAAAGTACACTTGGTTATGTCATGTGCCGCACTGCTTATCCAAGTGCACAATAATAGCTGCTGGTCCTCTTCTGGTTGGAGAGTGATACTAGGCTGAGACCTCAAAACACATCACACTTTCACGGTCATTTTGAACAATAGTTTGAACTTTGCATCAGGCTGCATTCCTATATACAGGCAACCTAGTCTTCAGGAGCCTTTGAGTACTATGCAATGCAAACGCCATAAAGAAATCAACGCTTAATTCGTCACAACATACTCTCTGAACCTCTCAGAGTATAAGTCCGTCCCAAGTATTATGCCATCCGTCTCGTTTACTTCTTCTCACGCTGGCCGTAGGCCTTGGTGGCGTAGTCGCCCTTGTGGACGATGAGGTCCTCGGGCTTGTAGTCCTCCTTGCCGCTCAGGTAGCTCTCAATGATGGCCTTGGTGCCGTCGGCGTAGCGCTTCTGGGCGTCCAGGGAGGTACCGGACATGTGGGGTACCATGGCGTTGCCGCCGCCGAAGGGGTTCTTGGCGGTACGTAGAGGGTGGTCGGCAGGGGCGGGCTGGGGGAACCAGACATCACCACCGTAGCCGGCAAGGTGGCCAGACTTGAGAGCCTCAGCAACGTCCTCCTTGACGACGATGGCGCCACGGGCGGTGTTGATGAGGTAGCTGCCCTTCTTCATCTTGGAGATGAGCTCCTTGTTGAACAGACCGCGGGTCTTCTCGTGCAGGGGAGCGTTGATGGTGACAACGTCACACTGGGCAAGCATCTCCTCGAGGTTCTCAACGCGGCGGCAGCCAATCTCCTTCTCCTTCTCGGGAGACAGGGGCTGGTAGTCGTAGTAGAGGAGCTCCTTGCAGTCGAATGCCTTGAGACGGCGGAGGACACGCTCACCGATGCGGCCAATGGCGACGGTACCGACGGTCTTGCCCTCGAGGTCGTACTCCTGCTTGGCGACAGCGGCGACGTTCCAGTCACCACGCTCGATCTGCTCGTGGGCAGGAACGAAGTTGCGGATGAGAACGAGGATGGTCATGACGACGTGCTCAGCAACGGAGACGACGTTAGAGCCAGTGACCTCAGCGACGGTGACACCACCGTTGGTCTTGTTGGCGGCGTTCAGGTCAACATGGTCAGAGCCGATACCAGCAGTGACGGCAAGCTTCAGGTTCTTAGCCTTGGCGAGACGCTCGGCGGTAAGGTAGCCGGGGTGAAAGCTAGAGGCAAGACATGTAAGTTTACGCTGTTGACTCGTACGGAGACTTGGATTTAGACTTACGGAGTGGTGATGATGATCTCGGCGTCGACAAGCTCCTGGTCGAACTTAGAGTTCTCGCCCTCCTTGTCGGAGGTGGTGACGAGAGTGTGGCCCTGGTCCTCAAGCCACTTGCGGATACCAAGCTCGTTCTCGGTGGTGCCCAAAAGGCCGGGAACCTGTTTGGTTTCGAATATCAGCCAAGAAGTCCAGGGATAATGGATATGCACCCCGCATTTGATGGTTTTGGATGGTTTATGAGCCAAGAATTGGGGGAGGATGCCGATGTATCAGCGATGGACCTCCGAGCCCCGCACCTCCCGTCATCCCCGCACTAGCTCTCTGCAAGCGAGACAATCTGCTCGAGATCACGGCGGGGCACAGCTCTGTAAGAGCTCTCATAGTGACGTTTTTTTAGGTGGATCGCGGGTGCGTCGGAGACAACACAACGACGACGACGTTGTTGATTTTGTGCAGGATGTGAATTTGAAGGGAAGATGGGGATGGGTACTTACGTCTTTGGCGTGCTGACCGCCGTCGTAGAGAACTGCAAGAACCTTGACCTGGTTTTGACGAGTAGTTGTTAGTGTGCGAATTGAAGAGAGCTGACCAGGCAGCTTGCGAGGGAGGGTCGAGGGAGCTTGGGCAGAAGCACCAGCAGCGCGGCTGAAGGCAGGCCTAGCAAGGAAAGATGCCTTCGAGGAGGTATGAAGTCCCCGAGAGACGGAAGGAGTAATAGAGCGAATGTTGCGAGAGAGAAATACCATTTTGAATGTTTGTGTGAAGATGAATCTGCCGAGAGACGGAGGAGGCTGTTCAGCTTGGACGAAGGGAGGTCGTCGTTATATAGAATTGATGTGTAGTGATGAGAAAGTGATGACAGATCCGGGTCCACGGATCTTGCAGGCTATGCTGAGTGAGAGATGTTTGTATGAGATCAGGATGAGAATGCTACACGGAAAACCGGCTGGGAAGTGTTGTATTTATGCTTGCAGGGCCATCACCATCAGACCAGGATCAAGAGGGCGGGGTTTCAGACCAAGACGAGAGTAGAATCTCAGAAAGAGGCAATAGAATCCGACAAGTCGATTGCCTCTCGTGTGTGCATGCTGGTCTGGGCTGGTTCGACGCGCCAGGCTTGCGTCTACTCCTCACGCTACTCTCTCTGTGTCTCCCCCCTCTCACTCGCTCTGCGACTATCTGTTTTGCCCGTTGTCCATTGTCTGTCCTCCACCTCTCCGAGATGCCAGAATCCCATGCCCCTCCTTTCCAAAGTATCTCCTCGACCAGTGACCGTCGGAGGGGGGTCGCACACGAAAGTTCGGGAAGGCAGCAAGGCTGGGGCACGGCAAGGAGGGTACTCCTTTCTTGGTAAGGGTCGGTTAAGTGAGTAACACGACAGGTACCTGAGGTCACCCCATCGTACGTGGTAAAAGATAGTCAGTAGGTCCAGTCAGTAACCCAGGGCTGCAAAGTATACACTAAGGTACGGCAACAGGGGGCTCGGCATCTCCAAAATAGTATCTGCCTGTCGTGGGGAAAGCTCCCCTGCCCCAATCAATCTCCCCGATTATTGGTCGACGTTCCTGCCGCCGTAGTTCGTCCCCTCCACCCGAGCAGGAAGCTTGCCCGCTTCAGTTGGCAGCATCTCCCCTCCCACCTCCCACCACGATGAAACGCCGCAACCCCCGGCAAATCTTCAACTCCCAACGCTGTTTGTCTGCAGCTACTGCTTTGAACATTGGGATTGCGCTGCGACCGCAGCAAAGACCCCATCTTACTCGACCTTGAACGTACCCAATTGGCTTGCCTGTGCTCATGCAATGCACGACAGTGGCCATTGCTCGCCTCGGAATGTATCACCGACAATCGATACTGCTGTCGCGCAGCAACAGACACACACATCAACCATCCATCCATCCATTGTGGCTAAGCAATTCAAAGAATGAGGGGTAAATGGACCTTCCAAGCTCGCCATCATACGTCTGGTGTTCCATCCAATACGCCTCGAATCTATCACCTAATACCTTGAACCAAAGTCATCTCTAATTCGCCGGAGCCGGTTGATCGTCCGTTACCATGAACACGCACCAACGGCTATGCTTGCTCAAAGGTCCTGCAACATCTTCCTAATTTGCAAAGAAGTGGCCGGCTGCCTCGATTCAAGAGGGCTAGGCGTTTCCAGGCGCGTCCTAGCTCCTTTTTGCATGCACAAGTCAGCAATCATGCGCTGGTCCTGGTCTGAACGGAGATTTGTCGTCAAGCCTTGAGCCCGAGAGGTGTTGATACCCCTGCGGTGATGGCTCGGTGATCCGTCGGGTTGTTCAATGAGGGGTTGAGCATCGGTGGTTGGTGGCGCGTGCTGACACCTCATGCCGTGTACCACACCTTTATGTCCTCGGGGAGCTCAGCCGTCCATTGGCGCGACCGTCGGCATTCAACGCGCCATAATGATGCGGCTTCTGGACCTGGTGTGGGTTGGGCCCCTTCGTTGACTTCTACGCTTGGCATCATGCTCGGAGTGTTTTTATTTTATTTTTCATCGCTTGAAGTTATCATGGTTCCATTTATGGGCCAGCCTTTGATAACAGTGGAATGTGATATCGAGACCATAGTATGGATGATGACAGAACACGGGTAAAAAATGCCGTATATTTCATGCTTCCGTCATTCGGGCGGCACATTGACCCGCGCGGCTCTGAATTCCCTGCTGTTGCGGCCCCGTTTCCGACCCATCTCGGTCCACAATCCGGTCATCGACATTGGAGCGGAAACCGAGCGGAGAGGCGCACAACTTCGCGATATAATTACAAAAACGGGTACCTTCCTACAGCAATGGGCGCTTGGTCTAGGGGTATGATTTTCGCTTCGCATTTCCGAACAACGATTCGGGACGCGCCTTGTGAAAGGTCGTGGGTTCAATTCCCACAGTGTCCAGCTTTTTGCTTATCATGATAAACTCAATTCTTTTGTCGATGCGGAATGGGATGTTGATCCTTTGCAAGAGCTGCACGGTTCTGCTTCTTGCCAAAATAATGACATCCACCAAATCAATGTCTGTTGGCTTTTCGCGATCAGCACTGCGAGCCAATAGGAAATGGGTCCGTCAACCCCTTCCTGATTTGTGGGTTGTTGATGACCTCACTCACTTCGTTTGCTATGATTTAGCACTTTAGATACCTCTGTATAACAACCAGCGGACAGCTATGGGAAGTGGGGTCTTCTATTTACGATGTCAGCGTTGTCACAAAACGTTGTCTAAGCTTTGCTACGACATGTGTATGTGAGTTTTATCGTGTGAACGTCCAGGCATAGCCTCCGCAGCAGGGGCAGCGTGCCCTACCATAAAAGCTGGCAACGTTTCAATACCTTCTCTGGTTCTTGGTAGAGTCCTGTCTGTATTTATCAGTCGATCTTGTTTCCCATCAGCAATCGATCAGGTGCTGAGGGACGCACACGCAACATATTGGGCACTGGTAGGACAGATCAAGCAAGCTTTACAGGCCTTGCCTTTGACGAATATCTAGAAAACTGCTAAACGAGGTCCCTAGTTAACTCATCTCCAGCCTCTCTGCGTTTGCGTCAATTAAGCACGGAAAGTTGAGGACCAGGACTCTCCAAAGTATTCAGCGCCAAGCTTTGTATGACATGACATCCCCTCGTCAGATTGAATAGCCCGACTACCAACTTCAGATGACGGGCCATAGTGCGAGTAGATATTCTGCTGCTTCTCGGATTTGACAAGATCTATAGTCTCATGACAAGAGTCATTGTCAATGGTTATATAGGATTAAAATGACTAAATACGCTGCCCGCACGATCGTACCCTTGGCGGATGTTGGAGGAAACCCACGGGCCACCGTAGGAATTTGGCACGCATCGGGGCACCACACCGACGGAGTACTCCAGCCACTGGAGCTATGGAACCGGATGAGGCTCTTTTTTCCATAAGTTACTCGATAAGCTCTTCCTCAAGGCGCGGCACGGTGCATTAGCTGCCCATTAAGTGGGTTCTGCACCAGCACGTGGTGGCTCATTGAAGGAGGGGGGGGGGAATATACTCAGTTGCTCGGCTAGTCCTGGAGTAAACTCGGCGTCTTGGGAATATAAGCTGGCCGTGAAACGAATCGGCCTCTTAGCCGACGGAGGTGGTAGAAGGTCGGCCTTTCGGACATTTGACAAACACTCCTCTCTGCAGATCAGCATATACGCGGTACAGGGTCCGTGTGGCCAGCTGTGAATGCTGGGAATTTCCCGAACTGCATGGACCCCTAAGCGAGGCATGTGGTGGAACGACATGTACTGCGGCAGCTATTGGTTAACTAGAGTATGTTCGCGATGGTTATGTTGATGCCTTTGGCTTCCCGTGGCAGAATATCACTTGCTTGCTGCGCCGAAGAGAGCTTCATTATAGTCTTCGTCTCATGATTGGACTCTTCTGGAGTTACCAAATAACACTTTACTTGGTTTTGCACTGCTTGGTTCCTTCCGCTTGTTTCGGCGATCACCCGAAACCTTGTTCATGACTGGTGCGGCGTCACGAGTCCTTCACAGCGTACTTACTCAGGTGTCGTGTCAGGTAACAGAACAGACAAGGTTCACTATGTCAAAGGTATCAAAGGACATTTGAATACTGACGGGAGCGCTGCCTATGACTTTATTCAAGGCTCGGGGAGAGGGACCATAGGATGGTGGTATGGAGTAAAATACCGATAATTGCTACTAGCCTTGTAGACTTATTGGGTTTTGGGTGACACATTACGATAATGTCTTTCTGTACGTAACAGTCCGCTAGACCTCTAATATTTTTTGTTTTTTTATTCTCCCCATCCTATAGGAGAAACAAGTGTGTACGTCCAGAGACCAGCGGTAGGTTAAATAGTATGTGTTAAAAGGCGGTACGGTCTACGGCTTTGGCCCGCTTACCCTTGTTTTTTTCCGCATCGTCGATCTTTAAGTAACAAGTACAACAGTAGGTCCTATTTATAAACCTATTCTATTTCATCTGCATTCTATTTCGGTCTCTTATAGTAGGGCAGGATGTGGAACATATGTGCGTCTTGCCCCAGGGCTTGTACCGGGAACGCAATATATACTACATGAGTATGGCTAAGTGATCAAGAGCTGGATAGTTTACAGAAAATAATACATACTGGTCATTCTGCATTGAACTGTTTGCAGTTCAATGCTGGGATTTCCGACTTAGTTTTAGTCTTTGCGCCGAGTGTGCATGTGCTCCCATCTCAGTTCGCAGCCCACCCAGCACCCCATCGAGTACTTTCCCTCAGGGTTAAGTTCTAGAGCGTCTGACCACTTCGATTTCGCCTAGTAAGGCGTCGCACATGCACGCTTACGCAGCTTGGTGGATAATTACTTGAAGATCAGAAGCTCCTGATCTTCACGTGACGTCAAGTAAATTGGCATATTGCTCTTGTTTATTCCTCTGGTGGTGGAGCTTCGCATATAACGTTTCCCAAATTTTCCTCTGAAGGGATTTACATGGAAACTGTCTGAACTTCTTCGTCAAATATAAAGCCGAATACCAGTCCTTGGCTATTCACAATCAGAAGCTGGTCTTTCAAATGTCAAGGCAGTTTATACATCATGACAATCATGACAAGCGCCGAAAGCAGACATGTTTGACTTCTTGGCCGCATATCGTATCACCGACATGTTCTCTGCGTCATTAATGTAGACGCCATCATGAGCCTCCTGAACTTTCCTCCCACCATAATGGTTCTCAGAGGGGGTGAACGAGTGGGTATAAGACTTCGGAGTTATCTTCGCATGAGGAGACTAAATAAAGATAAATTTAATTCATTGAATCATTAAATCGTTCCTTATACGCGAGAATTATCCAGAATGAAGTTTCAGAAGATTTCCATCGTTGCGGTCATCGCCTATTTGGTCGAGGGTACCTTAGTTGCTGCCCAAGACTCTCTCACAACACTCTCCTCAGCTGTAGAACCTCCTCCCAGGACGGTGAACGGAGAATACGGATGCTACACTGACTTTGGGCCGACATCCCGTGATGTTCAAACATTCTCTAGAGTCTACTACATCACCCAACCCATCACACGCCCTTACTACATCCCCGCTCCAACTACCACCATAACGGTGACGCCGACTGCCCTGCCCCCTTCAATCCTGCCAGCCACAAATACAATTACATGCATGACGACTATCACCACTACCACCCGCATTACATCCTTCGTGGAACAAACAGTACAGACTCCCAGCGGATTTACGCCTCTCGCTTCTGCCATCTACAGACCGAACGGCGGCTTCCTCAATGCGGCGAACGCCAAACAGCCTGAGAACAACGCGGCGGATATTCAGCAGCAATCATTGAAGCTCCGTATCGAAAGCCAAAATGCCGTGGTTGCCCAGCCCCAACTATACCCCCAGCGGGTTGTCTGCGAGCGTGTTGTACACGTCTACACGACGACGACGCAAACATACACCATGACCGGAGTTCACACTTCAACTGTGACCGCCCCAGCGCCCACACATAGCAATCCAGTGTTCCCGGTGCAGTACACTACCACGATTACCACGACTACCACTAGCACCATTACAGACGTGGCTCCCAACCCGACTTACACGGCCTACGAGGCCTGCCAGTCAAATAACCTCGTCTCGCAGGTGACTAGGGGCCGCCGACCGATTATCGAGGCCGAAAACGGTTTCGGTGTCACGCAAGAGCAGCACTTTGAGAGTAGTGCGTACAACTGCTGCGTTGCGTGCCAGAGGGAGAACGAGTGCACGGGAAGTTTGTTCTACGCCAACACCTGCTATACCTTCAGGGGGTGGCAGGACACTTGCATGTCTCCGGGAGAGCTGCGCTGGAGTCGCCGGGCTACATTTGGCGGATCCTTCACAGCCAGCAACGGAAAATGTGGCTCATGGGGGCTTTCGAGGACTCCTCCTTCCACGGAATCCGACTTTTAGCATTCAAAAGCTGGAGACCATTCCTCGGTCGTTACCTGAGGAGAAAAGAATAGCTGCAGGATACAACTAGGTTTCCATTATAGGCTTTCGTAGGTAGATTTTAGCAACGGCCAGCTATAGTTGAGAAAAGTTGAATGACTGCTGTTTTCTTATTTCTTCCCCCGGAAATTTCGTATGACGCAGCATTAAACTCAGAATATGTGTGTGTAACTGCAAATGCTGATCCCCCAAACACTGTTTCCTTCCCGTCCGGGGCGACCCGGCAGCCGGGTCTACGGCAGCTTCCAGATACGGAAAGTGGTCGGTGTGTAGAGTGCGACTGCACACTGTATTCATAGGTTCACTAGACTATCCACACTGTGACACCTCCCAGGACTGGCCCTGTCCGCCAAAGTACCATTCTTTTAAAGTCTGTAGGACGTCTCCAAAGTGTGAAAATCACATCACTACATATTTCTATAATTTTTCCTGGACTCGCAGATTAATAAATGACAATGACCCTCAGATATCCATGCGGGCATCTTTAATAGCAGTTATTTCCGTCCGTCATGTCTATTAAGAGCCGTTCGAGCAAGCACATCTTGGTAATCAATTCAATCCAAGACCAAAATCTAGCCATCGCATCTGGCTTGCCATATTTATCTGGCATAAATCCTCCGGCAACATCTAAGAACTAACGAAATGACGTGTACCAAGTGGACGGCCCGTAGGATTTCCAGCCGTACAAAGTTACAAGGGTGCCCTCCTTCAGATCCCTTACGTAGCCTATTGCTGGAAAGGAAGCTTGACCCAAAGGGCTGCCTCACCGTTGCCGATCAAACCAGGGGAAATCTAGAAGAGATAGAATGATCGTAAAAACTCAAATCGTCTCAGAACCAACCTCTGATATGTTTATGCAGAAAGCGCATTTTCACAAGCAAAATATGTAACGGACGAGGGTCATCGATGCGTGAATCGGCCTTCCTCCCTCGGGGCTGCTTCCAAGGCCTACTTTGATATTTGTCGATCATGTAGACTCTCTAAGTAATGGCAGTATACTAGCTTCCAAAGACGCCGTGAATTCTTGCGTCAAACCACAGAAGCCACTTAGTCTCGATCTCAACGACATCTAGGGGATGGTAAGTTGTCTTGAAGAATGTACAAAATGCAGGCATCTGACAGTAAACTGCGGCTTCTAATAAAAATCACCCCGGGTGACATCATCTGCAAGGGAGTAAAGCCACTGCAAACGAAAACAAGTCCAGGTAGTAATGCTTTTGCATATGCAGAACTTCCGTGGGGTCTCGGATACTAGGCAACCATTTAGGAGATTTTTTTTTTTTCTTCACGGCTAACTACGGGACGCCGATGTCCTTGTCAACTCCTAGCCAAAGACAAAAACCACGCAATCCGCCTTGGCTGCCCCCTTTCAACCTCGCCAGGGACTCGCAACCGCGCTGTTGGGTCACGATCGCGCATAGAAGGATTCCCTCGACCCCTCGTTCCGCCTCTGGTGTCTCTCGCCGCTCTCCACAGTCTCCGCTGATCTTTTGGCCTAGCCTCCCTTCAGCCCTTCGACAACCAGCCCATGCAAGTCACAGCCGAGACACTATACAGCCTTACCGACGGACCTGTCGACATGTGTTTTCCATGAATCTTCTACGATCTAGTTCACAGGGCAAGAACGACATCCATTGGCCACGTTGACGCGCTGCGCAATCCCAAGCGATGCACGCATCGTCGAATAAGCTGCCAAGATGAATTTGATAGGGCAGCCGACAACGCTACAGGGCAAACGATGACCAGCCAGTTCCCCTACCTTCAGCGCCGTTGGCGCTCTAGAACCGCGACCTGTTGTCTGGGGCTAAGCGGGAGACGGGGGAGCCGTTATGGGGGGCTGGCGAAAGTGAAGCCCAGCCGTTGGCGAATAGGGAAGCAGAGATGGCACGATGCTGCGGACCCTAAGCCCCTGGGCTGGGGCACTGACCCCAGCATGTTGTGTCTTTTTTTCTCTTAATTTTTGCACTTTCAGCTTAGCCCCCTTACCTCGCGTTGGATGACGGCCCCAGGGTAGCATCGCCCGGCACCTAGAGTGGCCTTGGCGATCCTTTCAGGTAAATTCGTCCTGGTTTATAGAGGAGGGCTCCTTGGTGCGCGGTACCTGAGCTGGCAGCCCGCCCGTGACACCCATTTTCATCCTGGACATGTCATTTCTCGGCTCCCAAGAGCAGCCATGCCGCCGTGGACCGTCGATCCGACAAAAACATTCCCCATCCGCCCTGCAACGGTACCCGGCTCCTCTCTTTCTGCTCCCTTTCCCCTTCTCCGGCCCTGATTGACGGCAAGCTGCTTGGGACAGCCTCATCCCAAACCACCACAGAGGAGACGTGCGCCCACGCACGGTGAAAATGGCGGATTTGGATCCGAATGCGTGGTATCGCCTCTCCGAGACTCGCGTCGACAACAGCACCGGGCCCTTCGCCCTCAACCTCCAACTTCGCACTGGCACCGGCCTCAGAGTCCATCCGATAAGTGACGGAAAGGCGGCCTGGCAGTTCCAACCTTATGGTGGTGTCAAAGGCCGCTACTTTATGCGCCTCGATCAGGTTGGAGTGAAGCAACAGTTGGCCGTATGCCACGATCCGACCGAACCGACTTCGGGAAATACCGTTGCGTGTATGCAAGACTCGGCCACCGTCGACTCTCAATTATGGGATGTTTCCGACTTCGGATCAGGCACTTTCAAGTTCGTCAACGTCGGCAACGGAAGCAGTTACGTGCTCGACGTGCACCCGAACTCCAACCTGTTCATGTCTAGCGAAATTGAGGGATCACCGAGCGTCGCAGAGAAACAACCTGCTCAGCACTGGGTTATGTCAAGCATTAGCGCCGTCAACGACGGCGCCTATTCCACTATTTACAGCAGCGTGAGTTTGAGCCAGCAATTATCGGTACCGAAACGCAACGAGATCAGCTAACGTTAGTAGAACGTCGCAGTAAGCACTAGCTCGGCGTCGCTTTCGTCCTCCAGCACAACCACCCGACCAACCACGACTTTCACCACTACACGACCGACGCAAACTACTGCGATGGCGGGACTCGACGTCTCTGCGATCGCGATGGGCGCGACCGCGTCGAATTCAACCGTTTCAGCATCCAAGGGGATCTCAACAGCAGCAGGAGCAGGTATCGGTGTTGCTGTCGCGCTCAGCGTGGTGGGATTAATAGGGGCAGTGGCCTTCTTCTGGTGGCGGCGATCACAACGACCGGCGAAAACAAAATATAGCGAAGTCGAGGCGAAAAACGGCGATGTCCCTGACAGAAGCTCTTCAATAGGGATTTCACCAAATGGCGAGAGTGCGCCATCTTCGTTACACGGCATCTCTCCAACCGTTGGGGTCTCTAGTTTGTCGTCATGGCAACCTGCCTCTTCAGTCTCTGTACCGCCAGTGTCATCTTTCATCAATGGGCAGCAACAGCAAACTGGATATTACGTAGGAGGACAGCAGCCAGTACAGGGCGGGCAGCAGGGTGGATATTACGGCGATCAGCAACAAACCGGGTACTACATTGATCCTCAAACGGTATCTACGATTGGCGGGCAACAGGCCGTTGTCTATATCGGTGGACATCCGTCGACAGTTCCCGAGCAGCAACCCACGACGTATATCGGCGCACAAATACCGGCTGTGGCTCAACCGGCTGGGTCATATGCCAGCGGGCAGCACTCGGATTCATTTGATGACGGTGATGCGCCAATCGCCTCGCTCTACGGACAACGAATCAGATCGTTGAATATAAAACAACAATCTGGCGCCTCAATTTATGGCCAGCGGACCACGCCTTCGAGCGCGTCCGCTTCACTTTATGGACAGTCAACTGGGGCTTCGAGCAGCCCTACGGTCCTCCGTCACCAGTTCGACCACCCCACAGCCGCGACCGAGTTTGCTCCAGGAGCAGCCAAAGCTGTCGAGTCTTACTCGGCATCCCGAGGCGGCTATGGGACCAATCAGAATCAGACGAGTTCTACGGTCAACCTTGCCGACTTCGAACCGATGCCGCAACCGCACGAACTGGAGACGGCGGAGCGAGATATTGTGCGCCGCCAACACGAATTGGGCTCATTCCATCATGGACCCGACACATTCATGAATAACCAGACCTCCCGGGCAAGAGCAGCATCAAGAGCAGCATCAACAGCACCCAAAGCCGAGCTGAGTGCATACCAGCATGGCCCAGATACTTTTACTCATAACGAGGCGAAGATGCTGGGCGCACCGACGGCCGAGCTCGGTGCTTACCAGCACGGGCCCGACACTTTTGAGAATGAACATGAAGCCAAGGTGCTAGGCGTTTTTCACCCAGGGACGGAATCATTTGCGCGGGAGCGGGAGGACAAGGTACTTGGCAACCTTCACGACATAATGAGCATGGCGAAGCCGGCTGGGCGGGGCGGTGCAGAGCCACAGTCGTATGAGATGAGCCCCATGCGGCCATCAGCGCGAGATCACGGCGACACCAACAGATGAGGCCTCACCCAGCATCTGATATAACCAAAAACTACACAACAACAACAAAATAACGAGACGTTAATCCTCTCCGAAGGGGCCTAATTGGAGGACACTCATGATACCCAGATCAAGACCTTGCCGTCTTTTGTCCCATTGCTGTGGATGCTTATGCACGAGAACTTGGACATCCAAGCCCTCACCCCCGAACACGGTGGCTTTCAACAATAGGAGCCGGGCAAGGGATGCCGCCCACTACTGGCCGACCGCTTGGCGGTTGCCGGGTGTGGATTCAAAGAGCTCGAGAGCTCGGCGAGGACAAACATCGATCTTCAGGAAACTACATACCTGACGATCGGGGTCCTATCTGCGCCAAGACAAATGCTGGCTTTGACAAGCGTAGCCATTTCGGCAATACTCATGAGCAGCTCTGCATTGTTTGCTTCAAAGACAGTCGTCAGTTAAATGACATGTAAAGGGACGAGACCGAGAGTCTTAACACAAATCAATCTTTTCAGCTCTTTGGCGGTAAAGCAAGGACGCCAAAGAGGAAGGACAACAAGTCGACACTACGACCAGAAACCCGTATGATTTGTAAAGATGCATAGAGAAAATATAGTAATAATGAAAGAGAATCCACCCATTGTTTGGCTTAAAGTCTCGTGACCATGACTTTTGCGGTGACTGAGAATCTTCCCTCAGTCCTGGCCTTTTCAGCGGTTTAACGGCAGATACGACATTGGCCGGTATATGTCTCAACGTAGAATCAGGGGGTTGAGGTGTGCAGTTGACCCGTGGCTACCGTAAATGATGAATCAGCCTAATTTGAGTGTCGTGCCGGATGAGCCAGCCGGGAGCAGAGCTTCCTCCTGAAACCTCAAGGACACACGGCTTTCCTGCCTTCGGTCTGAATTCTTCAGTTGACGAAGGACCCTGAAAATTCAGGACTAGGCAGATGATACCTGAACATGCCAGAAACAGCCGCCCATGAGGTCTTGCAATGTCATGGCTTAGCTTACAGGCCGTATGTATCTCCAACCCTTGGCCGCCGCATCCCGGAGCTCTACGTTAGGGAACGACACTGTTGCGTGCGGGTTTACAACATGACTGTAAACAGCTGAACACGGAACTCAATCTCAAACTTTTCCTAGACCGGAGAAGTGCGCAAACAATATTACATGTGGTGAAAAAAGAAAAAAGAAAAAAAATCTGGTTTTCTACGTCTCTCATCTCTCGCATATTCTGCGTCCTGAACTTGCATAGTCTGGTCTCATGGCATACCTTGTGAAGGATATCTGTCTACTTGGGAAAACCTCGTGGACTTGATGACAGTGGATGATGGTATGATGGTATGGTAGGCACATTTGGGCACATTTCGAATTCGTAACCGCGTGGCGTGTCCGCGTCGTGATGGTTTTCGATTGGTTCTTGTTTCCCGCGGCTGTGGCCGGCTCAGGTGATGGCTCAGACGCCTTGGGGATACTCGGCATTTGTTTCCGTTTGTGGCAGAGAATGGCAGTAAGGACGGCGTATAGGGAAACCGAAAGAGGCTTGAACATATGTCTGTGGTTTGTATGAGAGATTACCCATCTTCTACATCTTTCAGTGGTAGGGTAACATTTGCCATTGCCTGTCTACTATTCTCCTACTCTCGTCGACATCCATATCTTGTACTATCGATTTCAGTACACAATCATGCGGCTCACTGTCATGCTTGACATAAGTCTACTACTTGAGATATGGGATTATTTGATGTGATATAGCAATGATATGGTGTACAGTTGAAGAAAGGGTGCTAGCAGATTTGATTGAAGACGTGCGACTGTCAGTTTCTAGTTGCGGTTCATTAACTATACTCAGTACCTGAGTCCCAAATATGGCCACGTTAACGCGTAATACGTACGGAAAACCCCATGGATAAAGAGGTAGTTTATACCATCTATTTTCTTCATTTTATCTCTCTCTTTCCATATACAGATGAGCACTTGTCAAGAAAATCTGATAGCGGAGGTTGTTCAGGAGGCGTGAAAGCCTCCTCGCCTTTACAAAAAGCCCGATCTGTAGGAGTAGCACAACGTTGAAACATTTCATTATCAGCCAGTACACAATCAACATCCAACTTGCACAAAGTCCGACTAACCATTTTGTCCCAACATACGAGTATATCTCTATGTATACGCCAATTCTCATGATAACCAACCCAGCAAAGTCACGAACGGGGCCACGCAACTTCGGACACCTGTCCATCTCACGCAGATAAACGTCGGCGACATCGTCGTCGGTGAAGGTGAGGCTTTTTGAATACAAGATTATCTGTTGAAAAACGAAACACTGAGTATCAGCCGCAAACCAGCCATCGTCAACATGAAGCGAACATTCAACGTCGGGTATTTCAAGGGTGAACAAGAAAAGCATCATATTCACTTTAAAACCTGTTACAAGGCAGCGCAAGTTGTGTAAAACAGGAGCCTGCCTACTTCGAAACAACTGAGGAAATGGCGGCAAGCTCCCGCTAACTTGTCTTTCATTCTCAGCCATAATCTTTTTTTTTTTTGGAATATGTTATCCATCTTTGCGTATCAAGCAATTCTGATATGCCACTTGCAGTAATCTTCATCAGGTGGTGATGAGGCAGTGACATCTCCATCTCTGCCAGCATCCTTATGTAACAGAAATCACGACGCAGCTCACATCCCCGCCTCGGAACGAGCCCGGCGGACAAGTCGGCGCAATTCAAGTTCCGAATCCGACCGGAGTGGGGATATCGGCGCGGGGCCCCTCCGCGGCCGCAACTCAACTGTGCCCCATTCCGGCGCCAACGGCCGGATGCTTTTGATTGACTTCCTGTGGTGGTTGCGGTCAAAGCTCCAATCGAAAGGGCTCTTCATATGGTTTAGGGATACCGGAGATTATTGTTTCAAGCCAAGAAGCATGTGCTTGAGGAGTAGACAACCAATGTTGCAGAACGGCTGGCGAAAGACCGAGAGACTCCCGAAGCACCGAATACTTTCCCTCGCCAACCAACGACACTCGGTTCAAGATGGTGTAGCCTCTAACCAGCTCCAATTCTCTAAACTTTTTCTTGACACAAGCGGTGGTGCTGCTTCCTTCCATCTTGGAGCATAGCTCAACATAATAAGTACCAATACATCGGACATGGATGAGCTCACTCAGACCAGTCAACCTCGAAATGGTACATGTGTTTTGGCGATGTCCATATCTTTGCGTCTCCTGGAGGGGGCGTCATTTTAACGATGCACCCACCTTGATTCTCGCGCGGTTAGTTGGGGACATGTCACAGACGTAGCATTTCGTCCGCGGGCGTGTTCATTCATGTGAAGTTCTGAACTCTGACGATTGGTTGACTACTGGTTTCATTTGATGTATGAAGGTTGGCGATAAGTTAGGACAGCCTAACATTAGTGATGGCCAATCAAGGAATATCACGGAGGATGTGTCTGCCAAACTGTGAGGATTAGCACCCGAAATGGGCTCATATCACAAGCATGTAACCCGGCAATTATCTATTTCCATGATAATCTACTCTATGCTGGCATCTCAAAGCATAGTTGAGCATCTGAACCTCGGTTTGGCAGCTGCACCTTCAACGGAGACGCCTCGGTGATGCAGGAGGGTGACGCAAGATGGCACACTGCACATGTGGTATAAGTGAATTTTTGGAGAAGCGAAGGCCGAGACATGCAACAATTTAGCCAGCGTAGCAAAGCCCTCCAAAAAGTCTTGGTCTCTCCAAGGGGGCCGATATCGCTGCAATATAGTATTGCGTATGGAGCGGATTTTCTGATAGTGACGGTATCTGTGAGCGCTTCGGGACAAGTTTGATGAAAGCTGGGTCATCATCATATTTGCGCCTGTTTGTCAATTTTACAATTGCTGGTTCTGTGATGTAGGCGACAGGGCTTGCCATCAGTTGCCCTCAAGAGTAAACAGTTCATGAGGGGATGCAACGTTCATCACTCTGTCAACAAAAAAAATCTTGTGAGGAGCTCCACGATGATCAATTTTGCTTGCTCGGGAGGAGTCGGGGAGGCCGAGAGTGATGCTCCGACTCCTTCCTACCTCCGTGGGGCATGGTTGTCGTAGTTAGGGTGAATGTGGGGGAATTGGAGTCTAGTACGAGGCTGTGAACACACAAAACTTTAACCGTTACGATGGCAGATGACCGACATCGACAATCCCATGGAGGTGCGGACTCGGGCAATGTCCGAAGTTTCCCCAGACCAGAGCTTGCAGAGTTGTCGACCCAATCAGGACCGGCAATCTTGAACTGATCTTGCATCTGGCAGCACCTCGTTGGTGCCCGAGATGAAACTGGGGTAGGATGGACTCGTGGAGTATCGCCGTGAAAAGTATGGTTGGCGCGCGCCAGACGAACCGGTTCCGAGTTACGGAGACCAACGGAGCTTGTCGGAAGCGTGACAGTTCGAAGTTGCATCGTGCGGGGTGTGACGCCCCTCATCACTAGCTTTATGCGGGGCCTAGTGTAGCTCTAGCTCTAAAGAGCCGCTGGTGGAGCGAGCTAGCGATACTGGTGGTCTAGGTCTTGGGAAGTCAAGATGGCGTAGGATGGATGACAATTAGGTGACACGACAATCGCCGGTAGAGCCAGGCGCTTAGCTGCTTCGACTCAATGAGGGCGAGACTCGCCGGAGGGAATGCTCAAAGCAGAAAGGATGAAACAGGCGGGTTTTGTCAGCAACATATTTACAAACGGTGGAATGCGTAGAGGCTAAAGGCTATTAGGTAATGTTAAGTAATTTATATTGGGTCGTGACCTATGTGCTCAGTCACTTGAACAGATGTGGTCAAAGCGGTGAGATACTCGGCGCAAAATGTTGAGTTCTTGGGAGTTAAGGTTGACGCGTCTGATCGTTGTTGACAAGAAGCTTGGCGGCGTTGTCCAGACGCCAAGGTTGCCAAGGTCAGGATCGCGGGACTGAAGAAGGTTGTCTCAGCACGTGCCAGAGTCTGGGGTGAATCAACCTGAGCCAAAGCGGTTGCTACCATGGTGTCTCGGAGTCGTCTGAAGCTCTCAACCGTTGCTTGGGTAGCAGCGATCGCTACGTCTTCTTACGGGTAGAACTTGGACTGGTCGTTGATAAACCGCATTCATGTATGTTTTCAGTACGGCACAATGAGGCCTTGTAAGCCTGCGAGGGATCGGTTGCACAATAAAAGCATTGACGTTTCTGCTTGCAAGGGAGAGCGATATGTTTGTCCACTCAGGATCTTTGAATCGGCGATGCAGTACCGATTAGTGACACCAAAGATCGACACGCTTGGAGCTCCGGGAGGACCGTCATCAGGACGTACAGATGCGAGCCCCGAACCGCACCGAACCGGTCAAACAAGTTCGGGATGCAGCCATGAAAAGGACCAAAGCTGACGAGGGTGGCAGACAAACACCATGGGCTGTCCAAAGTACCAAAGACTTTATCGGTTTGGTGGCAGGCGTCTACAACACACACGTTCAGTTAACGTAGTTTCATCTGAAGTTTTCGATCTAGAGTGCCATCAACTTCGAAGCTGGTGTTATCCAGTTCAAGCATAACTTCTTCAGCCTGCTTTAAAACGACCGACAGTATGATTTACACGCAAGTTCGTGTTTGAGACGAGTGGGGGAGACGGGGAGTTGAGTGTTGGGAGTTGGTGCTTGGAAGAAGGATTAGACGCGCGTAGGTCCATGTTTCAATCCGCTGGAGATCCTCATCCGGTCTGTAATGGAATGGCCGGAGGGGAAAACGGGGTGACAGATGGAGGTGAAGTCGGGAGGGAGCCTGACGAGGGGAAAGCAGAGCCAGGTTCGGGACCAGGGGTCGGAGCAAGGGTCTGAAAAATTTGGAGCCAGGCCTGGCAGTCGGTACTGGTGGGTCCGCCGTCAGCGTGCGTCGTGGATTCACATTGTTGTGGCTTGCCGCTAAGCGGAACCCCCTGTGGAGGCATCGGGCAAAGTCGGGAGACATTCGAGTTTGAGGCTTGTAGGGAGAGTCATGCTGCCCATGCAGATGTCTTGTGCGTGTCCTCCTTGCGATTTACTCGCCTGCCTGGATATTGTTTTTTTTTTTTCCTTTCCCTTTTCTTATCTTGATAAAATTGCAGATTTGGGTGGTTCCAACCCACCATCACTCACGGGATGGTGGGAAGATGGTGGGCAGCAAACGACATCGAATCGGGTGTTCAACACGAGTTCCCCGATTATTCAGTTCGCGGGATATGGCATCAGTTCCTGAATATAACTTGACTCTGACGTACTTGGTCCTTTCAGCAGGGCTGGAATCGCCTGACGAAAAGTTATCCCGATATCCCGCAAGCGGCGACGGGGGGTCTTCTCTCGGTGGTCGTTTTTGGTATCTGCCGTAGGGTCGTAAAATTCGCGAGCGTCGTCTATTCTGGCTGTGCTTCTCCAAATTGTTCAGTTCAGATTCCAGAAACAATCCAGGAAAATGCCAAGTGGGACATACCTGCAGGCACCCACCACACCCCGTCGCTTTAGCAAGGGGACGCCATGCCCCAAACGAACAAGGGTAAGAATTCCGATGGCCGACCCGGGACCCAACAGGCTACTACGGTATGTACTATGTATGGGAGACCGGAGCGCGGCACACTACAACACACCAACACACCAACCAAAATTTCCCATGGGCGCAGGACAACGGTTCGGGACGCTGTAACAACGACTAGCCTGAACAGGACATTGGCTAACATATTCCGCAGCAATCATTGGCTGGGAGTTAAAGGTTTTCTCCTGCCTGCCCGACACGCAGGTTTCAATAACGCAAGTTTTTTTTTTGACGTTGTTTTTTTGGTTCTTGTTGGGATTTGGATGTTTTCTCTGCTGGATGATCGGTACTTGTTGCTTTTTCCTCTGGTAATAGTGCGACGCAGAGATGGAATGAGCAGTCTCAGAACAAAAGCGGTGATCGGGGTGTGTCAGCCACCTGTGAGGCACCTCTCATCTCGTGACCGGATGCCGAGCCCTGGCATCTTTCCAGATGGGGAATGCGACGTGAAAGGTATTGGTCAGGGAACTGTCGTGTGCGCACGGAGGAGAAGTGGGTGAGTGCGAGACTCCGTCCCGGAGACCATCGGACGGCGGATTGGAGGTTGAAGGAGGCCCGGACGGGTCTCTGCTAGGAACAGTTAGCGTCGGCGAGTTGTCCGGCCGGTGATGGAGTCAAACTCAGTGGGAACGCCTCACGAGGGGCCCAATGTGGGTTTTTTGAGCATGTCGTGGTGGAGAGTGACCCCCAAGGGTTGTCGTGAGGTACCTTTAGTCGGGGGCGGATGCAGCTGCAAGGCGAGACAGGGTCGGGGGGCAGGAGGTGACATGGATCAGCGGGCTGCATGGCTGACGACTTATGGGACTGAAAGTGCCGACAGTTGACACATCTGCTACATAGCACATTACTAGTACTCGGTGCTTGTAGAGGGAACATTTTGTTTGGTCGAAGGTTTGTCCCGACATCACGCATTCTCACCGATTGGAGAAGAGGAAAGGATCGGACCATCCCAACAAAAAAAAAGTTGAAAAAAAAAAAAAAAAAAAGCAACAGCAACAATGACTCCGGTTAGTAATGTCAGTCATGACCACCTGCCTGCGTTTGCGTTTCCCAAAGTAAGGTAAGCATGGTGGCCAAGGCCCAATTGCAATAGTCATAATACGTAATCGAGATGAGCTTTAGCTGCCCATTGCGAGCCCGACGCCGTACGCAGCGCTCATGTTTGTAAGGGTTTACGTGGGCGGTTGCCGTCTAACTATGTAAGTGAACACTTGCGACTTCCTTCCTGCACCTCACCGGGGAAGGAAGGATAGCGTCGACAGGGGAAGGAACAGGGATAGGTAAGGAGAGAAAAAAAGACAAGGAAGGAAGAAAAAAAAATACATGGAGCTGTAGCGACCGGGAAGAATGTGGAGTGAGTCAAGCAAACAATGGATGGGGTCAGGGCCGATTAGCAATGACGATACCTCCTTTTTTTTTTTTTTTTTTTTTTTTTTTTTCCTTCACGTCCCCTCTCCTTCCTGCTTCTCTTTCTCTCGCTGTTTTTCTGATTCGTAGGAGCAGGTGCGAGCAGGCATGAGTAAGAAAAGAGTGATCCGATAGCCGGAGCTGGTTTATGACTCTTTCTTTGGTGAGGGCAAGCCTATACGACGGCTAGAAATAGCAAGACTTTCGTCAGGTGGTACAGGATTGGCTTTGTACTTTTTTTTTTATTACTATCTACCGCCATCAATTCCGGCTGTCATCAATCACAAACCGATACTATTATTGAATCAACTTTTGATCAGATTCGGAACCAATATACACGCCAGCCACGGTTCATTACTCCACTTCTCGCCTCCTGGGCTTGGATTGGGAACTACGGGCTGGCTGTTTTGTTTGTATTGGGCTGACATACGGATAATCTGATTTCGTGTCTGCTCACTGCACGCCCATCGCCTTATCCGACGTGTGCCTGACGGACTTTCGCCTCCATTCCACGGTCTGATTACTTACGCCATCTCCACCGGACCAGTCTGCGAATCCGATCCCTTCCCCTTTCCCAGGTAGGCAGGCCCCTTTTTCAATGGTGGATTGTGCCCGCCACGTTGCATCTCGTGCTGGTTTCTGTCCAACCTTCCCAGCCCTCCAGGCTCCCCCGACGCCTTGTCAGCCTGTCTATTTCGGCATCTCGTCAGTCCCCCGTTTTGCTCGCTAATGACGAAACAACGCATCGTCTACGCAATTGTGAGCTGAGGAAACGGGCCGCTCACTGATATCCAACCTTGCAATATCTCAATCTATCTATGGGCTGAACATACAGCTAATGACCTGGTTTGCTAGTGTGAATCACCTTCCCGTCCACGGATACTAGGCTTCGAACTAAAAGTCGGCACCGGGTACACCGTTCCGGGCTCATCACTACACTACACTAACTTTACTGTCACTCTGTCACCTCACCGACGCCTCCATTCTCTCTGTCCTTGGCCCACCCCCTAGGCCAGTTCAACATACCCTCGTGGCTGTACTCCGCTCTCTTCCGTCGTAGCCAAACTACCCCAAAAAAAAGTTCTCAAGGGGGGAGAAAAGTAACCATTCGTCTCCAAATTCACCCAAAATTGGGCACCGAAAAACGACCGTCATCAAGAAAAACGAAAAAAAGAAATTGCCAATTCCTTGAATCGGGTCTGGCTTCCGTCTTTTCCCACCCTCCACACCTTTCAGGGATCCGACACCCCCGTCCGAGACCACTTTAGACCGCCCCCCCGTCGGTCAGGACCCTCGTCGCCCCCGTTGTTCCACCCCTTGTCTCCCGACTCCACGCCGCACACCTTACACCAAGCTCTGCATTTGCACCCACGCTGTACATCCGACCTCCCGTCGCACACCACCTGCGCTTGTTGTGCCTGGGTTCTGGGCTCCGGTCCCGTGTTCCCCAATACGACGGGGTTCATTGCATCCATCCTCCTGGGGAGTCTTGGAAGCACATCACACAATTCACTGTTCGATTCGAAATCGAAGCTTGAGCGTTTGGGAGCACACCCACACGCCCTCAAACCCCTGGCTCTCCCGCCATCCCATCTTGCGTGCGCCTCCCCCATCCCAATCCCATCCCATTTACTTTCCCAATCCTCAACCCTCGCCCGCTCGTTTCCCCGTCTATTACCTGGTATCCCGTACCAAGGGCTCGTGGTCCTGCCCCAAAGTACCTGGTACCTCGTCAACTCTGCCGGTGGCGCCCCTCGCTGTTAGCCCTCCTTCATGAAACTGCATTGAAACCCCCTTCTCCCTCTCATTCTCAGATCCTTCATTCACATGGGTCTAAGTCGAGGTACCTGGCTGGGCAAGCCTCCATCTAGAACCGGACCAGTTCACAAGGTTTTAAACCGACTTTTCCTCGTCGGTGGTCCAGTTGCAGGGAACACGACGCCTTCCTCCTCTGTTGGTCCATCCGATGCGACTCTTGCTACTCCACGCTCTCACCATACTCTAAATTACTCTCCTGCGCCTTGCCCGAAGCTGGCGAGCTCCTCTTCCGCATCTGCGCCTGCACCTGCTTCTTCTCCGAGTCTTCCTCCTCGTTTACCTCTGCTGCCTCGACGGACACCCACGTCTCCTCGTTCCGGCTGGTCCCATTACCACACTATCCATACTCCTCTGCTTCGCCGCAGAGCTCAAACTACTACTAATTGCCTCGTCCCGTCGCCCACTTCCGCCTCCTCTTTCTTCTCCGCACCACTCCCTCCGACACATGCGCCGGTAATGTCAATGGCGTCGTATCCTTTCAGCTCTTCAAGCTCATCAGACATCTCTACGCCTCGGTCCGCCTCGCCTTCGCCATCGTCCGTCGCCTCTGCCCGCTCTTCCCGCTCTTCTATATCTAACAAGCGCATGTCCATGTCTAGTCGCAGAATGACTGACTTCAACCCAATGTCTTCCACTGACATCAACGCTATCGAGGAGAAGATGAGAATGGCCTCTCTTGACCAGCACCGTGGTTACGCCCAGAACACTTTTGGCGAAGTCCAGCAATACCGCAACACTGAACCCATCCCCAAGTCCCAAGCCACTGGCTACCAGGTTCTCAAGGAGCCTTTGTGGAACAAAGGTGAGTTGACAATTGCACGATTCAAACACAACTTTTTTTTCCTACCCTAGGGCAAACCACTTGCCTCCCCCCTCCACTTACACACCGTCATGCACTGGAGCTTCAACGTGCCACTCACTGCACACGCACTGAACCTTCTGCTGCGCCCACGCACCTGCACCGCATTGGCTTTCCCCAACATGCCGTATCCCTTCAGTCTTCACCGTTCTATATAGCCTCCCTTCTTTTACATTTTCCACTTTCTGGCCCCCTCTTCTTCTTCCTGCTCTCCGCCTTCCCACCTCAATCTCTCCCCCGCATGGCTTCCTCACTTACAGGACGCTCTTGTCGTCTTCCCTTGTCCTCCCTCCAACACGTCCAACCTCGCCGCCCACTACCCAACCCATTGATATCATCATCACCTCTTCACACTTCCTCCAAGCTAACCGCCATGGTCGAATCAGGCCTTGCCTTCACTCCCGAGGAGCGCATCAACAAGAACCTCACTGGTCTCATCCCCCACACCATGGAGAGCCTTCAGACGCAATGCCAGCGGGCGATGAAGATGATCAACACTCGCCAGACCCCCGTTGACAAGTACCTGTACCTGTCTTCGCTCAAGGCCCAGAACTTTGATCTCTTCTACCGCTTGCTCATGGACAACATCCGCGAGCTCATGCCTCTGGTTTACACCCCCACCATTGGCGATGTCTGCCTGCAATACTCCACCCTCTACACCCGCCCTGAGGCTTTGTACATTTCCATCAAGCAGCGCAAGTCCATCCGCACCATGCTCCGCAACTGGCCCTACCCCAACCCCGAGATTTGCGTCGTCACCGACGGCTCGCGTATCTTGGGTCTGGGCGACTTGGGCGTCAACGGTGTTGGCATTTCTGTAAGTTGAAGCCGCCTACCGTTCACGTAGCAGTCAGCTAACAAGCGCAGATTGGCAAGTTGGCTCTGTACACTGGTGCTGCTGGTATCCACCCCGAGAACACCCTGCCCATTGTCCTTGACACTGGTACCAACAACGAGACCAACTTGAAGGACCCCTTCTACCTCGGAATCCGCTCTAAGCGTGTGTCCGTTGCCGAGCAGCAGGCTTTCATGGACGAGTTCATGGAGGCTGTCGCTGAGGTCTACCCCAACATGACCGTCCAGTTCGAGGATTTCGAGTCCGAGAAGGCCTTCAACTACCTCGACCGCTACCGCAACAAGTACCGCTGCTTCAACGACGATATCCAGGGAACTGGTGCCGTCGTCCTGGCCGGCTACATCAATGCTGTCGAGCTCTCTGGCGTCCCCATTGAGGAGCAGCGCCTGGTCTTCATGGGCGCTGGCTCTGCCGGTGTCGGTGTGGCCAAGCAGCTTGTTGAGTACTACACCAAGCGCGGCCTCAGCGAGCAGGCTGCCAAGGACAAGTTCTGGCTGGTCGACACCAAGGGCCTTGTTACCAAGGACCGTGGTGACAAGCTCGCCGAGCACAAGAAGTACTTCGCCCGCACCGACAACAACGGCCACCAGTTCCGCACCTTGGAGGAGGTCATTGAGTACGTCAAGCCCAGCGCTCTGGTCGGTCTCACTGCCACCTTCGGTGTCTTCACCGAGTCTGTCGTCCGTGCTCTCAAGGCTTCCGTCGACGCTGGTGGTCTTGGCCGCCGCCCCGTCCTCTTCCCCCTCAGCAACCCCCTCACCAAGGCCGAGTGCACCTTCGAGCAGGCCATCCAGTGGACCGACGGCACCGTCCTCTTCGCCTCCGGTTCCCCCTTCTCCTCCCTCACTGTCAAGAGCAGCGAGGGCCAGTCCATCACCTACCACCCCAACCAGGGCAACAACGTCTACGTCTTCCCTGGTCTCGGCCTCGGTGCCATCCTCGCCAAGGCCTCCAAGATCACCGACGACATGGTCTACACCTCGGCCGCTGCCCTTGCCGGTGCTCTCAACGCCGATGAGATCCACAGCGGTCTCATCTACCCCCGCATTGAGCGTGTGCGCGACGCCAGCTTGATCGTCGCTCGGGAGGTCATGAAGTCTGCCCGCAGAGCCGGCGTCTCCGCGCTTCCCGAGGCCCAGTGGGTTGAGTGGGAGGAGTGGGGTGACGTCGCCCTCAACAACTGGATCAAGGAGCGTGTTTACGACCCCGTCAGCTTCTCCGAGAGAAGCCGCATCTAAACCGAAACTCAGACTGCTACTTGGCGGACACCGCGTGCGATGGACGAATTGAGTTGAATTTACGGATTAAAACGGCTAGGAAAGGATACCTGAGACGTTTCTCAGAGAATTGGGTTTTATTTCGGCGTTGGGGTAGGCATTTGGGGCCCTTTTTTCACTGTCCCCCAAATTGAGCGAAAGGGAACAACTTTTGATCGTCACTAAAGAAAGGACGACAACACGCTTCTTTTTACATGTACGCCCCCAGATTTCCTATGCGAATGCCACCAGATATTGAGCGCGTGGTAGCTTAGGATTTCTATTACCGGCATTTTTAGTTGAACTCCACTAGAGGGAGAATATGGAGGGCTGAACAAGTCTTTTGCGTTAATAAGTTCCTCAAGAGTCTCGGACGACTGGTTGGAAACGCGACATAGAGAAATAGATATTGGTACCTCCACTATGAATCTTGCATCGTGACTGGAACAATTGTGATATCAGTCAGAAATGAGTTTCAATTTGCTACACCACAACTATTTCGAACGTGCCTCGGCTCTGGGGCTTCCTTGATGAAGAAAAGAAGACCTCGGCCACCTCCAAAGCATCTCCAACCTCTGGACGGAGGGGACGTCCAAATCCCCAAAAAGCCCCTCCCCGCATCCCAAAAAAGAACCCCACCCCTAGCAACGAGCAAACCCCAAATGGCTTGGCCATGCCCCAATAATTTTCAGGCCCAAAGCTCCAGGAGCTCCTCCCGGTCTCCAACTTGACAACGCCGCCTGGACTGTGTTGGGGAAACACACAGAACCTGTTGGGAGGGGTTGATGGGGTTGCGTTCAAGGGTCGCGTTCAAGCTCAGAAGGAACTAGACCTGACAAGGTAGTTGAGCATGTGTGCGCCTGTGTTTTGGCCCAGGGACGGTTTTGAGTCAGGTGTAAAGCCTCCTGACCAAGGCAGAGAGTAATGAAGATCATAATTGGGGGGGGAAGGGGGGAACGGAGCGCGTCGTCCCAACCCCGAGACAAGAGACGAGCAAAAGCCGGGAGAGGCGCATGCGCTAGAGAACGGCGGAAAGGTCAGAGACGTAAAAAAGAAAGAAAAAAAAAAGTCCAAGATAGAGCTGAACATAAAAAAACTAAAACGCCAACGTTTTCTTGTCGGTACACCTACTACTGCATTAAGAGACATACATACACATACGTACGTGCAGATGGGCGTGAACCGACTGGACTGCACAAACAAAGTCTATACCCAAGCTTTGCGGGCGTATGTTTACTATCGTGTGGTCGCTGAGCCGGTTATCCCTTCATTGCAAATTCATCCAACGGCATAGGTCAACAATGTTAGTTTGTGCATAAGATAATGCTTCTAGACACCCTCGGCCCCCCATCCCATGTCCCATTGAGCTCCCCCCTCCCCCGGGCGAGGATTAGGTTGTCGTTCGGTACCTCGGTAAACAGGCGGAGCAACAACGGCATTCTTGAACTACATGCATGCATGCATAGTAGTAGTAGTAGTAGTAGTAGTAGTAGTAGTACAACATACACTTCATTCATTCTTTCGTCGGGATTAGCAGCTACGCAGGAGAAACACAAAAAAATAAAAAATAAAACAAAAGTGAAAAAGTAGTAGGTACACACGTCACACTCCCATCAGAAACGGACGTTCGGACAAACAAAAACCAACATCGGATACCCTGAACAACGAAACATGTCGTCGTCGGAGAGTCTAGTTCCTCCTTTTCCCCCGCCCCAAAGGAAAAAAAAGCCAACAACAAAAAACAACAACAACAACAACAACAGAAGATCGGATGAGAAACAGTGCTTTGGTAAAGTTACAAACAAACCAGCCGTTCGGCGCCGGCTCGGGATTTCATCCACGGACACCCCACCCGACCATCGGATCGGGTTCGGTCCAACGCCCCCCCCCCCCCCCCCCCCCCCCCCCCCCCCTTTCTTTTGTTTCCCATTTTTACATCTTTAAACTTGTGAAAATCGGCCAAACTAGCAGTTTGCCGTCCGGGGGAGACGCTACGTGGAGTGCAGTGCATGAACAGGGGAGGGGGGGGGGGGCAAAGAGACCGAGGAGTGTGGATTGTGCGGGTGATACATCACTTTCCGTAGGGCAGAGGGGATGGGAGGGGGTATTCAGCTGCAGCTCATCATGCCCGTTTTCCTCCGCACACCACATATTTGGGAGCCTGGGGAAAGTAGGGGGTGGATTTGTGAGGGCGTCTTCTTGTAGGAGGGGAGGGGTGGGCAGACGAGGACCAGGGGGGGAGAAGGGGGGAGGGGAGTCAAGGGGGGCCAACACTCTTCCGCTGCCAGCCAACAACCTCCTTGCCTTCTGAAATGTGATCCTCCCACGGCAGCACGGCACACGGGTTCCGGTCGGTCACCGTATACGGAGCTGACAACCATGACCGCCGACAGTTACAGATGTCGGTGTCGGTATAAGTAGATAGACGGACGGGGCTCGGCAGTAGACGGAGTTGTGGCCTGACCACCAACCTCATCCACCTCGTCAGGCCACAACTCCATCTACTGTAGCGCCTGCCCGCCTCTGTCATCGGAGGTTCGAAGGGCCGTATATCATCCGCGCCGCCAACGGACCTCGGCGGCCCTTTGTGACAGCTGTATATAGTGCCCCCATCACACCCGTTGCCAGCATCTACATCACGCGCTTATGTTGGTATACTTTAATAAGGTAAGACTTGATTTGATTTTGATATTTCAACTGTCTAGCTCTCTCAATGTTGAGAACATGTAAAGAAAGAAAAAAAAGGGGGTATTTGGTACGACGATGAACAAAGCAAGGAAACGCCTTGCTTGTGAAAAGGGGGGAAAATGATGATGACGGGTGAGGGAAAGATGACAAAGAGACTAGGCCATGCCCGTGTGGTGAAGCTCAAAGCTTCCGTATTGTGTAATGAAAATGCTCCGTCGTGGTACGATTCGCCTCGTGAGGATGAACGGCACGCTCCCAAACTCCCTGCCCTTCATGCATTAAGCATCTTTGTCCTAGTCCTTCCGTTCCATCGCGTAAAACGATCATGTCGACTGCTTCCCATAGTGATGATGCCACCCCCGTCAGAAAATCTGACCTGCCCATATACGCCTTACACGCTGTTTTTTGCGCCGCTTCACAAATATGAAGGTTGAACTCAGCCTTTCCGGAAAATCCGTTTCGTTCCTCCCACCTTTCCCATATCGCCAAATTCAGACGTCTTCCGCATCTCGCCGCTAGCAAGACGCACCTTTTCCTTGACACTCTCTACCCAAGCACGGTTTTCCTCGCTCATCTCAACTCTGCGGCCTGTAGGTCCTGCAAGGCCAAGGAATGAACTGTCTTCTTCGGCCCAGGCATGCGAACTGGACCGCGACCTGTTGGAATCTTCCGAAGACGGCGTGTACTTGTCGGGGATCGGCGGCACCGCCGGCGTCTGCGGCAGGTACATGGGCGCAGATGTGCTAGAGAGATCCGCCGCGCCGAAAGATTTCCTAGCCTTTCGTACACTGAGCGGCGTCATTGGGGACATGTCCATCGCTGACGCCGGGCGGCTTGGAGGGCTTGAGTTTATGCCGCGGCTGGTAGATGGTCGAGGGACGTCCTGGACCTCGACCTTGGCCTTCTCTCCCCTGGTCGAACGGCGGCCATGGTGGGCAGCATACTCTTTCAGGTACTCGCCAAGATCAGCCCAGCCTCCACCAACACGGACCATGACGCGCTCTCCGTTCTCACCGACGCAGCGGATGAAGAGCTTAATGGGCGCTTCACCGGTTGAGCGGGAGAGGTGGTAGACCTTGATTTCCTGCCTGCTCTGGGAGCGCCTCGGCCTCGGGTTCTTCGCATAGGCGGGAGCAAGTGTCAAATACGGCGTCGGAGCTCGCGACGAGGTCCTCGAAGTCATGGAAAGACTGGAAGCAGATCTTCGCATGGCTTCCGTGGACGGCTTCCTCAGTCGCTTGGCGGGCAGATCTGGCGGTGGAGGGTTCAGGTTGACCTTCGGGGGAGCCGATGCCAACTTGATATTTGCCGGAATAGAATCGAGAATGTCGCTGATTTGCTGCCGGAGCTTGTCATCCGACCTAGAATTTGACGAGTCTCCTGGCGTTCCCACGCTGGTAAAGGAGTTTTCAAAATCATCCTCCATGAAAGAGGATTCCAGAGGGAGAGCTGGGAGAAGGCCGTCGCCTTGAGGACCAACCATCGGGCTGGCGCTATCTTCCCGGTAACTGGGTCGGAACGGGGGTGAGCTAGGGGGGCTAACGCTCCTGTATCGATCGGTGCCAGCTTTTTGACGAGAGGTCTCAGTGAGCTTATGGCGCGGGAGAGGTGGGGAGGCAGAAGTTTCAGGCATATCGCTCGTGGCATCTGCCAGCAGACTGGTGTGTCCGTGGATGACAGTCGATGACTCGGAAGCATTGCTGTCTCGCCGCCGGGGACGAATCAAAGGCGGCAGCTCCAGTTCCTCTTCGCTTCCAGGCGTATCTGGCAGAATCTCGACAGCCTCATCTACTGGCGACTGAGAGTCAGTAGCAGCGTTGCCTTCGAAGACTGCCCTAGCTGTCGATACAGTTCCCTCTTTGATCTTATATTCCTGGGCTCCAGAAATGCCGTTCTTTTTTGTGCTTTCTTCATTGCGTACCTCGCCTAGTGGAGTGCGCCTAGCCTTAGTTGCTTCGGCGAAGCCATCCAGGCCAGTCTTCGCAGGCTGCACTTTCTTCTGGGCTTGGACTTGAGAGGGCGAGGCTTCCAGGTTTCCTTCACCATCTGACCCTTCAGATTGCTCGGGGGTAGCATCGGCATGGAAAATGATGGAACTGGTTTCGCTCTTGTTTGTCAAGGCTTCATCTTCCTCAGGGGGGTCGATCTTGATCGGAACAGGCAGAGTAACAGTCTTGGAATCGTCTTCCACAACTGGAAGTGCAACTGGAGCGCTTGCGTGTTCTTCCGAGGCAGGTAGAAGCGGTTCCTTTCGGCGCGTGGCCTTCGCCCATTCTCCTTCGCGGATCTTACGTTCGCCGACGGCAACCCAATCTGCGTAACTACGCTCGATAGTCTCCATTCGATCAAGCCAATCGTCAGGCAGGGTGTCTTGCAGGCCCTCCAAGCTATCTAGCATGTAATCGAGGCTTCGTCCGGTTTTCGTGATTTGCTTCTCCAACACTGCCTTGACAACCGTATAAGCCTGCTTCAGCCGCGACAGATCGTCATCTTCAGTGCCATCAGCTGCTGGTGGGGTGTTTGCTGGTGATAAAAACACATTCCAAGCCGACTCGAGAGCAAATTCCGCCTCGGCGATGCCGGCTAGTAATGCAGGAATACGGCGGAGGACAGACAACCGAATGTGCCATACTTTTAGCAGCCGACAGAGCTTGGAAAGATTCGGCAGTGCCTGGATGATGATTGCCGTGAGAAGAGCTGTCAGGTCATCCATACGATTGTATGAAAGCATTGTTGCGACGGAGCGGGTGTCTGATACAGGAGTTCCTGGTCTGGAAAGTGGGATAATATGGCTGTGCATGACGTGGTTTTTGATGTCCTCGATGTGCAACTCGTCCATATCGTGAGAAATGCCGTCCACTCTGTCCTCGTAGCGGTTGACATCTTCAGCAGGTAAGCTACCTATATATTCAGACTCGCCCGTGGCTGTGTTCTCCTCTTCTACGTCAGAAAACCTCCTCCTTTTGGGATCTGGCATTTCGAATCCTGCAGGGCCACTGGTATCTGGCCATGGCCAGTCGGATAGCTCTTCGAGCCATTCGTATATCTTCCGGCTGGCCACGGCAGCTCGCATGGCAAATTCTTGTTCGCTGACAGTGCAATTGTCGAGACATTGCTTAAGTTCGGCGCTGGGTGACTGAAGCATTTCGACTGCGGTCATTGGGGTTAGGCGGTTCAACAAATCGTCATTAGTACGTATTCGGTTGGGCGAGTGGTCGTCGGGGAGGCGGTACTGGCGCCTCGGCGGCCGCAGCTGCTGGCCCGGGCCGGGCGTGGTGGGCGGCGGAGGGTCGGTCATGTTAGTGATTGCTGTATGTTGGTTGTTGAACTGGCTATTGCAAAGTCGAGAGAGCGGGCATGGCTCGCTTCTATGAGCCTGAGAAGAAGAGGGCTTCGATGGGTATGGCCATGTCGTGGATCATCGGGCGATGTCTTTAGGCCGGTGGTCGTAATCGAGGTTGCCAAAAAGGCCCTGCCCCCTACGTCGCTCTCTCCCTCTCTTTATATTCTCTTCAACACTTGGTTTTCGGGTGAGACGATACCCGGTTTGGTGGAAGGCAGGCTGTCGCAAACGAGCTCGGTTGGTTGGAGGACCAGTTATTCTTCGTTCGGGCAGTGGCGCTGTGTTGCAAATCGCAGCTGCGTCAGTGGTTTGGCGTATGTGTACAAGAAATGGCGGCGCGGCGCGGCTTCCGGCGGTGCAAGGGAGCGCAAGCAGGGTTTAGCTGGATGGCTGTTGCTGAAGAATAAGAAACGGTAGGAGGGATAAGAATAATCCAGTTGATAGGATGGTTTGTATAGATAATGTAGGGGTTAGGTGGTAGGTAGTAAAAGGATTGTTGGGCAAGGAAAGAAAGAGAGAGTGTGAGAAGTGACGATGAAAGAATGAAGCCAGATGGGGATGTTTGGCATCAATGAAGGAGGATAATGCAGCGCGACACGAGACGTGTATTGGGGGAGGAAAAAGGAAGGGGATAAAAAAAAGAGGCAGGTAAAAGGAGATCGGAGTTTCGCGTTCTAGAAAGAGAGAGGAGATTTATTAATTGGATTTAATGGAATATTGGGTGCAAGTATCCGTACGGGGACGGGGGTTAGGAATGGGCTGGCTGGGCTGGTGAAGTCAGGTACCCGAGACCAGGAATGGGCCATGGGTGGGTTCACTGGGACAGATGTGGTGTGGGTGAACCTGGATTTGATCGGTTCGTGTGGAGATGTTCTGAATTAACAGGCCTCCAAGGCTCCAACCCCCCCGTCATGCGAAAAAGCGCTTGCGACAGCCAGTGCCGCCGGGGCAGCCGTGGGATTCCAACACATTTATTTGCTGGTTGTCCTTTCTGTGGACGGAAACAACTCATCAAACCCAGCGCAGCACCAACTTTGGCTAAGAATACCACCACGGCGGCGACTATCGAATTCGGCTGCAGAAATGCGGATCCCAGAGAGAGAGAGAGAGAGAGAGAGAGAGAGTTGCTCTTCATGCCAGCGTTCTCCGCAGCTAGCAGGCCTGTCGTTGACGTGTCTTCAACATGGCTGGCATCCGCACTGGTCATTTTAGGCGCAGTTTAGGGACAGCCGGACTGCGGTGGGTTGTTCCTAGCCACCCTCAAGTGCCATGATGCTGGCCGCATTCACGTTAACCTACAGAATCCATGGGGCGATGATGCCATGGGGCGCTGCGGCCGTCGCGGTCATCATGCTGGGAATGCTGATATTGCAATGGGTGACCCTGTCTGAGCTTGATGCAGCCCGTCTGCCGGTCGCTCACAGCCTGGGCCAGCAGGAGACCAATGCCTAGGAATCCTGGACCTCAGTCAACTGGTAAGCATTTTTTTATGAGGAGGCTTTTTGTGCTCCCCTTTTCTCAGGTGATGCACAATATGGGTGCACCTTGTCACCATTCTCTGCCCAGCCTCAACTTATCCACAAAGCATGTCTACACACTACGTAGGTGGTATTAGTACGCACCTGGATACGGATAGCAGCACATTTTATCACCTGGTTCTACCTGAAAAAGCGGATATTAAAGCTCTTTCAAACGCCCTCTCCCTGTACGCGTCAAGGCACGCGTCCCCCTCCAAACATGGGATGGGATGGGATGAGATGAGATGACAGGCTGCACGACATTCGACGCTCGGATGCACAGAGTTTCCTTATCTTACCTACCTGTCACCTTTTCAAGCTTGCGGTTGTTTGACAGATAACATCGGCCAATACCAAGGTGACAAACAACAAACGTCAGACAGAAACATAGAGCTCCGGATAGCTCCCAAGAAGCGATGCCACTAGCGGCCTTGAGCTGGCCCAAGAGCTCAGACTTTTTTTTTCTTTCTGTTTTAGCTCAGCAAGACAGCAAGACAGGTCACAGTCAGAGCGTGGCGCCAATCAGCCAACCAATCCTCTCCCGTTTCCATCGCTTCCGGCGATCCTCATCCACCCCCCACTGCGGCGACCTTAGTCTGTTCTACTATTGTGCACCCAGCAAGGAGCTTGGGAGCTTAATATCATTGGACGTTGACCTAGCTCAAGCCTTTCCAGACATTTGCATCCATGCTTGGAGGTTGGTTTTGTCTAAGGCTTGTGTCACAAACTTACGAATGCATCACCTAGTTACTACTAGCTGTCTCGTTGCATATTTTCAGCCACCCAACCGCGCACAAAATTCACCAGCAACGGGTTTTCTTCGTTTGCTCATTTCCTCAGATTACCCGAAAAATATGTTCCCCCCCGCCCTTATTAAACATCCCTCGTCGGAGCCGTTGGCTGGCCTGGAAACGCGCTCGGGTTCCATTTCGCCTGACAGCTCCCCTTGTCCGCCGCTACAGATTCGGCTACCTTACCCCCTGGTGCTCTTAGATTGAACACGAGGGGCTGGCAAGGGCCCACCGGCAAGCTCCAGTCTCGGCTTCTAAAAAAGATACACCTCCCGCCAGGGGTTGGACCGCATCGTGGAGACGAGAGCTTGTCTCCTTCATATCGTCACTACAGTTACAGGCACTGGGCTGGGGTGCCACTGTCTCACATCAAGATCCATAAAGCCCCCATGCGTCTTTGATCTTGTCGGAACAAGCATTCCGGTGGTTGAAGCTAATCGCTGTCTCTTAGGCATCGCTTGCTGAACTGAATATCTATCGACATCGCGCATGAATGCTGTGAAGTGCTACATCGTTCTACAGCTTGGATGGGAGGAACTTCCACTTTCCCTTTCCTGGATATGCGAACCCAAGCTCCCTGAGAGACGTCGCAACACCTCCCTGCTTTTCAAACTCTTGCTTGCTCTGGTAGTAGATGCTCCTCTCCCAGAATTGCTCGTCATGCCAGTACGGAGGCTCTTTGCCTTTCTTCGTCGACTCCAAGGCCCAATCGTGGAGAGAGTTGAGGAAGCGTCCGTCGTCTCCATCATCTACGAGGACGTGAATGTTCTTGTCCCCACGTCTCTTAAACAGAGCGAGCTCCCATTTCTCTTGTTCTTCAACTGGCGGAAGGGACAGGCCGTTTGACCAGACCACCCCCAGAACGGCTGCCTGCGTCTCTGCCAATGGCCACGGAACAGTTTTTACCAGCAGACCGGCGAAGGCCAGTGTTGGGTGCTTGATGAGGAAGAGGTGCTGGTACAGACCCCTAACGCCTTTACCAGTCGTCAATAGATTTGGTCTCAGGATGTCTGGGAGGAAGGGGAAGCTGAAGAAGAACCCAGTGCAGTAGATGACGGTGGAGACATTCTCCTCTATCTTGCCGTCACTAAAGCGGACGGCCTTTTTCTCTGGCAAATACTCTTCTATCGCAGGTACTTCGACTACCCCAATATGATCCACCTTGTCTGGTGGAGTCGGATGATGGACCGATAGAAACACCTTGTCCGCTAGCGGGCTGATCTGACGGGCAATATCAAGGCCCGACGGTCCGTTACCGACGACAATGACTTTTTGGCCGGCGAACGGTGCTGGTACCCGATAGTTTTTGGAGTGCAGAATAGCATTGGGATGAGCCTCGTGGTAAGCCTTGATCCCCTTGACGTCCGGAATATAGGGAACGTCGTAGTGCCCATTGGCTATGACCACGGCGTCGTACGTGTCGCTGAAAGCCCGGCCGGTGACGGTGCAAGTTGCTTTCAAATCCCACTTGTCTCTGCCGTTCTCCTGTCGGAGGTCCAGCGCCTTGACTTGATGAGAGAACTTGATAAGATGACGAACTTGGTTGGCGTATTTCACGAGATAATTGTAAATAGATTGCCTAGAGGGAAATACCCACGCATCTTCCGGGAAAGGCGTGTCCTTGTATAGCATGGTTGTCTTGACGGTGTTGGCGTGCAGTGTCCCATACATCGGGGTGGGGAACACGGGAGGCTCATCGGGATTGGGCCGGATCGGAGGGTCCTGCGGGCAGAAAGGGTCGGTCTGGGGCACATGGAGAGAATTTGTCGGGTGCTCGCTGTAGTTCCAGACGCCGCCTACTTCGGCCTGCTGCTCAAAGACGACAATAGACTCAAAAGCCCCTTGCGCCTCGAGATACCGGGCGGCGGCGAGACCGGTTGGTCCAGCGCCGATGACGGCGATCTTCTTCACGTCAAACGGAACTGCGCTCATGGTTGGCGGCTCGCAAGAAAGGCGCATAGACGAGTGCACTGGCCTTAAAACCTTGTCTTACAATGCGGCGTCTTTTTTCTCTTCCAACGGTCAAAGGCGCATTTAAAAGCAATGCGACAACATCCCACGCCCCACGAGGTCGTAGTGCGTTATATCAGCGGAAAATCACCTAATCGGTTGGATTCGGACAGAGTGGTGGACACCGGCGGGTAGAACGGAGATTCCTCGTCTTTAATCACATCCGGGTTGCAAAACATGCCATATACATTTCGATTGGATGCTGAGGACACACACACTTATTTCCATACATCTTTGCAACGCATACCTATTCTGGTCCGGACAGAAGAGCAGAAGTCAAAATCTCGACCCGTGGACAAGGTCCATCCAGGATGATCACGTGACATGGAGGGGCATCGGGCGCAAACCGGCGCAGCTAAGGCGTGTTGATCTTATCGATAAGCAGCACCACGTTTTAGCCTTCTACCCTCACTTACACCGCCTTCCATTTCCATTACGCGCTTGCCAGTGGGTCCTGACGCAAGTGCAGGCGCAAACGCAGCTCACCACCTGGAGCTTCCCTTGTTCCACATTCTTTCCCGAAAGGTTCCACGAAGTGATGCTGGACTACGGAATCGACCATTGTGGCCAGCACCACTTCCCTTTTTTCTGATCCCAAAAAAAAAACTTCAGACCTCAGGTCGCGATTGCGAAACTTTTTTCTGATGCTTAGATACCAATTTCCCCTACCTTCACCGAAGCTCGATTCCTACCTCGCGCCATACCTTCGATCCCGGCGAAATTCATGACGCGATGTCTGGGGACCAGCCATCTGCGCAGCTTGAAGCTGCCGAGAGCATTCCCATCGCACAATTAAACCCCGAAGTACAGGAACTCAAGTCACGCGTTGTTCGAGGCGTTGTCACAATTACATGGCCCTACAGCATCATAAACAAGACAGTCGCTTTCCTTCTTGCGGAGCCCGACTTCCGATTGCGCCGCGCCAAAGGACAGGTGCGTGTAGAGTTTAGTGGCTCCAGCGCCAAAGCCGTCAGAGATGCTGCCCTAGGAAGCGGTGATGAGATTGTACTCAGTTTGGACGGAGTCGAATTAGCCGCCAATGACTCCAAGACGCGCGTGCCTGGCACGAGCCTTGAATGGCAACTGAAGTTTACGGAGAGGATACTGCTACAGGTATGTCGCGACCGTCCGCGCAACCCTCTACGCCTGGCTGACTTCCCTCTGAAAGGCCAAGATTAGCGATTCGGAAGAAGTGAAGCGCATAGATATCGACCATCCCACAGTTTCCGAGTCGGAGCCCGTGCCGGAACAGCTACCAGAGTCCGTTCTCGATTCCTTCAACGAACCTGCCAAGAGTCCAGAGCCTTTCGCAACGCCTGTAAAAAGCGCTTCCTCAAAGAGACCTGCCGATCAGAGTCTGGGGTTGGATGAATATGCTTCGCCTGCGTTTCTTAAGCGCGCCAGGGTATCCTACGGGTCGTTATTTGAAGGCAGCCTGAACATTTTTGACGAAGATGTTTCAGTCAAGACAAGAGCGAAGAAGCGAGCAAAGACTGGTAGATACAGCGGGGTCTGGAGATATGCTAGTCGTTCCCCAAGTCCTGAACCGCAGATTCGCGAGGATGAGGAGATCGACGACGCCTCAATGGCAGATGAGCAACCTGCGACAGCTACACCATCCCGGCCGAAGATGGTTGATGAAGCAAGTCAGACGGTGGAGCTGGATACTAGTCCACCAAGAGATGTGCAGGTTGCAGCAGAGGCCCGGCATAATCCCGCACAAGGCTGGCACACGCCCTCGAAGTCATCCATGATCGACTCAGGAGTTCAATCGGACTTGCCCGGTGTGACACACACGCCAAAACTTGATGTGACATCAAATTTGAATCGTGTTGAGCAGCCCATGCCTATGCCGATATTCACCTCCGCTCATGAGCATTATCCACCAGCCTTTGATCAGCCGCCTCTCGGCCCAGTTTTTGACCATGACATCCACCAAACAGGAATGGAGCCGCAGTATCATGCGGATGGTTCCTTTCATGAGCACTCGGAGGCATACCCCGAAGCAGGGCTCGAGCATGGTGTTGAAGCCCATGGACAATATCCTGCGTCTTTCCTTGAGTCACCGCACTTCGAACATCACACCGTTGCCCCATCCCAGCCTATCCATGAGTCGATGCCGGCTTATCAAGACCATGATTCGCAAGGGCATATAGTCGAGTCTGGGCACCATGCCACATTTATCGACCAGATTGCTGAACCGCAGCAAGTCCCGTGGGGCCATGCATCGACACAACCAAGCAGATCGTCTGTAATGGCTGGAGAGGGAGCCCCTCCTGACTACAACTCGGCGCCTGCTGGTAGGGAAGGAGAGTTCCCGATGAAAGAGCAGCCCGGAACACAAGCCGTACCAACTGATCATTGGGCCGAGGATCGCGAACGTCGGACCAGAGACCATCATGAAGACCCCGAGGGCCAGCAAGCGGCGATGAGAGTTGAAGAGGATCAGGTCTCAGAAGACCATGATGGCCCTGAAGAGGAGTACACATCCAGAACGTATGCCGAGAGACATTTTGAACCAAAGGAAGAGAAAGAAGAAGAAGAAGAAGAAGAAGAGGGGGAGGAAGAGGAAGCCGCAGCCTCAGCAATTGACCAAGCCAGTAGCGAGAGCAGTGAGAGCAGTAGTGAGGATAGCGATGCGGACGCCGAGCCCGAAGAGGATGATGCCGGTGGAGACTATGACATTACCAATTACCGCAATCTTAGCAACATTCAAGACGACGATGATGGCTCAGATCTGGAGTCTGACTATGGCGAAGAAGACGAGGAAGAGATGCTTGATCCAGACGTCCAAGGCAACGAGGACGATGAGCTTGACGAAGACGCAGAGAATTATGGCGAGTACGACGAGTACGAAGAGGAGGAAGACTACGACGAGGCCGAGGACCAGGAGAATCAGCCTCCTGCAGTATCAAGTGGCGCCCCCCAGGTCATAAGCTTACTATCAGATTCGGAAGATGAAGAGGATGAGGTACCGCCCCCTGTGCCCGAAGTGCCAACACGCCGTGTGCCACAATACGACGGGTCTGCCGACGAGATGGATGAGGATGACCTCGAAGACGAGGAGGATAGTGACAAGGAAAATGCTCTCGACAATAAGGATCAGCAGGTCTCATCGCCTGTAATACATGAGGAAGAGAGTGGAGACGACGAATCAGACGATGCTACAGACCACGGCACGCCAACTCCGAAGCCTCGGGAGAACATCAGCATACCGAACTCCACTAGGAGCGTACATACGTCTTCCCCTAAGGACACGGTCGGTTTCTCTGCAGATATGACCACGACTACAATTGGTGACGACCTAGAAACCATGAGTCCTGTCCGGCTACCACACGTAATTCAGCCTTCGAACGACGATAGCTCTCGGCCCGCCTCCCGCGACGATTCCGAGATGCTGGAGGCAGAACTTCAGCAAGAGCTAGAACAAGAGATAGCAGCCGACGACGTTCATGAAGACCAGAAAACACCAGATCGCCAAGATATTGAGGCAGCGCCGACCTCCGCAGCAACGGAAGCAACGAATGCCCCCGAGGCTGATAGCCAAGAAGCCATGGACACGGCAGAGTCCGATGTCAAGGTGGAAATCGATGTTAGAACGGAAGAGGTCAGAACTGCACCCCAAGAAACGAGTGCCGCAGAGGTAGACCCGGAACCTGCTGAAGGGTTCGTTGCTGAGCCGATGGACGTTAACATGGCCGACACAGACGAAAACCCAGTTGACGAGGCCGCCGGGGAACAACATGAAGAGTCCGAGATGGACACCGCAGAGGCTCCAGAGCCTGTGCTAGAAGATATGGATGAAGAACAGCTCATTCAAAGCCAACTTGCGGACGAAACTATGGCGGAGGAAGAGCACACGCTTATCGTCGAGACCTCCGAGACTGTGGAATATCGAGAGAATTCACCAACCGAGTCAAATGGACCTGAGTACAAGAATGCTTCGCCAAATATAGAAACTATGGAATCATTAAAGGTCGAAGTCAAGTCATCTGCAATTGATTCTCTGGCTACTCCGGCGCAGGATGGGAAAGGCATGCTTCCGCGCGAACCAGTAGACGCCATGGACGTGGATGAGCCTGACGCCAAGCAGGTCGAGGTGGCCTCGCCGCCTCCAACGCAAATGCAATCTCAGTCTTTTGAAGAAGTCAGGCTGGTCGAGACGCATGTTTCCCAAGTCGCTGAGGAACCTGGTACTGAGGACAATACGCGGCTTACACACCTTCCAACCCCGGCCGAGACCCAGGTTACGGAATCTTTCATGTCCTACTCCGCAGTTGAGACACAGGTCACGGAGGAAGTAAGCACCGGTGTGGCTCCTTCAGTACCGGCCGAATCTAGTCCTAAAAAAGAGACACCATCTGCCACTGGGGAAAAGCTGGAGAACCCTGGCAATCCGACTTCGCCTATCAACGACGAGTCATCTCAAATCCGAGACTCCTCGGCGCAACCGTCCGAAGCGCAGTCGTCTCTTATCGCCGAGGAGGTCGCGGAGGAAACTAACGCCGCACAATCAACTCCGAGGCGAGCACGCGGACACCGAAGAAACAAGTCAGATAGCAAGGATGTGGATCCTAGCGTCAAACTGGCCCGTGCATCAATCGCATCTCGACGTTCGACGCGACTATCAGACCGGACCACCCCTGACAGCACGCGAGTTACCACCCGTGCAAGGTCACATAGTCTCGCACTTAAGAGCGATTCGCCAGATGAAGACGAAGATGCAGGTGTGCAGCTAGCCAGGGCCGCAATTAAGTCGCCTTCACGAGGCACCAGAGAAGCCGACGAGGGAGACGTAGCAGCAGCAGCAGCAGCAACAGCACCAGCACCAGCACCAGCAGGAGATGCGACAGCTTCGCTGAAGGCGCAACTCGCCAAGTCGCTTCGCAATGCGCCAGACTGCATATCGCTAAAGGTGCTCCGTAATCACCCGGGCAGAGCAGTGGACGTTATCGCGATTGCGACAACTGAGCCACCCGAAGCTAAGCGTGCAAAGGGTGGACCGCGGGGTATCATGCTGGCGTTCAATATCACGGATCACTCGATTGCGCCCACGCAGACGGTACCGGTGCAGATCTTCCGACCACACAAGGCGGCGCTGCCTGTCGTACACCCGGGAGACGCGATCCTCCTCCGGCAGTTCACCATCACTTCTATCACGGGCAGGGGGTTCGGCCTCCGAGCCAACGACGGCTCGAGCTGGGCCGTCTTTGAGCGGGACAGCGAGGACGACCTGCCGCAGATCCGCGGACCGCCGGTGGAGCTGACGGAGGGGGAGACGTCACATGCGGCTCTGCTGAAGCAGTGGTACACTGGGCTGGATGCGAAGGCGCTGGCGAAGCTGGACAAGGCTAACGAGGCGGCGCCTGCTGTGGAAGCTGGGAAGGAAGACACCAAATGAGGGGTGAGTTACTGTAGGAGGGGAAAAGGGAAGGGGAGGGGTAAAGGGGTGTGTGGTCTGTCTGTTTGTTTACATGAACCCCCCAATGACTTTACATGTTTATTGATATGGATGCATATTGATATGGTATCAACCCAAACGGAAATGTCACGATAGGTTTCAAATCACAGTTCGAAAACAGTTGATTGGCTGATGGCGGGCGCAAAGAGCGGGCGGGTGTTCATGCGTAGATAGCCAGAAATAATGATACCAGCAGGGAAAGGGGAAGGGGAAAAAAAAAAAAAAAAAGAAAAAAAAAGGGTTTGCGCCGCAGAACGGTTGAGCTAGTGTACGTCTCGGGAGCCAAGCATAGGAGATCGTGGAGTTTCCCCATGGAGAAGGGCCAAAAAAAAAAAACAATAAAAAAAAAAGAACTGACAGCGGGCAATCGAACAGAAAGAGGCCACCCACTCAAGTGAGGAGAAAGAGAGAGGGGCCACATCCCCGCCTTGTTGGTGTTCGCGCGCGTTGGATAACATAGTACGGAGTATACAGGTTTTTTCTGGATCGCATCGTCGACATTGTCCAGATACAGACGAACACACTCACACACGCCCCCCCCCCCCCCCCCCCCCCCCCTTGTCCAAAGGACCCAGCCATTGGTGATGCAGGCGTTTTGTTGATTGTAAGCAGAGAGCGGAGTCTACCCGGCAGGAAACAGTAACAATCAACGGGACAACCCAGTTATCTTTTTTTTGGCGTGGTCATTAGGGCCCCCCTCCTCCTCCTTCCCTTCAGCCCCCCCCGCCCTGCTTTCCCCTGACGGATATGCATGGGTAAAGATTTGCCTTGGTTTGTGAGGAGGAGCCGTGGAGTCTCGCCTGGGGGTTGCATTTCACACTACACTAGCGTAGTCGTTGTCTGTTTTGGTAGAGTGGACAACTGGGAAAAAAAAGAGGGAGGTGGATTTCACTGTGGAGGCTGCAAGCAAGGGCGAATTCGGACATGAGAATCGGGGCAGGTCGGCGGGCCCACCCATCGCGGGCGGCCCTGTGGAGTCTTCAATGTCTCTTTTCGGGACGGACTCCACATCGGCTGGCTTCGTCACTATTGGACTGGGTGCGCCTTTCCACGCTTTCCCTCCACTTGTGTGGGGGGTGGCCCAGCTATGGAAAGTGGGGAAGCCTTGCCTTTTGTTATTTTCCCCTTCCTTTCTACTGCCAGCGTGCGTGTCCCCTCGTGTCCAAGTGCCAGCTTCCACTGGCGCAGCTTTAGCGAGCATGGAGGGTGAGGAGTTTTGAGAGGGCAGCGGAGCCCAGATTTTAGTGCCGAATGGTCTCATTCGTGATATTGTCCGCTGGCAAGCTTTGCATGTAGTCGCGAAGGGAAGCTGCAAATGGAGATCTGCGCAAGTGCCGTGGCGATCGGACGGTAACGAAACTCCAACTCACAATGAATCCAATGATAGTTTTGCAGTTTTGGCCTGGCGCGCATGAGCTTTGTGAGGTCATGGATGACTTTGAGTCGGCAGAACTACCCTTTTTCGAGAGCGGTGAGTGAGGCTTAAAAAGAAGTGCCCTAAAGGTTTCGGTGGCGTGGGTGGATGTTGTGGGCGGTCGGCATGGCCTGCCCGGCTGGGACGGAGAGCGACTATCTACTAAGTAGAAGATTGGGAACGGCATTCGTCATACCAAGACAGACGCACGTACGGCTGTTTGGGTCGGAGCAAAGGGAGTGCGTTTCGTCGGGTGGTGTGGGTTGGCCGGGGCTCGGCTTCTGGGTCCCAGACTTGCAAGCTGAGCAACGTAAATTAAGACGTGCGACAAAATAATTAATGAATTGAAATAGGATACGACAAGGTGAGTGGGCGCCCTGAATCATCGTGGGGGCTACAAGCGACGCTGATCTTGTTCTGATGGTGACGGATGGTTTGGGTTTATTCTTTTGGGTTTGACGTTGATGCGTTACACCTGTTGGTCTCTCTTGTTTTTTTTTTGGTTCTCACAGTTTGGACGGAGTCAGGGTTTGACTTTTGAGATGGATGGCCCGGCATGGACGTACGGGAATTACACGGGCTGTACGTACTGCATTTTGTGGCTTTCGACCCATCATAGATAGACGTATCCGTACACAAGAAAGGTGCAGGTGCCGCCTAGTCGGCGCCAGGGACTCTTTCTGCCAGGTAAAGGTTTCGTCTAGACGCAGGGGTGGACCGCTGACCGAAGGCTTGCGTCCCGGGGGATCTGGGCTGCCTTGGGTCGAATATTCCACCAGTGTTTCCTTTTCATCCAAACTCTTATTTTGTCCTCTTCTCCTGCTGCTGGATTGCTGGACCGGTGGATGCTTGGTGCTTGCTGCTGCGACCTGAAAACGGGATCGTGATCGTCTCTGTCCTGTGTGGATGTGTGTCAAGGGCTCAAAGAGTCAAGGTGAGAAAGGACAGGGGTGATCCACCGCCCAGTCCCGACTATTGCCGAATTCAGCTGGGTGAATGGAGGTATTTCCTGGTACGGAATAGGCTCTGATTGGCTGGCGTGTGGTACAGGGGACATCGATTTGATTGCGGGAGCGCGATTGAATCGGCCATTGTACATGTTGTCCTTCGGACTAAAGGCCACAGGTGGCGGGCGCGTTGATTCGTCACCGGCCTACGAGACGACGACGAGACGAAACCCTGATGGATGAATTATGGCCAGGCGAGAGCGAGGCGGGTGTGTGTGTAATTGTGCTTGTGCGTAATGTGATGAAGCGCGAGAAGTGAGAAGCCGAATAAAGTTGGAGATTGTCATGACTTTCCAGGTAAAAACGCCGACTTGAGGGCGCCACCCTCCATTACAGGGATTGGCTTGCCATGATGATAATATTGACCAGTCGTGGCAATTGGTTTTATGTGACGGGTGATTCATGATGTTGCGTATTTGCGAAACCATGACAGAACATTTGGGCTAGAAGGCGTCCTCGGACAGCCACAACATACAAGACACTCCCGGTCATTAATCCCAGATACCTTGAAGCCTCAAGGGGTGGAAACCAGTAGACATTAAACTGTCTTCGGACACGGTCCGGGTTGGTCGCGAAACAGCCAGTGACTAACTGCAGGTGCGATTGACCCAATAGCACGGGTGCAGTTTGAGATGAGATGTGAAAATTGCAGAGAGGCTCGTGATGCTTTAAAGTTGGGGGGAGCCACTAGGGGAAGGTGAGGGTTACAGTAGGCTAAGGATTATGTAGCTGATTGTGGTTGGATGCTGAGGCGGCGTGGTGGATTCTGTAGTCTGGGCGTGATCCCTGACGCCCACACTGGGGCTGACTCGAGGGCTCCTGACTCGCGAGGCTGGCACTGGCTGTTGAAGGTTCTGCCGCCTCTATGTTTCTTGTGCTGATGTTAAATTTGTCTTGCCGGTACTCGTGCTGATGCGTGGATGCGTTGGGCTAGTTGAAGCAGCAAATCGTACCCGTTACTTACTCGAGGTAAATGAAGAAGTGGTGGGTCGGGCAGAAGAGGGTGAAAGGCGGCGGTGATGGGTGGTGAGGTAGCCCAGCCTAGCCCAACCTCCAGGGGTGTTAGCCAACTGGCTGGCTGCAAGGTGCGATTGGGCGTCTCCGCAAGGTATGGATGACAAGAGATGGAGATGAATGGGGGCAAGGGCCTGGGTGAGGAACTGGGTGGAGGCTGTGGAGGAGACATCGTGACTGATTTGTTTCCCTTACCAAGTCTCATCTGTAGTGTAGTAGTGGTGTACTATACAGTTCCCAGGCCCACGTAGCTTTGACACATGGGGAGAAAATGGATATTGCGGAGGATCCATCGTAGTGTAATGGCAGAAGACACGGATGCGGGTCGCGGTACGCGTGGAGGAGACAGCCAGGGCCAGGTAAAGGTACGGTGAAGCAGCTTTGAGGTTTGCGGTGAGGGAGTAGATGAATCTGCTGGTCTGGTGCTCTAGCCGTAAGTCTATCGCTGGTCTGGAGGAGTTCTAGGCTGGGCTGGCGGCGTGGCCATGGGGGCTAGGGTCGAAGCGGCAAGGTCACCTTGAATGGCATCAACTTGGGCGAGACAGCTTGAGGTCAATAGGCTGAGGCGGTGGTTGGACGATGATGATGCGCTATGAAGACGGAGGCGACGAACAACAAAGAGGCCGCCCTTTCGGTTGGTAGTCCGGCGCCTGTTGTTCCAGATAAGAGGGCACCATTTGGCTAATGGCCAAGTGTGCATCGTATCAAAGAAGGTGAGGAGCCGGGATCGGCTGGGGTGCACAAGTACAGGTGCAGATGGGTGGGAAAATCAGGTAATGCCTCATGTACAAGGCCAAATACCAGCCGCCAGTGGGCGAAAGTCTATAAGGCAGCATGACGGAGGATTGATTAGGAAAGTGGCTGATGGTTACGGTTGGAACTCTGCCACAAAGCATGAGAGAGAAAAGCTGCCCGTTCCGATTCTGATTCCGATGAAAGACAGAGCTTGTTAAACATCCATAGTCAGTCATGGTGGTTTTATTTTACAGGTACAAGCAATTGCGGATACCACTAGATTGGCAGCTACAATAGCTAGCTGGGTGGTTTGTGTCATTGATACCCTGCCACACCTGAAGAATACCAACGGCGTTAGTTATACACTTTTGCGATGCAGTGCGATCGATGGGCTGCTGCAATAAGCAGGAAAGGAGGCATCTCCACAATCCCACAATAGACGGCGCAGGCGCGAGTGCCATGTTCAACCCCTCCCTCCTCCCAAGACTCTCAAGGCCCCGATGACCCAAGCTTGGCTGGAAGGAGACAGGGATGGTTGGAGTCGCATTACGACATGTATGAGTGCTGATGTTTGTTGGCTTCACGTGCGACGCGGGGGGCGCGGCGGCAGCGTCTCGTCAGAATTGTCTGGTGATGCGCATATTGCGGGCAAGGTGAGGTCAGGTTACGTCTTAATATGATAGAAATTGATACAAAGATTCGCAAGATTCGCTGCTCTTTGAAACGGAAGACGCGGGTTAGCCCGACCAACCGGGTGGACGGAAGTGTGAATGGGTTGACGGAAGAAAAATGGGATGAAGCACGGAAAACAAAAAGATATCAACCAACCGCCACCGTCAAGTGCGACACAGGCGAAGGCGCAAACGAGTCACAAAACAACATGGCCAAGCCATGGGGGGGGGGAAGCAAAGTTGTCCCCAGTGAGCTGATGTTGAAGAATGTGCACCGAGGAATAAGTCTGGAATCCTGTAAACCATGTACTTTGAGAGGGCTACATGCGTTGGGAAGCTGGCACAGGTACCTTATCTTGTAGTCATGGGAAGCGACATTTTCATGGATGTAGGCGCATTTCTCATGTAAGAGAAGACGCCCTGACATTGGCAGCGGTTGCGCAGTGCACGATTGGTTCCAACACCTCGTCTTGGCCCACCCCTTTGAATGGTCAAGGTCCGACAAACAGTAAGATGCAGACAATGTCCCGTGGCCTCTGTGCTCGTCCTCGGTGTGTTGCGCTGCCACGGTCACCAGACAAATAATTAACAAGTCAATCAGACATGACAGCTTTCGACGTCAAGGCGTGCATGAAGTCGAAGCGTTCATCAACGGCCGCTAGAACTGCCAGCAATGGGAAACGAACGAGAGCAGAAAGTAAAAATAATAATAATAATAATAAACAATCCAGCAGCGACTTGCAATCTACGTTGCGTACATGCCTCATCGTGACCGGTACTTATCAAGGTACCTGGAAAACATACTTATTATGTCGTAAAGGCAAACCAGCATACATGAGAGGAGGTACAAGGAAAATGCAGCACGATGAGGTAAACGATACGTACCTCTACACCATCCATACCTGGCTGTAGTGGTAGTAAGATGCTCCGTCTCATCCAGAACCCCTGTCAATTGTCCCCTGCCTGACTAACCATATCCACCTTTCTCCATTTTGTTTGAATTCATCTTAGCTTCGTTTCCCCATAATTCGGGTACGTATTGATCCTGCTCCTTCCTGCTTTAATTATTACCCTACCCTTACCTCTTTTTTTATTTTTTATTTTTTTGTCGCTGGCCTTGCCCGGTGTAGCAAGGTGCATCTTCCTTACAGGGTGTGTGCCTCCTCCTCTTTCCCTCGTTTTTTTTTTTCCTTCACCCGCTCGGCCTAGCGTTCACTTCGCCGTGTGCATGTACCCAGTTTTGTCTATGGATCGGAGAGTGAGGGTGCCACAAAAGAGGAGGAGGGAAGGAGGGGCCGGGGCCGGGGGGGCGTGTCCCGTGAGAATTCCAGACGAAAGAAAGAGAGTCCGTTCTTAGTGTCAAGCTCTGCCTGGGCATGAGCCTGAGCCTAAGCCTGTCCTTTCCTGTCCTGTTGCAAAGTAATTGATCCTATTGGAATCATATAATACCTTCTCCTTCCCTCTCACACCCATGGACCCCACATTCCCGCTTTCCCCTTCCACTTGCCCGTAGCTCCGGCTCTTCCTAACAATTCGAGATTGAGGCAACTTAGTCTATTCTACATACCTTCCCAGACGGTATCAAGAACATCACGAGACAACCACACAGACACATCAGAGTCACTCATCCGCCCCAGCATTCCCCGCGGATACATAGTACACACCACCAAGCATCTCTTACTACCAGGCTTGGAAACATTCAATGCTCATCTCAACGCGCCCTCGTTCCGCCTTGTTCTGCCGTTTGCGTTATTGTTCTTACAGACGAGCTTCTCCCGCCATACCTTTGAAGTCTCTCCACGCCCAATCTTCACCTTTGTCCCCCGTCGACCTTGAACGCGACCCTCTGACGTATTCATACCGATCCCAATTCTATTAAACGCCTCACCCTAGCCGGACCTTGCAACCTCAACACTATTCTGGGGTCGAGTTTTGAATCCAATCGACCTAAGCAGCCCGGAACTTTCTGGGAAATCACAACACCTACGTGATATCTGGTGACAGCCCTGACGACTGCCACCTCCTAATAGCAAGCCAATTGGCACCGGATTTGTGAGCAGTCTCTAAACAGGTAGAGGCTGTTTCAAATCTTCGACAATGTCGACCGAAACTACGACAACCACCGCCACCACGGCCACCCCCGAGGTTACGTCCGCCGCCGAACCCGTTCCCGACTTATCAGCTTTGACGACCGTGACCGCGGAGGAGCCAGCTTCTGCAAATGACGCGAAGAACGATGACTCCAGCGCGGAGACCTCGTCGGATCAGGAGCAGAGCAAGAAGCGCTCCTCATCGACCGCCGATCTGAAGGATGGAGCTCCTCCGGCCAAAGTCACAAAGCGCAGAGCCGCCCGCGCTTGTGTAAGCTGCAGAGCGCGCAAAGTCCGCTGCGACGTTGTTGAGGGTGCGCCGTGCGGCAACTGTAGATGGGACAACGTTGAGTGCGTTGTCCAGGAGAGCCGTCGACGAAAGTGAGTTGTTCCACCTTCCTTCCCGGGCTTCATTCTGTTTCCTCTTGTCTCCTGTCATCCTTTGCTCTTCTCATGGACTGCTGCGCTGGGATCAGAGAAAAAAACTCTGCTTCACATGTGAGTGCACATACGCGCAATCGCAACTCACTCCTAAAAGGGGCCGCTCCTCCGGTATGCTTGGCGGTGCAAGCGTGCGGATGGCACGGGAAGCCAACAACATACGACACTACTTCCCCCTGGGGAAGCCCCAATCTGGAGGAAGAGCATCGGGAGCAGAGATTGGTGCTAGGCGTATGCACAGAACCCCAAAAGGACCCCTGCTGACTCTAGGCGCGTTGTAGGAAGAATCTCTTGACTGCCAGCACGGCGGGGCACCACGTCGTGGGAGCCGAGGCACAACTGCGCTCCAAGGGCGCAAATCCAATCAACATCCACAGCAGTGCGGAATTACGCCGACCCAGCAATGCCTCGGTGGCCTCGGTCAATGGATCAATTGCAGCGAATCCCGTCTCTGCGGCTGCCGGTGTGGGATTAGGTGCGGCACCCGGCATTGGCGCCGGAGCTGGAGGAGCTGGAGTTGGAATCGGACCAGGCGTCCTTGGGGGCCTGTCCAGCTCTTCTGATGGGCTGGACGGCCACGTTCCTCACATGATCTGTAAGTTTTTTTCTCTGACATTGTCACTTTGTTCTTCTCGTCCTAGAACATTCTTAGCGTGGATTGTCTTCATTTTGCACTGCCTCTCCGAAAATACCGTCCCCTGTCACTTGTGGTATCTACATCATTTTTGTTATTTTCCCATCCTTGTCGCTCAGACCTGCCTTTTGCAATTTTTCTGCCTCTGTTCCTGGTCCTGCCCATCGTTCCCAGATCCGGGGCCCGGACTGGGGGAGGGGGCGGAACGGGGAAAAGTGTGGAGGGGCGGCCCTTCCATGGACTTTTTTTTTTTTTTTTTAACCCGTGACCTTGACCTCCACGTCGAGGCTTTCTCCGCCTTTCCCCCTCCAGACATATCACCCTTTCGTTCGGTCTACCCCCCCTCCCCTCTACGTCCCTCCACGTCCTAGCCTCTTACACGTAATCCACAATCACATGCCAACCTCTCTTTGCCATCTCACCTCAAACCCCTAGTCAGCATCATGATGTCAAATCCTGTTGCTCCGATAAAGCAGCAGGAAAATGGAGAGTTGCGGCTGACCACGAGACCTCGTGCCATTAGATCAACGATCGGGCTACCGCAATGACAGCGCCGCTATGCTCACCAAATTGCAGTCGGCTGCGGCGGCTGCGTCAGCAGACAGCAACTCTCGACGTTTGCTATCCAATCTGCTTGCTCAGGCATCTCTCTTTGGTAGCATGAGCGGCGGCGATGGGCGAACGAGTCAATTCCTTGCCTCGCTCGAGGAGCCTGACCTCCACGCCCAGCTCCCGGCCTTCGTGAAACCACTTCCCGCCAAGATCGCCCAGGAGGATGTTACCTACCTCCACACCAAGGGTGCTCTAAGCCTGCCTGCGCTTCCGCTGCAGAATGCACTCCTGCAGGCGTATGTCGAATACGTTCATCCATACATGCCATTGCTGGAGCTGTACGACTTCTTGGCCATCATCAACTCCCAGGACGGTCTCAATGGCCAAATCAGCTTGTTTCTGTACCAAGCAGTAATGTTTGCCGCCACCGCCTTTGTTGATATGAAGGCTCTCCGTGAGGCCGGCTACCCAACTAGGAAAGCTGCAAGGAAGGCCTTCTTCCAGAAGACAAGGGTGAGTGGACCATGCCTAAATTTCCGTCTCCTTGACACGACGCTAGCGGGACAGGGGTCCTACGCATTGCCAACCTTCACATGCTAAACGTTGTCTTGTTGCAGCTTCTCTACGACTTCGACTACGAGTCGGATCGTCTCGTCCTTGTCCAGGCTCTTCTGTTGATGACGTACTGGTATGAGACCCCAGATGACCAAAAGGACACATGGCATTGGATGGGCGTCGCCATCTCGCTTGCTCACACAATCGGCCTTCATCGCGACCCAGCCGCGACGAGCATGCCACCCCATAAGCAGAAGCTTTGGAAGCGAATTTGGTGGTCATGTTTCATGCGCGACCGCCTCATTGCCTTGGGCATGCGCCGGCCCACTCGCATCAAGGACGAAGACTTCGATGTCCCGATGCTCCAGGAGTCCGATTTCGAGCTTGAGGTTCTGCCTGAGGACAACACCGTTGTTCCCGCCGAGTGCACCCTCCTTCGTGATGTCACAATGCAGAAGGAATTGGCTGCTCTCTGCATATCAAAAGCTCAGCTTTGCATTTGCATAAGCCACATGCTCAAGGCACAATACTCCGTTCTCATCCGGGACAAGATGCGCCCTGAGAATACTGTCAACAGCACCATGATGCTGTTTCCAAACAAGAAGCTGGATAACGTAGAGAGCGTGACTTCGGTTGACTTGGAGCTCATGGCTTGGGCGGATACTCTTCCGCCCATTTGCCAGTACAGGCCCTTGACCCCGTTGGATGTCAAGAATGGTAGATCAACCGTTGCTGTTCAGCGTACACTTCTGCACATGGTTTACTTCACGACGATCTCGGCTCTCCATCGACCCCAGTTTCTGCCTTCGTCTCCCATCCATGCGCCTACGACCTCAAGACAAGTGCAGGAAATGTCCCGGCTTCGCGTAAGGGATGCGGCGATGCACGTCACCCGGATGGCCGCCGAACTCCACCAACTGCGCCTTGAGAAGTATCTTCCCACAACTGGTGTTACGGTCATATTGCCCGCAATGATCATCCATCTTCTGGAAATGAAAAACCCCGTGTCGCAGTCTAGGGACCGCGCTACTAGGGGATTTCGTCAGTGCATGCGTGTGATGGAGAAGTTGCGTGAGATTTATGCCGCGGCTGACTACGCCACTGGCTTCCTCGATGCCGCCTTGCGGAAGGCTGCCATTGATATAAATCTTCAGCAGGCCCCCGCGGCGATGACTACGCAGAATCTCAAGCTCGCTGACCCAACCTTTGGCGCGCAGACGCCCCCGCCTGACAATCTGCCTTATATGACGTCTGGGGAGACTCTGTTCGCTACAAAGCCTAACCCGCAGCGCGACTTCCTTCCACAAACCATCAATGCTGCTGCTTTGGATTTGTCAGCCACAAGCCCACCACACACCGAGAAAGACCACGAATCGGCGCTTGGTGGATTGACACCCAGCGCTAGTGGCGGCTCGGAGGAGCCTGGGCCGCTCGATCTTGAGTTCCTCCAGAGCCAGGAAGAAATTGACTGGAACGCCGTGACTGGCACCGAATTTGATGTCGACCAATGGCTCCAGTTCCCACCTGAGGGAGTAAACAACTCGGACGAAGGCTTCATGGCCAACGTCTTTGGTGAGGAGAGTATGAACGACGCCATGAACTGGGCTGCTGCCGGTGTCGACACTACCACAAAAGAAAGCGACGGTGCTGCTGAAATCGCCACCCTTGCTTAAGCCTCTGGGCATTCGCATTATTGGTTCAGGCCTTTTTCTTTTCGCAATTAGACTCCATTGGGAGCATGTTTCTGGGGCAACTGGAGGTGGATTTTATGGTTTGGATGCATTTGCCATTTATGGAGTCCAGGATAGAGCAAAACAAAAAAGGAGGCTCGATTTTCCGGGAGGGTTCATTTCACGAAACAGATGGCGTTTTCGGCCGGAATTAAATGACAGGCTAGGCTCATTGGAGTAGAGGGGGCTTTTGGTATACCCTCATGAGGCGCCGGGCATCAGTTTTCTGTTGATTTTTATGATTTTGAATTACCGTATAATGATTTTGTATTGAATGAGAGGATGATTTAGACGTATGCGTTCTACATGTGTTGTGAGTGTCGTATATATAGGCGTGGAAGCATGGAGGAAGCTTTCATTGCGTGAGCTTGACATCAGCTATGAAAGGCCACCCCCGAGGAGCATCGGAATATAGTTAATTTAGTGTACCTTTTTGTAAGGATTGCTCGTCAGTGTATTGAGGATAGCAAAGTCTACGAAGTGGTTACTTGCTTTATTAGCGGCTGGAATTTCTACCCATACAGGAGAGAGAGAGGTTCTTCCATAACACCGGTTTCGGCCCCGTTTTCGTAGGATCCACATTTCGTCCGACACGCCCGGGCTTTCGAGCCGGGACCGTCCGAGGGCGCCGCGTACACGATGAAGACGTCCGGAATCGTTAGTCGCTATAAGTATATTCAATAAATTTTGCGAGAAGAAAAAGCCATCTCAAGACAGTTTCACGGAAAGAATGCCGATACTGAAATCGCGTGGTATGGGTGAGTCTGGCGCTTTGCTCCAAACCCAGTTCGTGCAGTAGCACAAATTCACGTGTATCACGGAAACCTTTCTTCTCTTCATTCAGACGGACGGCTTTTTGGCCCAGATTGCCCGGCTTTCGATGAGTTAGGATTATCGCTTTTCAAGTCAACTGAAATGGGCAGCACTTACATGGGCCAATACCCGTGGTTTCCACGATCTGCAAGATCCTTCCTCACCTCAGCCGCGAAAACCTGTACCTCCTCCTGCCTCCACCCATGAACACGGGTCATTGGCGCCATGATCATGCCAGCCGTGTTACATGCCAGATTCTCGCGCGTCCAAGAGCCGAGTTCCTTGAGGTGCGGGTCACGCGGCCAGCTGTTGAGAGGCCAGACGAAGCGGCGGTCGGAGACCTCGACGAAGCCGGCTTCCGGGAGGAGAGACGTGAGTTTGTCGAGGGGAATGAAAGGGCAGCCGAAAACTTCGAGGGCGGAGGCGACGTAGGCGAGGCACTTGTAGAATGCGCCGCGCTCGGCGGTGCCGTCGGCGCTAAGAATGTTGAATTCTGCTTCTTGGAGCTCGATGAAGCCTCCCGGTTTGAGGTTGCTGCGGGCCCGGTGTTAATGGAAATAACTCGACACAAGAGAGTGGGAGACGGGTCCGGTGGAGTTTGGAGGGGCATCGAAATTGCTTGGAATTCCTTACTCGTAGCATTTCTTGAGTAGTTCGGGCCAGTTGCGAACACTGCCAGACATGCCGCGGATATGGATGTAGTCGAAGGGTCTGGAATAGATCCATTCGTTATCCAAGTCGTCAATCTCAAATTGGACGTTTGGCGGGACACTGGCCATTCTTGTCAATTCAATGTCTCTCATGAAAGGCATACAACTAGGCTACCTACAACTCCGGCTGGGTCGCTGAGAGGTCAAAACCGAGGACGTCAGCTTCAGGGTGTTCATCCCCAAAGTCAATACACCAAATGCCGGTTCCCGTTCCGACGTCGAGTACACGGCCGCCTTTCCAACCAGCATCATTAGGAGGAGCAAAGCCAAGTTTGTTATCGAAAGTGAGAAGGAACAGGTGATGTTGGAGGTCTAGTCTATCGTTCTCCACTTCGTCATTTGGCGCAAAGTATTCTAACGTGTTGGTATAAGTGATGCGATTTCAAATCCTCAGTGCCCTGTTGTCGCTGTTGCTGGCAGATACTGAGTTGAACGCAAAGTGTAACGTGTTACTTACTGCCTTCCTTATAACGATGATAAGTTCTACCATTCTCAACTCGATAGTCTAATATGGAGCTGCGGAGGCTCGTTGTTGCCGAGAGATCATCCTGATTCCGGAGCTTATGAGCACTGGCTTGATGGGTACGAAATTGAACAATCTTTAGGTCAAGTCCAAAGCACTGGGAACGCTCACCTGGCCGAGAGTTGAATCCGCGTCGCCCTGCTCAAAAAGTCAGTTTTCCGTTGCCATGTTCCACCCAAAAGATCGGATATCGCGGGTATGGAACGGTACGCACTGTCGTGTCCGTATGGGTCGTCTCTTCTATCTCGATATTCGCATCCGCCATTCTGAGGGATGAGTCTGAAAACTCCACGCATCAGGAATAATTGCAGCGATTATGTTCGTTGCATGACTATGGGGGAAAAGCTTGGCCCCTCATTCTTATATTATAAAAATTATCTTCGCATTCGGAAACTTTGGTAGTTGGAGAATACGACGCAGGTGGTCCAGGAATCCCGGCTATAGCGGGTCCAATGATACATCATTCACCGCATTTTCTTGCGATGAACGAGTGCAGCTGCATGAGAGTCATGTCGCTTTTTTTTATAAGCTAGGAGCCACGAGGCGTAGATGTCGTCTTGTTGATCGGTGGAGTTAGGAGAGAGTGCTGGTTCCTGTGGGCATTTAGGGAAAGAGTAATAGCCCCCTGTCAGTTTCGTATGAGTTGTTAGAGAAAAGGAGCTTACCTAATTACTTTCCCCGCGTTTTGTGACCTCACCGAGCTCTCTTGTCTTCTTTCTTATCTCGGCCGGCCAGCCGCAGACCGGGGTCTCCTGCAGACTGCCGGGCAGAGCGGCTGGCCTTTTCTTCTTTCTTGGATCCTCATCTTCCACCAAATCGCTGGTCTATCTAACAAATGTCTTCAACACTTTGGTCCAGCGGACTAAACACTTTCTTTTTGGGAATTCGCAGAAGCTACATATCAACCGACAAACAGCCGGCTTTCGTATACCTGGGCTTGTATGGCTGGCGACGGATCTCGGAGCCGAGATGGATGTATGGACTGCCGCCGGCGGAAGCGAGGATGCGATAAAGCCAAACCGGTGTGCTCCAGTTGTCGAAAACATCGAGTCGCCTGCATTTATAACAAGCCTAACCAGACCTCGCCTTCAAAATACTTCGTCTCTGTTGCCGGAGAGCACTTTATTCTCCCTTTGGAGTCGGCGGTGAACCACTCCTTCGTCAATCTTCGAAGCGACGAAATCGGCGTTGTTTGTGGGCAATATGCCGAGCAAGCAATCCATACGGCACCTCCACCGACTGATCAAAATCAACATACAGCGCCATCAAAAAATCATATGCCTCTCGTCCGGAATCCTTGTTGGCTGCCCATCCCAGAAAAAGTACAGAGCGTCCACGAAACATTATTAGTTCAGTACTGTGAGTCGGATTACCAACTACCTAGCCAACCGGACACTTACAGATGGCCCTGGCCAATCCCCAGATTTCGAGGTCATCAGCAACAGTAAAGTATACGTGGACACGGAAAGGAACATCTTCCGGACTTCAGTTATGCCGGTTCTTCTCAGCAACCATGGCTCTCTCTTCTCAACCGTGCTGGCCCTCACCGCTGCTGAGTGGGGACGCAGAGGTCTTTCAGACGGAATAGATTACACCGCAGCGGCCCTTCAATACAAGGTGACAGCCTTGAAGCAGCTTCAGTCGAACCTGAATGGAACCTCGAATGCTGAGGAGAGCTTGCTAACCTGTGTACTTCAAGCATCTCTAGAAATTTCAGAAGGATCTCGTCCCTCATGGCTGAGGCACCTCCGGGGGGCGTTGGCTATCATGGATACACATAGTGATTGGATCAGTCCAGATTGCGCGGCTCTTGCTTTGCAATATTTTCGATTCCGATATGTCTTGCTGAAGACGACGAAACACGGAAGCCTGGTTCAAAACGGCGACGGGACCTGTCAAGCCGACCCAGTCGAATGCAATCATGATGCCGGTGCTCTCGACAAAGCTTTGTCAATTCTGGGAAACCCGCAGTCAGTGGATCCTCAGCTCGGTTGTTCTATGGAGCTTGTAGAGCTGATTAGAATGACATCTACGATCTCACCAGCTCAAGCTGATGTCACAACCCCTTCCACCACGTGTGAAGATGGAATCCTACTGGAGAAACGCATTCGGCAGCTAAAGTTTGACGCTATGGACGACTACCTCATAAAGAGTGCAGAATGCTTCAGGCTCTCTGCGTTGATATACCTCCGCCTGGTACTCTTTAACGAACCCATTCGATACCCTTCGATTTCTACCTTGCTACAGCGAATGATAGACCACCTCTCTGAGATAATAGTCGAGGACCAGCCTCGACGATCCTTTCCTATGTGGCCCTTGTTCATAGCAGGTTGTGTCAGTCACACCGATGCTAATCGGAAGGTTGTTCTCGATTTGTTTAATTTGCTCGATAGCAAATGGCCAATAAGCAACATATCTACGGTCATGAAGGTCGTCTGGACAATTTGGCAAACTCGGGACTTTGACAGTGGCTTAGAAGCAACGGTACATCACGACTGGCAGGAAATTATCGAAAAGTTTGGTTGGAAACTATCTTTGTCGTGATCTCATGGCGTAAACAGAGACTACCCAAGCAAAAGTTCAAAGCTGAGCCTTCGGAATGGCCTCGGCTTCAGCTATCAGGTCTTTCATTTCTCTCGCAGTTCTGATGCACCCGTTTACAGATTCGCCCCATGGCTTAATTCACCTGAAAGAACAACAACTGAATTGGAGGTCTCGGGGAACAAAGTCAATACAGAACTCTGAAGCTTTAGTGCCGTACAAACAACAGAACCTGCGGCCGACAAAAGGTCGGTCTGCTATCCAGGTTGGAGTCTCTCTCAAAAGTGTGCGCGGCTTTCGTTCTCCGTCTGGCGGAATGAAGTCTTGAGATGCCACAAAAGGGAACTCGGTTGGTGTTGAAGCGCTGTTGACGGTTTTGACGTATGCCGCCCCAAGCGGACACAATTTGAAAAGGTAGGTCGCGGGGTCCGGCTCGAAGAGGAAGCCCAAGTCGCGGACGCTGGTAACAGGAATTCCGGGGAGAAAGTCCGTTTCCTCCTCGGTCAACTGCACATGCGCAACCGACCAGCAACGAGAAACGGTAAATTGGGCGGGTTCCGGGAGCAACAATGCTCCATATGCACCTAGGGCGCAGACAGTCTTCGCTGAAGAATGTTTGACACCGCCCGCGGTCTACAGACCGAAAACATCGGCGCCGGTGATGACGATTGGCGACGACACATCCATTGCTTAGGTTGGCCTTGAAATGGACATGTGAAATTTGCATGGAGAAGTTTGGAATCGCGTTTGTATTCTGGAATTTCTCATCTGCCTAAAGTTGTCTACCTACACGCGCTCAGCCAGAAAGTAAGGAACTTATTGGGGGCTAGTCGTAGGTGTTGGCCTTGGATCAGCGGTGGTGGTTTTGCTACGATATAGACTAGCTTAAGCGACCAGTTGTTAATGACGCCGAAATGGTTGCTCATTGGATTTTCAATTGGCCTTTGGACCTTCAAGTTTTTGTCCCACGGAATAACTACTAATAGCACCGGCAAAGTTGCAAGGCTGATAAATGATAACATAGTAGACTTGGATTTGTGGGATGTTACGTATGTGGAATAGATGATCACTGGGCCCGTTTATCTTGTAAATCCGACCCAAGCTTCCTATGAGCCAGACATGCACACAGCCTTTAGCGATTATCTGCTGCTCACTCCAATAAGCTCGCTTTCCGAGTTAGTGCCGAATACTTGATAATCAATGAGCTTAATTTTGATACTGAAGACCAGAACTTCTCTGAAACGTTAACAAAATGTTATAGTCAATGCCCTAGTCTTCCATATGCGTTCAGTTGTATCTGCCTTTCAAGCCTCTAGACAACATACTGTCGGGATCGGGCCTTCGAAACCGATGTGGGTTCCAGCCAACGTGGGCGTGGGGAGGCGCTTAAGCTAACCTCGTCTAACGCTCTCCCGCATCCTCGACCCCAACTGCCACACATTCTTATCGGAGAGCTCCTAAGGGACCCCTGTACAAGCTCACTGCCTATTCCGGATAGCTGAATTAAGATGTGTGAAGCTGATGTCGGTTGACTGGCCCGAGATGCAACGGGTGGTGATCCGATGCATCGTCAGACAGAATAGAAGAATCATTGTAGAACGGCAGCAAGATGGCTTGTTCGATAGGTTCTATAGAAGTAAGTTAACGCGATGTCGGAAGTATTTTCTTTCGCCCAGAGGCGGACTCTTTTCAGGCTGAGAAAAACACATGGCGGCGGCCTGCAGACTTTTCTTCATTATTATCCATCTCAACCAGCAGCTGCATGTTCATATGCCACTTTCAAGGCGGCATCGAAAAAGATCGCAGACAAGCTGTCTCCAGCACCCAAAAAACGCATACTCGAAACTTTGCCACTTGCTGTCCTCTTACGGTCCATCGTGGTGTTGACATTCGCATCCCTACCATCCACGATACTCTCAAGGCTGATCACAACAACTAAGAAGCATAGTGGCCGCATTACATCCTCACTCTTGTCTAGACGAATACTCGAAAGAACCTTCTACGATGCCTTTTGCATCGGCTCCACAAAGACCGAAGTCGAAACTAATGTGGACGGGTTACGTTGTATGGGCATCGACGGTGTCGTGCTGGCATTCGCTCGCGAGGCGACAGCAAGCCAGGCAGTGACCAATGCCCAACTCACAAAGGATGAACCTCAGTTAAGAGACTGGGTTTCCTGCAATTTGGAGACCGTCGATAAGCTTCAGGGTGGTGACTATCTGGCTATACGTTGTACCGGGGCCGGGAAGGCCACTTTGAGGGTCTTGGAAGACTTCTCGAGAACAGCGCAAACCGTTTCTCTTGCTAACGCGGTTGAGCTGTTCGGGCCGCAGCTCAGTGTCTTTCGAGATGCGATGCACGAGATTTGTAGCGCAGCACATGCGAAGAAGATTCGGATCCTAATTGATGCGGAAGATGTGAAGCATCAGAACGCTATTGACTATGTGGCCCTGGTATGTTTCTGAAGGGTTTTGAGCCCCAGTACCTTGCTAACAGTTTTCCATAGAATATCATGTCAAAGCTTAATTGCGACGGCCGAACTTGCGTTTTTAATACATACCAAATGTTTGCAAACCCTACACCTCAAGCTCCAAAATAATTACAAAGCTAACAGGCATTCGTCTACCTCCAGGTACCTCAAATCAGGTCTTACAAAACTACGAACACATCTCAACTACTCCTCCGATAAGAACTTCAACTTGGGGATAAAACTAGTCCGCGGAGCTTACCTTCACACGGAGCCCGAAAGAGCCTTGCTTCAAGATTCAAAAAAGGCAACAGACGTAGCGTATGACACCGCCGTCAAATTCCTTATCAGCCCATCGGCCAGTGGCAAGCCTTGGTCGGCGGATGTCATGCTTGCCACACACAATTCCGAAAGTGCTTGGAAGGCCATGTCTCTGTATACCGATCTGGTTAAATCTAAAACAACAACCCGCGGAGGGGTTAAAAGCCTTGCGTTTGCGCAGCTCATGGGAATGGCTGACGAGGTATCTTTGAAGCTGGTATCGGAGATCAAGAGATTGGGCCTCCAAACCGCCGGCGCCGGGGGTGGTAAGGCAAACCCGTTCCCGGCGGTTGGCGTGTATAAATATTCTGTCTGGGGCTCACTTGAAGAGTGTCTCCTTTACATGCTTCGGCGTGCTGAGGAGAATAAGGATGCAGTGGCTAGGAGTAGGCAGACGGCCAGGGCGATGATACTAGAGCTGTTCATGAGGGCGTTACCGGTAAGACGGCAGACACCAAGAAAAAGCCTTGGCTCATAGTCATGCTGGTCTAGTCAATGAAGATACGGTACTACTCCCATAAATCGCTCCATTTCAGCCGGCCGATGTACTAGTATTGATATATAAGCTTCTAATTCAAGTTCCAGAATAGCCTCTTTGGGCATGCGGCAACGCCATGGCTGGGATGGTACAGCTCTCTGTCGTCATTGGTATCGGATAGCCATCCGAGTATTTGGCGCGGGAGGGCCCGACGCCTGCCAGGGTGCACAACCCCTCCAAACTTTCGCCAGATACATGAGAACAAGAAAGATCATCCACTGCATTGTAGCAAGGCTCCTATCAGTCTTTTATGCCATGTGAATTCGATGCCGGAACACCATATTCCAATGCAACGACCAAGACTCCAAATAAACCACCAACAACAAGACTAAAATGTTCGACCTGGTCAAATCGCTTCGAGCGGACCTCGTGTCTGCCGCGGTAGCTTCAGCTTTGGTGTCGCCCCTTGTATCTGTGATTGACAGGTGAGTCAACCGGCTTTCCTAGTCCCATGTTCCCACATTGCAGTCACTCAGTCATCGGCCTCAGTCTAACTTTTGTTAGTGCCATCATAATGAGGACAGCGACAGGCGAGCCACTGGCCGCTTGCGTGCGTTCTGCACTCAATAGAGCTGGAAGGACGCCGATAGCCTTCCTTCGATCTAAACCTCTTCTCCTTATGTTTATGGTCTATTTCGGCACTTACGTAACGGCCAACATCAGCGACACCGTTCACGCCGCCGCCAACGCCCTTCCACCGGAAACAATATCAGGTACCTCGGCCAAATTCCTCTTTACAACTATTGTAAGTACAGGACTCTGCATATACAAAGATGGCCGCTTCGCAAAGATTTTCGGCGCTGCAACGGCAAAGACCCCGGTTCCCCCAAAAAGCTATGGCCTCTTCGTCCTCAGAGACGGAATCACCGTATGGGCATGCTTTATCCTACCGAGTCTCCTAGCACCGTGGCTGGCCAACTTGCCTTTTTCCAACTCGCGGTATCTTTCGGCAATTATAGGTTCTGAAGAAGCCAGTCTTAACACGTCTCAACTGGTGTTACCGGCGGTTGTGCAGTTTGTGAGCACGCCAATTCATCTTCTTGGTCTTAGCTATTACAACCATCAGGATCAGCTCCCATTTCTGGACCGTCTTCGACATGTTCGTCAGAACCTCTTCGTATCAATACCACTGAGGATCTTAAGAATCGTGCCGGCCTATGGGATCGGAAATGTTGTCAATGCCAGCATCAGGAGGAGCATTTTACACACTACTGATCACAAAAATAGCGATGGTCTATAAATTCAATATTAAAAGAAAAGAATTTGTACACCCTTAATTGAGAGCCGGGAGTTAAGATACCCGGAGTAGCTAAACACCGACGTGAAATTTCATTACGCTATATACCAGCTTCGATCACCTTATACACCTACGAATATTTCTCTCCCTTCCGTGGTGGCAATGCCCCATCTTGATCGTGCAGGACAAGCTTCAAAGCGTTATCCTCGCCAACCCTGACCTTGATAACCTTCTTCCACAAGTTATTCTTAGAACCGACACCAGCTCCAACGTGCTTCAAGTCCGCGTCTGGTGGGGGTTCTGATCGTAGCGCTAGGAGCACTAGATCTTGTAGGTCAGACCACGCTGTCACGCTCCTTAGATCGATACTCCTGCCACCCAAAGCACAGCCAATCCAATCCAGTACCTGTGACGTGAGTACAACCGCTCCGTAAATGCCGACGATGCCAAGATAAATGTACATCATGACAAGGGCAAACTCCAGCGTCTTGGACCACTGTCCTGAGCCGTAACCGTGCCGCTCGGCGTCAAAGTCGATTTGTACATACTCTCGGAAACCCTGCCTCCATTGCTCCATTGTATTTTTGTACGGTGTCTCTTTGAAGTTATCGTTCCAGATCTCCTTCGAAGGGTACGTCTTGTTGTCCACGCTAACGTAGCTGTGAGCGCCTGACCAGAGGCCGTTTTGAACGGCAAGGTCGATCCATGTGATGTTATCCTTTTCCTCCTTGAGAATGAGAAAGGTCTGACGACCGGAAGAGGTGCGAGACAGTCCGTCCGTGAGAAAGACGCCATACGCCTTGGCCAAAAATGTTTCAGTGTCCTCCTTATTCACCTGCGGGTTCTTGTTGTCGGCAATAGTATCGAAGTATCGGACAAAGTTACCGTCTTCACGCTCATGGCGGTATAAGAATCGATTGAGAATCATATCCATAGGCGATGTCCAAAACAGTCTGTTGTCGTATGTTTTGGAATCTGTGAGGAAGATGTGTCGCGTGATGTTGAACTTGGGATCAATACCAATAAGCCAATCATCACCGACTGTGATAACGCTCCCACGGTGAGATTCGTCGTCTTCGAACAATTTGTTCATAGTGTCTGGAGAGCTGACGTTGGACTCGATGATATTGCTCACTGATGGATCGACAGAGATCTTCGAAGGCACCCAACGCGCTAGGAAGTTACAGGCATACACCCACGTCCTTTGTTCCATGTCCTGGGATGCGTACGGCATCGTTCCAGCTATCTGGATGACCGTCTTGACACCCGGCACAGCGTTGTGATGCAAGGTGTAAGTTGGTATAGTATCGTTCTTGGCCGTATTCCAATAATCTCGACGGACGTGAGGTACGTTTTGCTGGAGTGAGAGACAATCTGCGTCTCCGTGGCAATTAAGGGCGGTCGTCGGGAAAATGGCCTCCGCTCCAGTTTTTAGCAGTTCATCTTTGTCGTAGATGGCGCATTTGCCTTGAACAAATGGTTGCTTCATTTCCGTCTTCGTTGTAAGCTTATAGCGCTGCGTTTGCGAAAGCAACCCAATATCATCTGACTTTTGGATGTGGTTTGTGAAGAGACCAATACTGCTCATGGCGAAGCTTGATGGTGTCGTGAACAATGAGACTGAGTTTTTCTCGGAGAGCTCCAAACGACGGCCAATTTCCGACGAGAACGTAATGTTCTTATCCAGGTCTGTATAACGGAAACCCGACAACCAGTTCCAAATATCTGAGAAACCGCCAGCAGCGCAATACGGCTGGAAGATACTCTCGGTTGTCTTGCAGTCAGGGTTCTGTGTAAGGTCGAGAAAAGTATTGTCCAGCTTTTGTGGCCATGCTCGTTCAGCTTTCAAGGAGTAGGCTAGAGGCATCTTGACAGCGTCGAAAACCCCTGGCAAATCATACCAGCCAAGACTAGGGACGAACAGAATTGCAGAAGCAGGACCAATGATTGTCGACATGATTGTACCAAAAACGACGAAGGCGACGAGGATAACTTCTGACGTTCCCACTCGCCCGAGGCCCCAAAAGGCACTGCTCGTAAGGTAGGCTAGATCACCGAGGCGATAGCCGCCGGTGAGAAATCCAAGCCGAACTCCTGACCCGACGAGCCTTCTTCGAAACATGGACAACGCAATGGCGGCAAGCGAGGCCACAACCATCAACTCGTGCAGCTTCGAGACGAATTGGAGGAAGTTGGAGATGACGGTATGCTTATTCCCAAAATAGCCGATGACAGGCACATCGGGCCCGCTTTCGGGATACCAGAAGATTTGAGAATGGCTCATCCACACGATGATGCAGGTAACGCTGATTGCCGGCGCGTGGGGGAGCCATGCGGTTAAGATTCGAGGAGCGGTCCTTTGTATTACTCGTTTCGGGGCATCTTGAGTCTGGTCACCGACATTTATGTGCCACGGCTTCTGAGATTTCTGGCTAAAGTCTTTGTCGCCTGGGGCATCATAGTAGGAGTCCTTGGACAGAAGGGGTTTGTCGGTGGTGGCGACCGAAATTGCATCTGGGGACATCAATGATGGCGTGTTCGGCGAACGGTAGCCCATTTCTATATGGGAGTCCATGATGACTGATTTTCTGCGGAAATTGAGGCCGGCGGCTCACGATAGCCTCCCGAAAGAATGTATCGACTGCTCAACGCAAGGTCCATGATAGGAGTTTCTCGACATTGTAGGAGCACTAGGGATTTTGTAACTTGTCTTGATGCCAAGCCATCAATGCAGCCTTATCTGTTCCTGCTGCCATTCTGAAGAGAAGAAGAGTGATGGGGGCCAGGCAGACGCCAAAAGTAACATCAGGCTGCATATATTGAGCAGGGGTTTGGAGTGTAGCCTGCTGTTCTCTGTCAAGAACATATCCTCCTTCCTTCGCGGCGTAAGCAGTGACCCGCTCTTGAGTCCGAGGTGTCATCGAGGCTGAAGCGAATTTGGCAGGGCAGACCTTTTGGAGGCAGAACTCGCGTGCTTCAGCACCAATTACTTTGCAGCATTCCGAACCTCTTTCTTACGAAGCTCCTTTTGTGGACTGTAAAGGATTCAACCCCTGTCAGCTGGTAGAGAACGCAAACTCTAGTACAACGTACTTGTATTGAAGTCATCAGGCATCCTTTTAAAAACCATTCAGCTTTAGCTAGTCGAACTTGATTTTTTCTTTTAATAAAAAAAGTGTGGCTGGGGCTTTTGTGATTTACATGATGGCCTCATGACGATTCAATTTGTCCACCTGCGCGCATGGTCTTAAAGCGCTAACACTTTGAGGCTTTTCAAGAACGAAGTAGATCAATATTCTATGAAATTGTCGGTCTTGGAGCGAATTGATGGTTTTTGAACGCATCTTGCCCGACCCGAGTACGGAGGCACACCGGAGGTGAGAGGCCCGCTTCGGCTGGGACGTCTCCGCAAGCGGTTGGCGAATCAATCAAACAGCAAGCACGGAAGGCAGCCTTCAGTGATACAATAAATTCTGAACCAGTTGAAGTCAAAGTATATAAAGGGCTTGGATCTTTAAATTAAGCGCTTGAATTCTGTGACTGATACTTGTTGACAATTGACCAAAGCTTTCCAGACAAATGTCTCATTTGAACCGTCACAAGACCTCCCTGGTCAGATGCAGACAAAGCGGAAGAACTTTTGATTCCCTTGCCCTACGAGTTTTTCCCTCAACAACCCCGCCCCTCTAACCGCTTCAAAATTTTGCGGCCAAGTGTTGTCCTGGGATAATGATCCCACAAGATGAAACTGCAGACGCAATGCGGTCCGTTAGGTAAAAGTCTAGAATGCTGACACATGGGCACTGAACCTGTCGGTTCCTGTTGAACGTTTTTAAAAAACACTTTCCGTAACTATCACCCCAATTTTACGGGCCAAGTTATAAAAGTCTAGTCTAAGCCGTTTTAGTGTCAACCACATAGAGAAACCCCACGACTCTCACACCGCATTTTGACAGTCATCGCCATGCATGCGAACCCTCTTGTAGCCCTGACGTGTTAAGCAATTTCAATGTAGTATGGCTGATTTTTTATTTTATTTTATTTTAATTCATTCTTGTGCTTAGTGCGTTGAGCCAATCAAAAAGGCCAACCCCCGACATCCCGAATCCGTCACAAGAGGGCTGAGTCCCAGATGTTGGTTTCTTGTCTATATTTTGCATTTTGTTTGCCCTTCTCAATACATGGGAGAAATCCCAGCGGGGGTTTTTGTTGACCATTGGTCCAAATACCACATATCTTGCCATTCAGAATACTCAATTCAAGTAGCGGACATGCGGATATTTGTTGTGATCCAGTCATCGTTCAAATCCGTACGTGAACTGCAGAATTGTCGAGATCGCATGAATATCTATAAGTCTTGAGAGTCGCTGGAATTAAATTTCACAGAGACACCAGTCTGTTGTTGTCAATATTGCTCTTGTTTCTGTTGGAGTTCAGATGCCATCATATCTCAACCCGCGGCCCCCATAACTGGACATTACTGTGAAGCCCGGTAGAAAAGTCGTGCTGCCTTTCGTTGGATTGTAGACTTCAGTATCGTCGGCAGACAAAGGCGATGCCTATAACAAGTAGAAGCCCATAAATTGGAAACCCCCAGACGCCACAAAGGAGTTGCAAAAATACGACACAGTCAGCAGTATAGTGAACTCCAGGACTTCAGTCCAAGAGGATACATGCAACTCAGGGAATGCCCGTGGTGGCAGTGCTAGGGTCAGGTATAACACTGGGCATGAGGTCGAAGAGCATCCTGGAAGATCAATTCTATCGATCGTCCTATATTAGAAGCATTTTTAACATATTTTGGGGGTGCTGCAGCTTTCAGATGTGTAAGACTACCGAAAAGGCTATTGGCAGGATGGAACATTCATCTCAGCTCAACCGGGCCATGGCGGCGGGCCTTTTCCGGCATCACGGCCCCACTTCGGTCCTGTTCCTGTTCATTCATTGTGAACGCATTATCAACAGTCTTCTCTCATGCTCATCAGAGTACAGTTAATCAGCTGAAGTTAGCTTGTTCAAACTCTTGATTTATTAAACTTACCCTGCAGTTCCGAGTCATAACAATGCGCATGCAGTCTTTGACCGCCGTTCGGAGTTTAATCCTGCTAGGAAGTCCCCGCATCTTAACTATTTAGAATTCACTGTACGACAGATATGACGATTCATGATCTGTAATTACAACTATAATCCTCCGAGACCGTCCTTCCGGATGCCGTTGGTTGTGAGTCGGCTTCAGAGCTTCTCCTCGGTTTGGTCGATCGGCCCGTTAACCCCGCACTCCGGTGGTGCAGGCCGAGGCAAGGAGACGAGGCGTTGGGGAAGCACCGTCGCCCAAACCTATTCAATTACCCCAAAACCCAACCTCCCCTCAAACAATCAATTGACCTTCGATTCCTCATTTCTCACTCAGAAATTTGATATCAGCTCTGACAGGTGAACCCTTCAGCTGTTTCTTACATCCCTCGCGTAATTACCAAATCTGAACATCAAGAACAGATCTACGTCATGGCATCTGACGAAATACCTCGGAAGCTGTGGGAGCATCCCAACCCCAACGATACAGAAATGTATCGGTTCTTGGAATCCGTGAATTCCACCTTCAGCCTACAGCTAAAGGTAATCTTTGTTGGCTTCCGAGGTATGAAACTCAACACTCACATAATCTCAGACTTTTGATGACCTGCACAACTGGTCGATCTCCAATCGTTCCAAGTTCTATGGCCACCTATTTAATTATGCCAATCTCATCTATGAAGGTCAAGCGACATCAGTGGTGGATGAGTCTCTACCTATAGATGCCATCCCCAAGTGGTTTCCTGACGTAAGACTCAATTGGGCGGAGAACATTCTCTTCTCTCGCAAGTCTTCTGACGCCATCGACTATCATGGAACGACGGGCAAGGAAGATGCGAAGTATGCCGTGACTGAGATCCGGGAAGGGAATACAGGCGAAGTAAGAAACCTCACCTGGGGCGACTTTAGAAGGGATACAGGGCGTTTAGCTGCCGCGATGAAGGCACGCGGGGTGAAGGAGGGCGACCGCATCGTCCTTGTGGGTGCCAACTCTATCGAGACATGACTTATTTTCACAGCTGCTACATGGCTAGGGGCCATCTTTAGTAGCTCATCGACCGATATGGGTGTGAAGGGAATCCTACAGCGGACCACTCAGGTCGACCCCAAAGTAGGCGCTTTAACTGACATTCTGTTGTATTTACATACTCACTCATCCTCGTCCAGTTTCTGTTCTTCGACGACGCCACTGTATACAATGGCAAAACCGTTGACCTTCGAGATAAGATGGCTGAGATTGTCTCTGGCATGAAATCTTGCCCCTCCTTCTCCGGCTTGATTTCAATCCCGAGATTCGCAAAACCTCACGACATTTCATCCGTACCCAAAACCGAGCTTTGGGCCGATTTTCTCAAGTCCGCGGGCTCTTCGCCTCCGCCAGCATTTGTACGGATTCCATTCTACGCGCCATTCCTGATCTACTACTCCTCCGGGACGACTGGTATCCCGAAGGCGATTGTCCATACTGTGGGCGGCGTCATGCTTAACGCCGTCAAAGAAGGCCGCCTTCATGAATCTATGTCCGCCGAATCCGTTACTTTGCAGTACACTACTACCGGATGGATCATGTACCTAGCAAACGTAGCAGCTCTACTGAGTGGCGCTCGTGTTGTTATGTATGACGGTTCGCCCTTCGTTCCGGATCTCACCTCCTTCATCCGTATCCTCGGAGAGCAGCGTGTAACGAAACTTGGCATCAGCCCGAGATGGATGTTTGAGGTGGCCAAGAATAACATCAGCCCTCGAAAGGTGACAGACCTGAGCTCACTGAAAATTGTAACAAGCACCGGTATGGTTCTCTCCAACCAGCTGTTTGAGTGGTTCTACGACGCCGGTTTCCCAAGCCATGTCCACCTGGCGAACCTCTCAGGTGGCACGGATATTGTAAGACGACCCTCTCCCTAACGATTTTTATGCGATACTAACATAATCTTAGGCGGGTTGTTTCGGTATGGAAAACCCTCTTACACCTGTCTACGTGGGCGGCACTCAAGGTCCATCCCTCGGAGTCCCCATCGAAATCTTTGACGCTCAGCTCCCCAACGGGCCTGGAAAAGCTGTACCACGCGGCGAACCAGGCGAACTAGTCGCCACGGCCGCATTCCCAAACATCCCATGCTTCCTCTGGGGTGATGCTACTTCTCCCTCTTCATCCGCTTCCAGCTTTGCTTCCGCTCCTCCGGGTACAAAGTACCACTCCGCCTATTTCGCTCGCTTCGATCATGTTTGGGCCCACGGCGACTTTTGCCAAGTCCACCCCAAAACGGGCAATATCGCATTTCTAGGCCGTGCAGATGGCGTACTCAACCCGAGCGGTATCCGTTTCGGAAGCGCCGAGATCTACGCTGTCATTGAGCGGAATTTCTCTGGCAAGGTGGTGGACAGTTTGTGTGTTGGGCAGAGGAGGCCTGGTGACAACGATGAGAGCGTCATGCTGTTTTTGCTGTTGCGACAGGGTGAGAAATTTGATAAGAAGCTGGTGGGAGAGGTAAAGGATGCTATTCGGAAGGAGTTGACCAAGAGGCATGTGCCCAAGTACATCTTCGAGACGCCTGAAATACCGGTAAGTGTCACGTTGCTCCAGACACCAATGAGACCAAGCTGCTAATATTTGTTACAGACTACTGTGAACCTGAAGAAAGTGGAATTGCCGGTCAAACAGATCGTGTCCGGCCAACATATCAAGCCAAGCGGCACGCTTCTGAACCCTCAGAGCCTAGACTTTTATTACCAATTCGCCAAAGTAGAGGAAGTGCTCTCCGGAAAAGAGAAATTGTAACATTACATTATACATGGAGATTAGACGTACGCTTCTCTAGAGCCGAGGGTCTACAATGTAGACTCCATAAACATGAAATTACCATATTTTTAACCCATCTCTGCCTTCCCCAGACATATCTCACCCTCAACCCCTCTCGTGCACATTCATATTTTCCCCAAGGCAGTTTCCTCGACGGCAGCGTATTCCGGAAACTTCCCGGAGTGCACTCCGTACCTCCAAACCATGTACCCAACAGTGCCTACCACGCTCCCCAGTCCCGCTGCACCAGCGACGACCCTCCATCCGCCAACAGCAGCCCCTTTCGCTGCCGCCCGTTGCCACACTCCGAACGCAACAAGACCCGCCGCAGCGCCGCCGTATGTCCAGTCGTCCGTCTCCAACTGACCACGGTTCTCCATTAATCGCCACGAGCGGTCGCGCCACTCAATATCCTCCCGCCCTCTCATCCTTCCCGCAAGCGCAAGGCCCATAAGGCCTACACCGACGGCGCTGGCTGTGCCTGTTGTGCGGAGGAGGCGGGTAAGAACTGTGGTTCTCAGTGCGGAGGCTGTTGCCGGTGATGCTGTGACAGGCACGGTTTTTGCGGAGCCGCGGAGGCGGTGGTAGAGGCCCCCGACGGAGGCGACGCCGAGACCCACTACGGCGCCGGTAGTGTAGCCGCGGGTAAGAACATGGACACCCAGAATTGTGCGAGAGAGGGGTTGGTCTTCTGCGTATTCTGTGTGTGGAAAGTAGCGGGACATGTCTGCGAATTTGATATCTTTGGATGAGGGGTAGAAGGTTTATTTTTGTGTGTTGGGAGCGAAAATGATCGAATTTGTACAGATCCGTTGGGCTCTTTTGGGAGAAAATGGACCTTGTATTTATGAAGTAGGCTTCGCGCTTGATGTTCACGTCCGGATAGTTAACTCCGAGAACTTCTTAAGGAACCAGCGGGCTGCCAACGTTTATCGTGCTTATCATACCACTTCTCCAGGAATCTATTTGGGGGCCACGGGATGTGGCCGGCGTTCAAGACAGCAGTTGTCCCGAATATGTCAGCATGGGCCGACCAGTCTCGGTTACAAAGCACATAAGATCGACGCTAGCGCCCCAAATGCGAACATTGGGCGCTCCTTTAACGAATTGGATCGATGGGGTTAATTGGTTTAGCGAGAAAGAATGCGAGGGATGCCGGATAGCAACACAGCCAATTAATAGTCTCCGCGTTTTCCCCCACGATCGCAATCTTGATCATGTAAGTTTAGTTGTCATTAACCGGTAACTATATGGACACGGACACATACAACCCTTCTGAGCCAGTATGCGGCCTCGGGCGCTCTAAACCTGCCATAGACGCCATGCGTTTCTTTTTCTTTTTGCCATCTAAGCAGTAATATGGTGGCTTGGGGGGTGTTTAATCGTCATCAGTCATCTCCATCATGCTCTCACCCTTTTCGTCTTCGTCCTCCATCAGCATTGCCCTTGCTCTGCTGACTTTTGCTTTTCCTTTCGCATCTCGTCGACTACTCGATTTTTGTGCTATGCGCTGTTTGGCAGCTGCTTTCCCCACATCTAGCTCACTTTCGAAGGCATCTAGGTCATCCCCATCCGCTACGTCGATGACAGACGTTTCTTCCAAGGCCTTGTTAAGTAATTCCGTAGCGATACCATCCTGCGGGTTAATGGCTAGCGCTTCATGCAGTGGGATTATGGCCTTTTCCGGACGGCCTTCTTCGAGATATATGAGACCCTTCGCGCAGAAAATCGCAGGGTCTTTGCCTCCCTGGCGTAAGACCTCGTCGAACTCTACATGTGCTTCCTTCCACAACCTCAGGCGACGGTACGCATGGGCTAGGTTCGTCCTCGGTGACAACCAGGCCTGAGGGTCTGAGTCGATTTCGGCGGCGATCTTTAGCGCCGCTCTAAAGAACTGGACAGCCTCTTGCGGCTTGTCCTGGTGATATTTAACAATTCCCATTTCATTGAGAAGGAGCGGATCTGTCTTGCATAATCCATACGCAGTCTTCAGGAACTCTTCCGCAAGTGTCATGTTGTTGAGAGCGTGGTTCTGCATGCCAAGGAAGACTTGCGGGAGGTGGGTACCCATGAACAGTCTTGCTGCTGTTGAGTAGGCCGAGATAGCCTGGTCGTGCTCTCCCTCAGCGGCGAATGTGTGTGCGAACCCGATCCATGCAGGCCCAAAGTGTGCATCCATCATGCTAGCTTTGCTAAAGTATCGCCGAGCCTCCGCGATCTTGTCAATGGCAAAGTAGTATATACCCACAGCCAACCACGAGCATGGTTCTTCCGGATGAGTATCCGCGAGATCGTGGGAAATTAGGAATAGCGCATTCTTCATCTTGAGTTGGTATAAGCAGGCGAGATGTAGGGGGTGAACGCTGAAATTGTATTTGTCGTTTTGAAGAACGGAGTCCGTGATGGTGAGAGCATCGCGATATCGACACTGTGTATAGAGAAGATCCGCCTTGGCGAGAAGAAGATCGGAATTGTCAGATAGGTGGTAGTGCGTCGATAGGGTATCGCATGCGGCGGTAAACGCTGATGGTTCTCGATATTTGGATAGACGCGTCGTGTACAGCATCTTGGTGAACTCTGCCGCCTCTTGGGAGGAAGATACATCGCCAGAAACGTTGATTGAGTCGAAGTCGAGTGATTCGAGGAACTGCCACTCCTCGTCAGGAGAGAGAAGGGCGTTGGTCATAAGCTGTTGGAACGCCTCAAAACACTGCACATCGATGCGTACAGCATCCTTGTAGCACTCCTTCGCTCGGTCAAAGGCGTTCTGCTTAGCGTAGCAGATGCCTCGGAGGTAGCACATTGCGGCCTCATATTTCCTGTTTGTGGACTCCTCTTCCGCGGCCTCATCGCGAGCCTGTCTATCTCTGGAGCTGCCCTTAGCATAAGCACCTATAGCCCTACCCAAAGGAGCAGTGTTTTGCGCCTTCCGTTTGTTGCTCGCATTGGAGATTAAATGGGTCGTGTTTCGGTCGCCAAGTATAGCCAATGCCTCGTCAAACCTCGACTGCTTGATAAGACAGTGTGCGGCCAGATATCGGCAGGAAACATTGCGGGCGACGAGATCTTGCTTGGCGAGGAATGTCTGAGCACGAGTATAGTTGCCGGTTGCGAAGTGCACCTGAGCTAGCCAAAAGGCATCTTTATCGTCATCTGATGGGTGAAAGAAAAAAAATTAAAAATTCAGTAAAGTTGCGTGGAAAGGAGTAAAGCTGAATCGGCGGAGCAACTCACTGGTCAGGGCCAAAAGTTTGTCGCCAATGAAGATGGCAGAATCATACTGGGCCTTGTTTAGGGCGTCCTGCCTCCATTCCCGAAGGAACTTTTCCATGGTCGCAAGGCAACGCGAGTCGAGCTGGGGGACCTGGAACGGCACGCGGGATAGCTAACTCGGGGGCATGACCGAAAGACGGTAATGGGAGAGGGGCGGTGGGCTCGATGAGGCTCGAGGAGGGACTTCTGGGATGTCGATCAAGGTGTCGCAGAGGGCGATGTGGTGAGGTAAGCGCGGCCAGGCGCGTCGAAGGCTAACGGCGTGACGGGAATATGGACTTTCTTTTCTTTGGATGACGCCCTGGGAATTGGAGGGGACGTGGATGCACTGTGTGCTAGGTGCTGGACAGGGGTGTGGATCCAGTAAATGGCGGGGTAGGCCAACCACACGGCGCTTCTACCAGGCACACCACGTGGTTTAGGTGGTGAAGTACCTACAGTTGGGCGCTGGCGTTTCGTTTTACAGCATTTCTATTATCATTTCCAAGTTGAATTTATGATATGTCGCCTTCGAATCGTTTAGTCTATTGGCCGCATTAAATATCCGGCACATGTTAAATCAGATGCAGTGACAGCGTGGGGGCTTTGGCGGACTAAGGCTACAGTGATTTCTATTCTAGGGCTGCTGGCGCGTGCTCAGACTCTGAAAAACATACCAGGTGATGGATGTGCGAGAAGCCTGCTGGGCCCCAACCTCGAAGAAGCTCGAAGTTTAGCCCCAATGACCACCAGTCAGCCTCCAAAGTGTCTTGTACTGTCTTCAATGTTGGCCGCAACCTTTAATACAGCCAGTATGTCATGACTCTGTTCGGCCATGCAATGTAGCACGACATTTGTTTCAGGCCATGCATCTCTCAGGACATGCCCAATCCGACCGTTGAGGGTGGTGAGAGGTTCTGGCTTCTGACAGACAAGAGAAGGCTTCTTGAGGTGGAGGGGAAGGGGGATGTCATCTTAAGTACTGTTGCAGGTGCATCCGACGCCTTGGCCGCATAATGGCGAGCCGAATGGCAAGGTATGACGGATTCTCCGGAAGACGGTGGGTGAAGAAAAAGAGTTGACTGCGCATAATGGCAAGTCATGGATTCGCAACCTCTAAGTAATGCCAATAACAGAACTGTGCCCCCTCCCTAGCTAGTCTTAGGTAAAAATGTGCGTATTGCAAGACACCGCCAAAAAAACAATCAGGCCTTGGAAATGGGAATGGTCGGGCAGTCTTCCCTGTGGACTGTCTGCTCTACGTAGTAGTACCTTTCCTTCCATAGCTGGCCGTCGCGCCCAATGCAGTGGTTGGTGGGCGGCATGGGCGTCTCCAGCCCCGGGCCCAGGGACGGGACTCGCTGTGACCTCACTGTGGTGCGCCGTTCCAGCTTGCCCGTCTCTGCGATCTGCCATTCTCATTGGCTGTAACAGTGGAAGTGGAACGATCAGGGGTAAGGCTAACCCGGGCTAAGCGAGGCGCTATCGCTCTATCCGCCATCGATAACAAGGTGACGACTAAGGTCAAGGAGGATGGGGCTTCAGTATCCGTACTCCGTATTATTTTTTTTTTCTTCTTCAAGCTGTTCATTGTTCTCCATCAGTTGATAATTCGCCCTCCTCTTCGCCTCACAAACATCACTCCAAATCTACCGACTTCACATAAAACACCACGTCTGTAATACCCGCATCCTGCATCCCACGAGATACCAATAACCGATCCAAACTACCTTCGACTACACCCCCGGCCTCCTTCCTACCGAAGCACACTCGTTTCCTCTCCCACCTTCAGTGCTATCCTCCCGCGAAACTGCCCCTGCACGCCCTCTTCACTACTGCCCGCCCGCCGCCGCCGCCGCCATCCCGACCTCATCGTATCCCATCTCCATCCGTCTGTCCCAGCCGCCACAACTGCGACCAGAACCGTAAACCGAGGTGCCGCTGCCCTTGAAGCTTTGAGGGATTGTATCGAATAGGAGTGTTTTCATCCGGAAAAGCCTTCGAAAGCAGTCCCCATGGATAACAACCTATGGACCCGCCGCACAAAGTAAGTTGCTGTGTTGTTGCCTCTTTTTTTCCCCTTCACGATCGACACCCTCGTCTGCACGTCCCATCCTCCCCCCCACGGTCGCTTCGTTCAGCAATCTGCATATATTGACAGTGCGACTCTCGTGCAGCTCAGGCAAGCTTTCTCTTTCGACACCTGGCAATGGCAGTCCCGCACCGGGCGGTGATGCCAGCCGTAACGGCTCCTTCGCCAAACGATTCGGCGGCGATTCGTCCTCACATGGCGGCAAATCAAATCCCTTCAACAACGTAACGACTCCAGGCGGCGGCATGGCCTCCCCCACGGCCGGTGCTTCCAACGCCTTCGCCCTGGGATCTGGCGCCTTTGCCTCCTTCGGATCGGCCAAGACACCTAAATCCCCTGGCAATCCCTTTGACCTTGCTATGGGCAAGGTCGGTGCCAAACCTATCGGTGCCGTTTCGTCACACGACCCGTTGGCGAAGGCGCCGTTGATGGCCTCCATCGCCGAGAATGCTGCGGGGAAGAAGGCGGTGGGTTCCCAGCCTACCTCGACCCGGACATCATCTGAGACCCTCCGCTCTCACCCGCTCAAGTACGAGTGGGTGACGTGGTGTCGGCCGCCCCAGCCCAAGGGACAGCCGTATCAGGAGTACGCCAAGTCTCTGACGCCCATGATCCACTGTAACACCGTGGAGGAGTTTTGGGTTGGCTACCCGCATCTCAAGCGACCATCCGAGTTATCAGTGGGTTGGGAGTATCACTTTTTCAAGAGGGGCGTCCGTCCCATTTGGGAGGATGAGGAGAACAGAAGTGGTGGCAAGTGGGTGTTGCGCCTGAAGAAGGGTATTGTCGACCGGTACTGGGAGGACACCGTGTTTGCGCTCCTTGGCGAGGCCTTCCTCGACTGCAGTGACGAAATTTGTGGAGGCGTGGTGAGCGTCCGCAACGGCGAGGACATCATTAGCATCTGGACGCGCTCGACCGGCGGACGTGTACTCAGAATTCGGTGAGTTCATTCGGACAAGGCTGATGGCATCAACTAACACCTTTGAAGTGAGACGTGGAAGAGCTACCTCAAGTGCCCTCCCAACACGATTTTCGAGTTCAAGTCCCACGACGAGAGCATCCAGCACAGGGCAGCCATCGAGGAGTCACGCCGCGAGAAGCAGCATGACAAGCGATCCAACGCCCTGAAGCAGTCGAATGACGAACAGAAGCAGCCCGCCACCTCCTGAGCCACTACTACGCACCTCCCAAAAACCCCGGACACATGCCCTTCCACCCTTTTCACGGGCGTCATGCTGGGGGAAACGCCAGCACGAAGTTTTCATGCCTTTCTTGCATTTTGTCAAGCCATCTGATGTTTATTTGTACACTACCGGCCCTGTCTATTTGCTCTGGGTCATCATAACATTTGGGTTGAAAGTCCGACAAAAGATATACCTTGTTGGAATAAGAATACCGGATGGGATCAAGGGGGGGAGCAGACGAAGAGAGGAAGGAAAGTGAGGATAGGGTGGGAGAGCATGCCGGCTGCTGTTCTTTTTTCCACATAGCAGGCTAAGGGGAACGAAAGTGTCCCCCTCAAACTCCCTTTCAGATCTCGGAGACGGGATCGAAGCGATTTAGGGGGCGCAAAAAATGGGCAGCGGTCAACGTTTAGCGGTCACGTTGTTTTATGGATTGCACACAGGCGGTTATTTGGGGATTGGCTAACCCATATCATCATCTTTGGGAGGTGTATACTACTGCTATCTGAGATGCAATGCACCGGCACAGCTGGTTGCGCGGTTCAGACAGGGGCCTGAACGAGATAGTCTCAATGACTACGACCTGAGCGTCATTGTGCTGGCTTGTGACTGATGATTTGTGTGTTCAACTGACCTCATCACTGTGACGACCGTCCTAGCTGGAGTTGATGTTTGTTTGAATCCAATTTTGGCTACGCAAGCTCCGGTGTCATTGCTCGAACGATGTCAATGCGGCAAGACATACTACACGATTTTTTTTCTTCTTTTAAGAGTATATTTTATTTATTTACGCGTACTCCGTCTTCCGCGTGTTGGATTCTCATTTAATCATACATTGCTATTAAATCCTAAGCCTTCCCTTTACTCTTTGGCGTTCGCCTCCTCTCCCAAACCTGGAGATACGTCTCTCCCAGATACAGCAGTTCGCTCTGCACCTTCTCGACAAACAGGTCTTGGCACGAAACCCACTCGTCGCGGCCCTTGTCCCGTAATTGCACTTTCCACGTCTTGCGCTCCTCGCCACTGTCGGCCACGTCCTCCTTGGCGCGAACAGCCTCGTGCACGACGTTGGCGACAAGATCGTACATGATAGGCTCACCGGGTGGCCACTCAGCCGGGTTCGGCTCGACATAGGGGCTTACGTTGAGCCCGTTCGGGTCGAAGGTGACGATGGTCGGATTACGCTCCGAAACGAACTTGTTCTGGCTGAAGCGCTTCACGTGGAAGACGAGGTAGGGGGGTAGAGGGTGGAGAAGGCGATAGCGCTTGCGCTGGGCGAGGTGCTCCTGGGCTTGAATGCCGTCATATTTCGATAGAATCGTCGTCAAAGGAACCTGGGGGATAATGTTCTTCTCCAATTCATCTTGGAAGAGAGGTGCGGCGGGAAGGTCGAGAGTGAGAAACATGAAGCGCGTCGACGTTACTGATACGGCTGCGTCTTCGAAGCGGAGACGGTCGCCAGCATCGGCGCGAGCAGTAATAGCTTGTGACTCAACCTTCAGCTTACCCTGGAAAATGCGCTGAACAACAGAGCTGCCTGGCTTAGTCTTTGAGCCGCCCAGGCCGAGGTGCAGGTTGTTAAGGAACCATGACAGAAACTCAACGGGGTCCGATTGTGCCGTCAGTGTGAAGCGCTTGTTCGACAAGAGCGAAATCTCTTGTAGTAACTCGTGTGGTGAAACATGGGCCTTAAAAGCGCGAGGGTTCCAGATCTTCCGGACGAGAATGCCAAACCGCTTCGCCAACTCGGAGCGCGCCGAGAGATCTTCCAGTAAACAGAAATTACGAAGAGGAGCGACGTGTGCCAGTGCTTGGACAATGACGTTAAGGTAGTCGTTCTCCTTGAGATTGTTCATGCCAACGAAACCTGGGGCGTATTCCTTGCCTGCCAGCGTGAAGGACGCGCGCAGCGGGGGGCGGTCGATCGCGGCGACTTCTTGCTTGGTGTATCGCGGATCCGAGACGAATTTGATGTCGTCTAGAGATTTCGACTTGACCTCATAACCCTCCGGCAGCACGTAGACTTTTTGTGTCTGCATGTTAATGAAGACATGGTGGTTCTCATCCAGGGCGTGGAAATAGGCGTGAGATTTGGGGCCGCGGCCCTGGTAGTAACGGCCGCATACTAGACAGGCGTATACGTTGATGTTGGATAAGCTGATGGAACAGAGCTTTTCGAAGTCGAAATCGAGGACGTTACGGTCTATCGTGTCAAGGTATAGGTCGTCGTAACCATCTGTTGGGGCGGACTGACGGATTGGGGCCCGCGCGGGTGTCTCCCCATCAATGTCGCTCACGTCCTCCGCATCGTCTTGCTTCCTTTCCGTCTCTGTATCGCCGTTTGTAGGTGTTGCTGCCTCCTCCCTTTCCCTCGCATCTTGCCCGTTCTGATCGATCGATCCATTGGATAGCAGCGAGTCAACGGTTCTCGACCGCTTCGATGCGGGCGAGTCGACGCCTACAAGTTCGTCGAGGGATTCTTCCGCATGGCGTTTCCTGTACGCCATGCTGGTTCGCAAGCTCTTGCGGGGTATTGGACTTCGGAATGGTTGTTTCTGTAGCTAGTTTGACGATTTGAGACTGAAGGCGCTGATGGATCAACAGAACGCGGTCCTTGCCGCAAGGTTCGAAAAAGTCGCCAGCCGACAAGTGATAGGCACACGCCCCACATTTGCGACAACGCCTAGAGCTCAGGCTGCCGGGGTAGGATAGTCGCGGAAACATCCATGGTGCGCGGTGACATCAGTTTTCATTTCATTCGCAGTTGAACTCGCTGCTATCCAGTCCTAGCATAGCAATCAAACCAGCATTGGTTCAACTACGGAGCCTGATCTGATGATGGCCTATGCTCCGAGCAAGTGCACTTTTGCTACCACCGCACTTTAACAAGCGCTTACATTAACTTGTGCCCGAGTGACTCAGGCAGCGTCGCATCAATACCCAATGGCACTTTGTGATGAGGAGTGCGTCCAGTTTGGTGTGCGGCAGTCGCAGCCTCACCTATACTTAAGTAGATATTAAACCCGCTCATGTGTTCCCTCCGTCATTCTCGCACCGACATGCAGGGAGAAACTTTCTTCTACTGTTCTACTCAGCTTGAATTCGCAGCGGACGCACGATCCGAGAGTGACGACTGACGATCACGATGAGCTCTCGGCCCCGCAGTCATCTTGACTTCCATGTGGCGCTGATATGTGCGCTGCCTCTTGAACTGGACGCCGCGGTGTTAGCCCTCGACGAGATATGGGATGAACGGGAGGTTGACTTTAGAAGTGCCTCCGGTGACTACAACTCGTATACGTTAGGTCGGATGGGTCATCACAATGTCGTGCTCGTCCTACTCCCTAATAAGGGAAAGGCGAGTGCAGCAAGCGCAGCAAACAGTCTAGGGCTCAATTTTGGTGCTTTAAAGTTAGCCTTACTGTGTGGCGTTTGCGGCGGGGTGCCCAGGCCTACTTCCGATGCTGAAATTGTGCTTGGCGATATTATTATCAGTGAGAGCATCGTCCAATACGATTTTGGCCGTCAATATTCCAGCCAGTTTGTTCAGAAGAACAAGATCAACGATGTTTTCGGTAGACCCAAGAAGGAAATCCGCTCACTTCTCAGTTACCTTAAGACGGATCATGCACGCAACGACTTACACCAAGAAATTTTCACAACGATGTCACTATTTCAGCAGAAAGCTATTGATAACGGAAGGTTATCCAAATACGCATACCCCGGTGACGAAGAAGATATTCTCTTTCCAGCGAACTATCTCCACAAACATCGTCACCTGTCAGGGTGCAGCTGTAGTTTAGAGAAGGTGTGTGATGTTGCAACGAATGCATCCTGCGCTGAGTTAAATTGTGATTCGAGCGCACATAAATCACAGAGACGTGTTACTATTCAACAACAACGGAACTTGGGCAGCCGAGAAACTACACCCAATGCGGCCCTGCCACAGCCTCGTGTGTTTGTCGGCCAAGTGGGCTCGGGAGACACTGTGATGAAGTCAGGGGAACATCGCGACAGGATGGCTCAAGAACATGGAATCATTGCTTTTGAGATGGAAGGTGCAGGTGTGTGGGACGAAATTCCTTCCATCATTGTTAAGGGAGTTTGTGACTATGCCGACAGTCACAAAAACAAGAAGTGGCAGGGTTTTGCAGCCGCAGCGGCTGCATCTGCAGCGAAGGCGCTTCTTAGGCATTTCCCATCGACACCACCGACGGAACAAGCTGATAGCCAAAGGATGCCAAATTCTAGAACGACAAATGTGTCTCATCCTATGTGTAAGTAGTTCGATCACACCGCCCGGATGCTCGACTAACCATCCATAGTTCTTGTCCCTTACACTCGGAATTCGAATTTTATTGACCGCTCCCACATTCTCGAAGAGATGAAGAAACTTTTCGGCCACGCAGAAGGCTACTGTCAGAGTAGTCGTACTTTATGCTCCCGAGTAGCACTGCATGGCCTGGGTGGAGCTGGGTATGGCTACTCTCGCAGTTATCATTTTTGTTTTTTTGTAAGCTTACCTGTTCTAGGAAAACACAAATAGCTTTAGATTACTGTTATCGGTTCCAGAAGACATTTGCGGACGCTTCTGTATTCTGGGTCCACGCGAGTAGCGTTGAACGCTTTCGTGACGCTTTCAGAGACATCGCCCAAAAATGCAAAATACCTGAGTACGGCGACCTCAAAGCTAACAAAGACAGCGGCACATCCGATATTCTTCTGCTTGTAAAGAAATGGTTGGAAGACAAGCAACGAAATCGGTGGCTTCTTGTAATTGACAACGCAGATGATACACAAGTCTTCTTCCCAACAAATAGCGTGGTCAATATTATTGACGAGAGCCATCACATAACAAACACAACAGACTCCGGAGTAGGACGCTTCATACCCGATTGTGCGCATGGTTCCATTCTTATTACAACCAGAAACAAGCAGGCGGCTGTAGACCTTGCCTCTACATCCCTCGTTGAAGTCGGCAACATGACTGAGAGGGAGACTGACTCACTACTACACTCCCTACTTAAGGATGTTAAGGGATCAGCTGAAGAATTATCACAACTTTCTTCTCAACTGGAGTACTTACCCTTGGCGCTTGCTCAAGCAGCCTCTTTCATTCTCAAGAACTCTATATCCGTTGGCGACTACCTCAATTTGCTTGGAAGTAGTAACTCTAGCCTGATATATCGCCTTAGCGAGCCATTTCAGGCTTTTGGACGAGATTCAGAATCGCCGCACGCACTAACAGCCACTTGGATTGTTTCCTTTGAACAAATTAGAAAACAATGCCTTTTGGCAAGTGATCTCCTGTCTGTTATGAGCTTGTTTGATTTTCAGGGTATCCCTGAAGATTTTGTTCGGGGCTACTGTCGCGAAATGCTGGTAGAGGAACTATGTTCTTACGACGACCATGAGCAAAGCTCTGACAGAAGCTCTTGTGGCAGCTGTAACGGCCCTGATGGTCATAACGGCATTGAATCTGTCGCAGACACTGATTTTGAGGGGGGGGTTACCAAAGCTCTTGGGGTTCTTCAAGCCTTTTCATTTATTTCCAAAACTGACGAAGGCTCATACAACATGCACAGGCTAGTGCAACTAACTACTCGCAAATGGCTAATAGACGATGAAAGCCTACCAACATTCTCCAAAACTGCCCTCAAAATTGTATCCTCATTTTTTCCTGAGGGAGATCATCAGAACCGAGAGTTATGCCGTGAATACTTACCCCATGCCCGCGCCGTTTTGGAACACCCAGGGGCCAAACAAAAGGGGGTCCGGGCTAAATGGGCATACCTCTCGCAACAGGTTGCTCGCTTTCTTCGGTATGAAGGGCAGCTTCAGGACGCAGAGTTTTACCAAAAACGAGCAGTAACGCTCATGATAGAAATATTTGGAGACGATAATCCTTACACCTTGTCAAGTAAGTCGGATCTATCGCACATATACCGGAGGCAAGGTCGACTAGATGAAGCAGTAGAGATGATTTCAGAGGTGCTGAAGGCCAATGAAAGACGGAGAGGGCCAGACCACCGGAGCTCGCTGAGCAACAAGCATAGTCTTGCGAGATTGTTTAAACATCAAGGCCGTTTTGAAGAAGCGGAAAAGTTACATTTACAAACGCTAGAGAGGAGAAGGAAAACATTAGGGGCAGAGCACGCAGACACTTTAAGCAGTTTACACGAGCTTGCTACTGTCTATAAGTGGACAGATAGACCAAAGACATCCGAATTGCTGAATAAACAAGTGTTGGAAGTACGAAAGCGGGTACTAGGAGAGGAGAATATATGTACATTGGTCACTATGAGCAATTTGGCTATCGATTGTATGGATCAAGGTCGGTTGGACGAGGCTGAGCAGTTGGCGGAACGGGTTTTGGATATAAAAGCGAGAGTGTTTGGAGAGAAGCATCCCCGAACGATTAGTGCTTCTCATTTGCTTCACGAAACGCAAGGTCGTCATGAGGAGAGTACCGGACTGCCCTCGCATGGCCTCGAGACAGAGAGAGAAATGCTCGGCGATAGCAACCAACAAGGCTTGGAGATGATGGATAACTTCGTATTCACCTTGGAGACGAGGGGTCAGCTGGAGGACGCGGTCAGGCTTGTGCAAGAATCCGTTGATAATAGTCTGCAGACGCCTGACCGTCAGGATGAGCGGCTCTAATCGAACTGCGCAACTTCGCTTGCATGCAGAGAGAAGAGACGACGGGGCTGTTCGAAAGGGTAACTCGGCCGGGATTCCACTCAGGACAAGAAAGAACAGGCTCATGTTGTAGTAATGACGCAGGACGGTCGGGGCGTGTAGAGGGACTCGCCGCTGTTACGGATGTCACCCATTTATACTGAGATGTTGTCGAAGACTTAGAAGAACAGTCTGATGAGGTTTCGGTGATGTTGTTGAGGGGAAGGCAATGAGTTGGCAATTTCAGTGTTCAAAAGACATACGGACCCGCCTATATAAGCTTCTTCTTCTAATTTTCTTTTTCACTTTCACATACTGATTTTATTCTAACAGTCGTTGTTCAATATTAACTCTCCTGATCATCTGCCACTCAGGATGCCATAATGGCGTCTCCCTCTACATCCACAGCGCCCTCCATAACGACATCCTGTATCGCGGGTGCGAGACTGTCCATCTCTCGCAGGGTATATTCCACCAAGTAACTTTCGTCCACGAGCTCGTCCGTCCTCCTGTAATGCCTCTCCGTGTACACCTTGAGCGCGTTGAGCACCTCCTTGAGACTCCTCTGCCCGCGAGCCCCCTTAACCGAGAGGTTCGAGAACTTGGACGCAGGATAGCTTCGTACGAGCGTCCAGAGGATTCGCTGAGCCACTGCCGCTGTCCGCGCGTTTGTGTTCCAGTCTCGCAGCCTCAAGAGCAAGGTAAATATCTGCTCATCGGAGAGAGTGGCGAGCACGTGGTCGACCGCCTTAAGTCCGCAGAGACTGCCCTGCTCGGGAGTGCTGGAGGTCACAACAGAAGTGAAGAGGCTAAGCAGCCTTCCGGGGTGGTTGAGCTGAAGGGCGAGCACAATGGCCTCACGGTAAGAGCCAGCGTGAATGTGGTTCTCAAGTTCCTGCTCTTGTTCGATCAGCTTCTGGGCGGCTTCTGTGGCAGCGGCCTGGGACTCGGAGGTGGTGTCCTTCCAGAAGGTGACAATGGAGTCACCGTCACCAGACACAATGGTGTTGTCGGCGGAGTTGACGGCCAAAGCCCATATACGGTCTTCGTGGTTGTCCAGCGTGCACTCAGCTTCGCCCGAGTTTGCGTCCCAGACCTTAACGAGGCCATCGCTGCCAGCACTGGCGAATTGAATCTGCTTCTTGCCCTTGCCCTCAGGCTTCGGCATGTTCAGCCAGACAACCTTCAGGACACTGTTGGAGTGACCCTCGAATGTCCTGATACAGGTGTAGTTTGTCAAGCTCCACAGCTTCACCGTCTTATCCGCACTGCCCGTCAGAACAACACCCTTGCCGGCCACCTGGCCCTCGTCTCCCTGGATGGAAGGACATTGGGAAGGTGCGAATCTAATAGACCACACGCCTCTGCGGTGACCACGCAGAATACCTTGAACCTCACCTTCCGCCACTGACCAGATCTTGACCATTTTGTCCTGCGACGAAGAGGCAAAAAGCTGGTTTGAAGGGTGAACATCCATCGCGTTGATGTCCTTGTCGTGTGCCTTTCTGGTGAACAAGGCACGGGATCCCTTCTTTCCTTGCTGAGCTTCTCTTGGAATATCCCACTTTTTGACTGTTTGATCTTGGGAACCAGTGAAAAGGAAGGGCGGGGGATGGCTGAGAGGGTCCTTGAACTGTGCCGACGATTCTGGGGGTGGCTGCTTGGGCAGGGCAACAGCACCAACTGATTCGGTGTGGCCGGTGAACGTGGCATAGCATGTATAGGAGTTGTTGGCGGGGTCGACACGCCAAAGACGGGCGGTGTTATCCTTGGCACCCGTCGCAATCCAATATCCTGACCAATCGACATCCAATGAAACGATAATGTCATTGTGTCCCTTCAGCAGAGCCAGGTCCTGGCCAAAGTATGTAGAGTTCTCTGGCTTTGAGTCGTCCTGAGAGTCCTTCACAGATACGATACGGATATCCTCGGCATTAGTGGCAAGAGCAAGCAGCGAGCGGTCTGGCAGGAGGTAGCTCAAGTCGATGATCGAGTCGTGAGTTCCGGATATCCGCCTGAAAGGCTCAAGCATCGAGCCCTCGACATCGTCCTTCTCAGGTACCGTATACAGAGCCAAGGTGTGGTCTACCTGGACGCACAAGATGAAAGGAAGCTCAGGATGGGAAACTGCGCTGACGATGCCCTCCGCCTCGGCCTTCGCAGGCTGGTCCTTGGTCAACTCACGACCAGTCTCGGTATCCCAGATGCGGAGGCATCCCTTGGCTCCCGCAGAATAGGTCAGACGGCCACCGTTGACAAACCCAACAGCCTCGACGAGCTCAAGGCAAGGCACAATCTTCTGAATCTTCCAAGATTTTGCGTCCCACCAGATGATCGTCTTGTCTCTGCTTGCCGAAACAATTGTGTTCAGTTCGGGCGAGTAATCCAAACCTTGGACATTGGAGACATGGGAATCGAGGCTTGCAATGGCAGCGCGCTTGTGGAGATCCCAAACTCGCACTTTTCCATCCTGACTGCCAGACACGAGACGCCAATTCGTGGTAGCGCTGTCATCCTGCTCCTCTGTCTGCTTCGATTTCTTTCCTTTCTTGCCAGACTTCTCAACCTCACCGTCGTTCGAACGCGCCGCAACCTCAAAGAAGTGAAGAGCCGAAACGAGGACACTCGGGCCGCGGAAAGTGTGGGTAACGTAGCCTCCAACAATATCCCAGACCTTGATCGCTCCGTCGGTTCCTCCAGTCGCAAGAAGGGTGCTCGTTCGGTCGACGGCGAGAACAACAACGGGCGTCCCGTGAGGCTTAACGGATCGGGTCAATTTCGTTTCTATCGTTCCGTCTTCGGTGGTCTTCAAGGCGTAGATCTTCATAGATAGAGAACGGGAACAGATGATGAGATGCGATCCGGAGGGTGTTACTAAAGTTACTGTTAGAACAGAACCAAGCGTGTTGGAAGTTGGACATACAAGTGAGAGTCGAGATTTGTTCGCCATCCTAAAAGTGCATTGTCAGATATGCATTAAAATGAGATTGGTCCGGGGCGCATACTCCTTCGATCTTTGCAAGATGCTTTCCGTTGGAGGGGTTGGTCAAGATCGCATCCTCTCCAAGAGGAGTGGCCAGAATCTTGGCACCATTGTCCAATGCGACAGAGCCGCCAGTGAAAATGGGCCGAAGGACCCTTTCCGGTTCGAAAGTGGTTTTAAAAGGCTGCTTGCTCGCCATGATGCTGGTTGTAGAGGCAACTCAATCAATCGCGACAAGCAGTGTTCTTGGTGTCTAGAAATTTTTGAGGCGGGACTGTTATCGATAACGTTATCTAATCAAATGCCCCACTCTTCCTGCAGGAGGCCCACTTGAATAGCGGGAGCTCCTCCAGTTAACATCCCGGCGTATGCATCTTACATAGACTATTGCTGAAGCTTGATGCGCATTGTCTGACAACATCCTACTCCCACGTCCCCAATCAAAGAAAAATTCGTAGTCCTCTCCAGGTTGATCTGCAACATATACTGCCTGTATAAAAGGCTCGCAATAGTCTTGCACAGATGGAGAAGCGCATTCGTCTTACAATATGACGAGACTAGGCCCCTTGACGGCGCAGGCCTTGGTGAGCTTCCCCTCAGTCCACCACAGAAATTAAACTAACGTACTGATATAGGGCCGATCACCTTTTGACGATGTTGTTGAAGGCGAGGGAGAAACTGATTCTCGTGCGCCAGAGCAACAGTATGATAGCCGAGGCCGACCGATCAATCCGGAAACGAAGCGTATGAACCGCGACATGGTTCGATCTCACAACGAGGTTATGCAGGTCATAGGTGTTGCGGAGCCTGACAACACTCCGTCTTCAGCGGAAGTCGATTCAGTGCGACGATATTTCAACTATGAAGATGCTGTCGGTACACGGTTGCTCCGTTTTGGACGTGCCTTGGAGATAGGAGGAGTCTGGGGCATCAACGGCATGCGACTGCGCATCCTTCTGTATAAGCGCTATGCAGATATCTCGTTCTTCGAGCTGTTTCAATACGAAAGAAGTCAGCGCTCGATATCGAGCGCTCTCGTCACCGGCTTGCCAACTTTTCTGGGTGGACACGTCTTCAAGATGGCCACATACTACGTATATCCTTTCCCAAGAAAGAACAAGTGGATCAACGCTGGCTTGTCGTATGTCAGAGTGCATCTTCAGCTCTACGTCTTTCTTCAGAGACTAGACATCATATCTCCCAGCAAATGGTTCCCGTCGCTGGAATTCTTCATTCCAGGATCGTCCTCGTCACCCATCGCAGCCCCGGCCCCTCCCAAAGACTTAAGTGCTGCTTCGCTAGCACAGTACGCCGGCGCATGGTGTATCAACGCGATCCCATTTGTCTCCTTTGTTGTTTGGGGTCAGATATGGACTGAGGTCACAGGTCACTTGTGGCAGGAGTTTTACGGGCGATTGCCGAACACGGTGCACCATCGCAAGCCTCCCCCACCACCTCCTCCACCGCCGGCGCCGCTTCCTGAGATCCCTGAACCGGAGCCACCAAGTCTTGAACCACAGGAAGAAGAAGTGCCTGTTACTGAATTCCAGCATGATGCCATCTCGAGCGAAATACCCTCCGAGGCTAGTGAAGCAGCTCCAGTCCAAGCAGTCCGTCGCCCAAGCGCTTTCTCGGCTAGGGGAGACGACTATGGCAGCGATGACGAGGAGGATGGAGGGGTTAGCGCAACCTTAATCAGCTTCGATGTTGAGGCTACTGATTCAACCGATGCTCCTCCGGGCTTGTGGTCTGCCGAGCTTCGGCCAAGCACTGGACCGGAGGGTCCTGGATATGGTCATGCCTCGGTGCAATACATGGACACTATGCTAACACGACTCCCCGCGTGTCTGGCGTCCGATATCTTCACCGTCATTTCGGGATACATTCTTGTCTCGCCATACGAGGCTCTTGCGCTTCGGCTAGTCGCGAGGTCGTACCGGTCGAGAATGGGGCTTCCTGTATCCGATATTCATGAAGTCAACATCTTCAGTGGCATGACTTTGAGGGGTGTTACCAACTTCCTGGGGCTAGAATTCTTGCACTTGGTGATTGCTGGTGAACTATGGGCCCTAATAACAGGCCTCGCCCAATGGTTCCACCTTACGGAGGAAGAATGGAAGCTATTCAATGAAATGGATGAAGCCGAAGCCGCAGAGGAAAGACGACGACAGGAGCAAGCTGGACATTGATCGGCGGCGCCATCAGGATTGTCACGAAATTCTGAAAGGGTGAAACATGGTGTTGGGTGGGTGTTACTACGGAACAGGAGTTTGGCGCTTCCGGTTATTGCAAGATACCTCATCAGATTTGTAGTTTAAACTGCTTTCTCATAATGAACCAGAAGGCTTGGTCCCTTTCAAACCACTTGACGAAGATTTTCATAAAACTCATAATTATGGGGTATCAATAAGCACACCGACCAAGTCCGACTTTCACTCTCTACTTGTCATGGCTTCCAGCTTTGAAGGGTTTACTTCGTTGCTCTACCCTTGCCTTTCTTCAACTTTTCAGCCTTCCTCTGCTCGACAAAATCTTTTACGAGATCCAGCAGATCTGGATTTTTCCTCGCAAGCAAAACGACGTCCTCCGTCTGCACTGTTGACCTTCTGGCATGCCGACTAAAGTTCTCTAGGTCAATAGCTACGGACTCTACAAATTGTTCAGCCGAGGTCCTCATGTTTGAAGGAGTCATTCAACCTCACCAATTTGAGCCCAGACCATCTCCGTTAGGGCACCAATAAACTGTGGTGTTGCGTTGCAGTTCTGCTTGATTGACTCTTCGTCAACAATTTTGCCGACGGCGAACCACAGCGCGGCCTTGAGACGCTAAGCTTTGAATTAGCGGAGTGGACTGAAGACAGATAGCGATAGGCATTTCTAACCTCCCGCTGTTCTTCATCCATAGCGTCCGCCATTTTGTGGGCGTGACTGAACTGAGTATGAGATGGACGGCGCCAAAGACGATACCCCGTTGTCTTAACGCCCTTCCCACTTTACGCGGCAGACGCGTCGTGGAAGCCGGGTGAAGCTGCCAAGTATTGCACAGGCCTAAGTGGGGTTCAATGTTGTGAAATTTACACCAAACTGAATAATCAGAACAAAATGAAAGTATAATGGTGTATTTGGCAGTCAGAAGATTACTGCTTTGGGTCCGTAGAGTGAAGTTGGTGATCTACTAACCCCAGAATCAAAGAGTGAAGAGAGGAACCATCACATGACCTCGCGATTGTTTCGCGGAAAGAATATGACTAAGCAAGCCACCAGACACCTGTAAGCATAGTCTGAACTAGGCTACGGCCTATTCATTTGACATGGTGAGGATGTCGTATTAACTACGCTGAGTTCACTTGGATAAACATGCAGCATGCTTAATTTGGACATATAGCATTGTGATACCAGATACCACTGCGAATGAGGTTTTCATATACAGCCTCCATGTTCTCATCCCTTAGCGGACGTACAGCGGGATCGCCGAAGCAACGCCCTGTGACATCACTGGCAGGCCCCCCAAGGACCCTTGGCCAGTACTGAGCCGCCAGTACGTTTCTCCAATGCCGTGCCACCTATTGGCTCAAGCTAACGGGATTTCCCACGTGGGGCCTCTGAGTGCAATTTTGATGCCGTGCTGGCCGGACTAGAGAATGAAGGTCGCGACATTTTTCTCCGACCTCGATTCCTAACCTGCATCAAGTTTCTTTTGTTATTCCCTCAAAGCCGCCACCCCATCCGGCAAACCCGATTTGTCTGCAGCGGCTGTATTCTTACTATTAGTCTTTGTACTTTTATCAATAAAGCCCACGCTTTTTTGGCAATTCGTCTTCACGACCTACGTTGTCGCATTAACCCCACCTCATATCTCGCAACACCATCAATTCATCAAAATGGCCGGTGTCCTAGACCTCGTGTCCACCATTTGGACGCGCTTCAGCACCAACTTGCGCGGCAGTCTCGAGGGCATGACGCCCGAGAAGTGGATTCGCCTTGTCATCATTGTTGGCGCCTACTGCCTGCTTCGCCCCTTCCTGATGAAGCTGGCTGGCGGCTCGCAAATGAAGCAGCACGAGGCCCCTGTTGAAGAGTTCGAAGGCGCCAAGGCTAAGGTCCAGCCTAACACCCTCCGCGGCCAGGTCGAGATCCCTGAGAACAGCGACGACGATGACGAGGACGCCCCGGCTTCCACGACGTCGACCGATTGGGGCAAGAAGGCTCGCAGAAGACAGCGCGAGGTCCTTAAGCGTATGATTGATGCTGAGGAGAAGAGGCTTGCTGAGCTGCAGGAGGATGAAGAGGACAAGGATATCGAGGAATTCTTGGTCAAGGAGTAAAAGTCGCAATAGGGATAGGGGTAATATTGAGGCGGCTTCTTCAATGGCGTTTACCGCGATGATCATATCGCATTAGTAATATATCCTGATGCTTCGCTGGCTACTGGCTTTTACTATGATCATGGATATCTGGGAATGATGCGCGCAATGATTCAAATCCTGCGCAAGAGGTTGGGAACGTTACTCATGCAGCTCTCGCTCTGTTCATTCTATTCGACGAAGTCACGGTGGCATTTGAGCATATGCCTTCGGGCTCAGTCAAAGTGCCTTCCTGCTTTAGACTTCAATACGACTTGAAAGCCATCTATCGGTGCCTGGAAACAGAAGCATTTCTCAGCTAATCAAGGGCAAGCTTACATGAGAAATATCTGGCTTGGAGTTGGATCTTCATGTGATACTGGCTCGCAGCAAATGCCCACTGTCAGTTTTACAATGAACAATTCAGTTAACACGTATGACCCAAGCTTGAACAACATCGATTTGCCATTATATGTACAAATGTAATATCACAAACTCAAGAACGGCTGCAAACTCAAAGAACGTCTTGTTGAGCGTTTTGGCGCCCCAAGGAACGATTGGACGCTTGGGCCAAGTGGTAGTGCTGACAGGGGCACATCCCTCCACAAAATCTTGAGCCCCCTTGTCCGATCCACCAGTCGAACTGCATTGGTGTTTGCTTCGAGAAATCGGCTTCTTTGGCGCCTTCCGAACGCGTCTCTAGAAGCAAGGGTTCTGGAATCTTTCTTCTCCAGAGCCTCACATCTTCGACGTGCGCGTCTTGCTATCGCCGCGATACTACTGGAACAGCAGCGCGAAAGGTTATTTACTTGTCCGCGGGCCCAGTTAGCACTGTCAAGCAGATACGACGAACGAACGCCGTCGGGCTAGCGACACCATTTGCGACATCGAAATCAGCGGCACTGACGAGCGCATTCATCAGGCGCTCCTCCCCTGATCGGGGCAGCTGCACAAAACAATTATGGCAGCTTCTGCCCTCTCTGCAGCGATGGCATCTGTCTCTTCTACCGACCCTGCTGCGAAAGCGACGTCAGCCGACAATCCTCCTGCCCCCAGGAGGTTTAAGGCTTCTGATCTTCCTCTCCCCTCTGCAACTCGAGCAGCCATCGACTCCCTGGCGCACAGCTTCAAGAAAAAGGGAGGCTACGATGCCATCCGAAAGGAAGTCTGGGATAAATTTGCTGCAAGCGTTAGTTTATTTCCACCTTCGATCTTTGGTAGTCACACTAATAAACGGTGCAGGATTACGAGGCCCAAGTGACAAAAGCCATCCTCGAAGTCGCCGAACAAGAAGTCCAGCGAAATCCCCAGCAGCTCCTCACCCTCGATCGCGGCAAGGCTGCTGCTTTGATTGACGGTGCCCTCGAACGATCCGGTGTCTATCAAAAGGCCGAGCAAGTTATAACCCAACTTATCGACAAAACTGCGATCGAGGAGCGCATGCGACTGTTGCGTCGTGCTGATATAGGCGAAGAGGAAGCTATTGCAGAACAACAACGAGGGTCCAAGACGGACGAGGAATATCATGCAGACACCATGGCGAGACGAGCTGAACGGGAGAGAGTCCGCGAAGAACTGAGACAGAAGGAGCTGGCGATTGAAGAAGAAAAGCGCAAAATAGCTCGGGAAGAGCGTAAGAAGATTGAAAAGGAGCGTGAAAAGGCCGAAGAACAGCGCAAGGCTGAAAGGGATGCCCGGCGAGCTGCTAGGGAAAAGCTCCAGGCTGAACGAGATGCCGAGCGGGAAGAGCGTCGTCGGCAAAGAGATAGAGAACGGAGCCGAGACAGGGACCGCGAAAGAAGCCGGAGTCGGAGCCGCCGCAGAGACAGAGACAGAGACAGAGACAGAGATCGCGACAGGGATCGTGACCGCGAGGAGCGCGATCGTGAACGCCGTGAGGAAAGAGAGCGAAAGCGCAAGGAGCGACATGAGGAGACCGAGGAAGCTAAGAAAAAGCTATCCCAGGAAGACATGAAGAGGCTTGAGGAGGAAGCACTTGAGAACCTGCTTCGCGAAAGCAACCGTGGAGCGGCTAAGCAGCCAGAGATGGAGATCGATGAGGCGCTGGCTCCTCCTCCTAGAAAGATGGCGCCTGCGTCCGCTATCATGCCTCTCAAGAAGGTGTCTTCACGCGACACAACGAAAGCTTCAAAGCAAGAAAAGGTTCCTGACCCAGGCAAAAAGGAAACCAGGGATACTAGTGTGGCAGCCACAACGAAGGCCGACAACACTGAACAACGGAATGGAAGCCGGACCCGGAGTCGGTCAAGAGATGGTGGAAAGGATCGCGACCGTGATCGAGATGAGGACAGACGCCGCCCTCGAGATGATGACGATCGTCGTAGGCGCGATCGCCGCTCCAGGTCTCCTCGACCTCGTGAACGATCTCGCGATAGACGTGATAGGTCTCGTTCGCGTTCGAGGACACGACGTGAACGAAGTCGATCACGAACACGCACAGAGAGACGAGACAGGACCCGCTCCCCTTCACGTACCAGAGTCCGACGTGATCGTAGTCGGTCACGACCACGCCAGGATCGACGTGATAGGAGTCGCTCTAGGTCTCGCACGACCAGAGATCGCAGTCGGGACCGGCCACGCGCTGACAGACGAGATAGAAGCCGCTCGAGGCCTCGGACTGAGCGTCGAGAACGAAGCAGGTCCCGCACTCGAGTGGAAAGAAGAGATAGAAGCCGTTCACGCTTGAGATCCGACCGGCGTGACAGATCCCGCACGCGATCTCGAGCTCGTGTGGATCGTAGAGATCGCAGTCGATCTGCACGAGCTGACAGGCGCGGGTCTATTCGTCAGGAGCGTAGTCGTTCTCGTACAAGACGCGATCGTTCCTCTGATCGGACGAAGGACCGAGATCGTGAGCGTGATCGCAGAAGCCGGTCTCGATCGCGTCCCGCATCTTCAGCTGTGAGATCCTCGTCAAGATTAGGCAAGGAAAAGGATGAGAGAGAGGCGACGAAGATGGACGAGGTCAGAAAACGAGAGATAGAAGCCAAGGCGTATCTGGCAGCACAGCGTGAGGCCCGGGAAAAGGGGATGCCAGTCCCTGGAATTGACGACAAGCGAAGCGCAGGAGATCGGTCTCCTGAAGCCAAACGCAAACGTGACCTCGATGAGATCGATCGATACGTGCCTCCTGGCAGAGACAGGGAGCGACCACACGACCTCGCCAGGGACGACCGCGATGATCGCCGCCGCAGCCGATCACGCAGCAGAAGCCGTGCGAAAGACCGCGATAGAGATCGCGAGAGGGACAGGGACAGAAGAGACAGAGATCGCGACCGTGATAGGGACCGTGATAGGGACCGTGATAGGGACCGGTCTAGAGAGCGAGATCGTCGAGATCGCGACAGAGACCGAGACCGTGACCGTGACCGCGACCGCGACCGCCGAAGTCGAAGAGATAGGAGCCTATCGTCGCGTCGGGACAGGAGGGAACAAAGCCGCAGTCGCCGCAGAAGCCGAAGTCGCTAGGTGCCTTGGGGCTCCGTTGGGACCGAGGCCGCCGTGGATGTCGTTGTGGATATGGAACAACATCACAAAATACATCACTATGGGCCATAGGAGAATAGTCCGGGCTCGCATATGCGAAAAGGAGCTCTACTGGATTTCCTGGCAGCAAGTATTAACGGTCTTACTTTAGTTAACGGAGAGTAGCTCCTTTCAAAGTCATGTAATGTGCAATACCCCTAAGAAGAAGCATTATTTGTTTGGCCTATGCATCTTTTGATAACGCAAATCCTCCTACTACTTGATAGGGTTAGGATGACAGTGTGTCACTCACTGCGCCCCACATACGGCCGCCCAAACTCAAGTCCGGGTCGGCCGTTGGCGGCGAGAGAAGAGTCGGAGCGGCTGTCGCGGAGGACTACCGGAGACGAACCCCGAGCGACCCTGAACCTTGACCCAAAATTACCGGAACAACAATGGCGAGGTGCTACCGAGTATATCCTGAAGCACGGGGGAGAGTCTTTCCTGAAACGGGAACGGCCTGTTATTTTGCATTGGTGAAGAGTGGTTATCAGGAGTCATGGTCGGGATGACAGCGCCTAACACGAGTCAAGAACCGCGAGCGTCAGGTTTGTACAAACTTTAAAAGTGTCCGCGGTAGTCCGTCCTAATGCGTTACTCGTATGTGCTACGGGTTTGAAACACCGTCCCAGCCCTGTTATCCAAAGTTTGCCCTGCTCGATGCCTTCACATCTTTTGCTGGTGTCTGTCTTGATCTCGTAGTCAGTCGAGAGGGGAGGACTATCTGAGTTTGCCAATATTTTGTGTCTTTAAACATTTGGAAGAGAAAGCTATGAGTGTATTATACATTTTTGTCGTAGGTCAGCAAATGTTGTAAACTTACAGTGACCTACTTATGCCCAATCACTTCGTTTCCACTACCATGTAATACACTTTTTATTCTGTATTTATTTTAGTTGTGATCGGACGAGTTTACTCGGGCTGTGTGGGTTCGAATGGGAAGTTACCCGAATTAGCTGCCACATACTTTCTACGTACTAGTAGGACACGGCACTCAGTACAGACAGGTCGGCGTCCAGCGGAATGTGGAGAGGAGGGTGAGGTTTTTTGGCTTGGCTAGGTACGGGCGCATGGGGCGCACGTCTCAGGAAGTTCCCGGGCATTCCCTCTGGGGAAAAACCTTATTTCGTCCTCTTTGGAATTGCTGTTCCAAAGTCGCGTCTGGCTGCTTGTTAAACGAAGCTGGGTGTACAAGCGACGGCTTCATAGAATTCTATGGTGGCGTGATACACAGGAGTTACTTGTACGATGGTTTTTTCTGATTTTCTTTTTTTCTCTCTGATATTTTTCCCGCCTTATGCTTGATGTTTAGATACCTTGGTTATATGTAACACTACCGGCTCATAAAGTGATACCGTGCTTTTTTTTAACAACATGTGAGGAAAGTCTCTTATACGGTGCTCTCCGCAGCGTGTAAACGACTCATGGTACGCCCCAACGCCTGCCATCCTGTCTTTGTTTGGTTATGTTCCGGACGTTCCGAATACTCTTCATTTGTATTGCCCGACACCGGTCTTTTCCTAGTCTGTTTTATTAGGCATCATAATCCCTGAAATTGGCATTTGGCGGATCTCGGTCCACCAGAAATTTGAACTTTTCAGGGTTGCGCTTGATGTAGTCAGGAATGTCCTGGTTGTTCTCAACCCGATCAAAGTGTGAATCTGGTCTGCGGAAGCTGCGAGACGTTAGCCCATCATGTTTTTGCGGCCCATCCGAGCAGGATAGTGAGGTTCCCTTACATGTCAAGTCCTCTCCGAGCAACCTCGACAATGTTGTCTGGGTCCTTGAACTCGGGTTTGTTATACTCAGAGTGTGAGAACGAGTTGATCTTCTGCGCCATCTCCTTGACCGTGCTGAAGCAGTAACTGCAGTGCCATCCACCGTATGGGAAGTGGTAGTCGTTGGCATTCGAGCGCAGTTCATCCGGCAGCACCGTATCGGCGCCGCGGTAGACCGTCGCTTGCGGGTGGGCCCAGTCATTCCGGGCAAGCCATTGGTACGAGTAGTAGTAAATCTTGGAGTGAATCGTCACCCGCTGCGGGATTTTGCAGTTGCGCAGGGCACGCAGGACATCGGGCTTAGGGATCTCGTCAACGTCGGAGACGATGAGCACGTCGTCTATTGAAGCCGCCTGTTCCCCCTCCAGCCCCGGGATGACCTGATCATACATGGCGTTGCGGCTCTTGGTCTCGCGGTCCCAAGTCGAGCCACTCTTGAGCGCGTCGAGATCTAGCTTGCGTACGATCATCTTGTCGTGCCATGGCTTGAAAAGGTCCCAGTTCTCCTTGATGTATAGCGGCTTTGAGTGGTCCGTAAACGTCTTGTCGGACTCGATGATGACGAAGTAGTCTACGTATGGCGCCATCTGGCCCATACGCACCTCGAGCATCTCTACCTCAGTGTTGACGAGCAAGAGGTCATATACCTTGCGCTTGCGGACGAGATCGTGGTCTGCGGGCTTGAGGCGATAGTGGTCGCAGTACTCTGTGGCTTTCTCGAGCGAGAGTACCTCACTCTTGGCGAACAGAGAGCCCGGTTTATTGGCATCGTATGGCGCGCCATGCGGGTTGGTGATCTTGCGGGCTTGGTCCGCGACTTGTTGGTGTAAGTCAAGACGCCAGACCAGCCAGACGAAGACAACAGAGGCGACGACTGCCAGATACTTGATCCGGTGATTTGAGGTTGATTTATTCATGGTTGACTGCGGTTTGTGTGTAAAAGTAGCCTTGGCGGCCGGTTTATATCATAAAAGACAGGATAGGTTGCCCGAGAGAGGCTCGTTCCCAATGAGCTTGGATAAAAGACAAACGAAGGAGAAAGCGTGGCAGCAGGGAACTGGATAGAAAAGAGAAGAGCAAGACAGTGCTTTAACTAGGAGAGAAGTCAAGAGAAGGCATGGGTCTATGAGAGAGGGGCATGGCCTGAACTTGCTGAACTTTGAAAAGGTTCATCAAGTATGTGGTGGCCTAAGCTCTTATCAGAGTTCAAACCTGGAGCAGTGTCAAGTCGGTCTCGAGCACTCCAAGATCAACCCATAGCAGACTCGGTTGCACCGACAGGCATGTCTAGAATGTCATTAATTCCAAGAGGCAGTCGAGCCTCTATGATATGCGTCATATGCCGCGTGCGACTTTGTCAACCCATCTATCACCATCTTGTGATGTATCCCAAATCTAAAGCATTGGTTAATCCCACACAGGACGTGAATGATTACGTCAACTCACTTTCATTATTCCGATTTAAACTGTTAATATAAAAAAAAAAAGCTAACAATACAATTAGGTTTTTGAGGCAAATATAAATTCATCACTGGTTGTTGCTTCAAGATGTGCTGCTTCTGCCGTTGAACGACCACTCGGTCTACCACGGACGAAGTAGAAGATGTGCACATGGGCAGGTGTTCATGGCTGTAACAAACGAGAACGAGATAGTGTTATCTCAGTGACAGACGCCAAGGTCAATGACTAGAAGCAGGCTCATGGCCTCATTTTTCGGTGCAGATCTTCACTCAGCCATAAATATGCACATCTTATTGCCTGTGTGGTGATCGATTCCATGCCCGTGCGACTGACTGTAAATTAGGCGCCGGCGGTTGATCTTTCCAAAGACCAAAAGTGTTGGTGGTGGCAGTTGTTGGCGCCTCGGGAACGGGGGCAACCCAGGGGTTAAGCCGGAAATATACACGATAGGTTGAAATCAATTCTGGGCCCCATCTGGCTTCCCTCATCCCATCGGTTCATACAATTAAGGGTCTCTTCAAGTATCTGTATACACCATTCCAATCCCGAGTGAAAGAAGATCTGAGACAAGGAAAGGAAACCTCCCGAGACGAACCAATCCAGCTTTTTTTTGGCTGAACTTCCTTCCCTGGGTCTCACTATAATTATTCGACAAACGAAACGGACAAAGGAAAAAAAAAAGGAAGCCATGCCTTGCCATGACGCCAAACCAAACTGGCTTTTTCCGGCTTAGCGAATGGATGCTCTTAAACGGTGCCGCCCCCCTGCCTGAGAGCTTAAATTAAATCAAACCTCGATACTGGAACGGAAGGTACCTGCGTAGGGTGGCTGGGGTGGTGGTGCTTTCTCTCTCGGCATCCGCCGCTGTTAAATGATTTGGTGTACTGGGGGCCTGGGTTTGCGGCATAGGCACCGCCCTAGCACCACCTCATCAATACGATGCAATCGCGGGGCCACCCCAAACAAACTTTCTATGCCTGACTGGGAAGGGCAAGCAGAAGATGAAGGAGAAGCGTCCCCTTTCCTCCCTGTCCGAGTATGAGAGTGAGATGTCTTAACCCAGCAATTCGCGCGTGTCTCTCTATTGTCTTGAATCGCCTATCGGCACTCCGTACCATACTAAGCTCTTACTTGCTGCCTCACAACTGCCTTTTCCTCACAACCAGCCCCCTTCACAACTCTCATCCAGATCGTCAGCAGTACCGTTGGTCAATCAGCCAGCCAGCCAGCCGCACTCACGCCTTCGTCTGAACACCTTGTCTTCATATTGCCGGCGGAGTGAAACTGTCGGTGACACCTATGCTTGCTAAGTCGTTTGTGACACATGGCAACGCCTTGCACGAGATGCCGCGATGCCTTGTCGAAGATGACAACTAACTGGAAATCGATACAGGTCGACTTACGTTAACACGAACCAGGGGTTCTCAGCATTCTGGACGTTGGCTGACCGGAAAAACCTCGCCTGGTCGGTGCTTGACTAGTAGTCAATTACTTGCTTGCTTTTCCACCTCTCACCCGGCTCTCCTTCCCCAGCTTCTGCTCTCACTCTCCCCAAATACGGAATCACTCGTGCGACTGCTTTCGCCGTTCCCCCAACAGCAACTCGCAGCGAGGTGTCCGAGGTGACCGTAAAGAGCCTAAGGACCAGGGGTTAACAGCGACTATTTTTTCCGTACTAGTGCCCATCAACCACCTCCACGTGCCCACCGCCGCCCGGCCTTAGCGGTCTCCATCCAACGAAAGTCTCCTTTCCGCCCCCTCAATCAGCCTTTTTTCAGGTCCAGGTCAGCCCGCCGGCCCCAGTTCAGAGAGGTACGCGCCTGCATATCATCGAGTACCTCGTACCTACACCCGTTGCCAACGGTACCTAACACGAGAAAAAGGGGACGGGGGTTCCTGCGCCGCAAAAGTCCAGTGCCAAACGGCGCAACGACCAACAAGGCCAGGCTCCAACCAATTAACCAATTGGTCCCTCGTTTGCTTTGCTTCAACACCTCTACCTCGCTGCGCGCTCTTTCGTTTTCACCTTTCTTTTCTTCCGTAACCTTTCTCCATTCCCTCCTTGCTCCCTCTCAGCCCGCGCGGTTCGTGGTGGAAATACATTGCCCACCACTACTGCCCAACCACCCTTTCCTCACCCTCCATCACTTTTTTTTTTTGGTTCTATTGTTGGTACTTCTCTCGCCGCGCCCGCTCTTTTGCCATATTTCATGTCCTTCCGTTGACGCGTGGAATCTTGCTTCAATTCCTGGGCAATCGCCGAGTTCTCCGGCCCACACCCGCCCGTCTCCGTCGCCGTGCCTTGACACCCGACTCCGAAACCACCGAACTCCGACCTTCTTGGCCTTTCTTGGATACTATTCTTATTCACTTACCACCCCATACGACACACTTGACACATTCCTAACCTTCGCCATTATGTCCACCCTTCCGACGACGGAGAAGCCCGTCGCCTCAAAAGCTGCTCACCCAGCCTTCTTCATCGCGTACGTTGAATCTTTCTCCTTCCTGGCCTCACACTTCTGCTTTGCAGCTCATCTGACCGGCCCCTAGAAGTTGGATCTTCTTCTCAAACCTGACCATTCTTTTCAACAAATGGCTGCTTGACACGGCAGGCTTTAGTAAGTATATCTCATTACCTCTCATCATCTTCAAGTTCACAATAGCTAACCTCTATACAGAATATCGTACGTAACTTCTCACTACCGCAAGTCAACGATGCTTCATGTCCTTGGCCCCTCTCACTTGTTTCATTGACTGACGCCTCTCAGCTGTCATACTTACGTTCTGGCATCTCGTCTTCTCGACCTTCGCAACCCAGGTGCTGGCGCGCACCACCACCCTTCTTGATGGCCGCCACAAGGTCAAGATGACCGGCCGCATCTACCTGCGTGCCATTGTCCCCATCGGCCTCTTGTACTCCGGCTCTCTCGTCTGCTCTAACCTGGTCTACCTCTACCTCTCTGTCTCCTTTATCCAGATGCTCAAGGCCGGCGCCCCCGTGGCTGTTCTTTTCATCAGCTGGATCTGGGGCGTTGCTGAACCCTCGATGCAGACCCTCTACAACATCCTGCTTATCGTTGCGGGTGTGGCGCTCGCCTCCTTTGGCGAGATTGAGTTTTCATGGATCGGTTTCATCTTCCAGATGGGTGGCATCGTATTTGAGGCTATTCGCCTCGTCATGATCCAGGTCCTGCTCAAGGGCGATGAAAGCGCGCAAAAGATGGACCCCCTTGTCAGTCTGTACTACTACGCGCCCGTTTGCGCTGTTATGAACTTCTTCGTCGCCTGGGCCAGTGAGTTCAGCACCTTCAAAATGGAGGACCTGCAGAAGACCGGCGTCTCCATGCTGCTTCTTAACGCCAGCGTCGCCTTCATGCTCAATGTCTCAAGTGTGTTCCTGGTAAGTCACCCCCTTACGGAAATTGACTCCATCTTCTTCGGCCGCTAACGAACCCAGATTGGCAAAACATCGGGTCTTGTCATGACCCTCACCGGCATACTCAAGAACATTCTCCTCATCATTGCCTCCGTCATTATCTGGCATACAAGTGTCACCTTCATGCAGTTCGTCGGCTACTCTATCGCTCTTTTCGGCCTCGTCATTTACTCGACCAGCTGGGAGCAGCTCAAGACCTTGGGCCAAGGCACCGTTACCAGGGTGCGCAGCGCCTGGAACTCTCAGGCCCTTGACGAGGGCCGTCTGTCTCCGCTTGTCCGCCGCGCGATCTTCTTCGGTCTCCTTGTGATAATCACCCTCATGCTTGTCGTCGGATTTGCGTACAAGGGCAAGGCGGCGCCAGCGGACTGGCTAACCAACGTCAGCTCTTCGAGCCGCTGATGCAACTTTTTTTTTCTCTTCTAATTTACTGTACAAAGCGGGGAGTTTCTGGTACGTCCATTGAAGATCGGAAGTGTGTCAAAAAACAGAACCCAAAGGACCACGAGATGACATCTTGTGTGTCATGTTTATAAGCGCGCCTGTAGGATCCAGGCCGTTGTGTTGACGTAGTGTATATCATGAGCAAGCATTTTAGATATACAGCCTTGGAATATATGACAATGAACAAGTATATGGCAACGAACAGCGACTTTCGTTGACGAGGGGAACATTAAACAAACTGGATCCCCCACAGCCACCCTATCATGCACGACGAAACTCTGCAGGCCAAGCCTTACTAACGGCAGGATTTCAACAGCAACGTCAGGCCATCCACCCTTCTGTCTCCTCGCTGCAAATGAGGCAAGCGGGACATACGTGTTAGTAAACGTGGAAAGTTTGACCTGACCTGACCTGCCACCCTCACCACATCGGATTTCTGCTTCGCACACCAACGGATATCGCGCAGATCTCAGTCAGCCGATCGCACAGGGGCTGTTTACCCCCCGCACACACCACTCACACATTTCAACGCCACGAAACCGAAAATAGCAACTGATATAATGGCTCTCACCAAGGACCTCCTCGCCTCGGACGAAGAAGGGTACCGCCGCGCCACGCAATCCGCCTTTCTCCGCGCCGCGGCGGCCGGACAGGCCCCCAAGGATGTCCTGGGTCGCTGGCTCGCCAACGACAGGCTCTATATTCATGCCTACATCAAAGGCGTCGGCCGTCTCCTGGAGGCCCTCAAGCTTTCCGACGTTGTGCCGGCAACCGAGACGGTCTCGGAGAAGCTGCTGCAGTGGCTCGTAGACGCGCTAGTCAACGTCCGCCGCGAGGAGAAGTTCTTTATCGAGACGGCCCGCCGTTTCGGTATCGAAGTCAACCTCCCCGCGTCCGAGAACGGCGTCGTCGCGCAGGAGGACAAGCTCGAGGGGCTGAGACGCTTTGAGGAGCTGTTTGGAGGGTTCGAAAGGGGCGGCAGCAAAGACGGGACCCTCGCATGGCTGGAGGGCGCAGTTTTGCTGTATGCTACGGAGAAGTGTTACCTGGATGCCTGGTCTGGTGCGAAGGACGCTCTGGATGGGGGTAGAGACGGCAGCGAAGACGCGGATGGCGGGGCGCTTAGGAAAGAGTTCATTCCCAACTGGAGCAGCCAGGAGTTTAGGGAGTTTGTGGATAATCTGGGAGCCATCATCGACGAGGGCGTCAAGGAGGTTGTGAAGGAGCAGGGTAAGGATGTTGAAGAGGGGTTGAAGGAGCGCGCATTGAAAGTTTGGAGGGAGGTCCTGCTTGCAGAGGAGCATTTCTGGCCTGCCTTGTAAAGAAATAAAGATCCCAAAAGTACTTGAGGGGTATTTACATCAAGATTAGAATTAGAAAAGACAATAAACATGGAGATATACACCTTAAGCCACGGGACAGCTTCATCTCATTCTAATAGGAACGTCAAGACCCTCAAGTCTCTTGTGTAGTAATTAACTTGTGTGCCATAAATAATGCAAATTATCAAAACCATTAAGCTCCACCTTGAATGAAGAGCTTCACATTCATCATGTGGACCACGTTTTGTTGTTGGTATTACCGCGGACCCAACGCCTTCGCTATGCTGTAACCAAGTCAAAACTCCTTCTCCTCGCCTCTTCAAAGAGAAATCAGTAGCACCATAAGCATGAATTAGACGACTATCACCCGCGGCGATTGGCCAGGTGTTTTCTCCTCCGCTGCTTCATCCTCCTCCTCCAATGGAAGAGGAACAGAAGACGCAGCCTTCTCCGTCTTCGTCTCGGTGGCAATGCTCACCGGCTCCGCAGCCACAACGGTGCTCACAGATGGCGTCTCGCTTTCATCTTCGTCAAGCTCGGAGACTTCCGTAACTGTGCAAGTGAATGCGTGGTTCTCAACTTTTGGTGTCTTCTCCTTGTCTGTACCGACATCTGTGCTCGTGGCGAAAGCCGCTTCTGTAGCGGCGATCTCAGATGCTGGGATGATGTTCGGGTCGACGCAGTCATAGAAAAGCATAAACACGTTGTGTTGGTCCAACAATTCCTCCTCGTCAATTCTCCTGACGCTCTCATCGCTCAAACGCCACCAGTCCATTTCCGTCTCATTATCATCATCCTCCCGAGTCTCAGGCTTCTTGGTGGGGGAGGCCAGGGTATCACTATCAGCCTTGTCACTGCTCTCCTTGGCTTCAGCAATTGGTGGCGGAGAGTGACGGGGGAACTTGCGGTAGCAGACATAGTGACCATTCTCGTGCCTGCCGTAATGGGTAACGACGGCGCGGAGCTCGTAGATCGGGCCCGTGATGTACGACTTACGCTTGTCTCCTGCAATCATTGAGGATCTCGGATCAAGCAGCCACTGCTCCTCCTCGGATGCGTCGCTCATTGCAGGAGATGATAAACCGTCCGTTGGTTCGCTGACTGCAGCCGTAGAGGGCCTCGGGGCACTGCCTAGACACCATGGGCCAAGATCCAACGTCAGAGGAAATCGGATTCCAGCGGAATTTTTGTACATGGCGCCAGTGTTCTCGTCAAAGACAGATCTGTTCATGTGAACTGCGAGGCTTTGCGGAGGGCGAGCGATGACCGCCTGCTTTGTTTTCGTCGATGAAACTTTGAACTGAGATGGGAACTTGCACTTCTCGGTAAGTGTCTTGTCTTCGAAGTCGTCCTCTTCTAACGCCTCCTCCACAGCAGCTAGCCGCGACCTTGGCTCCTTTAACTTCTCTTCGTCTGTGGATCCCTGAGCCCGGTCGATAAGGACTGTCAAAAGTCGCTTCGCCTTCAGCAAGGTGCATTTGCCGCATTCAACCCCCTCAATCGATTCGATATGCGCATACGCATCCAGGAGCTCATAGAGGTCATGATCGTTGCCATCCGTATTCAAGCTAAGCGTAAGGCAGTTGAAAGGGATCATAGAGAGACCGTCAGAATGGCCGCATTCTACACAGGCGACTCGCTGCGCAATCAAGCCTTCTAGAGGATTTCGCAAAGACTTCGATGCCGCACTAATTTTAGAAACCGTGGACATGCTCTGGTAGCCACTATCGTCGCTGTGCTGGCTCGTCGCAGTGTCATCATTGGCGCAGTCCGACTCGAACCCTGAAAGCTTCTGCGTTGCCTTTGAGACTTTGGCTATCTCTCTGTCTACCTCGTCGAGTAGTTTCGAAAAGTACTCCTGTGCGTCCTGTTGTTGCCAGGTGCTCATGTTCTTCAGCGAGCCTGGGGTCCATAAAGTTTTTCCATAATTCCGGGCACTGTTAAGATCTTCTATCAAGTTTCGCAGCGTATCGACGGCCTCGACCTTTTGGCGATCAATTTCGTTGTCTTGGATGGGATCGGCTAGGTATTTTGGTAGTGGCTTCAACGAAGCGAGACCTTGAAGAATGCTATTCTGGTAGCAAGAGTTATCGAGGTTTCCCAGGCCCGGTGGATGGTCGCCGAATCCCTTGAAGCCCATCATGACGCCGGAGACAGAAGATAGGCCTCTGATGCCAGCCTGAGAAACCGTTCCCATGATGCCACCCTGCCTGTCAATTCCAAGTATCTTTCGAAGAAGCTCACTCTTTGCGGCATGCGTTCTCGCTCGGTTCTGGAGCATCGGTCGTGCGAACAGTGGTGGATGTAGCCAACCTTCGATGAGAGTCAAGGCGTCGTAGGGTGTAAACCACACTATTATGTCCCAAAGGGTCTGACCGGCACGGGAGAGAAGAGTGGTTGGAAGAGCAGATGCGCCGAAGACGGAGTACAGCGCAGTTAGGACGAGAGCGAATAGGGATACTACGACACTCGGCTCGGACAGCCTTGTCCAAAAGCTCTGGTCAGTATAGGGGCTATGTCGTCTGTAAGGATCAGGCCCGTCGTAAAGGTCCTTGTATCTCGAGCCCGGTGAATTCATAGTGGTTTGAGGAGTGCTACTTGGAAAGTTGTCCTATTGTTGCTGTTTACGGAATCGAAGCGAACAGCTTTAAACAAGCTTGAGCGATGAAGTGGCTGAAGAACCGAGCGCTGCCATGTCGGGGGATGATTAATCGAAGGAGTGTTTGGGGCGATGCTTCGCGAATTAGATGGTGTGGGTGCTGCTCGTGTGATCAAAGAAAGAAAGGCTCTGGAATGTCTGGATTTCTGCACTGTTGGGCAGTTTGAATGGAGTAAAGTTCCACGGTTCGTCAAGCAAAGGTGATGAGCGGGACCAAGGGTTCCACAGGGGCAAACTCTCAGACAAGGACTGGTCAGTGCGTAGCATGCCTTTCCCAGAGGCTTGTGATTGCCCCCCTTCCCTTATCGCGATAAGATAAAGAATTTCCATCCAGGAAATTTCATCTATCCCCCACAACGGTGGGATGGGTGCTTGACTGACCTGCATCACCAAGAACCAGAAAATTTACTTAGTTGCAAAAATGGCAAAGCCGGGAGTTTCCAAGAAGAACAGACGTAGGTGTTCTCTTCTAAACTGTTATCACTGTGTCTAATCAGATTCTTAGAACCCTCCATCCACTCAAGAGCCGCGAGGCGCGCAACGGACTTGGACATCGACACCGACAAGTCTCTTAAGAATGTGAAGCCGCCAACAGAAATAGCCGACCACCGGCCTTCAGTTCTGGCCGCCCAGCATAATTCGGGTGTGTCCAAGAAGACGAAGAACCGCAAGTCGCAAATGAGCGCCAAGGCGAAGAAGAGGAACGAAAAGGCCATGGATCGTGCAGAGGCCATCATGGAAAGGACCGCCAACAAGATCGAGAAGAGCAAGAGCCATTCGCGGAGGATCCAAGCGCGGAGCAAGGGATGGGAAGACATCAACAAGGACAAGAGGTTTCAGAAGAAGTTCCCTGATGAAGAAGACCTGGAGCAAGAGGAGAGGAAAGACAGACAACAGATCACCGCCGGGAAGGACTGGGAGACGGACGAGGAGATGGACGGTGCTGACGAGGAGGATGCACCTGCCAATAATGCCGCGCAGGCATCCCTGCCACAAACTGATGATTTTGACGAAGAGATTCTGTAATTCATCCTTTCTTACTTCGCTCCGGATTGCTCAAAAAGAGGTGTCTTGTCAGACTGCGCCTCTGGCAGGGCTATGAGACTTATGATAGATACCCTAAACGATGTTGGTTCGAGATCACTACTAAGATGCCTTGTCTTGAGAATTGTAAAACTAGCCAATGTCACAGTCTTATACGAACTTCAGGAGGCTATCGACACCTTGACCGTCTTTGTGTATCAGGCTTTAGAAGAAATTGATTCAACCTCAGCAAAAAGCATGGCGGGGTCAATTGGAAGGTATTGCTGCGGAAGCTCCACTAAAGTGCACTAAACTTACAGGGCTCAGTGGGGACGCTTCTGCAGGCACGTCCCCAGCCTCTCGGTCCAATCCTTCCCTGTGTGCTTCTATCGATCTAAATCTTGGAATTTCAACGTCATCCCTTCCATACATCGCTCCGCCTAATCACCAGCCAACATGCCACCAAAGCGCATGACAGCAAACCCCGTCAAGCCGGCGCGTTACCGCGCCGGCAAACCCGTGGCGCCAGAGGCGTCGTCTTCGGACTCAGATAGCAGCGACGACGAGACCAGCAAGGCTGAGGCCGAGACCAAGACTAGAGCCATTCCACCACCCCCCAAAGCTGCGAGCGCCGCCAAGATTGCCAGCAATCTCAGCAAAGTTAATCTTGATGAACGCAGACGTCAGGCGCAGGAGCAAGAAGAACGGAGAGTAGCGAGAGAAAAGGCAGAGCGTCTTGCCGCAGAAGAAGGCTTCGTGACAGAAGAAGAGGAGGATGAAGGAGACGATGATGAAGAAGAGAGCGAGAGTGGAAGTGAGGAAGAGAGCAGCAGTGAGGAAGAAGCACCCCGTCGACTCATGATCCGACCGAAGTTCATTCCTAAGAACCAACGCAATGCCGCCAAAGATCCATCAGGCCAGAGCTCGACGGTAAAGGATGAGGAGACGCGTCTCGCGGAGGAAGAGGCCCGGCGCAAAGCGGCAGCCGATGCTCTGGTCGAGGAACAGATTAAGAAAGACTTAGCTGCGCGTGCTGCGGGGAAGAAGCACTGGGACGACGATGAAGCGTCCGGTTCCGACGTCGACACAACAGACGACCTTGATCCAGAGGCAGAGCTGGCGGCGTGGCGACTGCGGGAGCTGAAGCGTGTCAAGCGCGAGCGCGATCGAATTGCGGAACAAGAAGCTGAGTATGCGGAGCGCGAGCGTCGGCAGAACCTAACACAAGAAGAGCGTGATGCCGAGGACGCGGAGAAGATTGCCAAGCAGAAAGAGGAGAAAGACAACCGCGGCAAGATGTCGTATCTGCAGAAGTACTACCATAAGGGTGCCTTTTATAGCGATGAGGCCAAGGCGTACGGGCTCGACAAGCGCGACATCATGGGCATGCGGATTGCGGACGATATCAAGGATCGCAGTGCGCTGCCTGAGTACCTCCAGAAGCGCGACATGACCAAGCTAGGCAGGAAGGGTGCGACAAAGTACAAGGATCTCAAGAGCGAGGATACAGGACGGTGGGGAGAATTTGAAGACTCTCGCAGCCGAGATAGAAGGGGAGGTTTCGATAGGTATGGTGTCGACGAGCGGTTCCAGCCGGATGACGATCGTGGGGCCAAGGGTGCCAACGCCATCCCTTTGGGCGACCGCAAGACGGATGGTCCTAAGGGTGATCGGTCACGGGGCGATGACAGTTATGGCCGAGACCGCGACAGTGACCGGAGAGACAGAGACCGAGACAGGAGGGACAGGGATGGTGACAGGTACCGACGTCGGGACGACTATCATCGGAGGGAGAGGTCCAGATCCAGGTCACCACGGCGAGACTCTCGAGATGAGTATAGAGACCGGCGGAAACGTAGCCCCTCCCGCGAAAAGGACCGTCATGATAATGACAAGCGGCGGCGCGTGGATTAAGATAAGGCCGTGTCTTAATTGTATTAGAGTGTATCCTAATCAGTCTCATCGTGGAGCGATGCTGAATATATCCAAACTCCTAATGAAACCTTGCCGCCGTCATATACATAGAAGAGTCATTCCCGTACATGCCCTAGATTTTCTTGACCTCCACACGCGCACGATCGAAAATGCCGTGGCTCAACATGGCCTCCGACTGGCCATCGACCTTTAACGGGAATAATGTGAGTCGCGCGTATGTGCCTGCACCTCGCCTCTTCGACAGGTAGCCGGGGTTAATCACAAGCACGCTCTCAACAACCTAATCGAAAGGTTAGACACATTGGCACCTGCAGCATGGATGGAATATCTACCTTAGCAAACGGTGGGAGGAAACTAGGAACAATCAGCACATCAGGTCGAACGTTGACCATCTCACCCAGCCTTAGGTAGCTAAGATCTAACATAGCACCTGGTGGTATTCCCTCCTCAGTGCCAGTCTTGGGCAGCTTCTGGCGATCCGTGGGCGGGAAAAGTGGGAAGAAGTGTCTCTGCTCAAGCAAATGTCGGGAAAGCCTCGACAAAGGATTAGTGTCCGAGGGGCGAGCGACCAGTTCCTCATGCTTCAGCTGCCAAAGAATGTCTTGAGAGGAAATGCCCATGACCATTTCGTTCATGGACAATGTCATGGGGTTGGTGACAATTCTAGCTGTCTTGGGGAGGCCGAGTTCCTTCTTCAGGACGGAGTCTTGAGGCCAGGAGACGTGTTTGTCAATGACGTCGCGGACCGAGGGAACAAGAAGTATTGTGATACTGGGGTTAGCGGATACCAGACGGTTGAGAGCTGGAGAAAACAGGTATTTGAAGACCGTCGACATGGTTGCAGTATCCGGCTCGATGACCGCTTCTTCAGGCAAGTCGAAGTCACCAGTGGCGATTAGGGGATGCTCGCTGTCGATAAATGGCCCTGTGAGAACAAGAGCATCGGCATAGGTGTCGGCTGCTTGGTCACAGAGAGCATGCAGAGGCTCGAAGTCAAGGTTGTCATCTGCGGTGTAGGGTCCGGAGGCGTAAATGACGTTCAGGGGCGCGGGGTCCGAGTCTGTATCCATGGCGTCGGGGTCTCCTCGCAGCTTTTCGCGATGTGCGGCCAATGCAGCTGGTGTTGAGGCGGCATTAGGAAGTAAGGGGACTTCGAGAACATCTTCAACAACGAACTCATTTCCGGATGTGTTGATGCCCTTCAGAGCCACAACCTGGCCAGGGAAAAAGCTATATCCTTTGTTCTGCATGTTCAGCGAAACACGTTGGCCGCCACCCATTCGTCTTGACAGTTCCAATACGAGAGATGCTGCGTTCAACTTCCCCTCTGGCGCATCAGAAGCGATGCGGCCGACAGCGATTACTGTTGTAGTGCTTTGACTAGCTGCGCTGCCAAACTCTGAAAGATCAAGCTTGTGGTACTCCTGAACAATACTCATGAACTCGTCTATCCTGTCATCGAGGATCTCGGAAGCTTCAGACAGCTTCATGGCCAGGGGTTTATATGCAAGCTTCTTTTGGTCCGACGCAGCCGTCAACTTGATACGGGATTCTGAGTAAGGGCAGATGGGTGCCTCAGGAGGGCTTAAGTGATCGTTCAAAACTTCAATGGTGTCGCCAGCATTTTGTCGGTCATTGAAGGAACTCGGACTAAGTGCGGTTATTAGCTTCCTTGCACACGTGGTCTCTCACAAATTGTTGCTCACATCTGCATCGAGTTCAGCTGTTCCTCCATCCTCGAAGCCCCCTTGTAGTCGGGTGAACTGGAAGGAATCTCGGCCTTGACTCTTGACATGGTTGGCGTCTCATGCGTTTTCTTGCGCAGGCTGCTAGACTTGTTCAATTTCCCTGACGACGGCGTACTTGGCACCAGGCCATCCAGCATGCCAAATACATCACCACCTCTTACTCTGGGGGTACCATGCCCGCGCTTCTCGGACTTGATGTGCGTCTGTTGTTTGTTGATCTTCTCCAGTGTGTCCTGAATATCCTTCTTGAAATTGCGAATATGGGTAATTTGGGGGTTCGTGGCGTCCATATCCATCTTGATGCAAAAAGATTCCCATTTGTAAAAAACGTCCTCTGCAGAAAGCTCATGCAAACGCATTATGGACTGGAGTTCGGAGAGAACGTCGGGCTCAAGGCCCTTGTCACCTGAAGTGAAAAGCTCCTGGAGCTCAGATTCGGCCATGATATCAGTGGTGATCAGTCGCAATTCTTGTTTGTTGCCGGTCAATTTAGTCTCAAAGGGGAAGTTTGAGGATTGAGCCTTCAGTGCGACGCGTGAAGCGCGTCGTGGGGAAACTGGCGCGTAAAGTGCAATTAGGCGGGGTTACAGTGCAACTAGTTCATCTGCACGGCTTTCCGTTGTCCCTTAGTGGTCCTAGCCTCCGATTCAACACATGCACCGCTTGCCAGTGCCACAATAAGATTGACAACACATACACAGGGTTTAATCTAACAAACAGAACCTTCTCGGGTATTCGAGTGTTTGTATGCTGTTGCAGCCTTCTAGTAACTAGTACACTTGATCTTCCTATCAACCTCAATGCTTTAGATCGCACTTCCAATGCAGCAAATTCAATCACCAAACGGGATCGCGTGGGGGGAGGTCCTGGAGCTCAGCACTCTCCTTCGTCATGAAAACCTCTGTTACCTTCTGAGCTTGCTGGGCGAGCCCAAATTTGATGACAGCCTCAGTGCTGACATCGTATCTAACCGTTTTGTCTTCGTTTCTTTCAAGGACGTCTGCCATACCTCCAGTGAGCTGGGTAAGATAGACACGATAGTTTTCAGAGTGTCGGATAGCGCATCTATTCGTCTCTGACTCTGAGTGAGCAGTAAGGGCAGACACGTCTTTAAACCAGCGCAAGCATCCAGGGCATTGAAGCTTGGCGTTGTAGTGAGAGATGGATGATTTCATGTGTGCAACCAATGATTTAGCCGAACCAAAAGTTTTACTGCTGGCGTTAATGTAGAAACTAGAATCCGAGAACGGGTAACTTACAAGCACGATTTCTGAGGGCACTTGAATTTGCCAGAAAATTTGTTGTAGTACCTATTTTCGTCAAATCTAGGGTGGTAAGGGTTGTTGATGTCACCAGTCGTCGAGGCAGTCGTGGCAATCAGGGTACCCGAAGCAGACTTGTCCTCAATGCTGGCCCCTTTCTGCAAAGATTCCTCGGCCTCCTTGAGGTCGGGGAAGTCATCGGGCTTGAAAAAGGAAGGGTGGGCCATGTAAGGCTTAGAGACGATGCTCATGGCTGACTGAACACTTGGATGATTGACCGGGAAATAGTCACCAAACTGTGAGCCGCTTCTCTTCTCCAGCTCATGGGCGAATAGCAGTTTCTCGGCTCGATTTTTGTCAACGTCTGCTCGCTTGATTCCATAACACTCATCGTGTTCCAGATGCTTCATCCATCCAGCCAGGCGAACGAAACGATTCTGGCAGCCAGGACAGACGATGTTTTGGTCATAGGGATGTGCCTATAATTTACATATTAGCCATTATCTTTGCCACATTACTTGTTGTACTCTGAGTTTTTATGCTGATGCTTTTCACGTAGCCGGAGGGTGTTTTGCTCACCTCTAGCATGTGTTTCTGCTGAGCATCCATGGTTTTGAATTCCATGGTGCAAACCGTACAGTGTGCGTGGGTGCCTTTGATTTTCATCGCCCAAAGTTTGTGTTTTATGAGACCCTGCTCATCATCAAAGAGTTCTTGACAAATATGACAACGGACTGCCTTGTGAGGAGGAACTGTGAGCTTCGCCTTGCCCGCATTAGGCACGCTGACTTGAGAGTTGGGTCTCTCCGAAGCTTCAATGGTAGACATGATGGCTTAAAATAATGATTGGCTGACGGGATGGGCTTGTGTTGTGGAGTGAAGAGCAACCTACAATTGGGTTGAGGTCCAGACAGATGGTTAGGCTGGATGGAAGAGGGAAGACGTGGGGGAATCAAAAAACTATATAATGTTGCGGAATCAGAAAGGAAGAGAGCAATAAGAACAACTGAGGGGAGAAAGCAAAAGAGTTGAAAACGGTTTCTGTTCTCCCCTTGTTCCTTCCAATAATAAATTCCAAGCCTCTCATTTTGGTAAGGTCTTTCCTTCCTGAGTAACAAGCAAACAAATAGCTGCTCGAAGGATACAGAAGACAATTAGAATAGAAGGTGGTTAGCCGATTGAATGATCAATATAAATAGAAGTTGACACCCGTAACTTTTCGCGAACTCGAGCATATCTTGTAAGCGGCATCGACTAGCCCATGCATTTCATGTTGCTCTCGATCGTTGATGTTTTCGAGGTTGAGCGGTCGGTTATTACAAAAGAATCACCGGCCGGGCAGTGTTTTCCAAGAAGATCCAGGGCTTTAGAAATGCATCTTAGAGAAATATGTCCGATTCCAACCATACGGCATACTTACCAACCGACTTCTGACATGAGTGAAATGGGTTCTGCAAATACGGGGCATGTCATTCTCCTCGTGCTTCTGTAGCATATAGTTTATACCACGCAACAACGGCATACCTGTGACGAAAGCCCTATAACTAACATAAAAGCTCATGTTCTACGTTAAGTAAGGGTGTGAAGAGGGTTGTGACCCATCACTGCGATTTCCGACAGTGACTTGAAACTTCAAGTCTCGGTCCCTTGGTCCAGTCGTGAAGACTGGAGCCAATCAGCAAACCTTTTCGATCACAGTATTTAAGCGACCGTGATTACGATCATGTTCAAAGGCAAGATGAGGTCATTGGAGCGCTGCAAGCCATACTTATGCGTGAGGCGAGTAGGCCGCACATCTATTTGGAAGTTTCCATAATCGAAAAAACCCGTTGGCGAGAAAAAAGACCCTGATCTTGCTCTGGTAGCGTGTATTATGCATTAACCTAACATATAGAGGGTTACAGAATATCCGACATGGAAGTGAAGGCCTCGTTCTGGAACACTAAACCTAGGTATAACGTCCACCGTCACGCAACTTGAGGGGTACTGATGAGGGAGAAGCAATGTTACTTACAATCATGCGACTTTTCAGTCTTTGATATGCCTCGGCGGCGAGATCAGGTAAACCCTATGTCTCAGTCTCTGGGGGAAATTAGGATGCTCATCGCATGGCTTCCCGATCGGTATGGTCATGGTGCTAGACCTGTCTCGGTTTTCCGGTACAGGTCATCCGGCAGCCCTATCAAATTATGTACAACGGCGGCTCCCAGCCAGGCATTTCTACCCCTTCCCTGTTTATGCACCTCCCGGCCTCCTGACATCAGTCACCACAACGTCAAGACCGCCATTGTCTCAGACAGTCTGACGTTTCTTCAGCATGATTCTGGATACATGGATAAGTATGACCACGTCTAGTTTTCGTGCATGATCGATACGACGATGATTTATCGGCTTCCTGCATGTCAACAACTCTCAAATAATTAGTTTGCCGCTCCTCAAGTAAAGAAGACAACGTCCTCCTAATGTTGTTCATGGGTTATGTAGGCGAAGTGGCTGCAAAGGGCACATCCGACACTAAACCTGCTTATATCCAGCTATCAAGCCCCAATATTAACTATCAAAGACCTCACCAGCCTCCCACAATACGCCGAACCAAATACTATTCAAGTGAGGAAGCCTCCGATTAAGACACCACAGCACAGCCCAGAAACGAGAAAACACAAAAGGGTAGTCCGGCCCTTTCTCAAATTCCCACCATCCAGAGTACCGATTTACCAAAACGCTCTTTGGCACTCAGGCCTCCGATTAAACTCCGACTCTTCAAACAAAGAACAAAGAAAGACAACAGCCACCGACCCCGTACTAGAACACCTTAGTGCTCGCCTTTATGATTCCAACCCCAATCGGACACTGTTACCCTTTCGTCTCCAAGATAGAAGCGGGCTGCCTAGACCAAAATTTGCAAAGCTCCAGACCGACGTTGTCCTGCTGTGGCTTGTCCGCCACCACTATCCGCTCCGGCAGCACCGTGAACTTGGATTCGCAAGTTCCGCCCAGAACAGCCGGCAAGGTTTTTGTAAAGACCGGAATTCCTTCGTCATACACATCGGCAAGGTACTAAAAGCTACTCGCCCCCTTCCCAAGTGAAAATCGAGGTCATCTGTTCGCCCCTATCCGTTAAACCCTAACAAGAAAGAAAAGGAGTAGACGCTTAGGAGGCGTTGCCTATCAACCAACATTGTTCGCCGCTTTTATTGGGCTCATTCTTAGGGCCAATATCATTTAGAACCACTTCCCAACCCCCCCTCGTCTTCTCCTATTTTGCCTGATAGATCACTTATTATTCTTTACAATGTGTCCCGTCATTTCACACAAACTCAAGAGCGAGGCGACGCACAGCCCAAACAACGAGATGCCCCTCCCACTCATTCCACTTGTCTTCGCCGCCCACTTCGCTCACACAGTAACCACTGTCATAACGGCGGAGGCGCGGCGCAAATCAGCCGTCATAGCAAGTCACTTCGACTCCCTTCGCCTACAGGTCCGCGGACCAGAGCACTCCTTCACTCCCTTTTCGAGACTTCCGGCTGAGCTCCGCCTAAAAATCTGGAACCACGCGCTGCCGCCGCGGACGCTCCTCGCAACACATGCGCCGAACCCAGCACTTCTCTCAGTGAACCGAGAGGCCCGTTATGAGGCTCTGAGGAGGTACACCCTCGTCAGATTAAATACCTGGGGAGATCGGCGGATATACATCGACTTCAACCATGACAGCATTGCCATTGTCGAGGGCAAGGGTGGCGGTGGCTTTCCTGTTCGCGGTGCCAGGCATGTCATCGTCGTTTGTGAGGAGCCGTTCAGGAGTCCAGCTTCTTGGTTGAAGTGCCGGTATCGTTCTGGTCTGGACTCAATCACACTGGTTCTTGGCGGTGCTACGAGATCAAACATAGTGCCGTTCCCCGAGATCAAGGAATTGGGTACACCGAGTAGCATGCAAACCCGACTAGGACTTTCCAAGGAAGAGGCAGAGAGGATAGAAGATGAGTTGCGGGACTTGGCCCAAGGATGGGGGCACACAGAAGTCCGTGTTGGAGAGTTTGTTTAAAGGGCGAAAGTAACTATCTGAATCATTGGACGGCGTACTGTTTACTTGGGATAGCGACCAGAATACCCCATTTCCTTATGTAGTCAAGTTTATTTAGTTAATTCATCCGTGATGATCCGGTAATAATAAATACTATCTGTACAATTCATGTGCTTTCATAGCCTGCTTCGCTCGTTACCCAAATATACACTTCCGAGTTTCAACATGTCGACCGCTTCCTTGACCATTTCATCCACAATCTCTCCTGCTGGCTGAATCTTATCGATGGCACCAGCCACTTGTCCCATGAGGTGAGGCGGATCGACGTCGTTGCCCTCATTGAAATCAAACTCGATAGGAACGATACCCTGGTCACAAAGCTGCTTGACACGGTCTGGCTGCGAGTGCCACTTGCGAATATACTCGTTGGTCTTCATCCGTAGCGGTCTGCCAGACAACACAAGTGTGCGTTCCGTGCCGTCGAACCCACATGATACAACCTCCTCCTTGTGCTCTTGACTGCACCCAGCCTCGACAGAGGCCACGAAGCGAGTGCCAACCCATACGCCTACAGCGCCCTGCATGAGCGAACTCGCCAACGACCGACCGTTATAAATACCTCCCGCAGCGATCACAAGCGCAGTTCCCCCGTTCAGCATCTTGGGTCGGTACCTCCTTGCCACATCCACAACGGCCGGAATGAGAACTGAGTTGGCCACATCACCAGTGTGTCCGCCTCCCTCGCCTCCCTGCGCGCAAATAATATCAACGCCGAGATCTAGCGCCTTGACGGCGTGCTTCGGATGGCCAACCATGTTCATGACATAGATGCCCGCGTTATGTAGCTTGTCAATAACGTGCTTGGGGGGCACACCGACGGCGCTGACGAAGAGACGGGCGCCGGACTCGATTGTGATGTCGATGAGCTCGTCGAGCTTGCCACCCGTGTAGTCGTGGTTGGTCTTGCGTGCGTTGCCGCCAACTTGGGGGAGGGCGAGGTCGACGCCAAATGGGAGATCTGGGGACTTGAAGTTCTCCTTCATCTCGGCGATGATCTCTCGCAGCTGATCCGGGGTGTACTGGAAGCCACCAATGACACCGAGGCCTCCTGCATTGGAAACAGCGGCAGCGAGAAGTCCGCCAGACGTGCGGGCCATACCAGCAAGGAGGATAGGATGTTTAACCCCTAGAAGGGTAGTTATGGGCGTCGTGATTGGACCTGTGGGTGCCATTTTGAATGAACCTCAGCTGTCTGTGAAGTTGAACAGTTGGATTTTCGATGAGGATCAGTTATCAAGATTCCGAGAACGCTGGGAGGAGCAGAAAGCGGCTGTGTAAGAAATGCTTCAATTGGAAGTGCTATGCAAGATGTATTAGATAGCAGTCACGGGAAAGAAATACAATCGGAATAAAAAACACACACGAGGAAACGCAGAGCTCGCTTCTACATTTTAGTTATCTTTGGCATACCAAGCTGGGTACCTAGGTAATCTAGGTAATCTGGGGAAATCTTGCCGGAGAGGCGAGTGTGGGGAGCTCAGCTGCGGGGAAATACACCGAGGCAATTGCCTCCTTGGGACAGCAGTTCGCCCAAAGGCCCCGGCTCCGGGAGGCCTGAAACTGGATGCCATAGGTGCACGTGAGGCACACCACAAAATCTCGTGCTTGTATGAATGGGAAATCGAATGAGTGCCATGTGCTTATCAATTGTCTGTGTCACCACAAATTTTGGCGAGAAACACTACGAGGTCGAAATGACTTTTTCAAACATAATTCGATGATCGTGCTGCTCTATTGAAATGCTCATATCCCGTTCAGGACATTGGTATCATAAATGACATGATTATTCGTCGGGAGCCCCCGACTATTAATACAACATTGCAATCGACGCTTGGGGTCGAACTGTAATTCGCAATCCATAAGTATGGCCCCATGCGTCTTGTCTGTGAGCTACCTGAAGTTTGGTAGCCGTGCGGGAACGAATTCCTCAGTTGGTATAAAGTGTTCCTCTTGCATCGTAGGCCGGATCACCGGCGCTTCGTTACTGTTCATTATTTCTTCCGTTGACTCGGGTGGCGGCCCCCTCTGACTCGGAGGCTCTGACACATGCTCCACCCCGATCACTTTCGCATCCGAAATTCCTTCGGGGGGAGGCGCTTCGGGCCCGACATCATGCAGGCCACGTTCCGATGCCAGTTGTGAAGCAGCCCGCCGCTTGCGCTCCACTTCCTCGTCCTCTTCCCGCTGGATCCGCTCTTCCTCCTGCTGCAGCTCCTCCATCGAGAGTGCGAATGGTGTGTCTGGAGTATTAGGTATGCTTGTCGAGCCTCTTCGCGGCCTTGGACTGAGGATTGAATGGTTGGAGTTGATGGTAGCTCTTGATACTGTCCGAGACATTGGGCGGCCGTCTGCTCGGCGCTTGCCCTTGCTAGATTTCGTCTTACTGCTGCTCCGGTCGTCCCGAACCTTGTCCAGGACCATAAACTCGTCGTCTAAGGGCACGGCATCTTCCTCACCCTCGCCGTCACTGGGGAACAAATCACCCCGAGACCTATACGAGTCTGACGTATCCCCCGACCCTGTCGTCCCGCTCCGATTTCTAGTCTTGGCAAATCGACTTTGATAGATGGCATCATCCGAGTCGTCGTCTCCGAGAAGAGGCTCAGCCTCGCCCATGCCCATCTCATCATGCTGTCGAGGGTGATCCTGCAGATCAGCCGCGCTGGGCTTGTATCGAAGCGTCTTACCCAGTTTCCATGGCAACTTGCCCAAGAAGCCTATCGGCTGTGTGCTGGGGATGATGGTTGGATCAGATTCAGACACTTTGCTCCCTCTGCCTCGTGTCCCGTAGCTCATCCCACGCTTCCTCTTGGGTTGATCTTGCACTTCGCCAGCGTGCTTACGTTGGGACCCAGTGCCCGCGAGTAGGCGATCCCAGTCGTCATTGCTCCAGCCACCCAAGAATCCGCCATCCTGGTCCTCGGCGTACCAATCGTCGTAAAAGTCAAAGCTGTATTCCGCTCGCCCGCCTGCACGCTCTCGCTCTCGTCTTCGTCTCGCCCGCTCTTCTCGATCGCCTAGACAAGGGGTGGCGCACTGTTCTATCGAGCTGGCAAGGGCGGCAAGGCAGGGATTGATGTAATGATGCTGGAAACTCCAGATACCAGCGGCTGCATTTTCTGTCACTTCTCCAGCATTATGCGATATCTGGTTCCAGCGCTGGCGGAGTCGCGGATCTTCGAGGAAGTGAGTAGCCATGATGATGATGGCTGCGGGTCTGGAAAGATGACGTCGCGGGCATAAGAAGAGAGTGCGTCCTGCGATCGGCTGGCCTCGACCAATTCAGCTCTCTCTATTTGTATCGCCGAGGCCTTGAGATTGAAATAGAGCAGAGAAATGCAACAAAAAGAGTGGGTAGGTCGGGCAAGGAGGCAATCAAGAGGTGAAGGGAGCCATGGAACGGGGATAAGGCGAGTAATGTTGGTTTCAAATGCGTCGAAAACAAAACGCAGTCAATCTCAGCTGTCAAAAGTTGGGCCCAAAATTCCACTGGTCGCGGCGCTTCTCCCCTCAGGTAGCTGCAGGTGCAGCGGCAGAGCGGGTGCTGATGGGCTTTACATTATCGAGGGATGGCACGTGCGCTGAAGCTGCTTACACTGTTGTGCTTGTTTCCTGTGGCTGTGTGCTAGGGAAAAAATACCACTTGTTGCTGGGTGGATATGGGGAAATTGCGAGGCATCTTTGGGGTGTTGGTCAGCTGTGGCTTAGCGTTTTCCTGACCCCTGGTAGCCGACGTCACAATCGTCAAGTGAGGACTAGGATGTCCAACAATGCCCTGATGTTTTGATAGTGAATCAACGAAATAGAGGTGCCCGAATCTGCCTTGTTAAATTGCCAAATCTTCATGGTAAGAGACACTCAGACTGCAAAGCTCACTGACCTATGTGGAGATTTCGCTTGTATTCAGAACCGCTGCTACAGAACAATGTTGCCATACAAGACAGAGTCTACCAGAACCAAACAGTACTCAAATCCTCGCCACTCATACGGTGGAACGCTCCTTGATTTTCACGGCTGGTGTAGCTGCGCAACTTTTTCCAGCAATTGCCGACGTCCGCCTTACCTAAATCGCAAACAGCGAAACAAGCATGTTGATCTTTGATCGACAGAAGCGTGAAATACGTGCAAGGAAACGAGTCGATGCCCCACAAAGAGTCCATCTACCCCCTTGTGGTTTATTGGCAGCATCTTCACTGTCAGGTTGAGATCCTCCCGTAGTACTGGCCGCTGACGTACTCCGTCCGGATTCCTAATGACCGTTCGTCGTAGCTTGAGGCGCTGGCGGCCGCTCTGGTCCGTAAGGACGAGGCGGCTCTGGCTCCGCAGGTTGAGGCTCTTCCTCCGTATCGTCGTCGAATTCGCTCGGGTCCTCCTCGCCCTCCTCCTCATCGGAGTAATCGCTCCCATCGCCATCCATATGGCCGTTGCTATCGGAATAGCAACTTTCCAGAGTTGCCGCCATCCCCGGTGGAACCTTGCGACCCTGTTGCTGCATCTGTTCGATGATGCTCCTCAGTTTCTCGGCCCTTTTGGTCGCTTCAGCGGCCTTCTTCCGCCAATCCTCGCGCTCCTCAGCCATGCGGATGATGTTGGCGTTAGTAGCCTCGTGCTTGCGCTTCATCGTCTCGTTCTCCTTCTCTAGACGCTTCGTCTTCTTCGACATGTCCTCCATTTCTTTCCGAAACGTCAAAAAGAGGTCATTACTGTTATTAAGCGTGTCCTCAACCTTGATGTGTCAGCGAACAAGCCTCGTGTACGAATCTCAGCTAACATGTCCGTACCTGCTTGAACTTGTCAACGTAGACGTTGAGTTGGTTCCTCAGCTCAGTTTCGGTCTTAGTGAATGTCTGGACCTGGGTCTGAAGATTTCGCGCCCTGGTTGCCTCGGCCTCGGCCAGCTTCTTCTCTCGTTCATAGCGTGCCATGTTGTACTGAACTTCCAACTCTTTCGTACGCATTAAAGAATGAAAGTGTAGCTCACGCAGTTCATACTGTTCAATGAACGACTTGAAGCGGTTTCGGAAACTTTCTCCATGTTAGTCGCATGTTCGTCTGAGCAGAAGCCAAATTAGACCCACAGAGTATCAACGCTCATATCGACTACCTGCTTTCGCGGATGATCTTTCTCTTCCTGAATCCCTTCGAGCTTAGACAGCAGGGCCGCATGTTTCTCATCATAGGCCGCACTGTTGTGCTTCAGATTGTCTTGAAGAGTCTTGTTCTCGTTCTGGAACAAGGTCAGCGTGGTCCTCATCAGAATCCTTGACGAGGTGTATCGCGGACCTTATACTTGTTGTTGTCCCGTTGTAATTCCCGGCATAACTTCTCAAGCTTTTCCTTCAGACCAACTGTCTTGCTAAGTTCTGTACGGTTTGCATCCTTTTCCTTTTGCAGGGTATCACCGCGTTTCTTGTTCTTCTGATTCTCCCGCTCAACGCGCCGCATGTCGGCCAACAGTTCGCTGGACCTGCGGGTCAGGTGTTCGATCTTTTGCAAGTCGCTCATCTTTGCCACTTGTTGGGCCAGGTCACGATTTGCCCGTTTGACCTCACGTTCTGCAGGGTAAAGAGTCAGTCATTACACCCAATACAAAGTTTATAAAGACCCAAAGAGCGGGGGTGCGAGAGAGACTCGGAGTGCTGCCGCCGCATCGCAAACTCGCCCTTGGGCAAAAATAGGCCAGCCAATGTTTGCAGCAGCACTCGCTTCCTCGCAGAGTCCGATATCGAGAGGGGTGCTGTGAGACTGAAGGCTCACGCGACATACTTGGTCCGGTCTGTCTGCCCGGCATACAAAACAACGAGTGGGAGGTGTTACGCACCAATCTCTGCTTCTTGGTCCTTCTCCCCAGCAGACTCTTGCTCTAACTGTGAGATGCGTTGCGCAAGCAGCTTCGCAGACTCATTTGAGTCAACCGCCTTTTTCTGCTTCCCCTTCTTTAACGACGCCACAGGCGCGTGTGCATGACCTTCCTGACCGTTCGACATTGCGGCGTCTGCCTGGCTGATGGGCATTCCTCGGCAAGTAGGAGAGGGGCAGTCGAGTCAACGTTCGGTACGGTCTTGTCACCAGAGTCTGGTCTTCGCATTCGTGTTCGATCGATCGAGCGGGTCGGCGTCGCAAAATAAGCGGGTGCAAAAGCCTAGTCCCCCACAGCAGACTGACAGCAGCAATTAAACGGCCGTCGTTAACTTGCTGTCAGTGGTTGGTGATCCCTTCGTTGAACCCCTTCGCAGAATTTTGGGCGTTGTACGGAACGAGTGGCTAGAGCGGGAGTAGCGTGGCCTGGTCTGGTGTTCAGGCGTGTGCGCATTAGAAATGCCACTGTACTCGAGAAAAACGGGTGGAGGAGTGCTGCAGGGCCTCGTACCTGTACCCGTACCCGAGTAGCGTATCCGGAGACGGCGAATGACCCATGTACACCTCTATAGTGCTTGGGTTAAGGAATCAGCGACTTGTCACCGAGGTGCACAGTCTCTGTTTGTTAGTATTGATACAAATGACGATATTGCACTTGATTCCACTGGTCCGTCGCCTTTGGGTTTTGTGATTTCTGTGCAGCGTGGAAGGGAGGAGAATAAAGTGCCTTATGGAGAAGGTACTTGGCTAGCTGACAGCGTCCCAACTCACCGGGCAGCTCTGGCAGTCTCTGGTTGCACCGTGTTAGCTGCCCGTTAATGCGTTACGCACACCCACCGACCCGGTAGTGCCACACAAAGCGTTTTGATGAATATGGACCCCACAATCACTGTGTGATGACGAATGGCGCCCGCCAGTTGGAGCTGGGTGGAGCTACACTTTCCGATCAGAGCCGGCCAGGCCTAAAAATTTCCAGTGCTGGCATGGAAATCAGCAAGTGCTGCGAATTGAGAATCGCCTCCACGGTCCACAGTGGCTCCTACCTCACCTAAAGTACTAGGCTCTGGGACCACGCGCCTCCTAGTAGCAGAGTCATTCTTTTCGCACCTCTTCGATCGTCATATCTTCAACATTCTTTCCTGGGACATGTTGATGTCTGTTTAATCCTCTGCCAGACGTCTCCTATACCCGTTCAGAATGTTGCGGAATGCCGTCAACACGGCTAAGAAAGCCGTTACTGAGTTATCTCAGTATCCCAAGCCCGGCGACAAGCTCCATGGCTTCACTCTACTGCGGACGAAGCACGTGCCGGAGCTGGAGCTGACAGCCCTTCACCTCCAACATGACAAGACTGGCGCCGACTATCTTCACATTGCGCGCGACGACAGCAATAATGTCTTTTCTATTGGTTTCAAGACGAACCCCCCAGATGACACTGGTGTACCTCATATCTTAGAGCATACCACGCTGTGTGGCAGCCAGAGGTAGTCTTCAACACTCTCAGAAGCATTCCTAATCTAACATCAACTAGGTACCCAATCCGCGATCCCTTCTTCAAGATGCTCCCGCGAACGCTTTCCAACTTCATGAACGCTTTTACTGCGTCTGACCATACCTTCTACCCCTTTGCGACAACGAATGCCCAGGACTTCAAGAATCTGATGTCGGTTTATATGGATGCGACACTGCATCCTCTGCTGAAGGAATCTGATTACACTCAGGAGGGATGGCGTATTGGACCAGAGAACCCACAGGCAGCCAACGGCGAGGAGAGCGATCTCGTCTTCAAGGGTGTCGTCTACAACGAGATGAAGGGGCAGATGTCTGATGCCGGCTATCTCTTCTATATCCGCTTCCAGGACCATATCTTCCCCGATATCAACAACTCTGGAGGTGACCCTCAGAAGATTACCGATCTGACTTATGAGCAACTGCGCAAGTTCCATGCCGAGCACTACCACCCGAGCAACGCCAAGCTGTTCACTTATGGAGATATGCCCCTGGCCGATCATCTGCAGGAGGTTAACGCCCAACTCAGTGCTTTTGAGAGGATACAGGAGGATGCGACTATCCACCAGCCCATTAGCCTGAGCTCTGGTCCCAAGGAAGTTACTGTTCACGGACCCCTCGACCCATTGGTGGACCCCGACAGGCAGTTTAAGACGTCTGTCTCGTGGATTATGGGTGACACTACCGATGTTGTCGAGACCTTCTCTTTGGCACTGCTTTCCACCCTTCTGATGGATGGATACGGATCGCCTTTATACCGTGGTCTGATCGAGGCTGGTCTGGGAACCGACTTTAGCCCCAACGCTGGTTACGACAGCTCGGCGAAACTGGGCATCTTCTCTGTCGGTCTGACCGGTGTTCAGGAGGCTGACGTGCCTAAACTCAAGGCTGAGATACAGCGTATCCTTCAGGAGGTTCGGCAGAAGGGCTTCGACAGAACCAAGATTGACGGCTCTCTTCATCAGCTGGAGTTAACCTTGAAGCACAAGACGGCCAACTTTGGTATGTCCATGCTGCACAGACTCAAGCCCAAGTGGTTTACCGGAGTTGACCCCTTCGACTCGCTTGCGTGGAACGACACCATTTCAGCATTTGAGAAACAACTCGCAAAGGGCGGTTATCTGGAGAGCCTGATTGATAAGTATTTGTTGAACGACAACACCTTGTCTTTCACCATGGCGCCCTCGACAACCTTCAGCGATGACTTGGCTCGTGAGGAGAAGGAGCGTCTGGCGTCCAAGATCCAACAGGCATCGAAAGAAGCTGGCGGTGAAGCCGAAGCACGTAAGAAGTTTGAGGAACGTGAGCTGAACCTTCTGGTCGAGCAAGGCAAGTCTAATACGGAAGACCTTAGCTGCCTCCCGACGGTTCACGTCAAAGACATACCTCGCAGCAAGGAACCCATAGTTGTGCGGGATGAGATCGCCAACAACGTCAAGATCCAGTGGCGCGAAGCCCCTACAAATGGCTTGACTTACTTCCGAGCCATCAACACGTTGGAAAACCTCCCGGATGAACTCAGAGAATTGATTCCGCTCTTCTCTGATAGTATCATGCGACTTGGAACCAAAGACATGTCCATGGAGCAGCTTGAGGACTTGATCAAGTTGAAGACTGGAGGCGTATCCGTGGGTTACCATTCGACGCCCTCACCAATGGACTTCCATCAGGCAAGCGAGGGTCTCATCTTCACTGGCATGGCCTTGGACAGAAACGTCCCTGTAATGTTTGATATACTGCGCAAGCTTGTGCAAGATACGGACTTTGACAGCCCGGAGGCCGCCCTGCGCATCAGACAGCTTCTTCAAGCCTCTGCTGACGGCGTTGTCAATGACATTGCCTCTTCGGGGCACCAGTACGCCCGCGGTTTCGCGGAAGCTGGACTTACCCGGAGTGCATGGTTGAGACAGCAAATCGGCGGCCTCTCTCAAGTCAAGCTTGTGACATCCCTTGCTAATCGGCCTGAATCGGACGGGCTGGTGGATGTCATTGATAAGCTCAAACAAATCCAGAAAATCGCGCTCTCCGGAAGTAACTTCCGCACAGCACTGACTTGCGGGTCCGAGAGCACAGGCGCCAATCTGAATGCGCTGACTAGCTTCATGTCGACGCTTTCTAAAGACCAGCCTTCGCTGTCGGCTTTTAAGCCTGCTTCGCTGCAGCGGAACATCAAGTCCTTCTTCCCGTTGCCGTATCAAGTTTACTACGGTTCTTTGGCTGTTCCCACCGTCTCCTATACGTCACCAGACGGTGCGCCATTACAGATTCTAGCACAGCTTCTTACTCACAAGCATCTCCACCATGAAATTCGCGAAAAGGGAGGTGCATACGGGGGCGGGGCTTACTCCCGCGGATTGGATGGTCTTTTTGGATTTTATTCCTACCGTGACCCCAACCCGCAGAACACGCTGTCCATCATGCGCAACGCCGGCCAATGGGCCAGAGACAAAGAATGGACGGATCGTGACCTGGAGGAAGCCAAGATCTCCGTCTTCCAGGGTGTAGATGCCCCGCAGTCGGTCAACGCGGAGGGTATGGGACGCTTCTTGTCAGGCATTACCGAGGAGATGAAGCAGAAGCGTCGTGAGCAGCTTCTTGATGTTTCCAAAGGGCAGGTGCGCGATGTTGCCCAAAAGTACATCGTCGAGGCTCTGAAGAGAGAGGAGGAGCGTGTTGCTTTCCTAGGCGAGAAGCGTCCATGGGTGGATGGGACTTGGAGCATCAACGAGATGGACATCAACGGCGACGAGTGATTGGTGCCAGCTCATATCATGACTGAGATCTGGTCAACGTCTTGACCGGAAGATGGCTAATGTAAACTGACGACCACGGAGAGCTCGAAGGCTACCGGGCGCATTTGTAACCATATGTACAGCATATACGTGTATAGTTATACCCAACTCCGGATATTTCACGGCACTTTGATGCCTTCAGTTTCCTTGCGACTTCAATTTGGTGGGCATCACGCGTTCAGATACGATACGTCTTCCTGCCAGCTCCCATGGCTTGGAGACCACTAGACGACGCAAGATTAAGATAATGAGCCAGGGGATTCCTTACTTTATATGGAATAACCGGCCAGCTCGTTCTCTCAGAACCGACATCCTCAGTATTGGATCGTCGGACTAAAGCACAGAGTACATGCGAAGTTGGCGATATTGATGAACGAAACGTGGCAGCCAATCAGACCACGCTAATTATTGCAGAGTCAACGGAAACACGCCGGGTACTTGATGGAACAAGAGACATAAAGATTGGACGAAAATTGCTGTGCAAGTGCCCCGCATACGTCACTCGAAAATGCGGTGCCACAATTAAAGATACTGAAACGATGTGGAAGACGTTCTGGACGGCGGGACTGCGGCTCACAAAAGGCCGAGCCAAGAAGGGCTTGAAAATTGTGAAGACCAAACCCGAGTGGGTTTGTAATGTGAGGCAGCCCAGCAAGTACCTGATTATCCGTTGGAGGACTCATCCGGGATGAGCAATGCCGCAAAGACGCGCGGTAAGGGGCAAAGTAAGATGCACATGCTTCTGGGCGATGTGCCGATGTGTCCTGGTAATTTTTTCATCAATTGTCCACCTGGGTAGACAAACTCCCGCCAAGTCAGGGAAATGTGACAGGAGCCAGGTGGGAGCAGCACGCAGACCTCCCCCGTTTGAGCTGCCTGCGTGAAGTTGCATAGGATCAGGCTAATTATGGTAGTCATCCGAGTGGGCATGCGTGAGGGAATTTATCGGGATGTTGTGAGGAGTTGGTGACACCGGCGGTCTAGAGTCTGAAGCCTGTAGTCTGGGGGGAGGAGAGGTTCCCCTCGCTACCTCACTCTGTCCTTCAGCGTTATGATGGGGGGTAAGACGTTTCCTCGTGAGGCATAGGGGCATGTTTCCCTTGCCGACCGAAAATTGTAATCAGCATTCGAACTGGCCCTCGGCCACGGAACGTTAGGGTTGACTAGCCCATGCTTCTCCAGACTGGGTCACCCACAGAGGGTCAAACTAATTGAAGTTGTGGTTGACACTTGACTAGTTGCAGACGGTAACAGTAGCGGAAGTTGGAGCAGAGGGAACCGGAGGGGCGCGGATTGCAATGTGAAGCAAGCACCTGGTTGGCATCTAAAAGAGTGCGAAGTTGCGGTCTGAAAGTTACCGATGTGTCAGCAAAATCGGTGATGGTGACTGACTGTAGAAGGTGATGTGTGGCTGGGGGGAGGGAGGTAGCTTGCGGTGCTTGCCCACAACGCGACATGTGGTGGTGCTGGGGCCTGCATACGAGAGACATTGCTGCATCGAAGATCAGAAACGGTCAACCAGGCACGGCACGACAAAGTTGGAAGATGGACAGGGTGGATTACAGTGATGCGGTGGATGAAGTTACAAGCGGACCATGTCATTTCCAACAATGGTGACGGGTGCAGCTTTGGATGCGGCGATTCGTAATGGTGGATGAATGCCAACCACAGCCAACCTCCAAGTTGAGGCCTTCCACTATCCACTCCAAAAGTGGATGAAAGGCTTTCTTGGTCGACAAAAGGTACGTAGTCCACGGGGTACATGGAACCGCATACCTTGTTCTGCAGCTTCCGGTGTCTGAAATGCAAGGGTAATCAGATGTACTCCGTACATTACCTCATGCTGAAGAAAGGGCGAACAATGGCAGCAAATTAGGTACCGGAAGCTTAAAAACATAACACACAATGTACCAATCCCCCTATACGTCGTCGGTGACTCGGGTGGCCGAGGAAAAGGTACACTCACCTTTCAGACACCTGCGTCTCGAAGTACTTTTACGGGTTAAGTTTTCTGTGTGCCTTGGATGAGACTGAGTAAACAGCGGACTGAGTGGGATATTGAAACTGGGTACACTGGGTTACTTGGCCAAATACTTCGGCAAGTGAGCATCATTGTATGGAGCCGGGCTGAACCTTGGCCTGGAAAGAAAGCTTACTATTACGGGGTGGGAAAGAGAGAAAGCAAAGGCCGGATTGCCCAGATGCTACATAGTAGATGCTAGATGAAGGAGGTGTGAGTGATGAGTGTCAGTGCTTCTGCCGCTGCGGCGACAAGGGGAAAATTTTGAACAAAAAATTGTGGGCGGCGTTGTTTGTGTGTGTGGCCAGCCTCCGTCCAGCTCCACTAATAAGGTACATGAAAGGACCTCTGGAGAAGACGGGCGAAACCTGAACCCTCTAGCCGTCTCAATAAAAGCCTTTACAGACCCCCCCGCCACACATTTGGTCACGAACACCAAACCCAAGGTTCACCGTCAACCGCAACTCTCAACTGCTCCCGCGTTCCGCAACCGCCGTAATTGTTAACCAACTACCTGGAATCGAGCTTCGCCTCTCCTTCCAGTTTCGCATATTCTGGTACGTTCCGTCTGGTCTTGTTATTTTTTCTCCCCTCAACGGAAGACATCGTTGCCCGCAGTGGCGCAACCTGCCTTGACCATGAAAGTCTCATGTCACATGGCATCGTCATCACGTCCCCGACACGAGTCTAGCTATTCTGTTCACCTCACTGCCACCTCCTCCTCTCGGATTTTTCTGCAACAGAAAATCGCTCTCATATTTCCTTCGCATTGACACCTTCCCTTTCTCATCTCATCTCCATCCCATCACCAACGGCTTAATATCCAGAAACCCCTCATAGTGAAAGAAGGTCTCACTAACAAGTTGTACTCGTTCAGATCTTGTATAAAGATCACCCCTTTCCACCGCCGACTTAGCCTTTGGTCATATCAAAGGCACAACAGCCCAGCACGGCTTCCGCGGCCGTTAGCTTCGTCAGTGATCAAGATTTCAGCGTTCGAAAGACACTTCATATCGTCAACGCCATCCCCCCTCCACCCGCTGCTGAAGTCGCCTAAGCAGAAGCTCGAGTTTTTCTTGTTCGACGCTTTGCTTCACCAGACGCCCCCGTCTATTCCCTCCCCCAACCAGCTGCCGCATAGGACGGGTTTTGCGCCTCTTCCTCTCGCCGAGGGGGAGTCGAGGAGACCTCGTCAGATCACTGAGGGTTCTGTCTGCTACCGCTTTCGACCACCCTAGAACCCTTTCACCGTTTTAGATTTTCAACTTCTTATAACAACAACCCAACAACAACCACCTGGGAAATTCTTAGCTGCTTTGCTAGATTTCTCTCCAACCCGCACGTCGAAAGCAAAGTCCGATAATCAAGTTCGCGACATACCCCCGACACCCCACAAATCTCACCCACCTCTGAACCACCCCGTCAACCGCTTGGGATATGGTTATGGCAACAGCCGCGATCGAGCACTTTGCACCAGCTACTATCAATTTTGCTAGTACCTACCAACCTGTCTTGAAGACATCGCATTATGTCGAACACGCACACCAAAACAAAAATGGCGTGATCAACCCCAAGCAGCTAATTGGCGACGCCCTCCGCCAGCGTGTGGAGAGCGTTGACCATGAGATTTGTGAGCCCGGCGAGGAAGACACCTTTTTCGTCGGTGATCTTGGCGAGGTCTACCGCCAGCACATCCGCTGGAAGCTTAACTTGCCACGCGTCAAGCCCTTCTATGCCGTCAAGTGCAACCCGGACCCCAAGGTCCTTCAGCTCCTGGCTGCTCTCGGCACCGGCTTCGACTGCGCCTCCAAGACGGAGATCGACCAGGTCCTCAATATGGGCACCGCTCCTGAGCGTATCATCTACGCCCAGCCCTGCAAGACCAACTCGTACGTGCGCTACGTCAAGGCCATGGGCGTTAAGCAGATGACCTTTGACAATGCCGACGAGCTTCGCAAGGTCGCCAAGCTTTTCCCCGAGGCTGAACTCTACCTTCGCATCATGACCGACGATGAGTCCAGCTTGTGCCGCCTGAGCATGAAGTTTGGCGCCGCCAAAGAAGACACCGACGGCCTCCTCGCGACCGCCAAGGATCTCGGCCTAAACGTTGTCGGCGTCAGCTTCCACGTCGGTTCAGGCGCCTCTGACCCCATGGCCTTTTACAAGGCTGTCTACGACGCTTACGAGGTGTTCGAGCAAGGCCGCGCCTATGGCTTTGACATGAAGACACTCGATATCGGTGGTGGCTTCTGTGGTGACACCTTCGAGGACATGGCCGCCGTTCTCCGCGGCGCCCTCGACGAGTACTTCCCCGCCAGCAGCAACGTCAACATCATTGCCGAGCCGGGTCGTTACTACGTTTCCTCGGCCTTCACCATCGCCTGCAACATTATTGCTCGTCGCACCGTCGAGGATCCCACCCTCCGTGACAAGCGCTTCATGCTTTACGTCAACGATGGTCTCTACGGCAACTTCTCGAGCATCATGTTCGATCACCAGCATCCCGTCGCCAAGGTCCTCCGGGCCGGCTCCTCAACCGTCTACGACACCTCCGTGGCTCACGCCTGCCCTGACGGTCAGGGCGTCCGCTACTCCGTCTGGGGGCCCACCTGTGACGGCATCGACCGCATCACCGAGACTATCTCGTTCGACCATGAGCTTGACGTAGGCGACTGGCTGTACTTTGAGGACATGGGTGCCTACACCAAGTGCTCTGCTACCCGTTTCAACGGTTTCTCTGACAACCACGACGTCATCTACGTATGCAGTGAGCCCGGTGCCAAGGCTCTCCTCGACATCTGAGAGCATAAGTCTTTCCACTTGCCACAGTTTATTTCTTTATCGTTCAAGTTTAACGACAAGGCGAGAGATATGATCAGCGAAACAAAAAAGGAGGGAACAGACATAGATCAAGGAAGGAGAAGAAGCGAAATGATTGTTGACAAGAAAGAAAAACCCTACGCGGGAAAAAAAAAACCCGCCCCCCACACACGGCATAACAGCACACAATGCTAGATTTGTAGTCATTCGCTTCCTATTTACAATGAGGGAGGGAGGAACGAAGTTCACCCGCTCTGGTAAACTGTTTATAGACTTGAACATCTCTGAGAAGAGAATTAATAGAAAGTATGTTTTTTCTGGGGGGCCACATTACGTTCTCTCGCTCGCCGTGAACCTCCTAATGATGACAAGCCCTATGATGTACGCATATGAGCTGCGACAGTTTATAAGGTAGACCTCACTATGGACAGCCGTTTGTAAAGAGACATCAGCAGTTCGCAGCCACTCATGCACAGTAAGACATCGATCGGCAAGGAACAAGTAGAGATCCCATGCAAGGGGCCACCGTGCCGCTCGCCAGGCGGATCCCGCGCGGCGGCGTTGCTGCAGACCCCCGGCTGGGCGGTTGAATGTTTGGACGTATCATGCATGCAAAGATCCCCGCCCGCATCTCTGAACCCTACCAAGCCTTCTCTAAACTTCATGTGTGTGTTTGACCGGCTCAATCTTCACAGCGCCCCATGAAAAGACAAAATACAGGTCTTTCGATTTCTCTTTTCTTAATTATCGTTTTGAATACCGCCGTAACTGGACCCTCTATCCGGTGGCCAGCACATATCGTTCGGTTTAAAAAAAAAAAATAGAACAAGCAAACCCCCAAAGTGCCGTCTTCGTAGAAAGCAGAAAGGAGTTCTATCAGATGGAACTCTCGCGCAACCCGGGGGCTATGCCTCTCGTTCCCGCTCGCGTTGTGGGCAAACGAAACCCAATAAGTTTGTCTGTCTAAACTGCGCCATTCAAATGCCAATTCATTGTTGGACGTTCCAAAGTATCATACCATCCACCTTCGTGATCCTTTTTCCCCGGACCCCTTATCGTAAACCCGCTGTTCGTAAGTCGCGTCCATAAAACTTTGTCCGCCAACCGAGTTCACCGTATTTCCTGTCATCTAACCCGTGGCCGAAACCCATGGTCCATAAAGAAATTCGTGAAAGCGTGTCTGTGTCGTCTGGCGCCTGCTCGGGCTGCGGTCTTATTTAGGCCTCGAGGATGCTCTTTGCTGTGGCTGCGTCATAACCAATGACATTTGTTAGGTAAGACATTCTAGTACCTGTTAGCCGGGGCTTTTCAGAAGGAGGATCAAGGGCACTGACTTGTCATTGTTAAGTTCACGCAATCTAAGATCCTCGAAACGTTGCTGGCAATCCATCCAAGCCATAGCCCGCGCTTTTGGTTGAACTTTCTTAACCGTAAACTTGAATCTTCCTGTAACGGGTCTATGGTCGGATACGCGGACCTCGTGACGTTTGTAGTCGATCTGCTTTATCCTGCCTCCTCCGCGGTACAGCAGTCGATCACACCAAGCTGGCGAACGCTTTTTCTCACTCGTGTCATAATTGTCTGTTCCGACGTCGTACTTGTAGGTTGGTGCAAAAGTGATCGGCATCTCCTCAAATGCCCGGAGCTTAAACGCTGGATTTCTTCGCTTGGCAACAAGAAGTTGGTCTCGCTCCAGCAGCTTGGCGAGGTTGTTCTGTTTGACAGCAATAACAACGGTATCGCGAGACATGGTATCGATGCGGTAGTTCAGGTCACCATTGAGCAAGCACAATTCGTGATCTAAAATCATGGTACCATCTCCGCCGCCGATGTAGCTATCGAGGCGAATGCTAGGATCCCGCTCGGGGGGGAGTATTTGGGCTTCAAGAATAGCGGCAACATCGGCGTGGCGGCTGTTGGCTTGAGATTGGCCTGCCGCCAAATGACAGTTGATGAAGCAAAGAGAGGAGTCGTCAACCATGAACCGGACGACGATGGCGCCCTTGTTGCCGTGAAGGCCACCCATACCACGCTTGACTTCCGAGGCGCTCAAATTCCGAATTCGATCCCTAAGCGTCGACTTGACGAATATGCAGGTGAACAGTCCTACAAGCGTCGCGGTGTGCAGCAAGTGATACAGGCAGTCAGGTGGCATGTAATCGTCGAGACTCTTAAGAAGGAAGTCTCTCCAATCCCGATATTGGTGACTCATTCGTTCCTGATCCGAGCCTTCTTTCTTCTTGACTTTGAGGAAACGTTCTATCTCTTGTTAGTATGGTGTATCAAAGCTCACTGGATTCAAAGCTTACTGGCTGTAGCGGTCTTGTCTTCCAAGTCAACAAGCTCTTGGAAACCGAAAACTAGAATGTCTGGGGAGCTATTTGCTTGTAGTAAACTCTTGATGAACTCTGCATCTTCTTCCGCGTACCGGAGACTATGCGGTGTAGATGCGCCAGCATTCCAGGTCATCACCAAAACTTTGAGATCTTGAAATTCGCAGTACTGGTTGTCCATCCCCTTCATCTCTGTTTCATGCCAGTCATCTTGAAGGAGGCCATCCCACACTCGAAGCATGTTATCCGCACCAAGAGAGATAACCTGATGGCGATCCATCCGGTAGCTGCTGGAGGAGTCCGAAATGAGTTTCACAACCGGGTTCTTGTCGTGAGCTTGCCAGTCCTTCTTGACGGCCCATGGTGTTGTTTCAATGTCGTAGACGCAAACTTTACCCGTGTTGAAACCTGCCCACAAGTGATCACCAACACCTGCGAGGGAATTGATCTTCCAAGAACTTAGGCTGATGACGCCAAGACAGGAAAAATCCTGAGTGTTATAAAATGACACCTTGCCATCAGCATGGCCAAAGAAGGCTTTGCCTGGTTGCGACCGCACTAAGGCGCCAGATGTGACTTCTCCAGCTGTGTCCTGGACCAAAGGTCTCACCAACACTTGGAACTGTGTTTGCCCGTCTGATGTTGGTGCGAATATGCGAATTTCCTTCCCAGTCGCATGCCAAAGCTCATCCCCAACAATCATGGAAAATGTGTGGCCCTTGGGCAATCGGAATGCTTGGTGGGAGTTGTTTGTCAAGCTTGGGGTACTGGTCTCGTCCGGGCCCCAAACGAGCAGACCACCAGTTTCATCTAATGTCCATAACTCATTGTAGTGGCGGTAGATTTTGATAACTTCATGACGGCCATGGGCATTCGGCTTGTTCGCAACCACACTTTGCGTTGCTATATCAGCCTCCATGAGCTCGCCAAAGTTGTTGCCAATCCACAACCGCTGGCCTTCTTCGTCCACGTTCGTGCCAGGCTTGAAAGCTACTGCTGTGGCCTTAATACCTTCACCATGGGAGAAGCTCATCAGAAGTTCGCCGTCCCGCAAGCTCCATACTCGAGTCAAATGGCCAGTAGTGCAGACTAGGTCGCCGCATACATCAAATGTGCGAGGGTCGTATTTGGTCTGTATCTCGTGCATACCTTGTTTGATGAAAGGGGGTCTTCGATTGACATTGGAAGGATCCGGGAAGATCTGGCCAGAACCATTTATCTCCACCTTTGAATTATTAGCCGACGGAATCAACGCAGTCGACTCAGCCGGCTGCGGCGGTTGTACGGGTTGCAGAGGTTGTACAGGATGAGCGGGAGGAGGTTGTGGGGGTGGTGGGCGAGGTGCCGTCCTCTCTGATGTTCTGTCAGTCACCGTATTGGCACGCCCAGGCAGCCGTGCGGGAGGCGGAAGATGGGTTGTGGGGGTCGAGACAATACGTTTGGGCGGAGTTTGGGCCTCAGAGACCGAGGGTGTTGTGATGCCTGGCCTGGGAGGCCGTGGAGGTGGCTTCATGGTCATTGAAAGGGGTCGCGGCGGCGGCTCAGTAGCGATTGACAGAGGTCTCGCGGGAAGTGCAGGCACGGAAGGCCGAGTCTCACCAGTGATTTGGGGTGTGATCTGACCCTTAACAAAACCGTTTGGCTCGTGTTCCCGTTGGTTTCTCTTCGTCATAATTGAATGGTGAACTGGCGGAGGCGCAAAACCCACATCTAATGTTCTCCCCCGTTGCGGTTGCGGCGGGGGCTCCGACTGCATAGCAGGGGCTTTAGGTCTTGACGGAAGCACTGGAGGCGCTGGTTCGGGACTGCTTGGGGGGCTACTGAATGGTGAGGTTTCGGGCTTGATTTTACCCCTAGCGTCAGGAGTGATAACATGATCGGTGAAAAATGATGGTCTTGCTTGGGATTGCATAGAGGGCTTCTCGGCGCGGTTTATCGGCGGAGGGAGACCAGGCTTGGTTTCTCTTCGTATTTCCCCTGACCTTCTCGGTGGCGGAGGAGAGGGCGGTTGGGAGGCCGAAAGTCTAGGAGAGCGTCGGTTCGGTTCGAGAGACGGGGTGTGAGGCCGACTTGGAATCTTGAACTGGCGCGAAGTGGTAGGAGTTGACGGAGTCGATGCGCCAGAGTCGGCGGTCAAGAAAGCAGGCGCCTCGGCGTGTGCGAATCTGGTAATAGGATTCTTTGGCGGAGACTGAGGAGGTTCTACCATGACCGAAGGAGCCTTCACGGGTTCCGGTTTCAAGGTAGGAGGTACCCCCAGGGAGCGGCCTGGCGATCGTGGGGTGGGCTCGTGTAGCGGGGGAGGCAATGATGGAGTCGAGATGCTCCCACGCTCTCGAGGTCTCGGGGGTATTGGGAGACTTTCGGTAGAGGACTTTGCATCTCGAAGGAATTCTGGCTTCGGGGCCGGAGAGATTGTTCGGGGCGGGGAGGGACCAGGCGCAGATTCGCCCTTGTTCATGTTCTCGAACTGCGCCCTCAGAGACGAAACGGGTTTCTGCGAAGCATGTCAGTACGATATACAAGATTCGGTCTCTCGCACGTCAGGAAAACGGACAAGTGACGAGCCATCAGGCCCATTCTGATCGGGGGGAGCCATGATGATGGTAAATCACGACAGCGGGGCCCAGGGTGCCGATACCCATTACACCCACGGCTTCAAGTAGTTCCTCATGAGCCCATCAACGGCGGGCCTTCGAAGAAGGGCAGAGGCCTGCTTAAACTCTCGAGTGACAGATTCAGAGGTTTTGAGAGTAAATAGGCTGCCGCGAAGGTGCGTTAGCGGAGACGGGTGTTTGTTGCGCGTGGGTGTTCGGAGAGATTCTGAGAAGTGGGATGGATGGCCGTGCAAGAGGGCTGGGGAGCATAATGATGCTGGGCAGTCGTTTCGAAGCTATTCTGACGCGCAGGCGGGCATGACAACAGGTGACCGGTCAAAATGCCAGTGGAGAGCGCAGGAGAGGAGACGGTCGAATGGTTTTTGATGTGGTGGTGGTGGTAGTAGTAGTAGTAATAAGTTATGATTGACAATGAAGTGGCATTGAAATGGCCCCTTGGAGCAATACGATTCCCAGCCGTTTTGCTGGGACGGCAGTGTGGATGGGTGCGTGTACCTTGGTCTCAGGTACAAGGAAGGTTAGATCGGCTGCCTGAGAGGTACCTTGTGAGGTCTAGTATTCTGGAGGGGAGGGGAAGTACCGTTCAGAAATGAGACAGGGAACGGGGAGGAAGGTAAAAACGTAACGCGAGGCACGTACTTAGTGGCTTACGGTAGAAGGGTAGTAGTGCTGTGCGGTGCCAGACACGAGGGACCAGAGGGGGGATAAGAGGGGACCTGAGGGAGTGTGGTGGGTGAGTGACGGATACGTGGTGGGATGTACGTAAGGTTTGAGGGGACCATGGGGGCCTCGCCATCCAAACATTGTTCTCATTTACGACGGCGACGTCAGGTACGCTACGTACGCCGTACCCGTCCCGCCGCATTTTATCGTATCTAAAGTAGCAGCAATATCCATAATGACATATGGCCTGCCAAGCCGATTCTCCGTTTCTCTGCCACAGCCCTCAGCGAGTGACAAGGGTCGGAGAGCCAGCTGCGGGCCTTTGGGACTTGGTACCAAGAGATGGCAGTGGCAGAGCTTGCCTTTCGGGTACCTGGCGCGCATGTACCTTGCTTCAAGTAGCGAGTAGTTTGGAGGGGAGGAAAGAATGCAAACTTACAGGGACCCGCCCGCTTGGTACCTGAAGGGAATATGCCCAAGGAAAAAGAATAGGACAACAATTGTTCCGAAATTAGGCCTGCCTGCTGGAAAACCCCTGTACACCACTTGTTCACATCCAGTTGAAGCCGGCGGCCGGCGCCCTTCTCCCCCTGGACGGACTGGAATGGGTACGTACATCACGGCTACTAACTGCCTAGGGCTGGTTGAGCTTGATTGGAACACAACTGCCAACCTTCTCCTAGCAGTACTATGTAGAAGTGGCATCGCTCTCAGAGCCCCATAACGAAGGTGCACGGGGCAACAGGCCAAGCAATTGAAGAGCTCCATCATCAGACCATCCCACTTTCCACAGTGTGTGCTTATTGTAAACGAGCGCTCCGATTGACCAGGTTCATATCTGCCTTTCAATCAACTCCCGACAGCGCAACTTTTTTTTCGTCTTCGCTCTTCAAATACGTCCCAGACAATCTGTCATCTCCCCAACTTCTAGAAACGCATCTTATACCTCTGGTCGTCAATTCCATATTCTGCCGCAAATATGAACACCGTGAGTTGTTGCTCAACCGTCGCATCTGGTTTCAAGTGCTTGACTAACATCATGCCTAATCCTAGGTCAAATCGTTCTGGTAGGCTTGACTCGTCACAGACCGTCCATTGTTGTTTTAATCCGCGCTGACTTTGTTTTCTCGTAGGCTCGGATGGGGCTCTCTTTGTGTTGGTATGTGGTCACCTGAGTATCGTCTGTTTCTCATACGTAGCTAATGTGTCGCATTTCAGCCGGCGGAACCGCCTACTATTTCGCGAAGCAGAGCATCAACGCCGACCGTGCCGCCCGTTTTGAAGAACAGAGAAAGCGTAAGCAGATGGCGCAGTCCATCGAATACGGCGACAACGTCCCCGCCCAGCCCGGATCCGCGGCGACCATGGGCGGCGAGCCGCGCACCGATACCGCCGGTTCCCCCAGCCAGGAGTCCAGTTCCGACCCTGCCCCAACCCGCCACGCCCCCACGACAGAACAACAAAGAGTGTTGGAGAAGAGCAAATACGAGAGTAGCACGCCATTCAAAAGTCCAAAGGGAGACCGCTTCTCATAGTTGCGCAAAGGGGGTGGGGGGAAAGAGCCCGATTGATCTCGAGTTCGTGTAGCATAATTATGGCCCTTGGCTGACTCTAGTCACATATTACATTATTGAGTACGATACAAGAAAATTCATGGTCCTGTTCTCATCTTTGGATTTCCTCCTGAAGGAGGTTACAGTGGTCGTACCTGTATACAAAAGCGAGCACTTGGGGGGTACATTGACCGTGATAGCACACTGGACAATGAATCATTGAACATTTAACCTACGTCAGCGGTTTGCTCTGGCCAAGACCTTTGCTGAGAATGCTTTTGATGAGCTGCATGAGCCTCGCAAGCTGGTAACCACAGGTGCTAAACCGAAAATTCGGCTTGGGCACTTCAAATGTAAGCCTTATGTTATTCATTTGTCTTCCACAGAAAACCCGGCGCGGAGTTGGGTGTCGCATATCGACTTTCAAGGGTAACCACTACTGGGGAAAGAGAGGCTGGCCGCTAGTGAGCCTCGTGGCAATCCGCACTGGGTAGCCTGGATCCCTGGTACCACTACGGAAGAAGCCGCGCAAAACCCCGATTTCTAGCCGACTTCCTCCTTCCCCAACGAGGTCAGGGGCTAAGCCACATGTTGCGACTGCGGCGCATTCAGCTTTGTACCTGAGCCGTTGAAGCTTTGGCGGCAGGTCTTTTGACACTTCGAAGCTCTAGTCTCGGCATCCCACCACACCTTGCCTTTCAACACCTCAGAAAATCATTTTATCCGTTCGTGCTCATCCAATTTGCCTCGCGCGCCGGCAGGCATGCGAATTGGATCACAATGGCAACTCCCGAGTTAGCAATCGCAAAGGCCTCCCTCAGCGCTATTCTTTTCCGCAAGGAGCCGGTTTCCCTTACCCGGCCTGAGATCGAGACCTTTCACGCACTTTTCCACGACGTGATACACCAGTGCTCGCCGACCAACGTTCAGGTTTGATGCCCTCTTGAAACGGCCTCTCTCCGCTACTCTCTTTTTGCACAAATATACTTGTTGTATCCTCATATTGCAGGTCAACTAAACTCCTGCTGCCTCATTTAGAAATGTAAGCGTTGGATCTTAACGAATTTGGTCCCTTCCCCGGCGCGCGTCGCCGCCCTCGGCAAATACCTAGCCGCCCTCTCCAACTCCTTTCCCAACGATGGCGCAGCAGCAAAAACGAAGCCCTCGACACGGAGGAAGCGTCTACATATTCTATATCTTGTCAACGACGTCCTTTACCATGCAGTCGTTCGAGACAGAGACGCGCGCTTTGCAACCGACTTGCAGCCTAGCTTAAAACCGCTTTTCCACAGCGCCGCTAGTTTTCGCAACTGCCCTAAGCACATGAAGAAGTTGGAGGATTTGCTCGTTCTATGGGAAGGGCAGAAATACTTCTCACCGGATACGATCGTTGAGCTGCAGGAGACTGTGAAAGAAGCCCCTCACGGCGGCAAGGTGTCCAAGGCTGGAGAGGACCGTGGTGCGCATGACCGGACAGGGTCAAACTTGGCAGTGAAACCCGCAAAAGACGCCCCTTATATGATCCCGTCGATGCATGGCGATCCCAATACGCCCTGGTTCGATCTACCGGCTGCGAACTGGCTACCTCACCTCGAGCCGAACTCAACGAAACCCATGAACCCCAACATGATCAAGCCGCTACAGCTTGCGCCTGGGCCGGCGGAGAAGGCGCTCGCCAAGGCCGTGAAGGATCTCCTTGCTGATGTTGAGAAACTCTACTGCAAGTCAGCTCCTTCGCAACAATCCGATCAGGAGCAGCCTACGGGCCTCAGCGAGATGGGCGAGCGTGTTATTCTCGATGAGATCACGGGCGAGGTAATTGATGGCGAAACGTACTATGGCTGGTCGCGCGACTTCTGCAAGAGGATGAAACAGCGTAAGGACAAGGGCAAAGCAGGCGACGATGGCGGCCGTGGACGATCTAGCTCACGCAGCCGATCCCGCAGCTACTCTCCTGGTCGATCGAGCAGGTCCGATTCGCCGCCCACATTCAAACGACGCAGGCTATCGCCAGACTCCCACAGCCGAAGCCGCAGCCGCAGCCCGCAGCGCAGGCGGCGTTATGACTCCCGCGACTATAGCCGATCCAGGTCGCGATCGCCGGATCGAGATGATAGAAGAGATCGCCGCGATTCGAGCCGGTCACCGCTTCCACCTCGTGACCGCTTTAATTCTGACTCCGGTCCGGGTTATAATCAGCTACCGCCGCCTCCGCCGCCGCCACCTACTAACCACTCTCCTTCGGCTTTCCCACCGTATCCTCCTCCCATTGCGGCCGGTGGCTTCGGGCACTTTCCTCCGCCTCCTCCGCCTCCTCAAGGCTACCAGGGGGCATGGCCGCCGCCGCCTCCTCCGCCTTCCATGGGCGGCTACATGGGCGGCCCTTCACAGAGTTGGGGTCCTCTCCCGCCTGGTGCTGGTGTATCACCACCGCCACCACCACCAAACATGGGTGGATGGGCTCCCCCTCCGCCACCACAGCAGCATAATCCTTATCAGCAGCCGTATGGACGCGGCAATGGCGGATATAGGGGACGCGGAAGAGGGAGCTATGAAAGAGGCAGAGGTTGGTGAAAGCCGCTACAGTGCCGTAGGTAGCATCGAATTAATTCTACAACAATCAATGTGCAATACACAATACCCATTTACGCAAGCTTCATAACCAAAAACAAATATGGCAGCAATTATACCCAAGTCTAAATGTGACGTATTACGTCTGTACTCATTCATCGTCTAAAGTAGAAACCAAGGAGGCAACCCTCATTCCTCGCGCCCCCTCTGGCGCAACTTTCTTACCAAGTTCATCCGAGAGAGCCGCAGAAAAAAGAAAGGATCCTGTCTCCCAAGTTTCACCTTTGTACGCCGGATCCCCCTTCTTTCACCGTTGACTTCTTGCTTGTCCTCCGTCCCCTTTCCCCCGACGAAATACGTTTTTGTGTTCCTCCCACGCAGGAAAAAAAAAAAAGGACAAAAAAAGGAGGACTAAGAATCCCGAGTTTCTTTTTTCCCTCGACAGCAGACAAGAAGAGCGGACGAGCGGCTTGATGCGAGTAGTAAAAAGCCCCGCTCAAGTTTGAATCTTCGCAAAAGAGAAAGAAACAAAAAAGTGGCATCATGAAAATTAAGTATGTTCCAGAGGCGGCGAAGCCCCATCCCTAGAGCACCGAGTCTTCTCTGTAAGCGTGCCTTGCCTGTGATCCTCTCAATTCCTTCTCAAGCACATGCATGAGCTTTCCCGCTGTGAGTCCTTCAACCTGTTGAAGACGAGCCATTCGATAGCAATGCTAAGATCCGTCATGACTCCTGGAATGCATTGGCTGTTGCTTCGCCGTTTTGTTCCAAGTCCTAGTGAGCTCATTGATCAGCAAAATGTCCCCTTCCAGTAGTGAACACAAGTTTTTCATGGCAGAGCCAGAATTCCTCCAGTGTTGGTCAATGACCGAAGAGAGGCATGATGTAGAGCAATATCAGGTGTGACTGGGGGATAATCTTACCGCATCTTCTTGTTCAGTCCGACGATCCCTACGTTCGCCATCTTGCAGCTTGAGAGAGTCTAATCGCTTTTGGTTGTCTTCAGTCCCATCGACTTCATCCACACGAGAGAGTGAGCCGGCGTGTGCTCTACCCGTTGACGGGGCGTTCGCGGTTCCATTGGCTGACCGCCTTTGGTTGGCCTGGTCCGTGATAGAAGCCCACTTTCTTTCACGCAGGGCCTCTCTGGCAGCAGCGCTGTTCTGTTGCTCGGTGTAATCATGGGAGCAGTCGTCAAACAGTTGAGGATTGATTTCCATGAATAGCTTCATGGCGTTGTAAACCATTCCGTGAATTGTGCTTTACAGGTCAGTACGGGTCATATGCAGTCAAGCCAAGGGCAAATACTCACCGATTCCAGTGTCCCTTAGAGTTCTCGTATAGTGGTGCAAACATAATGGGCAGAATGATCTCAACGTTATCGCTGACCAAGTTACAGAAGTATTCATTGTTCCAGAAGTAAAGAGCACGTTCTGCAACCTGGAAATGAGGACTGGCAACCGACTTAGCCAGCTGGTGGAAAAGAGGTTCCTGGACCTTGGCAAACTCGGCCGGGTCCATGACTTCGAAAATATCCTCGACCTCATTAAGGAACATAACCTCCTTTGTGCTGTTGACCTTGGGCCAGTAGCGGAGCAGTCCCAAAACAACCTGATAAGTCAGTACGTGACGTTCAATATTTAAGGTAGGAAAACTTGCCTCTTCTGTCAGCGAGGCATCTTTCTCCAAGAATTGAACGATACAGTACGCCAGCTGAGGGTGGTACATGCTCAGACTTTTGACCTTGTGCAACGGTATCAACACCCGAGTCAAAAAGGTTTTGTGCTCCTCTTTGAGTGGTAGGGCGAAACCGTTGATAATGGACCCAAGAATTTCCAGGAGCTCAGCAATACCATTGAATCTTTCCGTCTCGTAAGTGAATTGGAAAAATACATTGTTGATGGAACGGCGGATGAAAGATCTAAGGTTGAGGAACTTGCCATAGATACGGTGAAGTGTTGTCTTGAGAAAGTCTCGCTCGCGCGGGTCTTCGGAATCGAAAAGCTCCAGTAGTTGCAAAACAAAGCTGTGATCAATGTACGCCTTGGCAATGTTCGTGTTGAAATCCTGGCTTTCGATGAAACGCAGAAAGAACTCGTAGACGACCTGGATGTGTGGCCAAGCAACCTCCAGGACAGGTTCATCCTCCTCTGGATCGAATGCCTCTCCTTGGGGGTTCATTGGGGGTGGGATTGGTCGGAAGAGGTTCTTGGCGAACATTTCAACAACCCTAGGGTACATGGGTTCCGTAATGACTTGACGGTTATTAGCGACATAGTCAAGCAGCTCGTGGAGCGCCAGTCTCTTGATTTCCTTGGATTTCATGTCACCGCTGGCATCATTGAAGTCAAAGATGACGTTGCACTGGTCAATCTTTTGCATGAAGAGCTCTTGACGTCGGTTGGGGGGAACCTCGTGAAATCCGGGCAGTTTCTCGAGCTCACGATGAGCGGAAATGTCGAATCTCGAGGAGTGCTGTCGCTTGGGTGTTCTGAGACCCTCAGGCACATCCTTGGGCGTCTGGTGAAGGCGGTCGAACATGAGCGACTTGGTGCCAGCTTTCGGAGGCGCAAGATCGTGTGGCATGGTTTCCGCAGCACCAGGGGGCGGAACGTGCTATTGAACTGATTAGCGACAACTATCGACTCAACAGACTTCCATTATTTTTATCTTACAGGAGCGCTGGGGCTGATGATGACAGTAGGGGGCAGAGTGCCATGACGAGCTGGAGAACCTCCGCCGTTAGCACCTTGACCCGCACCCGCAGAGCCGAAGCGATCCGGGACAGCACCTTGCTGGTTGCTCAATGGAGACGGTTGGTTTGCAGTACCATGTTCTCCGCCATGAGCGCCAGTATTGTTGGGAGGCAGCGGCTTGTTGCGAGAATCGGTCAGGTTTGTCGTCGAAGACGAAGGAGTCGGGTTGGGGGACTGGGCGGCATCGCGGCCTGAGCCGACCGACGAAGGGGATGCGGTGCCATCCTTCGAGTCCTTGTTCTTCTTAGGCTTATTGGGGTCTTTGCCGCGCGAGAGCTGAGCATGCTGGGCTGTCAATAGGGTATTCAAACGCGAGATAGAGTCTCAGGGGCCAGGTAGAGACGGAGGACTTACCACCCTCTGGCTGAAGCGCTTCATTTTGGACGTCACGGTGAAGTCCCTCTCCGTGGGGCGACAGGATCGCCCGACTCAAAAGCTGTTACAACAAATGGCAGGTGAATCGCAATGGACGCAAGTCCAAGAAAGGGGGTCGTGTGAAGGCACCGGACGATCGGTCGTGGTCCTGTATGCAGGGGGGGTGTTTGAATCGGCCGGATCGAGTCAATTATGATGTCGAATATGGACAGACAATGCGGGCAGATCAGAATGGCAGTTATAGCCTCGCGGCACGATTCGCAGATGCGCGGCGAATGAAACGTGGGTCTCTGCTAAGGTTGGTTCTGCGTTGGAGCAAGCGCGTCGGCAGATCGATGTCGACGAGATGATGAAGGAGGGCAGTCGCTCGCAAAGGGCTGGGGTTGGGATGTTATGATAGCGTCGCTTCGTGATGCTCAGCCGAGAGGAAGAAGCTAGGGGAGCGGGTTGGAGGGATCGTTGCGACGAGGTAATGCCCCATCAAAAATTGGCGGAAGGAGAAATGGTCAGGCAGCGAAAGAAAGAAGACCAGATTCTCTTGACGAGATTCGAAGAAGTTGGGGGTTTCTCTGGATCGTCGGTAAAGCTGAAGTTGTTTGCGGGGCCTAGGTGAACTGTGAGACGACGACGCGGGACCAGAAGCCGGCCTCCCCTAAAGTGCTAGCGGCGGTGAAATATTAAGGTAGAAAGCACGGTACGGTAAGGTACGTTATGGTCAGAGGGTTGTCCGGCACATTCGCCAGAGCACTCGACAGCTGGAGACGGTCCAATGATGCGCGGCAGCCAGCCAGGAACAGGCCTCGACACGGGGGGAGATGAAGCGGGCGGACGGGCAGATCGCACGAGAGCAATACGGGATTGGGCCCGATGAGAGGGGATTCGATGAAAATGTAACGATATATGACGGTCGAGCCGACAAGAGAATTGTAAACGAAGAAGGAGTGATGTTGAATGTGCGCATTAGACGAGGGAAGTTGGAGAGATACAACTGTCGATTGTGAGGTGGCTCAGGGTGGAGGTCGAGGCTGTGAGGTCCTTTCTGCATCAGCGCTGGACAGGTGCTCTCCAGGACAGATCCCGACTGCAGGTGTCACCTACTGTGTAGTCCCTGTAATGGGGTGGAAACAGCATTGGGCAGCAGTTAATTACAGGGCGTATCTATTAGCAGGTCTGTACATAGTACACTAGCAGTAGCAGGAGCAGCGGTGGGTGGGAGCCAAGCAGGTGCAAGGCAGGACTAGCGTAAAGGAGGCGGGTGGGGAAAGGGGTGTTGACGGATGGCACTTCGCTGATTGGCACTGGCAGGGCATATCTCCGTGACCCGCGCACGGACCTTATCCTGCAAAACAACGGATATCATTGGCTTCGATTCGCCTTAGGTAAGATAGATCCCAGATTCTCCAGAGACCCCTCCAGCCTCTCTCAAGACTCGGGTTGGATTGCCTGCCAACATTTGTTGCCTCTGAGTGGATAGAAGAAGCCAGTCTCTGGACCTCAATTTCTCTTGTCGGCAGCAGTATTTATCCGCGATATGCGGCGATCCCTTGGCCCCCACATGCGATCTCCAGAAGCAAGCATGCAGCACACACCCTGGCAGCACATTGCGAGCGAAAACAAAGAGACCTGGCTTCTTTGTCATATTCTTCTGGATCCAGATACCTAATACCAGTAACTCAGCAGACCAAAAAGAGCCTTGGTTAGAACCAAAGTAAGAGGTAGGAAAATGAGAATGAAGCACATGATGTATTCGAGGAATGCTTTACAAACATCTCGCTTTACCTTGATTACTCCGTGTGGGGAAAGTTATCAGCACCGTATTTAAGGGCTGCAAGTCACCCACCTGGCAGCGTGGCAGCCTTCTGCAGGGGCCTTGCTTTCGACTGCTCATCCTAAACAAGGCAGGCATCATCGCATCGCTTTGGGTCCAAGCTGCCTCCAAACAAGAATCTCCCAGTTAGTTGGGAACAGCTTCAATATGGGACGACTTGGCCTGCTGAGCGATCTGAAACGCGAATACGCCAGTCTCCATTCCTTTGATACTCTCTGTCTTGCTGTGGACAAAGTACCTTCAAGATCCGTACGGAATAGGCGGCGTGCTCGCTGTGCCTTGTCTGTGGTCTGTCTCTCATATGTACTAGAAGTAGGTGTTCTTCATCTGAAGTACTTGCTGTGTGTCGTAGCTTTGCATCCAATCATTCCCTCTAAGATTCGCCCCAAAAATTTTCTGTATGAGCATGCGAGTTAGACATGAAATGAAAGCGAAGCTCAGAACGGCTGTCTTTTTTGCCGTTCGTCAGCTGAAGAGCTTCTCACCAACGCCGGACATACAGTGCAAGAACAGTAAGGCGCCCTGGACACCGGCTATGTGAATGTACTTTCCTCAGGCCCCATTTCGCACCGTGCGTCAAACAACAATCTCAGTTGCTCAGAACGGCATGTAAAATTCCAGCCAAACGACGCATAAATGGGCTCAACACACTGCAATCCAAGAACGGCGTTCGGTCTGCGTCCACACCCCATTCAGATAGAGGTTCACAAAACCAGGGTCACAGACTACCTTAAAAGCAGGCACAGCCAATCAAAAACATCAACTGCAAACGACAGGATACCTGCCACCCCAGCCACTCATGTGCTGAAAGACAGCCTTAGACCAGCTATCACCATGGACACCGATGATGAGCGTTTTGTTGACGATGTGGAGGACGAGGAAATCGAAGAGGATGCCCCAGAAGATGAGCATGAGACAATGGAAGACTTACCAGCTGCCCGGAATTCAAACAGCAAGTCAGCACCTCGCTATTCCATCCCAAAGAGGGCGATGGGTGCCGTAGAAATTCCCATGATCGTTATGAATCTGGATAGGACGGAAAAGGCTTTTGGGAGCATCTCTTCTTTTCAGAATGTAGGTCCCCCTGCGTGGTGGAGAAGTACCATTCGCCAGCCACGAGCTTCAACCGATACTGACAGTAAGCCAGATTCTCGACACTGAACGAAACACAATACCCTTCTATCTCAATCCTGAGAGTCCATTCCGTAGGCCTATCATGTCTCATAGTGCCACGAGCCACAACGTGGTACTGAAGGTGACTGTACCAAAACGGACTGGAAGAAAGCGCAAGCGAGGGACCGATGGGCCTTGGGAAGGTGAGGTCGAGATGACTGATGTCCCTAGGTCAGGGGTTTCAGGGGAACAGATTTATTCCAGGTCACGATTAGATAACCCAAAGATTTTACGACGTAAGCTGCAAGACAATGTCGGCAACTACGATGTGGAAGCAGTTGGGGTCATCAAGCACACTCACCGATTTCGAGGCATGGCAGATTTCCACTGGAGCTTGGAAAAGTCCCCCTTCATTTCAAGATTCATGGACCAGGTCATGCCAGGCGACAGTAAGTCGAGGTTCATCCATGAGTGAGAGAAATTGGCAACTAATAGCCGCAGTTACCCAAATGAGGAACTTCAAGTTCATCGACGGCGTCGACAAAGGACCGAACGTGGACATTATCCCACCGCCCGTGTGGACACCGATGACGCTGCCTTTCATATACAATTACTCACAAAATCCCTATGTTCGCTCAGAGCTCGACCAGACTGGACAGACAAAGCTCATTAACACCCAATTGCCCACTCTTATCGGCTACTTCCTGAAAGCAGATCAATATCCTATCCCGACAGGTCCACAGATGCCCTATGATGGAACCGACGATGAGGTTACGACGTGCATTGCCAAGATGGAAGAAGCAATGGAAGAACGCCCGATATGGACACGGCGCTCCCTTCTCAATAAGCTGGGTTCCATCGTCCGTAACGCCAACGTTATGAAGCGCTGTGTCGGTTATGTGGGCTATCAGTTCCGCGGCGGGCCCTGGCGAGACGCCATCATCAAGTACGGCATCGACCCTCGCACTGACCCGGCATATAAGACATACCAGACAATGATCTTTAATATGCGCAAGCTGCAAGCGGGCCATATCGGCGAGACATGGCACGCCATTCGCAGTCTGCGTACGGAGCAGCGCCAGCCACAGGGTGATAACCACGAGAGCCACATCTTCGACGGCAAGTCATACTGGACCGACGGCAAGGTTTGGCAGATATGCGACATTACAGACCCATTGATTGCCAACATATTCGCCACGGCTCCGGAGCGGCCCGAAGTTGACATTTATAACAGCGGCTGGTTCCACCAAGGCACATGGGCCAAGGTCAAGGGCATCATGAAGACCAAGATGATCGCCATCCAGTTTGGCCGTAAGCTCAAGGACGAGGACTTCTCAGGCATTGTTGACGTCCGCGACACCACGCCACCCCCTGGATCATCAAGTGTACATGTGCCTCTGCCAGATCTACAACTTACCGATGCTGAGAAGCGGGTACTCTACGGTAGGCGGTTCAAAGAGCCCAAAAAGAAACGCAAAGGTACAGCATATCGTGTCACTAAGGCAAACGGGCCGAGGAGCGTGGCAGCAGCAGCCGCTTTGGGTGCTGCCGAAACACCCAGCACGGAACAGGGCGCTCAGGAAGAGCTGATGTCTCTCGCCGGTGATGACAGTCTTGACGAGGACGATAGCGAGGGTGATGAAGAAGACGTGGGTCTAGGATATGATAATCCTGACTTCGCCCCTGGTGCCGGTATAGACGAAGGCGAAGGTGAAGAGGAGTATGCAGAAGAGTACGATGATGGGGAGGGATACGGATATGACGAGGAGGGTGAAGTTTACGACGAGACGTACACCTATGGTCATGGTGACGAGGCGCCTGAGCAGACTGGATATCCAATTTACCATGAAGAGGAGCCACATATTGAAGAAGCATATCCTTCGGCAGCCTTACAATGATAGAATGGCTGAAAGGTGGCAAGGCAATGGTAGCCAGGACAAAGTTATCGACAGCAACGGTCAGGCAAATTGAACATATATCACCTTTATAAAATACACCACAAACACCAAACTTGAGAAGATTCATTATGAATTATTCGTTTTTAGAACTATGTACGGACGCGAATCATCTTCCCATCATGAAGATATCATGCCAAAATCCATATCCCATCCTCCGCTACCAAACAATATCTAGCCCGTAATCGGAGTTTGTCGCCCGTTTGAAGACGAAAATTAATAGCCATTATTTGCGTAAGAATGTAGGAAAAGTTTTAAGAGAGCAACCCTAAGGCCGATGGGTGCATTACCCCCAAAGCAGTCTCACTGAACCTTGAGGACCTTTGTCTTGTTTTCTTTTTGCACACGCATCCCTTCAACCCACTCAGCAGTCTCCCTCAGCGCCCTCCTAGGATCCTTCTTGCGCTTCAATAAAAATCCCTGAATCTCAGCTGGGCTGAATAGCCCATTCGGGATTAGGGCGCCAAATTCGTCCGCAATACGAGCCAACTCTTCCGTGTCGAACAAGTGCTTCTGTTCCGCCTCCACTACTGCTGCGGCGACAACCTCTCGTGGAGTAAACGAAGATCGCGAAGGAGTAGAAGATCCAGACTCAGACGCGGAAGCAGAGGAACTCATTTTGACAACAGTCGGCGCAGGGTTCGCGGGCGGAGCGAGGTGGCCGTCTACACGCTTAGCGGGAGCCGCACCATCGGCTTCATACATGCGCTGAAAGAGCTCCGTCGCCTGCGCCTGTGTAGCATTTGTAAAGCCTACTTGCAAATCTACACGGCCAGGTCGAATTAGGGCTTCATCAAGAGACTCTGGCTTGTTCGTTGTCATAACAAGAATGCGGCCTTCTTGCGAGGCAACGCCATCAATAGCATTAAGAAGGCCAGACAGTGAGATACCCTTTTTATCGTCTTTTGCTTCTTTCTTGAGGGCTCGTGCAAGGTCTGATACCTTCCAATCCTCTTTGGTTGTTTTCCTGCCAGACCGTTCTTCGTTTTTGGTAGTATTGTCGCCATCCGCCTTGGTAGCGTCCTTGTCCTTATCTTCTGTGGTCTGGGAAGGGACAACATCATCGACTTCTTCATCCGGACCACGGCTCAGACCTGCAGTGTCGATATCTTCGAGCAATACAACGCAGCGGCGTGGCAATGAGTTGAAGAGGTTGCCGAGGTCCTCCTCTGTAAGGGTCGGTTCAAGGAGTGAGATGACAAAAATGTCAAGGCCAAAGACTCCGGCGAGAGCAAACGAAAGAGATGTCTTGCCTGTTCCAGGCGGTCCATAAAAGAGATAACCTCGTCGAAGCGGAATGCCACGGTTGGCGTACCAGCGAGGGGTGGCCGGGTGGAGGTATTCGTTCATATCGGCCAAAACCTGACTCTTCTGCTTGGGATCGAGGACGACAGTACGCATAGGTCTGACGGGGCGGTTGGCAACTTGAGCCCAGTTATGCCGGCCGCCGTACCGGCGTAAAGGTTGCGGGCTAGGGCGCTTGATAGTTGTACGGGCGTAGTGATCTGAGTAGTAGAACTCCTTAACGAACCGAAGTAGTTCCTTAATGGGCTCTGAAGATTCTGTAAGTTTTGTATCGCTATAGGATAAATAAACGATGCTTACCTGGATCCCGACCGAAACAAGACACTATAAGGTCTTCCTCTTTTTTAAAAGTTCCGTAGGCCTCTGCGCCATCGAAGACGCTCTGTTGTTTACGGTGGAGCCGAAAGTAGCGACCCCTAAACCAGAAACCATGGACACCAACTGCTGGCACATATCTTGGAGGCTAGATAATGTTAGTGAGATATCAACACTGGGACACAACACCAAGTGTTGACTTACAGCTTTGGCTTCCTGATTGGAAAAGTTGAGGTACTTAACCTCACTATCGCCACTTCCTGATATCGTCCTCATCTGTAGGGCTTCAAGTTCTTCTTCCTCTTCCCATGCCGTTTTGCTGATAGTCTCGGCTGTCAACGATCTTGAGCTGGCCATAAGCGGCTGTAGTGCCAGCCACTTCATCATATGACCATAGATTTCGTCGGTACTCGCGATATGGATAGAGCTCATGAAGTTATCCTGAATAAATCGGAATCCGGCGCCGTACAGTTGTCGAGCGACCCGGTTTGCGGCCCAAAAGAAACCAGCCAGGGTCAGGATGACAGTTGGGTCGATACCCAGATTCGAGCCGATCATCTGGTACAGGAACATAACGGAGCGGACAACAGGGTTGAACTGGCCTCCAAGCATGGGTAGGAGGCTCTCTACCATCTTGTTGCTACTCGTGTAAGACTTTCCGCCAGTCATAGTCTCGGCCATGGCGGACAGGTTGCTTCTGAAGAGTGTCGTGAAGTCCATTTTGCCAAAGTCCATCCTGCACTGTTGGTGACAATGACGTAGGTTATTAGGGAAAAAGTCGATTGAGGTTGTTGGAGCGAATTTATAGTCTTTAGTCCACAGGCAAAATGCAGCAGCTGTAATGGTGAATTCAGGCTACTGCAGCGAACGGGGCAATCGTCTAGAGAGATATTACGAAAGAGGCAACCAAGACAGGCGCGTTCAGGCTATCATCGTCCCTGCCTAACCAATCAAATAGAAAAATTGAAAGTTCTGCGCATGAAATAAGAAACTAAGAAAGAGGCCATGCAAATATGACAGGAGTCTAAGCCATCAACTAAAGCTTGCAGGGTAACGTTCGTCGACGTAGACAAGCGGGACAGCTGCCTGGAGTGGCAAAAGTAGAAAAGAAGACACAGCCCATCCAGGAAACGTAAGGACGAGAACGTAGTACGATGCCCTTTAAATGGACTTTATGAAACTAGGCCCCCGATGCATTGGTACGATATGTTTGGTGCGAGTGGCAACGTCATCACTTCTGACTGAAAAAAGGTGCAGGCCGTCAGGATTCGCTTTCGATTGGTTTGGCTAGGTGCGATTTTGTTCGCCAACGGATTTTTGAAGGCGAGGAAACTAGCACGCTGCACGAAGGTCGTACATCCTACCGGCTGTAACAACCAATGAGTTTTGTTGTCAAGGAAGTCTCAACAACCGGAGACGGTGACGAGTTCATATTTCATATGTGAGTCATTCGACGGCCTGGATTCAATAGAAAAGGAATATCCCAGTAAACGAGCCGTTTGGGACAGTGTGGCGATTGCGACTTTGGGAAGACTGTACATTTTCTAACCCAACACAAGTTGAATTAGTAGCAAAGTGCAACAACCTGGAGTTGTCAAGGGCTCTTTGGTGGTGGATACAGTAAGCCTTCGGGTGCAACTCCCAGAAGGCGAAAAAGGTGCATGGTGGGGTGACCAATGCTGGGTGCAGCACCCGAGGGATGGAACTAACAACGCGTAGTTCCCCGCCGAAAACCAGCGCTCGCTCCACTGAGCCGCTGTTGGCCGCCGCCACGTCGGATTTTAACAGGCTGAAGGGCCGCGCGAGTTCAGACTGGTTCGCCCCTGCTCGCGGCCGGGTTGCGAACCATTCATTCGGATCCGTGTCTCTGGTGTCAGGCCCAGGAAGGACCTCTGATGGTAAGGCATCAATGCTCATGGCAATTCAGCCCCTTAGTATAGTCTCATAACCGACTTGTGTTATTGTCAAGTTCTGAATTAAGTCCGTAAGTGGCAAGTTATGGTCATGTCCGATGATTGTGTAACCTACATAATTCCCCAGCTGTTGGTTTGGTATCTCATAAGACTGAAGATCGGTTGCTTCAACCAAATTGCAATCGTAGGTACTCTTTAAGCTTGTAAGCAATGAGTCACACCTTACATTGCTATTTCGATAAACTACATGATACAGGTGCTTTTATGTTCAGTGCACTACCCTTTCTTGTTGCCCGTTAGATTCGCTTCACTTCGTAAACATTGAGTCGTCTCCCGCCAGCCCTCAGAGGGACACATTCAAAGGAAACTTGGGTAATAGTTACATGATCAAACAGCTTTCATCCCATTAAATGAAGGGGCCACTGGCCGTACAAGCTCATTGGTATACATTTGTGTCAGCATGAGATCTGGTTGAAAGATAGTATGCCAATACATACTCAACCACTTTTTATTTTATCCCATTTCTCATCTAGAAGCACGTTGGATAGAGAGACGCAACGCAACATAGTTGCTGGGTTCGTATTTTTCTTTTCCCTGCAACCCTTGATAACTGTCTTAATGTCCCCTATCCCGCCGAACAGTCTCCAATCCCATGGCACAGGGTTGGAACCAGTGACCCTTTAGTTGGCATAACAGGGCCACTCTATGCAAGATTATTCCGGTATTAATGAGGTCATAGGCATCTGATACTCGAATCGATATCTTTCAATTGGAATTGACACTGCCTGTCCCGTTGTCACGCCCCTTAATCATTCCTCAGCAGGGCAAACCTCATACTGCACATATATGTGTGGTGTGTTTTCCGTGAATGACTTGAGCCATACTTCAGTTACATCAAGTATAACTGCGAGCTTTTGAGTTTTTACTAACTTGGACGGCTTCGAGATATTTTTATACCCAGGATCTATGACTGTTGTAGCGGTGACTTCTTGGTCAGGCGATGTCGCCCTCATCCATACTCTTGTCAACAAGAGGTATCAGCTATCAAAATCAACCTCTAAGATTGAACGCTTCTCTGCAATTTTCTCAATGTGAATTATCGCTTGGCAGGCTGGGCATTGAAAAGGGAAACAACTTTGAAATAGACGACCCAAAGATCAGATAATACCCGGGACGATGGCAGCTTTAATGAGCCATTTAACGAATTCGGCACAGTTATGGCTATGGACTCAAAGTCTTTCCTTTTATGTTAACTTTGAAAATGGTCCAAAATGTAACACTGAGTTTACGATATAAATGTGAAGCACGTATAAATAACCCTAGGTTACTCTCGCTCTACTTTCACAGAAACAACTATAGCCCAGAGTGCTGTGTGGGTGTGAAACTTTGTTGAAAATAGACGCTGAGCTCCATCATGTCTACATGCTTTCCAATATGTTTGTGTCTTGTTCGTTGTATCCGCGATTCTCTCGTTTATTCCGATGCCACTGCCATAACTGCTATGTTCATGTATGTTATCGATGCAAGGTGCCAGAGACAACAAAAGAGAATATGTCACTTACACTAGTGCTCACAACCAGATTTCTGGGACATGGCAATATAAGTCATCGAACTCTCAGAAGCAGGGAAGACTTTCTTCGAAAAATGTAATTGAGCAACCAAGACCCTGTTGATGATATTATACACCAGTTGTCGTTCTGATTGCATTGGATAACCCAAATAAAATGAGACTATTATCTATAATTTCATTATAATACGAATTATTGCACCCTCGAGTCTGTCTCGAGGGTGACAAGTCTCTCCAAAACTCGAGAACAAGCTCGACCAAATCGTCCGTACTACCAACAACACGATTTTCACCATGGTCGTCTCCCTTCTTATCACGAACGTATCGTACCACGTCCAAGACAGTCATTTTTCTAATACTCGGTTGGAGAATACAAGCGATATCTCAGCTCTAGGATACTTTCTGAGGCATTCGGGTTCATGGTTGAACAGGCTCCATGGCTGTTTATGTGGCAGACAGCCCGCTGATAACAGCAAATGCCAACATGACATCCTTATGGACCCATTACAGCCGTCACCTACTTGTCTCGTGGCTGTTGCATGGATGGACGCTGTCTAGTTCATGTGTAAGAGTAATTTACCTCTAAGAGACACTTTAAAGGTATGGCAGCTGCTAATATCAGTGATGAGCTGCAAGCACACCTCGAGCTCGAGCCGAACTGGCGACAAGCCAAAGGTGTCGTCCAAAGGCGCGATAAATCAGCCAACCAGGTCCAGAATAACGAGAAAAATGAAGAAAAGAGTGACAACCACGCCACGTTATCTTTACTGATTACGTATGCTTATGGGACGGTAAAAGAATATTTTTATGGTAAGACGAACAACAGATACGGCAGTAGGAACCGAAGAGATGTTGTTGCTCAGTTCATGTGAGCAAATCCATCGTGCAACTTTTCAACATTCACGTTTGCTGGCTATTGTGAAGGCAAGGTCTACACACACGTTATTGCCATCTTTTTTGAACTCAAGAAAGCCGATATGAGATTAGGACCAACATTCTTTTCCACAAGCCAACCCACCAAGCCACTCCTTTACGAAGCAACGGCCACGTCATTACTTGCTAAAGTACCGATTGATACAACATACACATATTTGATGGGTCAAAAAGCATTTATAAATCAGTACCTGCGTCTGTGACATCTACCGCTACGGGCTGCCAGGAACTCCAGTTCGTCGACTTTCCGACGTCAGAGGACTCTGAAGACTTAAAGCCCGTCTGAGGCGCGCATTATCCCCTAAATGACAACTGAGGCAAAGTCAAACCCCATGGTGAATAAAGAACATATAATATTGACGCAGTTAACGTTAAGGCGATAGATCCGGACTCGTTAATCATCTTGCTCCCATTCCAGAGACGCATGTTCTTTGTCGCTAAGTCTTACTCCCACTAGATCTCCTCTACGTATCGGTGAATTTAACCCAAGGCTTGTTATTATTGATGTTACCGAGCCCCAAAACCATCCAGGAGAGTCATTCACCTTGTCGTGCCAATCAGGTTAGCAGCAGGACTCATCCAGCGATGACTGAGCAGATACCAATTTCCTCCTTGCCTACTCTTGAAGTCTTCAAACTCAGACCAGTTGCAGTAGGATTCACAGCCATTGAAAGCCGGACACATAGCTTCCGATATCAACATCCGACAGGCTCAAATAACTACGGCCCAGACCTGTTAGCCACGTATAAAACCCAAATGCAGTATTAAACACTGAACCAAGTCGTGTCTGGCAATCAGCTCAGCTGATGCAGAGATCACGCAACCTATGGTAACCACCTCCCGTTCTGAGTTAAGCCAACGCAAGTCAAAGTCCAGACTAGCCGCTGCTTTCTTTTGTTAAACGGCCTAGGAAGAGCCCCTGCGGTAACAACGTCGGTTGACGAGACAGGAAAACGCCTCTCCATGTGCCAGACAACAATAGTTTTCAAAAAAGCAAAAACAAAACCCAGCTTCACAAAACTCCCTCTGCAACTCCGACGCTAAACCCAACGGCTTTGATCTACCGCCAAGTACTGGCAGACGTTCTTATTCCAATACGCCCGCATCACCAACTTATTAGATATCCAAAACGGCCAGTCACAAAACACCCCCACACCATCATCGGCCTTTTCTTCCAAAAAACATCAATATTTCTCAAACACAACCCTTTTCCCATTCAACTCACCCCCTTCCCACAGCGCCGGGACCACCCCTTTGTTAAAAGCCTCCACATTCCTTTCGGTGAGCGATCCCCGCCTCAATCAACCCCCCCAGTTGGCGCC